CCTCCCTGCCTCCCTCCCTCCCTCCCTCCCTCCCTCCCTCCCTCCCCGACTCTCGACTCCCCCCCAGGCGGTCAACGTCGTGCCGGCCGGGCCCGCGGCGCGGGCGGGCGTCCGGCAGGGCGACGTGCTGCTCGCCATCGACGGCAATCCGCTCCGCAGCGTCGACGAGATCCACCGCCTGCTGCCGACGCCGGGCAAACGGATCCGGCTGCGGCTGGTGCGGCCGAGCGACGCCCGCAGTGTGTAGATGCGGGACGCGCCGCCCTCGTCTTCCCGCCCGGAGAAGACACGCACCCGACTGTGATCGACTGTACTCGTAGCCGCAATCGCCGTGTCGGAGCCTCGTCACTCACCCGATGCGCCGAAGCTACCGGTCCGGACCCGGACCGGTGCTCCAAGATCCCGTCGTCACACCCTGTGCTGCCTACTCTCATTGTAGGCGCGCAACCCGAACGGCGAGGGTCGCATCTCGACCGTCGAGCTTACGACGGAGGCGCGGCCGCACGGCACGTGACTCGAGCGAGTCGTCCGGAGAACCAGCAGAGGCGTCGAACCCTGTCTCAAGTTTGCAGCTGTGACCCGGCAAGCCAGCGGGCTGCTGTGGGCCCGAGAGCATGTGCCATGTCCGCTTTGCGTTTGTTTCAATATATAACACTTAACAGCGAAGGCTGTGGCTAGCTCAAAACAAAAAAAACAAAGGTCTCTTCTCGCAGCTGCGAGACATATGCTTTCTCGGCGGAGCGGGGCATCCCCAAAACAACAGGGCGGAAGGGAGGGGTGTGACCATACGCGCAGCGCAGGAGGGGTGCCCCTGAGGGGGCACAAAGGTAGCTCAAAGGGGAGTGAACAAGAGACCGCACAGGCGACAAGCACGCTCGCTCGCACTTGGAGCACTTGGAGTGCAGTCATTAACCTCACATCCAGGGCCGGGGAGCTCAGAAGCGCACCCAGCGGGCCGGATGATCGGGATCGGGTTACGGGCTAGAGAGCCCTAGCCCCGGGGGTGCGCGTTCGCAGGGCAAGGGCCTTAAAGTAAACACGGGTCTCCGAGGGTTAGCCCCGCGTACCGGGTTTCCCCTTAACTGCAGGACGCCCCCTCTACTCGGAGCTAATGAACACCATACTGCACGCCCCACACCACCACTCTACACTCACTTGCGACGGCGTCTGAGTAGACCCCCCCGCCTGAGGGCTCACCCCTCGCCTTCCCGACGACGGCTGTGGAGAGGGAAGCGGCGGAGGAGGCGGGGGGGTTGGTGTCGGCGGCCACGGATGAGGTAACGGCGGTAACGGCGAAGGAGGGGGTGGGGGGGGTAACGGCGGCGGGGGGGGGAGCGGGAGATGGGGTGGCGGAGGAGGTGGAGGCAGGCGAGGCGGCGGCGGGGGTTGGCACGGGGGCGGCAGAGATGGAGAGGGGGGAGGGGGGGGGAATGAGGGAGAAGGAGAGAGAGAAAGAGGAGGAGAGAGAAAGAGGGCTGGGATGGGGGGGGGAGAGAGAGGGGGCAGGGGGGGGTTTGGAATGTCCGACTCCCGGGTGGAGACACTGCCCTTTGCAGGAGTCACGTGTCCCCAACGACCGGCAGTCGGTAATGAGGTTTGGTTGGTTGAGGAAGACGGCCCCGGGTTCCTGAAGCAGGGCAGAAATAAATAAAGGTTAGGGACGTCTCGGGCAGTTATCGCCGCGTTGAATCCCTCCGTCTGCAGGAACGATCTCCCACCGGTTATAATAACCGGCGGTAATCGATAGTCAAAGTTGGGCGCCGGAGAGCGATAGAGCGCCCGCCCATGCTCTCCGCTTGTTGTGCAGCACCCGCGGCGCGCGCGCGCCGCGGTGTTGACCAACGACCGCACCACTGGAGGCCACCACGCCACTCGCGGCAATCCGCATCGAGGCCGCCCGTCGGTGCAGCGAGAGTACTGCGCACTGCTGGGTAGCGCCCAGAATGCAGGGAAGGCCTTGGCGCTTCTCGCCATCCAGACTGACTCGGCCACCGGCAAGCGAGCCGAGTGCGCGTTCCGAGCACGCGGCCCGGCACTTTCCCACAGGCCCGCCAGCCGCCGCGCAGCTCTGGAGAGGTAGCTGGCGTTGCGCTGCCCTGCTTGAAGCTGCTGTTGAGGCGCTGCACTGCTCAAAGCTGCCCCGTGCGCCGCCGCGAGCGCCGCGCCGTGGCCTCGTTCTCTGGAGAGCCCCAGCACCACCCCTCGCGGCCACTCGCGCCGTTGCAGCAGCTCCGACCCCGCCACTCCGGCTCCCGAGCGCGCGGCGAGCAAGAGGAAGAGCACGCGCATGGGCCAAATCCGTTTCAGGCTCCTGCTCGCTCCCTCTCCTTCTTTTGCCTTGGACAGCGCCGGCCAGAGCCATTGCGGTCGCGGGTCCGGCTTCAAGAGGCCTCGCGACGAGTCGCCCGGTCAGAACAGCTGGCGGCGCGGCGAGTCTCGCTGGCGTGACGAGCCAAGACGGCGTGACGAGCCGCGATGGCGCAATGAGCGGCCGCTGCCGCCGCCACGGTTGGCGCCTCAGCCGCCTCCGGGCGGTCCGTCGCCGCTGCCACCGCCGCCGAGGACAGGCAGTCCGCCGCAGTCGCCCTCACCCCGGCCAAATCCGGCGGTGCGCAGCGAGCCGCCCTCATTTGGCCGCTCTGCTGCCGGTGGTCATCTCAATGCTGCGCAGCTCAACGGCCACATCTCGCATGCCCGCGACGCCGACGGGCTGCTCACGCTCTTTGCTGCCCACAGCGCGAGCTTGAACCACATCCACGCTGCGAACCTGTGTGGAACAAACTCGGCAAGCAGCGCATCGAGCGGCGGCACGAGGAGCAGCTAGAGCAGCTGGTGAAGCGCACGCTCGAACTCATACCGGCATGCGAAGCACGCAACCTGGCAAGCGTCGCTCACGGAGTGGCAAAGTGCCAGCTACCAGTGAGTGTGGTGCGCTCGCTGTGCGCGGCGGTGGCGGGGGCGGCGGTGCGCGGCGGGCTGGCAGGCTTCAACCCGCAGAACCTGGCCAACACGGTGTGGGCGTATGCGACGGCGGGCGTGGCTGCGGACGCGCTGTACGAGGCAGTTGCGGAGGCGGCGGTGCGGGGCGGGCCGGTGCGGGGCGGGCTGGTCGGCTTCGACAGCGTGGACACGCGCGCGCGGAGCGCGCTGGCTGGACACGCGCGCGCGGAGCGCGCTGCCGGGTGCACCGGGACCCAGCTGTGAAGAGTCCGCAAGGGTCCGTGCCAAAATGGCCAAAATCAAGCCTGGTTTGGCCGACTCTGCAGTGGCCGCAGGCGGTGATGGCGGACGCCGACGAGCCTCACGCGCCGGGCCCCACCTCAGACAGTACCTCCGGTGGGCTGCATCCACTCACTGCGGGGCTGCTCGCTCGCCATGATAGTCAACGTGCACCGACGGCGACCGCCCTCTCGAAGCGCCGTGCTGACAGGCCAGCCGCCGAGCAGGAGCGAGCAGCCGTTCGAATCCGCGGTGCAGCGCCGCGGATGGCGAACCTCGAGCCGGTGGAGAAGACCGCGGTCGTGTCGGACTCGACCGGCGCCGATGCGGTGCCAGCAATTCGGGCGCGGCCGACTCGCTCCAGTTCGGCGCAGCTCGCCTTGGAGCCCACCGCGCTCTTAAATCGCCTCGAGACCATGCTCCTCGGCAACCAACCCGTCCCCGCACCCTCCAACGAGGTCAGCATCGTCGGCGAGGTCACCAACGGCATCATCATCGCCGCGAAAGCTGCCGTAAACACGCTCTTTTCGTCGCAGCGGCGCGGCGCGCTGATGGCTCTCCAGATAAAGAACCTGAAGAAGGCTGCGCTGGCGTACCTTGTGTGGGACCTACGCGGCGAGCTGGCGGGCGCGCGACTCGAGCAGGCGGTCGTGTACGGCAAGCGGCTCGAGACGCACGCGAGCGGCGTGGACAAGGAGTTGGGCAAGTGCAAGCGGCGGCAGGCGGGCGCGGAGGCGCTTCTCGCTGTCGTTCCAGAAACGTTGCAGGACGTGCCCACGCCAGAGGAGCCCGCGGTCGAGGAGGAGCCGGCGGTCGAGGACCTGCCGGCCAGCGACTCCCGTCCCGACGACGCGTCTTCGGACAGCGATCGGGAAAGCGTCTTCGAACGTCGGGTGACCCGTCGGATGATCGACGCCGGCCTGAACGAGGCGCAATTCGATGATATGCGGAACGTTTACGGGATTCAGCTCGCCCACGAGGACAAGTGCCACGAGTGTGCCAAGCTGCAGGCTCGGGCAGTGAAACTGTATGATATGCTCCTCCCGTACCTCGAGCGCGACTGGGTGCCACTGGAGGAGGCATTCCAGCGGCTCGACCTTATAGCTGCTCGGGAGCGCTCGGGTACCCTGGGTCGTGGGTATGATAGTGACACAACATATGTGTGATACACTACCAAAACAGGGCCGCGGGGGGGCGTTGGGGGCCGCTGGAGGGCCGCTAGACCCTTCCCGGGCCCCTCCGGGTGGGTCCGGGTGCACCCGGTGGCTGGACACACGCGCGCGGAGCGCGCTGGCTGGACACACGCGCGCGGAGCGCGCTGGCTGGACACACACGCGCGCGGAGCGCGCTGGCTAGATAAGATACCGCGCGGAGCGCGCTGGCACCTATGTGCGCTCGCGCGGAGCGCACCGCGGTACCGGTAGAGTCTAGACACATGAAGACAGTCTGTTGCAGTCAGTTGTGGCCACGCTGCTTCGAAGCTGGCCTGACGTCATAGCACGCGTCTGGCAGACGCTGTATCTCTGCCTTCTTCCGCGTCATGACCACACCCCGCTGCAGCGAAGCTCCAATGCCGCCCCTCTGTGCATGTGACCTGTCGTTGTGGTGAAAGCGGTCTTCCCAGTTGAGCCCGCCCCAGTTCTCGAGAGCACGGTTGATGAAGGGCACGGCGACGGCCGCATGTAGCGCCCAGAGACACGCGCGGAGCGCGCCGCTGCAGAACACGCGCGGAGCGCGCCGCTGCACAGGCGCGGAGCGCCGCCACTTCAGATTGGGCCTGTGGGTGGGCCGAGTGGTTCCTAGCGTGTGAGTCAACTCTTAATAGAAATCGCACCTAGCCCTCCTCAACCCTCAAAATTTTCTTCGGGGCGCGCTCCGCGCGCGGCGCTCCGCGCCTGACTCCTTGAGCGGCGTAGGCGCTGGCTCGCACATGTTCTGCAGCTTGGTCTCATTAGCCCGGCGCCCATGTCTCGATCTTCTTGCAGGCGGCTGGTTCGACAGGTCCTCTCCGTGGCCTAGGCAGCCGTCCTCGCCCTTTCCCCAGCCAGGCAAAAGTGGCGCCGTCGGCGGTGCGGGCGATGTTGTGGCTGCCTCCGCCAGACACAGCGATGACGCGCCGCCCAGCAAAGGCCTCGATCTTCTTCGGCAGCAGCTGGTTCTCCTTGGTCGCGAGGCCCAGGCGGCCAAAGAAGCCGTAGCCCCAGCTCCAGACAGCGAGCGCCGTCGGCGGTGAGGCTGTGGTAGGCACCACAGCCGACACAGCGACGACACGCCGGCCAGCGAAGGCTGCGATCTCCTTGGGCAGCTGCTGCTCTGCTGGTCGCCGTCGCCTAGCTGGCCACGGGCTTGGAGGAATGAAAAGAAGCAGAAACTCGCCGCCGGATTTCTTCCAGTGGCGCATCTAAGGCGATGCTGGCCGCCATTGCCACCGCGAGCTCGGGCCTCTCCCTCTTCGGCCAGCCGCCGGGCAGTCGGCCCGCCTCCATGGGCGCGTCCATTTGCCCGAAGCTGCCCGAGCCCGTTCAAAGCCCGTCAGCCTGCACGCTCACACTCGCGCTCGGGTGATTCTGGCACCCTGAGGAGGAGCTTGCAGCTCTCCCCGGGGTCTCGGAGACCGTGGTTGGCTACTGCGGTGGCAGCACCGCCGATCCGACCTACAAGTCGATTGGCGATCACACAGAGGCCTTGCGTGTCACCTTCGACTCGCGTGTGGTGTCGGCGGAGAGCATGCTCGAGCGCTTCTTTGAGATGCACGACCCGATGCCGCGTGCCTTCACGGGCACTCAGTACCGCTCCGCCATCTTCTATCACAACGACGCGCAGGCCGAGACGGCGGCGGCCGTGGCGGGCCGGCAGGCGTCCTCGCAAGCGAAGCACACCTCGATCGAGCCGGCCGGTCCATTTTACCGCGCTGAAGAGTACCACCAGCGCTTTCTGGCTAAGCAGACGGGGCGGTGGGCAGCTTCGCCCAGCAGATAGCGGGTAGCGGGTGGCGTCCGAGCTGCGCACGGCGTATGCGAGCGCAGGTGTGCCTTTTTCCAGTGACAGCGGCGTGGGAAACTCTCGAGGGAGACCGAGACCCGCGACCCGCTTGAGGTGCGAGATATAAGGGGCACGCTGCGTGTAGCACGTCAATACAGTGCTTCACAAACTACGTACGTTGTACATGCATGTCTCAAGACGCCCGGCCAGTTAACTAACTTAGCTAGAAAGGTGAGAGTCCGTCTCGTCGCTCGCGCACTTGCGCTCGCGCTCTCCCCTACGGCGTACGGGGTATACGCCAAGACGCGCCTTCGCGGCCGGCTCTAATGTACTACCTCTAAACTCTCCATCAGACACCTAACCCCGAGTATCCTCTTGGCCCTGCGCGTCTCTTCCCGCGAGACCGCGGCCGGGAGGGCCCCAGACACCGCGCCCGAGCTCCTCGCTCCACTCGGCCTCAAGGTGGCGGTCGATGGCGCGCCTGCACGCAGGGCAGGCGGCACCGCGGTCAGGATAGCAGCGCACGACGGCGTGCAGAGATGGGGTCGCGTCGGGAGCGCCGTACGCGTGGGGCCGCGCGATGCTCTCCCGCATCTCTGGTGGCTCTCGGCTCGGGTGGCTCTCGGCTGCATCTCGCCGCATCGCTGCGAAGTAGGACGGCTCGAGGTGGTGCAGCAAGAAGGTGCCTCGCCGGATGGAGTCGAGGGTGCGGACCTCGGACTCGACGAAGCGCGCGTCGAGCCTGCGCAGTGGGGGAGGGAGGGAGGGAGGGCGGGGGGAGGGGTGGCGGGAGGGAGAGGCGCGGGCCACGCCAACGAGCGGCGAGGAGAGGGAGAGAGAGCGAGGGGCGGGCGGGCGGTGTCTGGGGGTGCGAGCGCAGCATCTAGGCTGCGGGGCCCGATCATCGACATGGCCTCCGCCGTCGTCATCTTCTCGACGCGAGCGAAGATGTCGTCCTTGGCGCGGCCGAGCTCCGCCGCCGTTGCGCCAAGCGAGCGAGCCAGTCCCTTCACCTGCCCGGCGAGGTCGCCGCCGCCACCCTCGCCCTCCTCGCCCGACGCCTCCGCCCCGTCCCCGCCGCCCTGCGCCGCCGCCCCCACCGCCGCCACCCGCGCGGCCACGTCCGAAAGCACCTAGCCGACACGCGGCCGAGATGCGGCCGAGATGCCGCCGAGATGCCGCCGAGATGTCGCCGAGATGCCGCCGAGATGCCGCCGAGATGTCGCCGAGATGTCGCCGAGATGCCGCCGAGCGTACGGCCACGTGCCGAGAGGGCACCGAGTTAGGCCCAAACGGGTTTGTGAGCGGCGACACGTCGCGCAGAGGGCAGACGGCGTCGGCGGACTCGCCCTCGACCCAGAAGCCGTCCGCAACCTAGAGCCGAGGTGCAGCCGAGATGCGGCCGAGATGTGGCCGAGTGCCGCCGGCCCAGCCGCCGTCCGCCGCCTCGCCCGCCTCGTCGATCAGCACCGTCCTGGAGACGGGGGGGGGGGGGTGAGGGGGGGGGAGGCGGGGGGGGGAACTTAAGGCGTCCGTGGCGGCAAAAGCGGCCAGGGCGTCCGAGACGTGCGAGGCTCCGCCGTCCGTCCTGGGTAGGAGCGTGCGACTTGGGCCGGGGCCGCTCTAGGCCGGCCACCTGCCCACGTGCTCGTAGTCGAGCACGGCGCCGGCAGAGTTGGCGTGGCGCGGCATGCGCGCCACGATGTCGGCGCCGTTGACGACCCGGAAGCACTCCATGCCCAACGCCTGAGAGGGCGGTTGGCCCAAGAGGGCTCACGGAGCCGCACCGGGTGCGCGAGGCACGCCGGCGACGAGCACGTCGAAGTCGGCGGCGAAGGCGGAGTTGCCCACCCGCGGCGCGCCTGCGGGACGCGTCGTGGACGGGCGTGGCGCACGCGGCGAGGAGAGGGGGCAGAGCTCGCCCGCGGAGATATGGGGAGATATGGGGAGATATGTCGAGGAGAGGGGGCAGAGCTCTCCCGCGGCGCACCAAACGTGTACAGCCGCACGCGCCTCAGCCGCACCGGCACGTCCCCCGTCAGCTCGGCCGCCTGCCGAGGTAGGGAGGCTGTCGGGCGCTGCCGGACACTCTCTGGCACTCCCTCTCGCGGCACTGCCGACGCCTTGCCCGCGACGAGCTCGACGAGAGACGAGAACCACGGCTCGTCGGCGCGCTCCTTGAAGCCGCGCGACGCGTCGACGCCGCGCGCGACCTCGGGCGCGAAGAGCGTGGCGAGCGCGCCGCCGAGCGAGTGGCCGGTGACGAGCACCTAGAAGGGTCCTAGAAGGTTCCTTGAAGGTTCCTCAACGCCGGCGAGCGAGTGGACGGGAGACGAGCACCTACCCGCGGCGTCAGTTGTGAGCTAATCAACTAAGCCACTACCCGCACCTACCCGCGGCGGTGAGGTGTGAGCAAGCGCCCTTCCCGCCCCGCTGAGCTACCGGGCCGCGCGACGAGCGCCTCCCAGTCGCCGGGCGTGCCGACACACGCAGCCACGAGAAGCTCCTTGAGCCTCCGGTTGACTGCGCGCGCCGACGCGAAGAAGCCCGCGTGCACGACGCGCTCGTCGTCCGAGCGGCCGCCTAGAGGGCAATGGCAGTGGAGGGCAGTGGGCGCGACACGGCTTCAGCGCCGGCGCGAGGGGTCGTCGAGAAGGGTTGCGCCGTCCGCGCGCTGCTCGAGCGGCGTCTGCAGCAGGTTGACGTCGGTCAGCACATCCATCACGTCGGACGTGCCTGGGAGAGCGTGGCGGGGTGGGGTGGGCCCGAGGAGAGGGAGGCCGGAGGAGGAGACACGGCCCCCGCCGCGCCGAGGCGCGATCTCGGCGCGATCTCGGCGCGATCTCGGCGCGATCTCGGCGCGATCTCGGCGCGATCTCGGCTGTGTCGCGCTGTGCCTCGAAAGGAGAGGACGATCCTCCTTCGCCGCTTGTCGCGCCACATGGCGACCTTGAGCGCCGGGGGGAGAGGACCAGAGGTGAGGGAGAGGGGCGAGGGAGAGGGCGAGGGGGGAGGGCGAGGGGGGAGGGCGAGGCGAGCGAGCGAGGGGGAGCGAGCGAGAGAGCGAGCCTGGGTCGAGGTTGGCTCGTGGTCGACGTAGCAGCAGAGCTCGTACGTCCCTCCCTCGCCCTCCTCCTCCATGACGCGCGACCTCAGCTCCGTCCAGTCCAGCCCCTCCGACGCTCCGCGCGGGGCCGCGCGGAGGCGAAAGCCCGCGCCGGCGCCCTCCGCCTCCGCCTCCGCCTCCGCCTCCGCCTCGGCCGTCGCCTCAGCCCGCATCCGCTCGCGCAGCTTCTCCAGCTCCGCCTGGAGCAGCTGCGCCCGCTCCGGCGTCGCCGCCGCAGTCCGCGACGCGAGGGCGGGCGGCGCGGCGGCGGTCATCGGCGACGGCGGCGGCGGCGGCGGCGGCGCTTCGACGGGCGGCGCCTCCAGCTCGACGTAACGGAGGGAGACGCGCACCTGAGGCGCCGTGCGCGAGCGAGGGGGGCTGGGGGGTGAGTGGCGTGGGACTCGGCCGCCCTCGCACGCAAGGCGAGGGGGAGGCGAGGGAGGCTGGCGCCGCGCGCCTCGCCCTGAGCCTCCTTCTTCAGGAAGGTGTTTGCGAGCACGCCGCCGGCGGCGGCGCCGACCGGGCCGGCGATGAAGGCGCCTGCCACGGGCCCCGCGGTCAGCCCGCGGTGACAGGCGACGGAGGAGCACCGCGCTCTCTCTCTCGCTCCTCCATCGCTCTCTCTCTCTCGCTCCTCCATCGCTCTCTCTCTCGCTCCTCCATCGCTCTCTCTCTCTCGCTCCTCCATCGCTCTCTCTCGCGGTGACGGCGCCTGCGACGGAGCCCGCGAGGACCGCGTTGTCCTTGGTCTCGGCGGGTCTCCAAGTGAGCGGGATCCAGCCGCTCCACGAGCCGCCGCCTCCGGGGTCGGGAGAGAGCAGCGAGGAGAGGCGGACGGACGCGGCGCCGAGTGCCTGTGTGCGTGGAGTGGGGTGGGAGGGATGGCGCGGGGAGTGGGCGGGGAGTGGGGCAGCGGGCAGGGAGTGGGCGGGGAGAGCGGGCTGGGCGGCCATAGGGTGGCCGTGGGCGGCTCTCGCCTCGTCCTCCTTCAGGACGTCCTCGTCGAAGGCGGTGAGCGCGAGCTGCGCCTCCTCCACCTTTTTGACGTACAGGTAGATCTCCTCCCCGCCGTCTGGCCACTCTGCTGCGCCCCGGGCCGTCCCGCGCTTGGCCTCGCTCGCCCAGCGGGTGGCTGTGCGCGCGAGGTCGGTGGCGCGCTGCAGGCCGACGGCGCCCTCCTTTGGCCCCTTGGCGGCCTCCTCGTTGAGTGCGAACACCACGTATGGGTCGACGTTCCCTCCCGACAGCAGCGACGCCGGGTCGTTGAGGTTGAGGTTGAGCTGCTTCGGAGGCGGGAGGTCGCGCACCTCGTGCAGCGTCACCTCGAGCCGGCCGGCGTAGCATTCGGCGGCGAAGCCGTCCGACATGAAGGCCACGTTGCACCCGTCTGCGCCGCGCTCCCACCGCGCATCACCCTCTTCAGGCTCGTTGTACGCCTCGAAAGCAAATCCGGCGAGGAGCGTCGCGGTCTCGACGTCGAAAACGTGCTGCGGCGGCGGCGGCGGCGGCAGCGAGGCGCAGACGGAGGACGGGCGCGGCCGCAGCGGTGCATGAACTCGGGGCGCGGGGAGGAGGCCGATCGTCGAGACGATCGTCAGGGCAGGGATGTGCATGGCCGCGAAAATGTTTACTTTGCAAGTGCTCCAAGTGCAAAAAGAGAAATTCGCCGCACGGATATCCTCCGCCTAATTCCCACGATTTAGTCTTGCTGCCGACAAAATTAGAGCTTTGCCTTTGGGCCAACCAGTTGACAACACCAACTCTCTCTCTCACCAGAGTTGCGATAGTCGGGTGGTCGAGCTGCTGCTGCAGCACGGCGCGGAGATCAACCAGCAGGACAATGCCGGCAGCACCAGCGACCGCGAGGGCCTTCTCCTTCTAGGCGCTCCGTCTACTTGAAGGCGACCGTGCGGAGGAAGTCAACGAGGGGCGGCGTGCGGTCTGAGACAGTGATCAGCTCGAGCACGTAGTCGAGGTGGCTGCACCCCTCGCGGTATTCTGACACCACCGAGGGCCACGAGGAGTCTGCGCGCGCTTTGAGGGCGGCCTCGAAGCGCTGGGTCGAGGATACGGGCACGACGGGGTCTTCCACGCCGTGGAAGAGCGCGACGAGCGGCGGCAGCTTCTTCACTGCCGCCGCCCCTCCGGCCGCCACGGCGCACTCGGGCGAGAGGCGCGCCATCGGCTGCGTGTCGTCAAAGTAGCGCGGCGGAGGAGCGCTCGGACCGGTCCGACCTGACCCGTCGGCCCGGTCCGACCCGGGCGCTGTCACGAGAGCGGCCTCGTCGCCGACGGAATATGTGGCGCCGTCATCGCCGGCGAACGCCGCGGAGAGGGCCGAGACCGTCGCCACACCGCGGGAGGCCTCGTGCAGGACGTGCCGCCGCAGCTCGAGCGGCGCCGAGAGCAGCGCGAGCGAACCGATGGATGCAACGCCGGCGCCGGTGGCTTCGCCGCCACTCCGTCCGAGCAGCGCGGCCGCGGAGAGCTGACCACCGGCAGAGTGACCGACTACAGAGAGCCGAGCGCCCGCGTTGAGAAGCCGCCTCCGCGGCTCCCCGTCCGGCGGGAGCGGCGCGCCCGCCTCCGCCCAAGCCAGCGCCTCCTCCACCTGGGCTACCTGGGCCGCGCCGTCCGCGACCGGGTATAAGCCGTAACCGACCGTCGCCACGGCGCAGCCGAGCTCAGTGGCGAGCCTGCGCGAGGTGAGCGTGTAGAAGGACTTGTAGCCGTGCGACCACGCGCCTCCGGGCACGAAGATGAGCATCTCCTCGAACGAGGCGGCGGCAGAGGCGCCGCCGGGAAGGTAGACGTCGGCGAGCGAACCCAGAGGCCCGCAGGGGACGTCCTTCAAATCTGGTCCTGCTCGTTGGACACGGAGGAGCCGCCGCGCCTGTCCTCTCGGCGCCAGTGCAAACACCGCCAGGCCAGCCGCAACGTACTCGAACTGGCTGTACATGATCCACGCGATGCGAGACTCTCGCATGTACTCTTGAAGCCGCCGAGGGACGAGTCTTAAAACGCGACCCTCTGGCTCGCTAGCTCCCGCAATCCCAGCGGCGACGACGCCGCCCAGCACCGCCGGCGTGATGGCGCCAGCGATCAGCTCGCGGCCGAGCGGCCGCGGAAGCCTGAGCGCTAGGGCGGCACACAGCAGCTGCATGTCGAGGAGAGCGATCGAGAGCTGCTGACGCTTACCCCGCTAGTGAAACACTCCCTGGGCGCCCAGTCCCGTGCCCTGTGTGTGAGCGCTAGTGAAACACTCCCTGTGGGCGCCCACCAAACTATTGAACATCCATTCACAGATAGGGTGATAAGAGACAAGAACCTCGCTTCACATAATCGCACAACTCCGGACCCAAGACACACAAGCACAGACAGTCGAGAAGGGGGAGAGACAGCAACGACAGTCAGAAGTCAGCGCTGGGTCCCATTCACAGCCTTGTTATTGAGAATTCTTAAAATCCAAGCCTCTCTCACAGCACACTGGCTGGCACGACAAGGGCGTTATTGAGAAGAAAATACGTCCTATGCGCTTTGCGCTGGTCTGTGAGAGGTTGAGGTGCGAGCCCTGGAGGCCCTGGGGATGGGGTGAGACTACCCGCGGGCCTAGAAGGCCCGCGCGCAGGGGGGTGGGACATTGAGACCGGTCATGAATGAGTGCGCGACACGCATGTACCACGTTGGTTGCGAGCAGCGTTGTTGATGTTTTGCGCGTCGTCACAGACGGCGGCGCGCGAGAGCTGTTGCGAGTGGTGCTGGGCGAAGCCCCGGGCGCTGCCGGACTGTGCCGTAGTCTTCACACTCTCCAGTGCTCCCTGGTCTTATTCCAGTCCGAGCCGGTAGACTGTTCTTCACCTACCTACGGCTCTACCAGCTACCGCTGCCCGTGTTCTCCCCCCTTCGTGCGGAATCCATCGCACCTTTGTCCTTTAGACGTTTCACCAGAGCAAGCGGCGCCCCCGACGCGCCCCACGGCCCACGCCTGTGACCCCCGTCCACCGGGTCCGGGAGACCGGGTGCCGGGCGCTTGCAAGCCCGGACACGAGAGAATTTTTTAAATTCTTTTCGTGCCACAGTGTGCCACCTCGCCGTGTGTGTGTGTGTGTGTGTGTGTGTGTGTGTGTGTGTGTGTGTGTGTGTGTGTGTGTGTGTGTGTGTGTGTGTGTGTGTGTGTGTGTGTGTGTGTGTGTGTGTGTCTGCACTGTGTGTGAGTCGTGTCGTGTGTCGTGTGTTCCTAAGAGTCTTGTCATGACGTTGACACACGGTGTCGAACACGGTGTGTGTGTGCGTGTGTGTGCGTGTGTGTGTGTGTGTGTGTGTGTGTGTGTGTGTGTGTGTGTGTGTGTGTGTGTGTGTGTGTGTGTGTGTGTGTGTGTATTGTGGTATGTACTCGTCTCATATCACGTACACTTCTATTCCGCCTCGGCGGTCACCTCGGAGAGCTGAACACTTGTGAGGTGCAGGCCGTCGCCACCGCCGGCCCCAGTCCACTTTTGCCGCACCACCTTCACCTCGCCAGACTCGAGCGAGAGCGAGCCAACCTCGACGACCAGGCCCTCCTCCGCCCCGCCCTCCACCGCGTCAACCACTCGCACCCAGCAGCCGCCGGGCTGGAAGCTCGCGTTTGGAGGCAGCAGCGGCGCGCCGCCCTCGACGGCCGACTCCTCGACCTCCCACGCCGCGCCGCTCCAGCCGCTGCCGTCGTCCGGCGAGCCGCTGAGGACGCGGCGAGTCATCCCGCCCTCCCACGCCTTGGCGTCGACCACCACTTGCAGCCGCCGCTGGAGGAGCGTGGCGGCGCTCTCTGGCATCGCCACGCCAGCCCGCCCCTCGATGTACACGTCGCAGCTCGCGAGGGAGCCCCCGACCACCGCGAGGAGCAGCCGCTTTCGCGTCTCGTCGCCGTGCGCGATGTTGACACTCACCCCGAAGCCGAGGGCCGAGGTGAGGTGGTTCTCGTCGCCCGCGCCGCCAAGGTAGCGCGGCGCCTCGCACCACGAGCCGCAGGAGAAGCACGTGCTCGACTGCTGGCTCACCACGACCACTCCGCCGCTCGGCTGCCGCTCCTCGCGCATGGCATGAACGGCGCCGCGCGCCTCCGCGAGCACGTCGGAGGAGCAGGGAGACGGCACGGTGATGTGCCCCGGTGCGACAGCCAACGGGATGGTGGTGCTCGCGGACGCGTCCGGCGTCCATGTGAAACCCGCGCCACGCCAGGAGCCGAGACCGCGCTGCAGACACCGGTCAAAGGAGGGTGGCGCCAGCACGGCGTTGACGCGCGCTCCGAAGCAGCAGAGGAGGAGCGTGCGGCGCATTCCTGCCCCGCAAAAACGTGGACAGATGCGTCTGCGGCTCAAAAAGATTTCAACTCGAACTGCACCATTTCTGTTTTCTTTCTTTCTTTCTTCACTGGTTACTTTCGGGTTGTTTAAACTTACTATGTATGTAGCTCTTACGAACATTCCCGAAGGAGGACTGGATGAGAGGAAGGAGCGACTCCGCAGGGTTTCTCGGGGTTAGTGCACCACTAACCGCCGAAGCGCACGCGCACTACCTGGGTCGGGCTCATACTAGCACCCCTTTTTGCGAGATAACTAAGGTTTACGTAGCGCGCATCGTACCATCCACGCGCCCGGCGCCGCGGTTCCAGTTTTGCCACAAGGTCTTGACTCACCGGGTTTCCATATTTGCAATCCAACTTAGGCGTGACACTTGCGCTAGGGGCCCGGCAACCGCGCACGATCGAGTCGATACAATCTAGCTAGGACTGTTTATGCTGCCTGACAAGGGCGACTTGGACTGCGCGCGGAGGCGCTGCTTCGCGAGGCATTGGAGGCGAGCCGAGAGACGCTCGGCGACCACCAGCATCCAGACACGCCGTCTCAATCGACAGCCTTGGCGGGCTGCTGCGCGACAAGGGCGCTCGGCGCGGAGGCGCTGTTATCGGGAGGATCTCGAGACGAGCCGAGAGAAGCTCGGCGACCGGCACCCGGACACGCTCGTCTCGATCTGCTGTCTCGGCCATCTCAGGCGACGCCCAGAGTCCGTCACCTGAAACGTGTTTCGTTTTGTGGGAAAATAAATCCCTTCGCAAACGCTCGAGGGCGCGTGGCGCTCCAATGCTTCCGTCCATGCTTTTCCGTCCATGTCTTTTCCGTCCATGTCGCCGGGCGTCGCCGGCGCCGATCGCACTGTCGAGGTCTTTACGCGTCAGAACCTCTACGCCAAGGCCGTGCGCAGCCTTCTTCGGAGAGAGATTTATACCAAACAACTCTAACACTTACACATGATCGTTGATTGATTGAGTTACTTGTTGTTTTCTTCGGCCTCGTCCTCTCACCCGACATCATTTGGCTAACCACCATACAGTCATCGCCACAGAGACGTTTGTTTTCTTTTTGTGTGTGCCTTCAAGCAAAAAAACGTCCCCGGGCACAGCACTGACAGATCTAGATACCAGAGCTTGGCAACCTTAGTGGCCGCAGGCCACACGCCCGTAGGGCGTGAACTAGTCGCGCGGATAAGGTCGTACTTGCATGTATGTACGTCCCTGTTTTGACAGTACGTACGTAGTGTCGAAGTACGTCCGTGGTTGAGCTGAGGCGCACGTACGCGAGGGTCGCTAGCGTGTCGTCAGCAAGGGCGTGTGGGCTGGGGGCATTTCCGCCCACGTTCTTGCGATACGTACTTGATTTCACGGTCTGTCACGGTCGTGAAAGCAAGGTTGCCAAGCTCTGGCTAGCTAGATACAAGCTGCGCGACCGGCAACCGAACAGCGTCTCGCGACCCAGCCAAACCGAGTGATTCACGCGCCGAGGAGAAGAGGTGGCTCGCGGCGCGGCCTTGTCCGCCGCCGCCTGCCGCTGCGCGGCCTCGTCCGCCGCTGCCTGCCTCGCCGCCGCCGCCGCCGCCACGTGCCTCACCGGCGCGGCGGCGGCGCCCGCCCGCTTCTTCGCGAGCGCCTTCTCGTCGCTCACGGCGGGTCCGCTGCAGGTCACCGCCGCGGCCGCCGCCCTGGCCGTCGATTCGCACATCGCCGAGGAGGCGGGGAACCCTGGCAACGGCCGCATGAACAAAGTCATCTGGACACTGTGGGAGGAGGACAACAGCTTGTGGCATCGGTGGTTTCCCCCTTTCAGAACAAAGGAGCTCCCTTACGTTGTGCGTCGAGCACATCAAAGCTGGCGACAGCACAATCCGTCGTGGAACTTCACCGTGCTCAGTGGTGCTACAGTGGGGCGGTACATGGATGCATCAAAGTTGAAGTCCACAATGACAATCCAAGCCAAGAGCGACATGATCCGACTTAATCTTCTCAACAACCACGGTGGTGTGTGGGTGGACTCAACAATGCTATGCATGATGCCACTTGACAGCTGGATTTGGAGTTACCTGACCACGCGCGATTACTTCATGTTCGGCCAAAGCCTCTGCTCGTGGTTCATCGTGAGCAAGCCACACTCTCAGCTCATCTCACGGTGGGTCACGCAGGCAGATCTGTATTGGGCGAATCGCACAACCCCGAGTGGCGCGGTGGGGCACAAACAGGACTACTTTTGGATGGACGGTACTTTGATCGATTACATGATACGTCATCCCAAATTCAGGGAGCGCCTCGAGTCGCGCCCTTCGCTGCCGTGTGGCGGTGAATGCTCACCGCACATGGTTTTTAGTGGTTCGCATTGCAGCGAAGACTATCCCCAAAAGAAGCTCTCGCCGATGGTGAGCAGATGCATCAAACTGGGCACACTGCCACCTGCAGTCAAGCTGACGTACAAAAGAGGCTGCGGCAAGGCGGCGGTTACTGAGGCGAGTCAAGGCACCAATGCTTATGAGCTCATCGAGGCTTCCTTTTCGCGACGAGGAAATTTCTCTTCCTATCACTTGTCATATCACATGTCAGGCCAGGTCACGGGAGCGTCGGGACGGGGAGGGAGGGGGGTCGATTCGCGGCATTGGGGGCGAGGCGAGAGACGCTCGGCGACCGACCGGCATCCGAGCATGCTCGAGCCAACCCAGAGAGGAAATTCGTAAGTGCCAGTGTGTGTGTGTGCGCGCGCCAGTCCAATGGCGGATCTCTCTAAAGGAAGGAAGCAATGCCAAACCCAAGGGAGGGAGGGGAGAAAACTGCATTTCGTTTTTCTTTTCGTTCGCACAAGCCACAACACTGGCGCGACTGGGCGACACGGAGCGCGCAATCGTCACGGGCGTCCGCACCCATTGTCGCGCACGCCGTCAAGATGATTTTAGGGAGAAGGAGTGTGGTGCTAGCCGCCTCCCATGTTATTGCCCTCGGGCGTCTGACTCTCCCCTTTTGTCTCGCTCGTGCAGAGTCTCTCGCCCGCGCCCGTGCACTCTCATCGCTCTCTCGGCTCTCGCCAACTCTCGCGAACTTCATGCCACCTCGCGGTCGTCCCCCGCTCGCCGATCTTGAGCACTTGAGCACTGGATAGGGTCGATTCCGCATGGTACCTGCATGGTACGGGACCCCTCGATCGTCTCGCCCTCCCTCGCTGGTGTGCTCATGGGGGGGGTCATAACAAACACGGTACACAGGATCGCCGATCTCTCTAAAGAAACAAAGCAAGCAACGCACACCCAAGATTCGTTCTTCAAGGGGGAATAAGTCGTGGACTGGCACAACACGGCAAAAGAAACTTACACACCGAACTTACACCACCGCGGGCTGAAGGGAGATCTGCCAGATGTGCTCGCAGTGGAAATTGCCCGCAAACTAGCAGCGAGTGCAGAGCCCCTCGCCGCCATACGCGTTGCGGTGCACTTGCAGCGACGCCTACGCATTGCTGGAAAGATGGTGGCCATGCATCTGTCGGCTGCCACACGATCGTGCAGAGTATGACCCCCGGTTTTTCGGACCGGACCAGAATGGCCAGAATAGGAGGGCGTGAATATCCTGCGCCTTGCTTGAGCACGGCCCTCTCGGTATGCTCACGCAGCAGTAAGCTCGCGACGCTCGAGGCGAGCTTCTGCAGCAGTAGGCTCGCGGCGCTTGCGTCGAGCTCCTTCCTGTGCCGCTGCGGCCCTGAACAGACAGCTCAACTAACTGTTCAATCAACTGTAACCATCCGTCAGCGGTCTCTCTCCCCAACCGAGCCTGCAAAGGCAAAACAAACAGTAGCACCCGCAAGAAACAAGGAAAAGAAAGAAAGAAAACAGACAACCCAAGGGAGTCCTCGAGAAGGAGGGCGTTTCTTGATTTGAGGCTGCCCGGCGCGAAGAAGCACAGCCTCACACCATGTCGTCGTGGCTGTCCGCCAAGGCGGCCGCTGCGGCTGCGGCGGTCGAGGCCTCTGCCAAGGAGGGGCTCGACCGCGCGCAGGCTGCCGCCCAAGCCGCACAGGCAAAGGCGGCCGCTGCGGCAGCCGACGTTGCAGCGGGGACAGCCGCGGCAGCAGCTGCGGCCGACGCTGCGGCGAGCGGCGCCAAGGAGGTGGCCTCTCCCGCGCTACTCATGCGGTCGCTGACCGGGACTGTGAGCGAGGCGGCGTCACCGGCGCTGAAGGACGGCGGCGCTGACAGGCGAGGTAGCTGCGGAGCGCGCTCGCACGGCTGCCGCTGAGGAGCGCGCAGCAGCGGCACAGGCGGAGGCGGAGGCGCGGCGAGAGTGGGGCCTGCAGGAGGCGGAGCTGAAGCAGGCGATGTCGGTCCTCAGTGAGGAGAACTCGCAGCTGGAGGCCAAGCTCGCGCGCGAGCAGGAGAAGCTGTCCAAGGCGAGGGAGGCGAAGAAGAAGGCCGAGGCCGAGGCTGGAGAGATCAAGGAGGGCTGGCGGGCAGAGGCGGAAACGGTCGCAGAGGTGACGGCAGAGCTCGAGGCGAGTCGTGCGGCGGCGAGCGAGGCGCAAGCGGCGGCCGAGGCGGCGCAGCAATCGCTCGCCGCTGCCAGCGCCGAGGCTGCGGCGGGCAAGGCTGAGGTGGAGCGGCTGGCGGGTGAGCTTGCGGCGGCGACGGCCGGTGCTGCCGCTGCGCGTGAGGGCGCATCGATGGCGACGGCTGAAGCCGCCGCTGCGCGTGAGGGTGCATCGGCGGCTGCCGCCGCAGAGGTAGCTGCGGAGCGCGCGCGCGCCGACGCCGCAGAGGAGCGCGCAGCGGCGGTGGAGGCGGAGGCGGAGGCATCTGCTGCGGCGGCGGCGGCGGAGCTGGCGGAGGCGCGGCAGGCGGCGGCCGAGGCAGCGGCGGCTGCCAAGACAGCGGCGGCCGCTGCGGCGGCGGACGTGTCGGCCAAGCTCGAGGCTGCGGCAGCCGAGGCAGCCGCGGCTCTCGAGTCCGCGGCAGCAAGTGCAACCGAGGCGGCTGCTGCTCGGGAGGAGGCGGCGGCGGCGCTAGCCGCAGAGGTAGCTGCGGAGCGCGCGCGCGCCGACGCCGCGGAGGAGCGCGCAGCGGAGGCGGAGGCGGAGGCAGCGTCTGCGGCGGCAGGCGGCACTGCGGCAGCGGCCGCTGCGGCAGCCGCCGCGGAGACAGCGGCGGAGCTCGAGGCGAGTCGTGCGGCGGCGAGCGAGGCGCATGCGGCGGCCGAGGCGGCGCAGCAATCGCTCGCCGCTGCCAGCGCCGAGGCTGCGGCGGGCAAGGCTGAGGTGGAGCGGCTGGCGGGTGAGCTTGCGGCGGCGACGGCCGGTGCTGCCGCTGCGCGTGAGGGCGCATCGATGGCGACGGCTGAAGCCGCCGCTGCGCGTGAGGGTGCATCGGCGGCTGCCGCCGCAGAGGTAGCTGCGGAGCGCGCGCGCGCCGACGCCGCAGAGGAGCGCGCAGCGGCGGTGGAGGCGGAGGCGGAGGCATCTGCTGCGGCGGCGGCGGCGGAGCTGGCGGAGGCGCGGCAGGCGGCGGCCGAGGCAGCGGCGGCTGCCAAGACAGCGGCGGCCGCTGCGGCGGCGGACGTGTCGGCCAAGCTCGAGGCTGCGGCAGCCGAGGCAGCCGCGGCTCTCGAGTCCGCGGCAGCAAGTGCAACCGAGGCGGCTGCTGCTCGGGAGGAGGCGGCGGCGGCGCTAGCCGCAGAGGTAGCTGCGGAGCGCGCGCGCGCCGACGCCGCGGAGGAGCGCGCAGCGGCGGCGGAGGCGGAGGCGGAGGCAGCGTCTGCGGCGGCAGGCGGCACTGCGGCAGCGGCCGCTGCGGCAGCCACAGCCGCCGCGGAGACAGCGGCAGAGCTCGAGGCGAGTCGTGCGGCGGCGAGCGAGGCGCATGCGGCGGCCGAGGCGGCGCAGCAATCGCTCGCCGCTGCCAGCGCCGAGGCTGCGGCGGGCAAGGCTGAGGTGGAGCGGCTGGCGGGTGAGCTTGCGGCGGCGACGGCTGATGCTGCCGCTGAGCGTGAGGGCGCATCGACGGCGACGGCTGAAGCCGCCGCTGCGCGTGAGGGTGCATCGGCGGCTGCCGCCGCAGAGGTAGCTGCGGAGCGCGCGCGCGCCGACGCCGCAGAGGAGCGCGCAGCGGCAGTGGAGGCGGAGGCGGAGGCAGCCGCTGCGGCGGCGGCGGCGGCGGAGCTCGAGATTGTGTCGGCTGAGACTGCGGCGGGCAGGGCTGAGGCGGAGCGGCTTAGTGGCGAGCTCGCGGCCGCGGTGGCGGAGGCGGCCGCAGCACGGGAGAGTGCGGCCGTTGGGGCGGCCGAGGCCGCGGCGGCCCGCGCAGAGTTGCAGCAAGAGATGGAGCGGGTGGTCGCCGAACTCGAAGCAGCGCGCTCCGGTGGCGCGGCTGTCGATGTCGAGGCGCTGCGAGAGGAGCTGCGGGCCGCGAAGGCGGCTTCGGACGACCTGGTGGCGACGCTGGAGGGCGCCGAGGAGGAGAAGTGCCAGGCCGAGGCTCAGATGACACGCGCGCAGGCCGAGGCCGCTTCGCTGCGGGAGAAGCTGCTGCTGGCGTCGCAGCTCGCACGCGACGCCGAGGCAACGAGCGGGGGCGGCAGAGCGTGACACGCCCAGACCGCGTCCATCACCCGTCCACGACATGTCCCATAGGCCACAAAGGAGGGCGCGGTTCGCGACGCTTTGCAAAGACGCGAGGGCGAGGCGGAGGAGGAGCAGCGCGCTGCGGTGGAGAGCGCGGTGGCGCGGGCTTTGGAGGAGGCGGGCGCTCGTTTGCAGGCCGCCCTCGAACCGTTCGGTGCCACTCAACGCACCAAACGCCGCCATCACCCCAGATTGCTGCGACCAGGAACGGGACGCCGGCGTCGCTGCGGCGGAGATGCGGGCCGCCGCGGCCGAGGCTGCGCTCTCTGAGGCGCGCTCCGCGCCCGCCGGGGACCCGTTCCTCACCTCTGCCAAGGTCTTGGAGGTGGCGGTGGCGGAGGCGAGGGCGGCGGCGAGGGCAGAGGCGCTGGCGCACCTCGACGAGGCGGTGGAGGCGGCTGTGGCGCGTGCGACCGAGGCGGGTTCGGTGGATGCGCGGGACAGCATCCGCGCTCTGACCGACTCGTCGGAGGAGGTGGCGGCGCTCGGCGAGGGCGACGAGGGCGGGCGCATCTACTTCTCGGGGCTGCCAGATTTTGCGGAGGAGGCGGCGGCAGGAAAGGAGGGGGGAGCGGCAGCAGCGGCCACTGCGGGCGTGTGGCGGCTGCTACCTGGCGAGTCGGCCGATGCGGCGGTGGCGCGGCTATGCGTGCGCGGCGCGAGCCTCGAGGCTCGCATAGCGAGCGCGGTCGATGCGCGGCGGCGGTGGGGCCTTCGCGAGGCGGAGTTGGTGCTGCGCATAGAGACGCTGGACGAGCTGTTCCGACGGACAGAGACTGACGAGATCGCGGCGTGGCTGCCGACCTCGGCGTCGCAGTTCCGGTCGCTGCTCCAGCAGGTGGGTCAGGAGGCGAGTCAGACGTACCGCGATTGGAGGTCGTTGTGCAGGCGGCGCGGACGCTTATGGCTGTGTACAGGTGACAGAGGTTTCTTGTTTTGATTGTGAATCATTCTGTGTGGTACCCCACACACAGACCAACATACGGGACTAAGTTTTGTGACTAAGACTGGCAGTACGTACTGGGATGTGGGAAACTGGCAGGTGTGCGCGCTCGACGTCCACGAGGGGGCCTCCACAAGAGACCTCAGAGCGTAAGACACCTGTGCAGCGCAGAGCAAGTAAACAGCTGGGAAGACCCCGAGCTCATATGGCGGCCGCAGGATAGATAGGCGCCTAGGCGTCACGTGATCCTCTCTCCCCTCTCCTGTGCGCCATCAGCGTCACGAGCCTAGGCTGAGACTGAGAGATATCAGTCTCAGCTTGAACAACATATTCGGAGTGGGCAGGTCCCCTTCTCAATGAAGCTGTTTGCGGAGTACGCAGAGGCCACCGCGGTGAGTTCGAGGAGCTGTTCGATGTGGACGCGGAGGGCGGCATCCAGCCGAAGGACCTGCCGTGAAGTTCACCGAGACGCTGTGGCTTTGCCGTGCGGCCGACGAGGCCAGGAGCTGTGAGGCGAACAAATTCAAGCACGTCGATCGGCTGGAGTGCACACCTCTGAGTGGTATGGTGTATTGTTGGCAAGAGTGGGCCAATCTAATGCGAGCCGCGCGTGGACGCTTCAGTATTTCACCACATCATTGTGGGGTCCCTTACCAAAAGAGACCCTCTCAAGTGCTCAATCAACCCAAGTTAGCGAGACGGTGGAGAGGGGGGACGACACTGCTTCAGCAGCGTGCACCTCGATCCTGTACCGTGTTTGTTATGAAGCCCCGCCCCCCCCCTCCCCCCTTGAGCATACCAGCGAGGGAGGGCGAGACGATGCGGGCGGACGATCGGGCATGTGCTCAAGTTAAAAAAGTTTCGCTGGATGACGAGCGCGGCCGTCCTCAAATCCCGCGCATTGCAAGAGACCGCGGCCGGGCTCCCATCCGTTCCGACGACCGCGGCTCCTTGTAGGCCCGCCATGGAGTCGTGCGACAGCGCCTGCGAGGGCATCGAAGACTCGGACACCGGTTTCATGGTCATGGCGACCACGTTTGTGATGCTACAGACGCCGGCGCTCGGGTTGTGCCAGGCCGGCCTGATCCGGCGCAAGAATGCGCTGTCGATGCTCATGCAAGTGCTTACCGGCTTTGTGATTGGGTCCATGCTCTGGTTCAGCATCGGGTTCTCCCTCGTCTTTGGCCCCTCGGCCGGCGCACTGGGCCTCATTGGCACGCTCCGGCACGTTGGCTTTGCGGGCCTCTCAACAGAGTGCTGCTACCCACTCGCGACGACCATCCCCAGCTACCTCTTCGCGTCCTTCCAGATGATGTTCGCTGTCATGACGCCGGTCATTGTCACGGGCGCGTGGGCCGAGCGGATGGACTTCAACGCCTTTCTCGTTTTTGCAGCTGCGTGGCCCTTCCTAGTCTACTACCCTCTTGCGCATTGGGTGTGGAACCCGGCGGGCTGGCTCGCGGTGCACGGCGCTGTGGACTTTGCTGGCGGCATCACCATTCATACGGCCACCGGGACGGCAGCTCTCGCCGTCTCCCTCGTACTGCAAGGGCGCTCCAAGGACACGGGAGAGCACAGCGAGCAGGCGGGCGGGCGGCACAACATTCCTCTCGCTGTTCTCGGCGGGGTGCTGATTTGGGGCGGTTGGTACTCCTTCAACGGCGGATCCGCCTACAAGGCCAACGGACAGACCGCACTCGCGGTCCTCAACACGCACATGGCCGCGTGCGCCTCCAGCTGCGCGTGGCTCGCTCTCGCTTTTGCCCGCGATCGCCACTGGCACCTCACCGAAATCATGAATGGCGCGTTTGCGGGGCTGGCGGCGGTCACGCCGGGTAGCGGCTTCATGTCTCCCCGCGCGGCCTGCCTCGTTGGGCTAGCTGGCGGGTGCGTGTCGTACGGTTGGTGCGCGCACATCAAGCCGCGGCTTGGAATCGACGACGCACTCGATGTGTGCGCCCTGCAGGGCATGCCTGGCATCGTGGGCTCGCTCGCGGTGGGACTGGTCGCCGCGCCGCCGTATGCGCCGCACGTGGGACTATTGCACGGTGGGGGCGGGGCGTTGCTGTCGGCACAGGCAGTTGCTCTCGCTTGTGCCGTCTCGTGGGCCTTTGGCTGGACGTGGCTGCTCATGCACGTCATGCGCCGCACAGTCGGCATCGACACCACGGTGGACGAGGAGGAGCAGGGGCTTGATATTGTGCAGATTGGCGAGCAGGCTTACGACGACACGCTGCCCCTTCTCCTCGACCTCGGCTCGCAGGTACTCACCGCCAAACTCTGCGACGCCTGCCGCGACGGCAACCTCCCCAAGGTGCAGCAGCTGGTCAAGGAGGGAGCGCCTCCCACCGCTGCCGACTACGACCTGCGGACGCCGCTTCACCTCGCAGCGAGCGAGGGATGGCTCGAGATCGCCTCGTGGCTCATCACATACCACCGCGCCGACGTCAACTGTAGCGATCGCTTCGGCAACACACCGCTGTCGGACGCGATTCGTCGCAATCACACCAAACTCGCCGGCTGGCTCAAGGCTCACGGCGCGCTCGAGAGCACGTTCGGCATCGACGGGGACATGATTCGTGCGGCGGCCGACGGCAACACCGAGGAGGTTCGCTGGCGGATTGAAAGCGCCGCGCGGCGGCGGCACGGTGGAGCGATAGTGGGGAAGGACGATCCTGACTCGGTGACGGCGGCAAACTACGATTATCGGACTCCGCTGCACGTCGCCGCCTGCGAGGGGCACGTCGAGGTCGTGCGGCTTCTGCTAGAGAATGGCGCGCGGCCCGAGGCGCGCGATCGCTGGAAGCGCACGGCCTACCAAGAGGCAAAGCGTATGGGATACGAAGGATGTGCAAAGCTCATCGAGTACAAGTGGGCCGCGATGCCGCCGTCGCTCGGGCAGCGTGGGCGACAGCTGGGCAATGCAGTCTTGCAGAACGACGATGGAGCGCCCGCGCCGCGGCTTGGTGGGCGGCAGGGGCGTGGAAAGCGCTTGCCAACGTCGATGGCCGCCTTGACCGCACCGTTGATGGGCACAGATCCACCTGAGACTCGCCGAAGCCGTCCTCAGAGCTTCGGCCACCATCCGGCTTTCTCGGCGGGAGCACGGTTGCTCATTGAGTCGGCGGCACTCGGCGACGTGGCCTCGGTGTCGCAGTCCCTAGCCAAGGGCGTTGATCCAAACGTTGGAGACTACGACGGGAGGACGGCGCTGCACGTTGCCACCACCCTCGGCCAGATGCGCGTGGTGGAGGCGCTGCTGCGATCGCCCACCGCACTCGTCGATGTCTTTGACCGGTGGGGCAAGACACCGCTGCAGGACGCGTCGGAGAATGGACACGAGGCTGTGGCGACGTTCCTCCGGGCGCACGGCGCCACCGTCAAGAGCGCAAAGGCGGCGAAGTTTCTCTGCACGGCGGCAGCTGCGGGCAACATCGACCGCCTGGTGCGGCTCCTGGCCGAGGGGAGCGATATCAACGTGTCGGACTACGACGGGCGGACCGCACTCCATCTCGCCGCCTCGGAAGGGCACGCCCCGGCTGTTCGCTGGCTACTGTTGCACGGCGCCAACGCCAAAGCCCTCGATCGGTTCGGCGGCTCGCCTCTGGACGACTCATATCGCGAGGACCGGCACGAGGTGCGCCAAATCCTCCAACAAAGCTCGGCGCACACCGCTGGCCGCGCCTCCATCGCCAGTGTTGCACCACAGCAGCAGGCTGAAGAGGCCCCAGTGGTCCGTTCAGCCTCGGCACCGCTGCCACCGCAGCTGCCGCCCCCGGATGAGTCACCGCCCGTCCCCGTCAGTACGACCCCACGTCATGTCGAATAGTTCTTGAACAATAGCAGCAAAATATCGTTGGTGTGGGGCGAGTGTGTGTGTACGTGATAGAGGCGAGAGAGCAGAGAAATAGAGGCCCCCCTCTCCCGCGGCGGTTGCGCCCTGACGCCCCCCCTCCCTCCGGCGCTCCTCGCCGGCCACGGGCCTCGCTCCGCATACGGCTATAGAGCCGTACTGACGTAGCTCGTAGGGCATATTACGTGGCTGGGTTCACAGCGTTTGTAGGAAATGACGGGACACTTGACGGTCGCGGTCTTCCGACTCGCGCCTCCGCCGCACTGGCACTATTGTAGCCCTGGCCGGTGCGCGTGCGGAGTTGAAGTTCCGGAGTGAAAATTCGAACGCGTTCTCTCACGGTGACCAAAAAAAGTCCACCTCAGAGGCACCTCCGGAGGCAGGCCGCCGCACGCCGGCGACACAGCTCCAGCTGTCGAACTGACCCGCAGCTCCTCTCAGAGCGGGAACTGTGACGAAAGTTGACTGAGGCGGTTGTCAGGAATCATCATATGGATCACATGATGGCTCTCTCATGACGGGAGACCGCCCGACCACTCCTGGGTGGCACTGCCACCGGTGTCGCTCGACGTCCTGTCGACAGCGTGCCGACAGCGACACAGACCATGTGGGACGCGTCGAGTATCGACCTCTACTGCTTACCCAGCCTTCGAGTGTATCCTGGCCGTGGTCCCACACCCACTGGTGTCCATCTCAGAGACCGCAGGAGGTCATGAGGGTCGATGGGAGTGCCAACCCCACAATGAAACGCCCAGCCCAGTAGAGTACTTTGTGCGCCATACAGTGTATGTGCGGTTTGGCGCGCATAGAGTTGCGCATGTGGAACGTGGAACCATGGTGCTTCAGGCTTCAGTGTGCCGAGAGGTGAAGGAGCACAGTTATGCTCGCTCGTGGCGTTCAATCGGAGAGGCGTGACGACTACGCTTAGATTTTTCTTTTTTGACGTTTGCTTCTCCCCCCAAATAATGCCACGCCCTGAGCCGTATGCGAGCCGGACCTCTGAGCCGTTTTCCCGAAATCACAGCCGCCGGTGGGGCCTCAACGGCCTGCTTTCGCCTTCGGCGGACTCCTCGGTGCACTCGGCGGCGGAGAGGGCGATGGGATCGGCGGTGGCGAAGCTATCGGCTGCGGGGGCGGCGGCCGCGGCTGCGGGGGCGGCGGCGGCGCTGGAGGCGGGCGCGGCGGATCAGGGGGCGGCGGAAGGGCCGGTGGCGGAGAGCTGGGAGGGGAGGGCGGCGGCGGCGAAGGCGGTGAAGGCGGCGGCGGAGCAGGGACCATCCCCGGCGGGAAGGGCGGGGGGACAGCCCACGAGTTGGGCTGAACGCTCGACCAGCAGGAGTGGCCGCCGCCGGCGCAGAGCCCCACCGGAGTGCCGTGGAGAAGCAGCAGGTCCATCGCCTTGGTGCCCGTCGCGCGCGTGAAGTCGGCGCCCTCGACGTTGCAGTGGTCGAACTGCGCGCCCGGCAAGCTCGCGCCGAGGAAGGACGCCTCCTGCAAGTCGGTGGCGAGGAAGGCGGCGTTGGTCAGGTCCGCGCCGACGAACTTTGTGCCTCGCATGTTGGCGACCCCGCCCGGGTCGACGGTCCTGCGCGCACGTCGCCGGGCGCGCGATGAGCTGTGCTGGCATGGGGGCGTCCAGCTAGGTTCCAGCGGAGCTAGGGTGGCGCTCCGTGCACTGGAGAGGTGGGAGCATGTTCTAGGCATGGATGGCTCTGTGGGTCCCGGGCTTGTGGGCTTGTGACGGCCGTCTCTCGTGTCTGCCTTCCCCCCCCCCCCACCCTTCGGGCGCGTCTTGGTTGAACACAAATTCCGACTCCTCAAACCGCCCGTAGCTGAAGTCGGCGCCCGACGCGCCGCTTAAGCTGCTCGGCCCTGGGTGCTCCTGCGGCCCGGCAGGGGAGAGAGGTGTGGGAGCGAAAGCGCACTGTAGACGGTGCGGGCGGGTGGTGCATGGCTGGTGGCGGCGCGCGCCCAAAGAAATTCGACGAGCGAGAGCAATGCCTACGCCCAAGCATCGAGCCGTAAGACTCGAGCCCCCACCGCCCATCTCTCTCTTCGCGGAGCCGTCGCATTCTCGCGTTGCCCCATACACCACCACCCCGACCCCGTCTACTCCCGGCCCCACGTCCTTCAGACCTGGCTGAAGCTGGCGCCCTCGAGAGAGCTGTCGACGAAGCTGACAGTGCTGAGGGCGGCGCCGCTGAGCCGCGCGTGGTCGAATCTGCAGCGGATCGCCTCGACGTGGCCCAGCGCGGCGGTGGCTTCGCCACGGTCGATTCGCGGCGGCGTGCGAGGAAGGGAGGTCGCCTCGGTGGCGGTGAGGTCGAGGTCGAGCGGCGCGGTGTCGAAGGTTGCGCCGCGCAGGGAGGTGTCCGAGATGGAGACGCGCAGCATCCGCGCGCCTGGGGGGGGAGGGGGGGGGCAGACCACGGACGCGGCCGTTGGCCTGGGGACGGGCCGGCTCTCTGCGTGGGACGGAGAGACGAGCGGCGAGCTGCACCGCTTAGCTCGACGCCCTCGAAGTTGCAGCTGGCCAGGCCGACGTCGGTCATCATGGTGCCGGCGAGCAGCGTCGTCGGCGAGGCGACGGCGCCAATCAGCTCCGTGTGGTCGAGTCGCGACGCGACGAGGCGCGTGCCGCGCAGCGACGGGCGCGTGAGCACGCACTTGCTCAGAAGGGCGCGGTGCAGGTTGGCAAAGTCGAGCACCACGTCCTGCGAGTCTTCGAAGCCCTCGAGGGTGGCGTCCGCGAGGCTCGCGCCAGTCAGGTTGGCGCGCGAGAGGTGGCCGATCACGCTGACCGTCGGGTTGACGCTCGCGCGCAGCTCCGCGCGGCTAAGGTCGACGAAAGTGAGGTCTGCCCGCTCAAAGGTGAAGTCCGTCGCGCGGACGCCCGCCATGTTTGCGCCGGTGAAGGTGGCTCCCTCGGCGTGCGTGTTGTGCAGCGTGGCGCCCTCGAGCTGGGCGCAGTCGAGCATCGTGCCGGTGAGGTCGACGCCTGAGGCGGTGGGAGGCGGTGGGCGGCGGTGGGAGGCGGTGGGAGGCGGCGGGCGGCGGGTGTGATCCGCCGAGAGGCTGCAGGGTGGGGGCGGGAGACGCTGAGTGCTCGGCTGGCGGCGAGTTGTGCGCTAGTGTGGCTCGAGCGCGCCGTCGAGGGTGGCGTGGCTGAGGTTGGCGCCGCGCAAATCAAGGTGCGCGAGCGAGGGACAGCCCGCAGCCAACACCTTGCTGCCCGGCCGCAGCGCCTGCATGCACGCCGCCTTGCCAAAGGCGATGCCAAGCGCCTGCCGCCTCGCCGCCGCCGCGTGGATCGCGTCTGCGTCGAGCAGCCGAATGCCGGAGCAGTGATGAGTGCTCAGGCCGGAGCCGATGGACATCCCTCGCGGCTGCTCAGGAGGCGAGGGTGGCGGCGACGGCGGCGGCGGCGGCGAGGGAGAGGGCGGCGGCGGCGGCGGCGGCGGCGGCGGCGACGGCTGCGGCGGCATCGCGGGCGGCTGCGGGGGCGGCGGCGAGGGCGGCGGCCGCTGGGGCGACGGCGAGGTCGGAGGGGGCAGCGACGGAGGCGGTGGGGAGGGCGGCGGCAGCGGCAGCGGCGAGGACGGTGGGGGCGGCGAGGGCGGCGCCGCAGGCGGAAACGGCGGTGGGGCGACCGACGGCGGCGGCTCTGGCGGCGGCAATAGCAGCCACCCCGCGGGCAGCCATGAGGTCAAAAAAGTGATAGGCGGCGGTGGCGGCGGGGGCGGCGGCGGCAGCGGCGGTGACGGCGGCGGCGGCGGCGGCGGCGACGGCGGCGGCGGCGGCGGCGGCGGCGGCGACGGCGGGGGCGGTGGCGGCGCTGACGGCCGCCGCCTCGTGCTGCCCTGCCTGCCAGACACCTGCTTGGTGTAGCACGACGCGTACTGCGAGCCTGGGAGCGGCACGGCGTGCTGCGCCACCGGGCCCATGTGCAGGGTGCAGCGCGTGGGTGCTGCGGATCTCGGGCCCTGATTGCGGGAGCTGTAGGCGACAAACTCGTACGCCTGCGCGACGCGGGCGGCAGTAGAGGCTGGGCGGAGCGCTGCAGTACTGCATCTAGCGCGATCTCCGGCTCGGGGTTGGAACGCGCCTGACACGCGTCGTCGATTAGACAGAGCTGCCGGCACTGCAGCTCGTCGATCCCCCAGATCTGGTTGGCGCGGGCTCTGTTGCTGGAGCCCTTTTTGCGGACACAGCCGCCCTGCCGGCCGCCGGATAGGCTCCAGGTCAGCAGCATATGGGGAGGGCGCGGCGGGGGGGGAGGGCGTTCTCACAGAGGCGCCGTATCCCCAAGAAAAATAAAAGGCGTAAACGGGAACGTCCTTTGGACCCTGTCCTCCTCCCCCATCCCTCGTTTGGGTTTGTCTGTTTTCTTTCTTTCTTTCTTTCAAAGAGGCACTATGTGCTGGAGATCAGTAGTGTCTAACGCCGCGTTGTCTGCCCTCCAAGCGCCAAGAGATATGCATAATCTCTCATAATTTCATCATGAGCGCCCATGATGAGCCGGCCAAAAAGAATTCTTAATAACTGCCTCTCTCACGGCTGGCGCTACCGAGACGAACCGAGAGCCACCACTGTTTCTTTTCTACCTGTACCGTACCGAGCGTGGCATTACTCACCGGCGAAGAGAGCAGCGAACAGAGGGACACACACACACACACACACACACACACACACACACACACACACACACACACACACAAATTGCTAAAAATCACACACACACACACACACACACACCACACACACACACACACACACACACACACACACACACACACACACACACACACACACACACACACACACACACACACACACACACACACGGCCGCGCCAGTCCCGTGCAGCCTAGTGTCGTGAGAGGGAGTTTTGTGGGAAAATTCTTTTCTGGTGTACCTGTGTTAGTGTGTGCGCCAGTCTTCCCGAGAGAGATTTTTAGAAGCCAACAAGAAATCAGCACGCACAGTGACTTGGGCTCGGCAGCTTGTCAACTAGCCAGAGCCGGAGTCGGAACCGTAGCCGAGAAAGTCGTCGAGGGTGTGAAAATGTCATTCGCCTCGCTAGTAGAGCCGGAGCCGCATGAGTCTTGGTCGGAGGAGGCCAGTCGTCGGAGGAGCGGTCGGACAGCTCGCGCTTGTCGCGCCTGATGCGCTCTGCGAGGGGGCCGGGGTCGTAGTCGTCGTCGTGCTCGAGCGTCGGGAAGACAGCGCGCCTTGCGACCTTGTCGGCCAAGCTGCCATCCCAGTACAAGGCGCGCAGCAGCCTGGAATGTCGTGGTGATTAGGATCGAGATGATGATGGTCCCCCCATGCCATGATCACGCGCATCGCCCGCTGAACGTGGGTCGCTGCGGCGTCCTGTCTCCTCCTGTACGAACCCCAGCCGGATGGCCTGTGGCTTGGAGGTCACAGCCGCGATGTCGTCATGCCCATTCTTCTTCAGTCCCGTGCCCAGTGTTATGCGAGGGAGACAGTGTTCTTCAAATTCTTTTCTGGTTTGCCTGTGTTAGTGCTAGCACGCGCCAGTCCGCACCTGCGTCGAGCCTGTCTGCTGTGTGAGAGAGTTGTTTGGAGCACTTGGAGTTTTCTGTTAAATTCTTTTTGTTCCTGTGTTAGTGCCAGTGCGCGCCAGTCCCGTGCCCAGTGTCGTGCGAGGGAGTTTTGTTGTACCATTCTTTCTGTTGTAAACTTATTTTTGGTAAAATTTAGTAAAGAAAGAAAGAAAACAGACAACCCAAGGGAATGATGGGTAGGGAGGACGAATTTGTCTTCGCGCCAGTTCGCGCCAGTCCCGTGCCCAGTGTTGTGCGAGGGAGTGGGCTTGTAAAATTCTTTTCTGCGTTTGTTGTAAAATTCTTTTCTGCTGCGCGTTAGTGCCAGTGCGCGCCAGTCCCGTGCCCACAGCGTGTTGAGAGAGAGATTTTTAGCAATACGAAACAACTCTAACACTCACACATGTCATCATTTGGGGCCTGGAGCCCCTGGAGACTGCGCTTTATGGTTGTTTAAAGTATGTTTTGTGTGTGTGTGGGGGGGGGGGGATTTCGCGGGCGACTTCAATTTGGGGGGCGACTGTTTTGGGGATCCTGCCGACGCGCTAGTCCCACTGCAAATACGATGGACAACTCAACGGGAGGTCACTCGCAGCAGGCGAGGCCGAATCCTGCTAGTCTTGGCCCGATCCGGCGGCGTGCCACAGGTAGGCGCGTTGAGGCTTGCCGCCTCCTCTGCGGCAACGCGGCCTGTGCCGCAGCTTGCGTTTGCTGCCAGACAAGAGGAGGAGCAGGGCCGTTTGGCGATAGGGCCAGGCAATCGTATTCGCCCGGCGGGCGTTGCGGACTCGAGCAACACCCGGGTCGAGGTTGCTGCGCCTCTCGGTGCAGTGTCGCAGCGCCCTGGCACTTTTGGAGGCCCTGTATTTCAGTGTTGTGCGAGGGAGTTGCGTTGTAAAATTCTTTTATACTGCGCGTTAGTGCCAGTGCGCGCCAAGGTGCCGCGAGTGGGAGTTTTATTCTAAATTTCTTTTCTGCACTTGTAAAATTCTTTTCTATAAATAAATAAACAATACCTGCGATCGTCGCAAATTCTTTTTTGGAGTCGCTTAGGCTCCGGTGGTTTGCCTGTGATAGTACTAGCACGCGCCAGTCCGCACCTGTGTCGAGCCTGTCTGCTATAAATAAAACGGGCACGCCAAACGAGGGGTGGGAGAAAAAGAAAGAAAGAAAACAGACAACCCAAGGGAGGGATGGGAGGACGGCACGCCGCCACCACACAGGGATTTTAAGGAGAGGAGTGTGGTGCTAGCCGTCGCCCACCCTAACCCTTGGTTGGTCGTCTGCCTCTTTCGATCTCCCTTCGCAGTCCCTCGCCGATTCTCGCTGCAACCTTTATGCCACCTCGCGGTCGCCCCCTTCTCGTCGTTCTCCCTCCTGTCGCTTCATCCTCTGTGTCGCGTCGCTCTCCTCTACCTCGTCCTGCTGCGCCGCCGCTGCCCGCCGATCCCTTGCTCTCGCGGCTTCTTCTCGGCGCAACTCCGCCCTCCTCGCGGCGTATTTTGGCCCCTCGAGTTTATCAAGCTCTCCTCGCGCAAGGACGCGCGGGGTGGGAGAAGTGAGGTCGCGCAAACAGTCCCGTGCCCAGTGTCGAGGGAGGGAGCAATGTAACATTCTTTTTTTGGTGTATGTACCTGTGTTAGAGAGAGAGAGAGAGATTTGTTTGTTTGTTGTGTTAGTGCCAGTGCGCGCCAGTCCCGTGCCTAAGTGTCGTGCGAGGGAGTTTCGTAAATTCTTTTTTGGTGTGGCTGGGGTTGCGCCGCAGATGCTCCTGCAGCAGCTGAATCGCCACCTCGGCTCCGCCAGCGAGTCCCACGCCGTGTGCGGCAGTCAAATTTCTCGTTGCGGGATCGCTCCGTTCAGGATTTTCAGGCCCGCCTCTTTGCCTTTGAGGCCCGTCTCATTGCTTAGCTGCCTGCCTGACTCATTCTCTTAACCTATGCCGTCGCCCATCTGGCCCGACGGCATCCTGCCATGGCTGCGCAGCCTCCCGCACCTCTCGGTGACGCTCCGTCCCGTGTCCAACGACTTTTCGCTCAAGGAGGAGTACGTGCAATCGCAGATGCTGTTGGTCGTGATGGTGCTTGGCGTCGGCTTCATTGTGCTGCTGCTGCTGGCAGTCCTCGTGTGCACCACAATCACCTTCATTCGCCCGTCCGACTCCCCAAAGCTCGCGGTCCGCTTCTATGTCATCGCCAACGCGGTCGCGATGGCTGCCGCCGCCTCCCTCGCAGCGAGCTTTGACGGCAATTTCGCGGCGGGGCTCCATGCGCTCCTCGCATCGATCGACCGACTGCAGGCAGTCGCGCACACGGCCGCAGCGGACGGGGTAAGCCTCCGCGACGCAACCCGCGACGCGAGCCGCGCCCTGAGTGCTGTCGCGGCCTGCGAGGGCTGCGTTGGGGCGGCGGCGGCGTTGGCGAGCGGCGGGGCGGCCAGCAGCGACGCGGATGGTGGTGGCGCGGGCGTGTGCCACGCGCTCGAGGCCCGCCACGCGCTGGAGGCGGAGGGCGGCGCCTTCGCCTCTCCTTTCTCGAGTGGGGAGGACCACTTTTCGCGCGTGACTGCGATGCTGCTGCCGGCCACCGCGTGGCACCGCTGGGCTGCGACGCTGCCGCTCTTCGCGCTGACTCTCATCGCGTGCGCCATCGTCACCGGAGCGGTCGCTGGCCGGCGCGCGCTCCTCGTCGGGTCGCAGTTCGGCGGAGTCATCGTCTGGTGGATGATGTGCGCCCGCCCGCCGCACACCCGCCACCGCCCGCCCGCCGCCGCCCGCCCGCCGCCGCCCGCCCGCCGCCCGCCACCGCTCGCCCGCCTTGACCACCGCTCGCTGTGACCCCCGCGCGTCCTTCCCCCCTTCCCGTTCCAGCGTCCTCTCCCCCCTCCCCCCTGCGCCGCAGGTGCGCCATCACCTCGGTCCAGCTCGCCCTCGCCGTCGGCGTCGCCCTCGAGGTCTGACTAGCGCACCGCCTGTGAGCCGCGCCCCTTCACGGGCCGCGTCCATGCACAGGCCTCGCCGACGCGTGCCCGGACCCGCTCGCGACGGTGCTGCGCGTGCTCGAGTGGTTTGCGGCGCAGCGCAAGGAGGCGGGCGGTGAGGAGGACCGCACCTTGGCAGCCGCCTACCACTTCCTTGCAAACTGCTCCGCGCCCAACCCGCTCACCGCGCCGCTCGACGGGGTCGCGTCCTCCACCGCCGCCCTCTCCGCCGCGCTCGACGCGCTCGGCGCAAACTGCTCCTCCCCCTCGCTGCTGCAGCCGGCGAGGAGGGCGCTCTCGCGGGTGACACTCCTAGAACCTTCCTCTGCACTCTTCTAGAAGCTTCCTCCTAGAGCACTCTGCTCGACGCGCTTCGAAGCCGGTCGCCCCAGCCAGCCGTGTCACCCCTCCGCAGGTCGGCGAGTCGGCGCGGCGAGGCGAGGAGCTGCTCGGGGGCACGCAGCCTCCAGGAAGTGTCTAGGAAGTGTCTTGGAAGTGTCTAGGCGAGGAGCTGCTCGGAGGCTCCGCCGCGTGCCGGCTCGTCGCCCACGAGTTCGACGCGGGCGTGGGCGGCGGCCTCTGCGGAGACCTCACGCAGGGCGTCGCCGGCGTGCTGTGAGCGCTGCCCCGTCGGCGAGCAGCGCCTCTTCACCCCTACGGCTGTGAGCAGGCGTCGTCGGCGTGTTCCTCTTCCAGTCGGCCTCCGGGCTGCTGCTGCTGCTGCTCACCGCCTCGCTGCCGGCGCTGTGGCACTCGCACTGGCTGCCGCCCCTCGCCCTCGACCTCGAGCCGTGGCGCCGCTCGGCTCGCCGGCTGACGGAGCGGCTGAGGGAGCGGCGGAGGGAGCGATCGGCGGCGACGACTGCGCGGCTGCTCGCGCCGTCGCAGCAGGACGCGTCGCTCGCTTGCCTCGTCGCGCCGCTCGCGCCGAGCAACGAGCCGCCGGGGGAGGGGGGGGGTGCGTCGGCGCGAGGCGAGCCGGCGGCCGGCGCGAGTGGGGCGGCGCACGCGCCACCGTTTGCCGGCGATCCCGGGCCGAGCCGCTGCTGCGGCGGAGCGGCCGGCCCGAGTGGCGGGGAGGCGGGCTTCGGCGGCGCTTGCGGTCCAGCCGCCGCGTCGTCGCAGGGCCCGCCGGCGGACAGCCCCGACACGAGCGAGCCGTCGGTCCTCAGCGAGGTTTCCCTCAAGCCGCTGCACGGCCTCGCCTCCTCCTCCTCCGAGGAGGAGGAGGACTGCTCCGAGGCAGAGAGCGCCTGAAATTGGTCCCTCACTGCCAACGCTCCCATAACACTGCCATAACACACGTCTATCGCGACGAGCGATGCGACTCGGGGCGAGAAGGTGAACCGAGAGCGGAAGATGTTTGGGTGTACGTGGGGCGAGCGAGAAGGTAATTGGTAGCGCTGCTTCCGGCAGCTGCGACACACACACGGAGCGATCTCTCACAACATCTTAATACGTATTCTTAGAGATGTTAGTTCTTACGAAGATCGAAGTACGAGATGCGCGCAATTTATTTTTGTGTACAGACTACACACAACACAGACTGCTGGGTGCTGGCACGTCGGGGCGGGACGTGCTCGTGATACGTCCCATACGTGAAGTCGTGTCTCGTGTGGAGCTCTCCGAAGTCCGATCCAGATGCTAGATGCAGATATCTCAGTGTGTACAGAGAACAGACATCAGACTGACTGCTCTTTAGTCTTTTTTCTCGAGATCTGCACTGTGCCGGGGCTGCAATGTGCCGTACACACTCTCAAGACGACACTTCGACAGGGCCCCGTGGACAGCCGATACGCAGTCTCGACACCGAGGCCCCCGACCTGTCCCTCCAGCCCCGGCGCCCCCCAGACGCCTCGTTAACACTCTGGGGGAGAGCACACGCGCACCGCGGGGTGGGCTGTGTACATGCAATACCCTCTCTACTCTCCCTCGCGGGTCCAAATCTGCACGGCCGCAGCTGCACGCACATGCTAAGTCGCGCAACCCAAGGCTGTGAACGGGTTGGCGCTATTGGGCATCGCCCGCGTCAGCCAAGCGCCCGGGCGAGCCGCCCGCTCGCCTGGGCGAAGCTTGGCACGGCCGCCCCTAGCCTGGAGGGCGACGCCGGCGCCTCGGCTGCGGCTGCCTCGGCGGCGAGCTCGGCGGCGCAACGCTTGAGGGACGCTTCACACACGGGCGACCGAATGAGGACGTCGAGCGTCTGCGCGGCGACCGGTGCCAGGCGGAGCGACTCTATCCCCTCCTCGACGGCCGCCACGTCGGCGGCGGCGGCGGAGTCGTCTGCGGCGGCCTCGTCGGCCATCGCTGCGTCGCCGGCGCGCGGCGCGCGGCGCGGAGAGCCCTCTTCCGCAAGCGGCACGCAAGACGCGACGAAGCGGAGCAGCGCGCCGAGCAGCGGGGCAACGTCCGAGGCGGCGTGCTGGTGCACCGCCAGCACCTGCCAAAGGGGAGGGGGGTTGGAGGGGTGTTGGAGTGTTCTGGGCGGCGGTGGGCGGCGGTGCGGCGGCGGCGCCTCGAGCAGCGCTGTCCGCACCGTGCCGCGCATCGTCGCGTCGGCCTCCGCGCGCGCGCAGGCGCGCACGCACGCGACGAGCAGCGCCTCGCCGTGCGGCACCAGCTCGCCGCCTGACTCGACGAGCTGGTAGGACAGCTTGGCGGCGTGGGGCAGCAGCTGGCCGAGCGGGCCGGTGTACAGCTCGCCGCCGCCGCCCGCGTCGGCCGCCAGCCGCAGCGCGCCCTCCACGCACGCTGCCACCGCCGAGGCGAGGCTCGCGTCGTAGATGCCCAGCGCGGACCCCTCGGCGAGCAGCACCGAGAGCAGCAGCTGCCCCTGCAGCAGCGACGCGAGCGGCCGCTCCTTGCGCGCAGGCGGCGCGCCGGCCGCCTCGCCGCCGCGCTCCTCCAAGTCCGCCGGTGGGGCAAGCCCACCCGTCCGCGCCCGGGCGCGGCCGCGCGCCTCGCCCGGCGAGATGGTTGATGCGGGGCTGAGGGGCGCGGCGCGGGAGAGCGCCTCCGCCGACACGGCGGGCGGCGCGGCGCGCGGCGCAAAGGCTTCGCCCGCGACGCGCATGATGTCGTAGACGGCCCGCCGCGCCTCGGCCAGCGCCTCCGCCTCCGCCTCGGGATTAAGCCGCCCTGCGACGCGCCCGCCGCGCCCGACGGCGCCGGCGGCGGTCGCGGCGCTGTGCCACGACAGCTGCAGGAAGCAAGCGAGCGCGTGCAGGCCCTCGCGGCCCCTCGCGGCGGCCGGCGCCGCTGGGCCGCGCGCCGCGGTGCCGCCGACCGTCGCGGAGAGCGCGTCGCGCAGTGCCGCCAGCTGCTCGGGCGGCGTGCGCGTGAGCAGCGCGTCGCGCGTCGAGGCGTTCTCGAGCCATGACCAGAGCACGCGCAGCGCGAGTGCGGGCGAGAGCTCGGCGGCCGCGTCGCCACTGCTGGACGCCTTGGCGCCGCCGCCCTTGCGGCCGCGCTTGGCGCCCGCACCTGCCGCCGCCGCGCTCGGCGCGAGCGCGGCGACGACGGCGGCGAGCACCGCCGCGTCGAGGTTCCACGAGACGGCGCACTGCAGCAGCGGCCGGAGGACGGTCGCCGGCGCGTCGTCGCGCTGGGAGGCGATGTCGCGCAGCGTGTCGGTGTAGAGGGGGACGTGGTTGGCAGGCAGGTGCGCGGCAATCCTCACAAGCGAGCGCAGCGCCACCGGCCTTCCGGCGACGAGCTGGTGCAGCGCTCCGACCGCCTGCTGAGAGAAGGCGGCCAGCAGGGCCTCTCGCTCGTGCGCGTGCTCGGGCGAGGCGAGCAGGCCGCCCGCCGCGTCGAGGAGCGAGGCGGCGCACTGGAGCAGCGACTCGAGCAGCGGCGCCTGCGCGCGGAGAGCCGGCTTGAAGTGGGGGGCGTCGGGCGAGAGGCGGAGGCGGAGGCGGCGGAGGCGGCGGAGGCGGCGGAGGCGGCGGGCGGGCGGGCGGGCGGCGGGCGGGGGCGGGGCGGGGGGGGGGGGGGGAGGGAGGCGCGCCGGCGGCGGCGGCACGCCCTCGGGGATCTCGTCGTCCTCGGCCATGAGGAGGATGGCCTCGGGCGAGCCGTCGGCAAGCATCGCGCAGAGGAGGAGCTTGGCCACCTGGGCGGAGGCGGGGAAGGTGCAGGAGGGCGGGTGGGCGGGGTTGCTCAGCCCGCGCGGAGATGGGAAGTGCGCGCGGGCGACGGCTCTTCGTCGGCCGCCACTCTACGGCGGGGCTCTCGCCTTGACAATGGCGGACGGCGCCGCGAGCTTGGGAGTGTGCTGCAGCAGCGCGGCGGCGCAGGCGGTCCGCTCCGCGCAGAGCTTGAGCAGGCGGCCGAGCTGGAGCGGCGCCGTCTTGCCGGCGGGGAGGTAGAGCGGGAGGAGGAGCCGGGCGAGCCGGAGCTGGAGCGGCGGCGGCTCGAGCGGCAGCCGCGTCAGCAGCGCCTCGGGACGCGCGAGCGACGGCCAGGCGAGGCCGCGCACCTGTGGAAGCAGGGAAAGGGAGTGGAGGGGGCGGGGGCGTTGGGTGAGGCGGAGGGGCGATAAGCGAGGGGGCGCAGGTGGACGGGGCGGGGGCGAGGGCGGGGTGGGAGCGCCTTTGAGAGCTCGATGAGTAGATCGAGCATCGCGCGCCGCACGCGCTGCGACGAGTCGTGCAGCAGGGGCGCGAGCGGCGCGAGGGGCGACTTCGAGGCGGCCGACCCCTTGAGCGTGGCGAGGCAGGCGGCGGAGCCGTTGTTGGCGAGGAGGAAGCGGAGGCCTTGGAAGACGGCGACGCGGACCGAGTTGGCGGCGGCGTCGTGCGCCAGCTCCTTGGTCAGAAGGAGGAGGAGCGGCGTCGAGGTTGCGGACGGGATCAGCTCCTGCGGGACGCGCGGCGCCGCGCGCGGTGAGGAGCTGCCAGCGGTGAGGAGCTGGGCTGCCAGATGAGTCGCCCCTCCGGTTAGGGTGAGGGCCAGGCGGTGAGGAGCTGCCAGCGGTGGGGAGCTGCTGGACGGTCGCTCTGCAGCCGTGCTGGGGTGGGGAGGAGGGGGGCGCGCCCAGAAGAGCGCGAGGATGCGGCAGACGCCCTGCACCGCGACCACGCGCACCGGGACCGAGTCGTCCTTGAGGAGGGCGGCGAGGGCGTCGAACTGGCGCTGTAGCGCCTCGTCGAGTTGCGTCAGAGGGAGCGTCGGGTCTTGGAGCGGGAAGGCCTCGATGAGGAGCGTCGCCGCGTTGCGCCGCACGTGCGGGTTCGCAACCTTGAGCGCGCGCCACAGGATGGGCTCGTACAGCCGCAGCAGCATCGAGTCGACGCCGCGCTGCCGCTTTTGCGCGTGCGTGTACGCCAGCACCTGCCGCAGCGCGGTCGCCATGTTGGCGCTCGCCGCGTGCACCGCGTGGAACATCAGGTCCTGCAGGCAGCCCTCCTCCAGCCGCTCGAGGTAGGCGCCTGCTCACACCACCCAACCGTCAACAGACGCTGCTCCCGCCCCGAGCCCCGCCGCTCGTGGAGGAAGAAGAGGCGCCCGACGCAGCGCGCCACGCCCGAAAGTAAATCTCGCCGTAGAGATCGCGCAGCGACTTGCGGCAGACCGGGATCTGCGCCTTGATGGCGCGGTGCAGCTCCGCGATGAAGGGCGGGTGCAGGCCTGCGCGCGCGGCGGAAGGTGCGACGCCCGCCAGCCTCTCGCCCGCCAGCCTCTCGGCCGGCGCAGGGCTCTCTCGGAGGAAGAGCGGAGCGCAGAGGTGCCCCGACGACGGGCGAGACGCGCAGGGGAGATGGAGGGGAGAGAGAGAGCCGAGAGAGAGAGAGAGAGAGAGCCGAGACATCCGAGGCACATCCGAGCTTCGCCGGGCGGCGAGCTGCTCACCGAAGAGGTAGACGAGCAGCTTGCGTCCCTCGGCGCACCGCAGCACGAGCGGCTTGATCATGCAGTGCAGCAGCAGCCGCTTGAGCGCCGCGACCGACGGGTCCGCGTAGTCGAGCACGCCGAGCGCCTGCGGGGGGGGAGCGGGAGGCGGCCGGGACGTCGCGACCCGCCGCGGCCGCGAGAGGCGGGAGCGGGTGCGGGAGAGGGGCGGAGGCGGGGGTGGAGGCGTGGGCGGGAGAGGCGAGGGAGGCGCGACGGCGGACCGAGCGAAGAGCCCAGAGGCGCTTGACGTCGGCGGCGGTGGCGGCCTCGTGCAGGGCGGAGACGAGGAGGTACGAGATCGTCTGAGGCACCAGCTCGTCCCGCCCCGGCCGCTCCGCCAGCCACCACGACTCGCAGAGCTCGACGATGGCGCCCTGCAGCGTTGACGCGCGCGGGTCGTGCAGGTCAAAGATGATGTCGTGCAGCGCCTCTGCCACCGCCTGCGGCCGGGGGGCGGACGGAGCGGTGAGGCGCTCTCGCCGAGCACGCCCGGCGCGACATCGCGGCTCCTCTCCCCGCAGAGGCGAGGGGGAGGGGGCTGCGCGCTCCTGCAGCTTCTCCGGGATGCCAAAGGATGGCTCGACGGCGATGGCGCGAGCGACGGCCGCCGCGGCGGCGAGGATCCCGAGCGCGCCCTCGACGCTCTCGCCGCCGACCGCGCTGCTCCCCTCGGGGGCCGCGTCGAAGGCCGGAGCCGCCGCGGCGAGCGCCGCATGCACATGCACAGCGAGCGCCTCGGAGAGGCGCTCGACCTCGTGGGCGGAGAAGCCCTGCAGGCTCTCGCCCGCTGTCGGGGCGAGCTCGACGAGCTTGGACGCCGACGACTCGAGCTCCAAGAGGAGCCCCTCGGCGCGGCTCATGAGAGCGAAAAGCCGGTAGAACCTGCAGTCGAAGGCGGTTCGGGAAAAGAATTTTTCCGCGGAAGCCTGTCGCCCTGCCGTGAGCCCTGTGTGGTGGCGGCGTGCCGTCCTCCCATCCCTCGCTTGCTTTTGTTTTTTCTTTCTTTTCGAGCCGTGACCGTGAGGTGGACGTTTCCGCAGGCGAAAGGACAAGACGTTTTAAACTGGAGCGTCACAGAGAGAAATTCTCACGCGGGAGAAATTCTCACGCCGGCCGCCCGCCGACTCTTGACACGCCAGCCAGTTGCCAGCCAGTTGGACGCCATGTGTGTATATGCCTCCCAGCGTAGCTAGCTGGGACGCTTCCAGCAGCAGCTGGGAGTGCTCCGCCGCCCGCGTCGGGGTCTTCTCGCACGGCGCCGGCGGCCTCCCCGGCCCGAGCTCCGCCGCGGCGGTCGTCACCGAGGCGAGGATCGCCGAGCTGCACCGTCTCGGCGTGCGCGGCTTCGACCTGGACCTCTTCTTCCCTCTCGACTCGGCCGGCGCGGGCAGCCGCAGCCTCTACGTCGGCCACCCGCGCAGGCTGCGCCAGGCGTGGGCGCGCTCTCCCGCGCTCGCCACCAGCCGCGAGTGGCGCCGCAACAAGTCCGTCTTTGGCCTCACGTCGGCGGAGGTGCTCCGGGCGTCGGGCGGCGCGCTGCTCTCGGCGGACGCGCTCCTCGCGCTCGCCTCCCGGCTGCCCGGCCTCACCCTCGCGCTCGACCTCAAGGGCGGCGGGCAGCAGCCGCGGTACGGGGCACACCTGCTCTACCTCGCGCGGCAGGTCGCCTACCGCAACCTCACGGAGCGGGTGTGGCTGTGGGCGGGCACGGCCAGCGCAGCAAAGGCGGTCCACCGCGCCCTCTCGCGGAGAGGCGACGCCCCTCCGAGGCTCCGCCTCGGACGCACCATCCTCGACGTCGGCGCGCCTCGCCTCGCTCACGGCTCGGAGCCCGACTGCGCCGCGGCGCTCAGCGCGGCGGAGGTGCGCTCCTTCGCCTTCCTCGGCCCGTCGCTCCGCTGCACCAACGCGGCGCTCGTGTCGGCGCTCGGCCGGCTGCACGTCGGGCGACAGCTCCTCGTATGGGTGGTGGATTCGCCGGCCGAGCTGTTTGAGGTGCTGGCGCGCGGCGCGAGCGCGGTGGTGTCCAACGAGCCGTTGCTGCTGCTCGCCGCGCTGCGCAACGCTAGCGATGACGGGCGAGTCCGGCGCCAGTGCGGCGCTTGACGCGAGGAGGTGACCGCCGGGGCTACTCTCACTCGTGTGATTGTGTGTGTGCGGCCTGGGGGTGCCAGCGTCCGGCTCCGCTCCGGGCAGCGGGCTCCGGCGCCCTCTCAGATCAGAGCGCGCTCAGTCGGAGATGTTCAACTCCTCTCAGAAATTTTCATTTATTTGAGTGTATACCCGGGACTAGCCGCCTATTCCCTCTCTCTCTCTCGGTCTCTCACGGTCTCAGTTTCTCTCTCTCGCAATCACTCAGCTGAGTGCTGACAGACAGCTCGGGCCCGCTCGGCTCTCTCGGAGTCTCTCTCGGCGCGCGCGCGCCTTCGTTTTATACCCTTCGTTTTTGTTTCTCTCACGTCTATCTCAGCGGATCGGACAGATCCGAGACCGCATCGTCTCTCTCTCATACACAGCCATACACAGCTGATCCGGGCTCTCTCTCGTTGTGCAGTCGACATCGTGAGACTCCCCCTACACAGTACAAAAGGCGCACGCGAGCGCGGCGCTCACGGCGCGCGCCAAGCCGGATGTACACACGACCACCTCGTCGAGCAGCGCGCGCAGGCCCGCGCCGCCCGCGTCAGCCGCGGGGCTCTAGGCGCTGGCCGCTAGGCGGGGCTCTGCATCGAGCGCACGCCGTGCGGGCTCATCGCTGACCGGCGCGCGTTGTCGCTCAGCGAGTTGCGGAGCGAGCCGAGGCGGCGGAGGGGCGGCAGCGGCTCGACGGTCGGCTCGGTCAGGGCGGGGGGCGGCTTACGCGGCCAAAAGTTCGCGTTGCCGGGCAGGAGGTCGAGCATGGCCATCGCGCAGGGGATGATGACCTTGGTCGTGACGAAGCAGTCGATGAGCACGCCGACGCAGAGGTGGAAGGCGAGCTGGTTGATCATGGGCGAGGCGCCGATGAGGAGCGACCCGAACGCGAGGAACATGATGACGCCGGCGACGCAGATGATCGTGCCCGTGTGGCGCAGCGCCTCGACGACCGCCTCGCGCGACGAGTAGCCCGCGTCGAAGTGCTCGACCACCGACTCCATGAAGAAGACGTCGTAGTCGAGGCCGAGCCCGACGAGGATGGAGAAGGCGATGCACGGCGTCATCCAGTACATCGCGTGGTGCGCGGGCGGGTCGGGCGAGGTGAGGAAGGGGCGGATGCCGAGGCTCTGCAGCACGCCGTGCTGGTAGACGAGCACGCCGAGCCCGAACGTGACGAGGAGCATCCAGCTGAGGCAGAGGACGGCGCGGAGCGGCACGACCGCGGAGCGGAAGGCGGAGCCGAGCACCGCCATCACGATGAGCAGCGTCGCGCCGATGACGCGCGGCAGCGAGGCGAAGGTGTCGGCGGCGCCGTCCATCTGCTCCTGCGCCATGCCCGTGAGGTGCATCTCTCCGAGGACGGTCGTGTCGCCGGGGAAGGACGGGTCCGAGACCCACACCTCGCTCGCCGCCATCGCGTCGCGCACGGCGGCGATCCACTTCTGCCCGACCGTCGAAAAAGGGTCGAGGGTCGTCTTGACGCGCACCTGCGGACAGCCAGAGGGGAGAGGTCAGCCCGAGAGGAGCCCGAGAGGGGCCCGAGAGGAGCCCGAGAGGGGCCCGAGACCACGCGAGGCTGCTCGTGACCGCGCGCCTTGGTCGCGGTGCGGTCCTCGTTTGAGAAGCCGTTGACGAGGAAGTCGCCGTACTTCTTGGCGAGCGGGTTCTCGAGCAGCGAGATGAGGAGGGAGGTGCAGATCCCGCCCTGGATCATCAGCCCCGAGAAGTCGGACGCCTTCATCGCGAAGTTTTGCAGCGACGCGTCGCCCGCCTCGCGCCCGTGCGCGCGCATCACCTCGGTCACGTTGGACGCCATGAACTTCATCGCGTGGCACGACGCGTTGAGCCAGCCGCGGCTGGTCACGTCGCCCGGGTTGGGCGGGAGCACTACGATGGTGTTTGGGAAGATCTGGGAGACGCCAAAGTGGTCCTGCACCTCGAGGAAAGTCTCGGTGAGCGGGTCGCCGCGCGGCAGCAGCGTCTGCAGGCCCTCGATGTACTCGAAGTCGAGCAGCGGGATCACGAATGGCACCGCCACGCCCACCAGCAGCGGCACCACCACCAGCCAGCCTCGCTGCGAGAGGCGGCCGACCGACGCCCACAGAGACCACGGCCTCGCCGCCGCCGACCCCGCGTCCGAGTGGGAGCCTGCGGAGCCCGCCGCCGTCGCCGCCGTCGCCGCCTCGAGCGGCTGCACCGCCGGCGCGTCGGCGGCGGGCGCCGCGGTGGGCGCGGCGGCGGGCGACCAGGGGAGGCCCGAGGCGCGCTCCTGGCCTTGGCCGAGCATTGGTTCGCTTCCGTCGCCGGCGAGCCTGCGGTAAGGTGCAGCGAGGTGAGTACGAGTGCTGGGAGGCAGAGGGAGTCGGCAGAGCCATGCCTTCTCGGGTGCTGGGTGGGAGGAGAGGAGAGTGTGCTCCGCTTCTCCTCCCACAGTGTGTGCTCCGCTTCTAGGGGCGGCGAGCCGCTTCGGCGCGGCGGCGAAGAGGGCGATGCCGTCGGCGGAGAGGCCGAGGCGGCGGTCGGCCGTGAAGAAGTCGGGGAAGGAGAGGAGGAGGGCGGGCGTGATTGTGAGGCCGCCGACGATGGCGAACAGGACGGTGAAGGCGGCGGCGAGGCCCATCGTCGAGATGGTCGAGACGGGGATGAGGAGCATGCCGAGGAAGCAGAGGCAGAGCGTCGAGCCCGAGATGAAGACTGTGTGCCCCGACGTCTGCAGCGTGACGAGCAGCGCCTGCTTGACGGAGGCACCGGCGCGCTTCTCCTCGCCGAAGCGGGTGAGGATGAAGAGCGAGTAGTCGATCGACATCGCCAGCCCGGTCGCCACCATCATCGCGGGCGCCTCGGCCGACACCTGTTCGCGCCAGAGACGCGGTGTGAGCGGCGCGTCTCAGCGCCACCTCGCGGCCCGGCTCGGCCGCCGCCTTCATCGAGAGCGAGACGGGGTACATGATGAGGACGGAGGTGGCGACGCAGAAGGCGATGTTGATGAGGGTGATGATGAGCAGCCGCAGGTTCTTGAAGAAGACGCCGAGCAGCACAAAGGCGGGGATCGCGGTCAGCGTCGACAGCAGCATCGCCGTCTCCACCCCCTCCTGCACCGTCGCCATCACCCCCGGGAAGGAGACGCGCTCGACGGCGAGCCCAGACGAGGCGGGGTAGGCGTCGGCGTAGTCCTTTAGCGCCTCCATTGCGCTGACCACCGGCGCGGACGCCTCGTTCTTGCCGACGATCTCCGCAGTCATGTCCTCGCCGTGGCACGCCTCGATCTGCACCAGCATCAGCGTGCGCGAGGCGTCCGAGTCAAAGAGCATCGGCCGCGCGACGCGCGAGATGATGCCGTCGAGCACGTCGTGGATCGGCCGGTCGTGCCGCCCCTCGTGCGACTTCTTGAGCCCGATGTCGAAGTAGGAGAGAAAGGTGTACCGGCAGTGCACGTCCAGCTCGCGCGCCGCCACCCCGCTGAGCTCGTGCGACACCTGCGCCGCCTCTGCGGTGAGTGGCGTCGGCGGCGGCGCGGCGACCCACCGCTCGAGCGCGCGCGGCTGCTCTGGCTCGAGCGTGGAATTGACGTGCGGAATCAGCGGCGACCCGTCACGAGACTTGACGAGGACAAGGAGCTGCACCGGCTCCGGCGGAAAGTACTGCGCATAGATGCGGTGCGCGACCCCGGACGGCGAGGTCGGCGTCGGCTCCACACTGAGAATGAGCGCGCTGGTGAAGGGAAAGTAGCAGATCCCGCCCACGAGGGTCGCGACGAAGGTCACCGCACCAATGGCGCAGCGCGTCCTGCTCTGCTGCAGCCTGTCCAGGAAGCGCTCCTCCATGACGCCCATCGGCGCGGATTTGTGTCCTGCCGCAAGGAGAGGCGGTCGGCGTCGCGCGGCGAGAGCGGGACGGGGATTGCTCGCTCGGCGAGCCTGTCGAAAGGTGCTCCGCAGCGATGAGCTTGAGGAGTTGTACTTTTTCTTTTTTCCCCTAAGGGGAGGGGGTCCCTGAGTCCGGTGGAGTGCTCTCTACTGCCGCGGCGCCCCTGTCGGTTCGGAGGCGCCCGGCGGCCGCGCGCTTGGTGCACTGCGGAACTGGGAGTTTACCTTGTGCAGGGCCTTCTTTCTCTGTGAATACGTATTCCACGTATTCCAAAACAGCTCTAGAATGGGTAGTATTTGTATTCAGCGGGGCACGCGCGGAACGCGCGTGCCGACTGTGTATAAGCTATAAGTAAGACTGTACGCGCGCGCGCGCGCGCGTGCGAGCCGCGCGCGTGCGTGCGCGGCGCGCACCGTAAGGAGGTCCCGCGCGTGGCGTCCGACGTGCTCACAGCAGCGTCCCCACCGCCCACCCCCCCACACCGCCCCTGCCGCCGCCGCGCTTGCCTCACATCTTGAGGTCCTCCTCGTCCGAGCTGTCCGAGTCGGAGTCGGTGTCCCACTTCTCTCGACCGCCTGCTTGTAGCCGGCGGTCTGAAGCTTGCCCTTGAGGTGGAGCGCCTCGTGGCAGTAGACGCGCTTGTCGGCGCGACGGCGTGGCCCATTTGCCCGCGCGCCGTCGTCTTGATTGCCCCGTAGACGGACCAGTTGCGCTCGGCCGCCGACGCGCAGACCGGCTGCGCGAGCACGCGGCGCGCGACAGCGGAGATGTGCTGAGGGGGGGAGGTGGAATACGTTGGTATTCCAACGTATTCCAAAAACTTTCCCCAAAGCGAATATTCCGTATAAAATTTTCTTCGCTCCGCGAATTCACAGAGTAGGGCCCCCGTATACAGCGTAGTACGTGTCACTGCAACACGGTATGCTACCCACTCGGAGTGCATAGCTTCGCTCCTAGGCGCTGCGGGGCGCCGGCGGCAAGCACGTACCACCACACAGCCGTAGTCGATGGTTCGATGGAACCAATCCAACCAAGGTCTCTCTCAGTTCTCAGATCACTTCTGCAGCTTGAGGTGCGAAAAGCAGGCGCTCGCCACGAAGGTGAGCGCGAAGCCGACCAGCTGCGCGGTGGACCACGTGCGCAGCTCGCCCAGGAAGAGCGCGGACAGGAAGAGGAGCAGGACGATCTTCACGTTGCCCAGGATGGCGGTGCCGACCGTCGAGAGCGTCGCGAGCGCTTGGAAGAGCGTCACGTTGTAGGCCACGGCGAGCAGGCACGAGCCAAGCAGGAAGCCGAGGGCCGTCGCCGGCTGCGTCGCCAGCGCGGCGCTCAGCACGCCGAGCTCGGAAGCGAGCGCAAACGGCAGGAGCGCGAGGAAGGCGACGGGGCCGGTGAGCGCGGTCATCTGGAAGGCGTCGAGCTTGGCGTGGCCTCGCATGATCCGGCCGGAGACTGAGATCTGCAGGCACTGCGCGAGGGTCGACGTCGCGGTCAGCAGCACGCCCTTGGCCGTCGAGCCTCCGAAGCCCGAGTAGATCGTAGTGCCCGCGCCGCCCGAGATGAGGAGCAGGCAGAGCGCCTCGGCTCGGCTCGGCACCGTGCCCTCGAGGCAGACGAGCAGGAGGCTGGTGACAACGGGGCCCGTGGCTCGCACCACCTGGTTGAGCGAGAGCTCGATCGAGACGAGCGACGCGTTGTTGAGGGCGATCTGCAGCGCGTTCATACTGCCGATGAGGCAGAGCGCCTTCACGCGTCCCCGCGCCTCGGCGACGAGGGTGGCGGCGTAGCCCTCGTGCAGCAGCATCAGCGGCGCGAGAAAGGAGGCGCCAAAGATCATGTGGGAGGCCGTCATAAGCAGCGGCAAGTGCAGCCCGCCAACCACACCGAGCGCCCAGCGGTTAAGGAGGGAGAGCGCCGAATTGAGGCCGATGAAGGCGCACACGATGCCTGCAGCGAAGAGCATTCGCCTAAGGGAGCCACCGCCGCCGTCGTTGACGCAGCTGCCGCCGCCGCCGTCGTTGACGCAGCTGCCGCCGCCGCCGGAGTGCGGCGGCGGCGGGCGGTAGACGAGCCCCAGCCGGCGGCAGAGCAGCGAGACACCCACTGAGAGTGGCAAGAGGAAGCACGCGCACAAGACGAAGGCCAACGCGCCCCGCTGGCCGCGCGCCAAGGCCTCGGGCGACGGTGCCCCGCCGCCGCCGCCGGCAGCCTCCGTCTTGCCACCGGCAGACGCAGCTGCGCGATGCGTGGAGCGACGGTGATGGTGGTGGTGCTCGTGCTGGCCAGCGGGAGCGAGCGCGGTGCAGCCAAGCCCGCCGTGTCGTTTGAGGAAGGTGAGCCACTTGCCGTTGGGGGCCTCGCGCAGCTGTTTAAGCGCGGACGCCTCATGCGCCCGCCGCATATTGATGGACTGGTCGTCGAGCAACGAGAGCTTCTTGTGGGAGGAAGAGGTCGTGGAGGAGGAGGAGGACGCGCTCGGCTCCACGACGAGCCGCTGCTCGGGCACCGCGACGACCCGCAGCTGTATGCGCACGCCGGCGCACGGCGCGAGGGCGCGACCGAAGAGGTGCTCGACGCGTGCCGCATGGTACGCGCTCGTCACCACTGCCACCTCAGTGAAGCGACCCTCCTTTGCCGCCACGTAGTCGCGCGTCATCAGCGCCTCGTCCACCGTGGTGAGCGCGGGGATGCCCTCGTCGACCAGCGCCGAGGAGGGCAGCCCGCTCTCGAGCAGCGCATCGGCGACCAGTCTCCAGTGCGGCCGCGTCCGCTCCGTCCCCGGCCCGCGCGCAATGCCGAGGTGCAACGTCTCATTGAGACCTCCGCTGGTCAGCACGCTCACGCGATGCCGAGTTGTGGTCGCGGCCGCGGCGAGGTCTATCGTGGCCTGCAGGCGCGGCAGAACGTCGACATCAAGACGTCCGAAGCGATCATTCGTGCCGCCGCATTGAACCACGAGCAGGTGACCCGACGAGCTGACCCGACGAGGTGGTGAGCCCACCGAGGCAGCAGAGATGACGAGCAGTGCTGCGAGCATCGCGGGCACGATTTGGGTGAGAACGGCGTCTCTGGGTGCACTTCGTTTTTCGTCACGGGTAGGCTGGCTGGGAGAAGAGCTGCAAAGAGACGCAGAGCATCGTCAAGATTCAAAGCTGTGCGTATGGACGTTCTGGGTGAGAACGGAGTTCTCTGGGTAAGCTCAGCTGTGAACTTCCCAGTTGTTTGCTCTTGCTTGCGCGTGACCTCTTGCGTGCACGCCCAAGCTCGAGCGGCATCACGCAGAGCGAGCTCTGCGCAGGTCCCGCGACCTTCTCGGGCAGGAGCCCACCTCTCCTTCCCTCCGTGCGCCCAACGATATGGGCAAATCCGCGCCAAAGCGCGCTTCCTACGCTGACCAAGACGTACGGCCCGCAGAGGCAAAGGATGGCTCTGCCTCGGGGGCTGGCGGGGGCACCGACGGGGCCCCAGCCGCGCCTCCCGCTCCTGTGGACTCGGCCGAGGAGCTACGAGTGCTTCGCAAGCGGCTCGAGCGGGTCGAGGCTCAAGCCGCCCAGCCGCACCCGACGGGGGACCCCCCACCGGGAGGCGGCGGTGGCGGCGGCGACGGCGGCGGAGCGGGCGGCAAGGCGGCCAAGGACCGCGAGCGGGTGCGCCCCGACCCTCCCACCCCCCCAGACTCCGACGCCGACTCGTCGGAGGACGACGTGGGCGGCGGTGGTCACCGCGGCCCCCCCCGCCTCGGCGGCGGCGTCGGTCGCGACGATGCTGTCGGCGAGCTGTTCGGCGGCCACAAGCTTGCCTGCGACTACGACAGCGACAACCCCTTCGAGCGGAAGCGCGGACTGCAGCTGCGGACCTCGCACTACGCACCAGCGGCGGCGGGCGACACCGTGCACGCAGAGCTGCACCGCAAGCTCGGGGCCGCGAACCAACGAGAGGTGTGCACCCTCCTTCCCTCCCTCTCGTACATGTACGACCTGCACACGCACCTCGAGCGGCTCGAGGTCGCGATTGGCGACGAGCGAGATGATCCCGGAGATGCCCGCAGGGCGCTGCGGCTCGTGCACGAGCAGGTGCAAGCGGCGCGCCTGCAAGCCGGGTCCGCGCCTCGACGAGCTCGAGTCCGTCGGGAAGGGCGCCCTCGAGGCGGCCGAGTTCGACCCGCTCTACGGCAATGAGCGGTCGCAGAGCGGCGCCCGCTCCCTGCTCGGACAGCGGCTCCACGAGTCCCGCGTGTCCCGCCGCCACACCCGCCTCGGCAGCGCGGTCGCCTCCGCCGACAGTGCCCGGCTCAAGCCCAAGCCCCCCGGCGCGTCCAAGCGGGTCGGCCGCCTGGGCGGCGGCGGCGGCGGTGACGGTGGCGGAGGTGGGCACGACAGTAGCGGCAGCAGCCGGCGGGGCGGCGGCGACAGCGGCGGCAGCGGCGGCGGCGGCGGCAACGGCAGCAGCGGCGACCGCCGCAGCGGCGACGGCGGCGGGAGCGGCCAGCGCGGCGGTGGCCAGCGCGATGGCGACGCCCGTGGCCAGCGCGATGGCGGGGTTTCCGGACGCGGCGGCGGCGGCCGGGGCGGCGGCCGCGGCGGAGGTGGCAGCGCTCGCGGCGGCGAGCGCGGCTAGGAGGCCCGCGCGGCGCCTCTGGCTGGCAGCCAGGGCGTGGACGCGACCTCCTCTTCGCCAGGCCCCCGAGAGCTGACCGGCTCGGGGGTTCCACCAGGTCTCAAGACACACCGCGATCGGGTCCGCTCGAGGCTCTCCGCCTGGCGGGACATCGGCGCGAGCCGGCAGACGCTGCGCTGGCTCGGCGAGGGCGTGCGCGTGCCGTGGAACGAGAGGGGACCACCTCTCCCGCTCCACCACGGCGTGGGCAGCTTCTCGCCGGACGAGCGAGCGTGGCTGACGCTGGAACGCGATCGCTGTCTCGGCACAGGCGCGTGGCGCCGGGCGACTCGCTGCGACTACGTCTCGCGAGCCTTCGTGGTGTGGCACAAGGGCAAGCCGCGCCTCGTGATCGACTTGCGGTGGGTGAACGAGCACGTGGAGAAGCGCAGCTGCAAGTTCGAGTCGCTGGCGACGCTACGGCGGCTCGCGAGGCTCCACGACTTCATGTTCTCGCTCGACCTGACCGACGCCTACCACCACATCGGCGTGCACGAGTCGGACGTCGACTACTTCACCTTCGCGGTCGAGACGGAGGCCGGCGTGGAGTACTTCTCACCCCCGCGCTCAACTTCGGCTGGACTCTCTCTCCGTGGGTCTTCACCCAGGCTGCGCGACGTGGTGCGCTATCTGCGCAACCCGGATGCGGCGGCCAGGCCGCGCTACGGGCAGCGGCGGCGCCACTCGGGCGTGCACCGCGGCGTGCGGACGCTCCCGTGGCTCGACGACTTCGCTTTCTTCGTACGGGGCGTGCGGGCGGACCACCCGGAGTACGGCGCGATGCTGGAGGCGGCTCGCGCCGAGAGCATGCGTGTGCGGTGGTGGCGTCGGCGGGGGCGTCGGCTCCGGTGGCCGTGGAGTGTGCAAGCTGTTTCCTGTGAATTATTCGGGCTCGAGGACTGTCTGTTGGTCGCGGTTGTCTGTTTCGGGCGCGTCTGTCGACCGGGTCTGTTGGTGGGGGGCCGTGGCGTGTGCAAGCTGTTTCGTGTGAATTATCGGGTGGCGGTGTTGAAAAATCTCGTTCTGTGAATTATTCCTGGAGTTTTGGCTCGAGAGGACACCTGACCGGGCACTTGCTGGGGGGCAGATTTCAGGTCCCTGACCCTGTAGAGTGACACCTGACGTCCTGACCGGGCACTTGCTGAAATTTATCCGTCTGTGTGTCAGTGTGTGGCGACGATTGCGTTCGCTGTGTGGGTGATATACGGAGGGAAGAGTGTTGGAGCCGCGCACACTTCAAGCTTGCGGTCTTAAACTTCGTTTGCGACATGCCGCGCCACGTCTCGCGCGCTCTCCCTCACTCTGTGCTACGGGGAGCGGACCCTGAGTTGACCAGGGGTTGTGCGCTGGGTCCTCCTGCTCGGCTCCAGCCAGTAAACAAGTCTTGTCATCAACAGAGTAGATGGATCTGACCTCAGGGCTGATGTGACCAAGCGCTGGTAGCGTGGTTTAACCTCACACCCATGGTCTCACAGTGTGCCGGCAGTCGCCGAGCAGTGTCGCTCACACAAGCCGCAGCACAAGAGACTGAGGGCCAGTGAGGGCAAGCCCATCGCTGTCACAGCTGTGGCAGCCGCACAGTGGGTTGTGCCAACTGTGCAGAGCGTGTGAGCAGCAGAGGAGCTGCTCTCCAGGCTTCTGTCGCAAAGAGCTGCATGCCACCGAAAGCGCTGTCGAGGTTCGCCGAGCGCGGCGCAGGTTGAGGGACACCGTCACCGACGAGCGCGTTGGAGTATTCACTCCGGACAAAGACAGTGGCACGCACACGAGCTGCGGCCGTGCCACTGTCATAGCGGCGAGGCGCGGGACCGTCTGTGGCGAAGTGGGTCGCGTCCCTCGATTTCCTCAACTCAGGGTCCGCTCCCTTTAAATGCTTTTTTAACTAACACAGGTATACACACCTAATAGAATACCCCCCCCCCCTCGACTGCACTCCCTTTTTAGAATACATAACACTTTCTTCGCGGTTGTTTTCATATTCATCATCAAATATTTTGAAACGACAAACATGGATCAAGAGAGGGAAGAGGGTGCGGGGCCGGGGGCCGAGTCGACGGGCCGAGAGGGGCGGCCCCCCGCGGGCGCCATAGTAGACGCGACGACCCGCGAATCAAGTCGTCGCGCGCCGCCGGACTCCCCCCTCGGGCGTCTGTCGCGGATCGAGACACCAACCACCGCCCCCCCGCGTCAGAAGCGCAACTTGTTCGCGGCGTTGACGAGCATCTGGACGCCGAGGTCCGAGCGCGTGAGGATCGACTCGGGGTGGAACTGCACGGCGGCGAGCGGCAGCTCCGCGTGCTGGATGCCCATGATGACGCCGTCGGTGGTCTCGGCCGTGATGCGCAGGCAGGCGGGGTGGCTCTCGCGCTGCGAGTAGAGCGAGTGGTACCGCCCCACCTGGAACTCGGCGGGGCAGCCGGCGAAGATGTCGCCCGGCGCGGCGGTCAGCCGCACTGAGCCGGGCTTGCCGTGCTGCGGGTAGGAGAGGACGCCGAGCGACCCGCCAAAGTGCTCGACCATGCCCTGCAGGCCGAGGCAGACGCCGAAGAGCGGCACCTTGCGCCCGAGCATCAGCTCGATGGTGCGGCTCAGGTCGAAGTCGGCCGGCTTGCCCGGGCCGGGCGAGAGCACCGCGAGGGTGGGCTGCAGCGCGTCGAGCTGCGCCGGCTCGAAGCCGAAGCGGAGCGTGGTGACGAGGGCGCCGGTCTGGCGCAGGTAGTTTGCGAGCGTGTGCACGAACGAGTCCTGGTGGTCGACGAGAACCTGCGCGGGGGAGGGTCCGAGAGCGTCCGCGAGGGCCCCGCCTGTGAGGCGGCGAGGCCGTCGTCGAAGCGCACCACGCGCGCCGACGACGACGCCGCCGCCGGGATCCGCGCGAGGGAGGCTGGCGGCGGGTCGGGCCGCAGGACGGCGTCGCGCATCGCCGACGCCTTGAGCTCGGTCTCCTTCTCCTCGGCGGCGGGCTCGGAGTCGTACAGGAGCGTCGCGCCCGCGCGCACCTGCGCGAAGCCGCCCGCGATGCGCACCGTCCGCAGCGTGAGCCCCGTGTTCAGGCATCCGTCGAAGCCGATGCAGCCGACCGCGCCGCCGTACCAGTGGCGCGGCGACTCCTCGTGGTCCTCGACGAACTGGATGGCCCACGGCTTCGGCGCGCCCGTGACGGTGACCGCCCACGTGTGCGCGAGGAAGGCGTCCATCGCGTCGAAGCCGTCGCGCAAGTAGCCCTCGACGTGGTCCACCTGCGGGGCGGCGCGGGAAGGGGGGGGGGGTGGAGGGGGAGGGGGTGGAGGGGGAGGGGGAGGGGGGCGGCGTGCGGGGAGGGGGCGGCGTGCCGTGGGGCGCGGCTCGGCGACCGCGGCGCGCGCGGGGGGGGGGGGGGGTTTTTGAAGGGTTAATTAGGGGATACCGGGCCTGGGGAGGGGGCGGTCGCTTGCCGTGTGGATGAGCCGCGAGTACATCTCGATCTGCCGGCGGCCGATGACGGTGACCGAGCCGGCCTGCGGGGGCGAGAGGCGCTGCGGTGATGGGCAGCTCCCGTCTCCTCCCGCCTCGGAGCCCTGCGGGCCGGTCAGTGCGGGCAAGGAGGGGGGGAGGGGTGCGGTTGCGGAGGGGGCGGCGGAGGGGGCGGCGCCTCGCAGATGCGCGACTTGTCGTTGCGGTCGACGTCGGTGCACATCGTCAGCTCCGACTCCTCTTTCTTGTCGGCGAGGATGGTCTGGATGTTCTTCGCGTCCTACACCCACGGCGAGGGAGGGTGACCAGCCGCGTGCCTCGCCAGCCCCCGGGGAGCCGCGAGCGCTCCTCCATCGCGTCGGCGCCGCGGCGGATCGTCCCCGAGATGGGACACGTCTCACACCGCCAGCCGCGCGCGTCTCGCTCCACCCGCACAAACATCTCTGGCGAAGCGCCGACGAGGTACTCGGGCTGCCCGCCGCCGCCGCCGCCGTCGACGCCGCGGTCGGGGCCGAGGTTGATGAGGAACCCATAGGGCGAGGGGTTGCGCGAGCGCAGGCGGCGGAAGATGGCCGAGGGTGGGTCAGGGCAGGGCTCGGCGAAGTTTTGGGAGAGGACGACTTCGAAGAGGTTGCCGACCTCGAACTCCTTCTTGGCGCGAGCCACCTGCCGCGGCGAGGGCAGGGCAAGCTGGCGAGCGGTCGGGCTGCGGCGGCGGGGCCAGAGCAGCGCGGGGGGGGGGCGTGGCGAGAGGGGGCGCGGCGCGCGCCTTGCTCGCGAAGGCGCCCGCCGCGTGGTCTCTCCGGAAGGGGAGCTGCTCCTGCGGGAGGGAGGGGGGGAGGGAGGGCGGAGGAGGGTCGGAGGAGGATGTGAGAGGCTCAAAGAAGCTGGTCCGTGGGACCCCAGCAGACCCCAGCAGACACCTCTGGGAGAGGGACGTATGGCAACGCGAGGCCGGAGCGAGGCAGGCCGGCGGAGGAGCGGCCGCCGACCGTAAAATCGTAGGTGAGGCGCCACGCGCCTACGGAAGGAGGGCCCGGGCGAGCGTCGAGGGAGGGATCAGGGAGGAGTCGTCTCGAGGCGGGCCGCGCAGTCGCGCCGCGCGTGTGGATGTCGACTACGAGGAGCTCGTCGGGCAGGTAGAGGAGCAGGTCACGCGCCCCTGCGACACGCGACTGCGCCGGCCGGATCGGCTCGAACTGGAAGGTCAGGTCGTAGCCGAAGGCGCCGTACAAGCCGAGCATCGGCTCCGCCTGCCACCGCGAGGCGTGCCGCGAGGCGTGCTGAGCCGGCGGCCGAGGCGGGGGCGTGTGGAGGTGGTGGCGAGGGAGGAGGATGGGGAGGGAAGGCGGGCGGCGCCTCGCACGAGAAGAGGTCCCGCAGCGCGCGCACGAGCGAGAAGATGGAGTGCTGCCGCGAGCGCTGCTCCTCTGCGAAGCCGGCAGCCGGCGGCTTGACGGAGCCGCGCAGCACGGCGGCTCCGGCCTCCGTCTGGCTGAGCGAGATGGCCTCGACGGCGTCGCAGCGAGAGAGCGCCTCGTGCACGGGCGCGACGAGCACCTCTCCGCGCGCGTTGAGCGCCTCGATCGCGAAGGTGCGCCCAGAGGCCTCGAAGCAGAGCGGCGGGTTGACGAAGCCCATCGTCCAGCGGGCATACCTGTGTGCGAGGACCGGCGGCTCAGCCGACCCCGGAGGCACGGCGTGCGCGTGCCGTCCGCGCAAACGCACCGGCCCGGAAACTCGTACGAGGACTCAAACATGCAGCCGCGCTCCGAGTCGAGCCGCGAGACGAGGGCATCAATCTCGGCCCGCTGGTCGCCGAGCGGCGTCACGCTCGAGTCGACCGTGATGCCGCCGCCGGTGACGTAGCGGCCAGGGCTGGTGGGCACGCGCGGGGCGCCGAGGTTGCGCGACGGAGGCTCGGCATTCGTGTCGTGAGGCCGCTTGGTCGGCATCGACAGCGACCGGCAGCTTGTCGGCTTGTGCTCGTCGGAGCTCTCGAAAAGAAAAAAACTGCTGCGGCGCCGCGTACAAAAAGAAAACGCGAGGCGTGACGGTGAGAGGTCCTCTCGACTCCTCGGGCACATATGGGCCGGCGAGAAACCATCTTCAGGCTCGCCAAGGGCTTCCGCGGCCGCTCGAAGAACTGCTGGTCGCTCGCGCTGCGCCGCGTGCAAAAGGGCCTGCAGTACGCGTACGCGCACCGCCGGCTCAAGAAGCGCGAGGCGCGCGCCGTGCAGATCCAGCAGATCAACGCGGGAGCGCGCGAGTACGGCATCTCGTACTCGCGACTGATTCGCGGCCTGTACCTTGCCGACATCGGGCTGAACCGAAAGATGCTCTCGGTGCTCGCGCGGCAGGAACCCTACTCGTTCCGGGCGATCGTGGAGGAGGCGCGAGCACCGGCGGCCGCCATCTCCCCAACTCCCCGCCCGCTTGCCCCAGCCCGACGCACCGTCGGCCGCAGGCGAAGAAGGGGCTGCGCGTCAGCGTCCTTGGCGTGGAACAGGTCGACGCCGGCAGCGGTGCGCAGCGAGGCGCGGACAGCTGACGCCAAACCGGGATGGTGGTGCATATCTCGAGGCATGACTAGTGCACAGTGTGTGCCGTGCGGCGCAAGCACGGAGGGGTGGACAGCGTGCCGCGGCCCCGCTCTTGGGGGCCTTTGGCGTCTTTGAGACGCATACTGTGTCACGGTCTCCTGGGTCCTGACCACTCTTCCACCACTCCGCCGCCCGAAAATCATGTCGTTCGTGCGAGCTGCGACGTGCGGGACCGTCGCGCGACCGCGAGCCGCGAGGCGCGTCGGCTTGTGGGAAGCAGTAGTGACCAGTACCAGTGTCCGTGTTGGCGTCCGCCGAGTCGCAAGAGTCATCTGCTCCCCACAACCGACTATCAGATAGCAATTTAATTTAGGTGTTATTGATATGAGATGGAGAGTACGATACGTTAAAGGACACCACGGACCAAAAGCAAAACAGACAGGAGGGCGCTGCCGCAGCGATGCGGGCCGCGAGCGATAGCCGGTCACCTGAGTCTAGCCACGCGGGAGCAGCTGCCCCCCCGACTCCGCCGGCTGTGTCGCAACACACGGCACAGAGGGGGGGGGGGGGGGGGAAGAGCTTCCGCGCCCGCATCGGACCGGCGTGGACGGCGCACACCCGCGGCTCGTGGGCTGCAGCGGCGGCGGCGGGGGAGGGCACGACAGCCCCTTACATCGACGCCTGCGAGGAGCGCTGCGAGCGGCGCTGCGACATCTTCTCCGCCTTCTTTTCGCGCGCCTCCTTCTGGCGGAGCGCCAGCAGCTTCTGGTACGCCGCCGCCTCGCTCTTCGCCTTGACCTGCCGCGCCTTTTTGACGGCGAGCCTGTGCCGCTTGCGCTGCAGCGAGATAGGGGTCACGAGCCGCTGGATCTTTGGCGCCTTGGAGCCCGGCTTCTTGTCCTCCGACTTGGCCGGCACCTCCCGGCGGATCACATACTTGCGCACGTCGTCCTCCTTGGACAGCGCAAAGAGCTTGCGGATCTTGGACGCACGCTTCGGGCCAAGGCGGCGCGGGATCTGCTTGTCTGTGAGGCCCTCGAGCTCGGCGTCGCCCTTCTTGACGATGACGAGGTGCAGCACGGCGATATTGTGCGAGATGATGCACCCGCGGCAGGACTTGCGGTACCGCTCGCCCTTGCGCATCCCGTAGCCGCGGCAGCCCTGGTCGCCTGCGGCGCGGGCGGCGGTGCGCAGATAAGCCCTGCACCGTCCCCCACTGCCTGCGCCGCTGGCGGCGCGGGAATCGCTCCGCGGGCGGCGGCGCGCGCACCCTTGGCCATCATCAGGCGGACACGGTCCGCGGTCAGCACGCCCTGCTTCATCGGGAAGCCCTGCTTGTCCTGCCCGCCCATCACCTTGAAGATGTACCCGGCGAACTCCTCGCCGAGGTCGGAGCCATCGACCTCGGTGGCCAGCCTCTTGTCGTAGAGGGTGCGCAGCTTCTTCTCGTCCTCGATCTCATACAGCTTTTGGCACCCGGTGGACGGGTTCGCAATGTTGAGCTTCATTGCGGCCGCCCTGCGCAGCGCCTGCAGAGGGGGAGAGTGGCGTGTGATGGCGGTTGTCCGACGCGTATGCCCAGGACGCCGCAGCGGTCGGTCTGGCGGCGCAGCGCGTCTTTGCGCGCGGCGCCCGATGCGGGCTCTCCCGAGCCCACAGGCGGCGGCGCAAGAAGGGCTGGCGAGGGCGCAGCGAGCCTGAGAGCCAGCGCGTGGAGTCTGGCAGAAAGAAAAACGAATCGCGAAGGGGCGCTGACTGGCTGCAATGCCATATCTTTTGTGCCTAGGTTGTAGAGCACCTCAAAAAACTACATACACTGAAAAAATGTCTTGGAGGGAAAAGTTTTTCGATGAGGTGGAGGTGGTCCGTGGTGAGCCGATTCCCAGATTCTCCAGATTCCCCCTCGAAAACCGCCCCTTTTAATTCATTGCGGCCGCGGGTTTGCTCGGATTACTTTTCACTCGAAGACATACTAGTTTTTTGGCGTTCCGGTGCCTACAAAAAATATCCGAGATCATATGGAGCCTGGAGCCAGCGCGTGGAGTCTGGCAGAAGAAAAACCTCGGCCTATCTTCGAAATCATGAGCCCCCCGCCAATACTGTCGTTGTTCAGTTCCATTCGTGGCGAGCACCTGCTTGGCACCTGCACGGTCGGTGTTTTGTCGGTGTTGGCCATCCGGGCGGGATTATCGATATCGTGAGAGTTCGAGAGAGATTTTAGAGTTTTACAAAGAATTTGAAAACCAACAAGAAATCACGACTCTCACAGTGATTTGGGCTCGGCAGCTTGTCAGCCCTCAGCCGAAGCTGGGGCCGGTCCCGTAGCCGAGAGAGCCCGCGCCGATGAGTTCGACGCGGTCGGGAGGCCTTGCGGAGAGGCCAGCGAGGTGGCGATCGCTGTACTTCATGGTCGTCATCAAGTGACCGGCTGACAAGCCAGAGGTCGATACTCCAGGGCTAGGGCTCTCTTGCACCCGAAGGGGACCCCAGTGCCAGCGTCATCGGTGGAAGTACAAGTGTTCGAAGAGAGAGTGGAACTGAGCAACGTAACGACATGACCAGTGCTTGAGCACTTGAGCACTTGATAGGGTCGATTCCGCATGGTACGGGACCCCTCGATCGTCTCACCCTCCCTCTGAGCACATGACTTGACTGCAAATGATCGCGGCGCAGCGCGTCTTTGCGCGCGGCGCCCGATGCGGGCTCTCCCGAGCCCACAGGCGGCGGCGCAAGAAGGGCTGGCGAGGGCGCAGCGAGCCTGAGAGCCAGCGCGTGGAGTCTGGCAGAAAGAAAAACGACTTTCTTAAGGGGCGCTGACTGGCTGCAATGCCATATCTTTTGTGCCTAGGTTGTAGAGCACCTCAAAAAACTACATACACTGAAAAAATGTCTTGGAGGGAAAAGTTTTTCGATGAGGTGGAGGTGGTCCGTGGTGAGCCGATTCCCAGATTCTCCAGATTCCCCCTCGAAAACCGCCCCTTTTAATTCATTGCGGCCGCGGGTTTGCTCGGATTACTTTTCACTCGAAGACAGACTAGTTTTTTGGCGTTCCGGTGCCTACAAAAAATATCCGAGATCATATGGAGCCTGGAGCCAGCGCGTGGAGTCTGGCAGAAGAAAAACCTCGGCCTATCTTCGAAATCATGAGCCCCCCGCCAATACTGTCGTTGTTCAGTTCCATTCGTGGCGAGCACCTGCTTGGCACCTGCACGGTCGGTGTTTTGTCGGTGTTGGCCATCCGGGCGGGATTATCGATATCGTGAGAGTTCGAGAGAGATTTTAGAGTTTTACAAAGAATTTGAAAACCAACAAGAAATCACGACTCTCACAGTGATTTGGGCTCGGCAGCTTGTCAGCCCTCAGCCGAAGCTGGGGCCGGTCCCGTAGCCGAGAGAGCCCGCGCCGATGAGTTCGACGCGGTCGGGAGGCCTTGCGGAGAGGCCAGCGAGGTGGCGATCGCTGTACTTCATGGTCGTCATCAAGTGACCGGCTGACAAGCCAGAGGTCGATACTCCAGGGCTAGGGCTCTCTTGCACCCGAAGGGGACCCCAGTGCCAGCGTCATCGGTGGAAGTACAAGTGTTCGAAGAGAGAGTGGAACTGAGCAACGTAACGACATGACCAGTGCTTGAGCACTTGAGCACTTGATAGGGTCGATTCCGCATGGTACGGGACCCCTCGATCGTCTCACCCTCCCTCTGAGCACATGACTTGACTGCAAATGATCGCGGCGCAGCGCGTCTTTGCGCGCGGCGCCCGATGCGGGCTCTCCCGAGCCCACAGGCGGCGGCGCAAGAAGGGCTGGCGAGGGCGCAGCGAGCCTGAGAGCCAGCGCGTGGAGTCTGGCAGAAAGAAAAACGACCGGCCTAAGGGGCGCTGACAACGACGAGAGTGGGACAGCCGCGAGGTGGCATGAAGGTTGCAGCGAGAAGCGGCGAGAGACTGCGAAAAGAGATACGAGGAGGCAGACCCCCCAGGGTGGGCGACGGCTAGCGCATCACACCCTCCTCTCCTTAAAATCCCTGTGTGGTGGCGGCGTGCCGTTCTCCCATCCCTCCCTTGGGTTGTGTGTTTTCTTTCTTTCTTTCTTTCTGGCTGCTTGGGTTGTCTGTTTTCTTTCTTTCTTTCTGGCTGCAATGCCATATCTTTTGTGCCTAGGTTGTAGAGCACCTCAAAAAACTACATACACTGAAAAAATGTCTTGGAGGGAAAAGTTTTTCGATGAGGTGGAGGTGGTCCGTGGTGAGCCGATTCCCAGATTCTCCAGATTCCCCCTCGAAAACCGCCCCTTTTAATTCATTGCGGCCGCGGGTTTGCTCGGATTACTTTTCACTCGAAGACAGACTAGTTTTTTGGCGTTCCGGTGCCTACAAAAAATAATCGCAGTGGGCGTCAGAAGAGTCGTCCTCTCGTGTGACACATATTGCGGCACGTGAGTGAGACAGACGGCTCCGGCGCGCGCGCGCAGCGCAACAGGCGTTTTTTATGCAAACAGCAAACGGGACGGCCTGCGCAGCCTCTAACTATTTAGGACGGCGTTGTCGAGGTTCTCGAGGTGGATATCCTTTGGCCGCGTTGGGTAGCGAGGATTGGTGTGACGCGATCCACGCAGGCGTGGTTTCTGACGGCCGACCGTCAGTGCACGGAGTTGCCCCTTCTCCGACTGCCCCGGCTAGTTCACGAGTTTCGCGGGAGTGACCCCATGCGTCAAACCCGAGACCTAGCGCGGGTGGGTTGGGGGGGGGCTCGCTGCAAGAAACCGAATTTACAATACTGTCGTTGTTCAGTTCCATTCGTGGCGAGCACCTGCTTGGCACCTGCACGGTCGGTGTTTTGTCGGTGTTGGCCATCCGGGATTCTGCAGGGATTATCGTGAGTTCGTGACTGCTAATATGCGCGTCATCTTCAAACACCCCCCCCCTCGCACCTAGCCGCCCCCATTCTCGCAAGACGTGTGAGCATGAGGGGGGTGGTGGTACCCCCCTACAGGTACAGGTGCCCCTGGCCAGGCCTCTGACCGAGAGGGGGGTACACTCGCGGGAGCCAAGACTGCTCGACCGACAGGGGGGTGCCTGGAGGAGTATTCGCGCCGTTGCAACTGCCATGTCGGCCGGTCGTCGGCTGCTGCTCTCGCCTCGCTGGCGGCGCGTTCAAGTGCCGCGGCGCCCAGCCCTCCTGTGGGCCCGCGGCGGCTCGCCGGCGCGGTTCGGCACAATGTGACCGATCCGGGTCCGTCCCGGCGTACCGCCGGTGCCACTTCCTCGCCGAAATTTTGCTCGACCAGTTTGTCGACAAACCTATGCCAGAGCTCCTGCTGCTCGACTGAGCGGCGGAGCCGGCCCCTCGGCGCCTAGCCGCCGACCACACCCACAAAGAACCCTGCACAAAGATCGCACGGGCGGGGACCTGTTCCTTTTTACCCATCTCACAGTAGAGAGGTGTCCGTTTTTATTTATTTATTTATACTCTAGTATCACTCTCTGCCTCCTCGACCTCCTTACCAACATCTTCTTCACATGGTGGACGTCATATATCTTCTTGTCTGCCGCCCTGAGAGAATAGCAGAGAGTGCTTCTTCAGGTTACACCTTGCTGATGATCTGGTAGTTGCTGATCGGTCACACCGCCATCGCCGTCGGGGAGAGGGGGGACGACACTGCTTCTGCAGCGTGCACCTCGATCCTGTACCGTGTTTGTTATGACCCCCCCAATGAACACACCAGTGAGGGAGGGCGAGACGATCGAGGGGTCCCGTACCATGCGGAAGCGACCCTATCAAGTGCTCAAGTGCTCAAGTTGCTGGTCCAGCGGAAGGCCTCCCCATCGTTGCCGCTCGTCAGCTTGTAGCCCTGTGAGAGTTGCACAGGGGTTGTGCGCTAGGCCCTCCTGCTCGGCTCCAGCGAGTAGACAAGTGTTGTCATCAACAGAGTAGAAGGATCTGACCTCGGGGCCGATATGACCAAGCGCTGGTAGCGTGGTTTTACCTCACACCCATGGTCTCACAGTGTGCCAGCAGTCGCCGAGCAGTGTCGCTCACACAAGCCGCAGCACAAGTGACTGAGGGCCAATGAGGGCGAGCCCATCGCTGTCACAGCTGTGGCAGCCGCACAGTAGGCTGTGTCAACTGTGCAGAGCGTGTGAGCAGCAGAGGAGCTGCTCTCCAGGCTTCTGTCGCAAAGAGCTGCATGCCACCGAAGGCGCTGTCGAGGTTCGCCGAGCTTGGCGAAATCCGGGGACGCCGTCACCGACGAGCGCGTTGGACTTTTCACTCCGCGCGGACAAAGACGGGTACACGCACACGAGCCGCGGTCGTATACCCGTCTTAGCGGCGAGGCGCGGGACCGTCTGTGGCGAAGTGGGTCGCGTCCTCGCCTTTCCTCAACTCACGGTCCTTCCCCCGTACTTGCACGCTCTGTTCTGGTACGGTAGCGCGGGCCGTCTGGGAGGGGTCCCGTCACCCTTCACCTCACGGTACCACCGGAGGATAAAGAGGCCCTTGGGATCGTTGATGAAGACCCCGTTGCTGCGCTGACTCATCGAGAGCTGGCGCAGGTACTCTGCACTCGAGCTGCCAGTGGCGCGGCGCGCGTCTACCGACTACCGTGCCGTCGGCGGCGGCGGCCGCCTGGGGAGCGCACACGGCACAGCGCAGATGGCGGCGCAGGCGCAGGCGGCGGCGGCGGCACAGACGGCGGCGGCCACCCCCACCCAGACGTAGGCATATGACTGTAGGCCCCCAGAAGGCCAGCTGGTAGCTTCATTTGTAGTAGCACAGCCGCGGGTCCGCAGAGGTGGGGCGGGGGGGGTTGAGAGAGAGACCCATGACCGATTTCCATCCCATGACTACATGGACCACACTCACATGTCTTTGCATGTAATTTTGTTATACCCTCATGGGGCACAAGAAAGAGGCTGCACGGCCTGTGTACGGTCTGTGCTGCTGTCGGGCTAAAGTGCTGTCAACGCTGTCAGGCTGTCGGGCACTGTCAGGCGCTGTCCGCCGACCGGGGTTTGCTGTTAGGCTGTCAGACCAGGGCTCGGTGTGGGGGGGCGCGAGGTGTGTGCACACAGGGGCGCGTGCTGCATTGAGTCACAGTGTAGAGAGAGAGAGACTTTCCTTTTGAATCATCAAAACATCAACTGTTTCTCATGCATGCAATTCTGTATATACACAGCGGCTATGGCGACTCTGACGGCGGGGCGCACGACACGATGTAGAACTCGAAGTCGATAGAACTCGAAGTCGATATGGGAGCGAGCTCCAAGGTGGTCAGATTCCACCCGCCGCGCTTGAGAAAACAGTCCGACGGTTCGCTGTCGGCGATGGGACGGTATGCGGTATAGGGTCGTATTCGTAATCGTAGACTGGGCTCTGCTGCCCTCTCCGTCGTTTGCCGGGCAAACGAGTCGCAGGTCGACGATGCGTTGCACGCGTCGACGCACTCCTGCCGTGCCATTGATCGGCTGGTCGGGGAGGGAGGTCGTACGTAGCCGCCGCTGGTGGGGACGATCCCGAATGGCCGGTTCTGGTAGCCGAGGGTGCACTCGGGCGGCGGAGGAGGCGGCGAGGGCGGCGCGGGGGGCGGCGGTGCGCACGACGTGATGTAGGTCTTGAATTTTCGTGCTCCCTTCGCAAAGAAGAATTTAGACAAAACAACTCTCTCTCACAGCTGACAGGCACAGAAGAATTTAAACGACAGAAGAAAAGCGGCGTTTTGAGCGGCTCCGCTGTGTCTCTTCGCCGAATGAAGACCTCGGCAACCTTGATGCGCCTCCTTCTGCTCGGCGTTCTTGCGGGGCTCGCGGGCGGCGCCGCTCTCGTCGCGGGCGTCGCCCGCGGCTCGGACTCGATCATGCACACCAGCATCGGCTTCGACGGGCACTCGACGGAGGCGGCGCGCTCGGCGCCGCCCGGCTGTGAGATCGCAGCCGGGGTCACCTCCCAATCAGCGTGCGGCGCCGGCCGCATCACGCTGGGCGTCACTGCCGACGTCCAGCGCAAGATCTTCAACAACCGCGGCAGCTTCAGCGGGCCGCACAAGACGTGCTCCGCCTTTGACGGCTGCCGCGGCGGCGGCGACTTGGCGGACAAGCTGGTGAGACTCGCCGGCATCGGGTGGCACGGGCCGAACGCCTCCGCGTCGCTCGGCGACGACGCGTGCGCGGAGGCGGCCAACAAGGAGATGTGCATCATGAACGTGCGCACGTGCGCGACCAGCGAGTCCTGGGACGCGAACGTGGGCAACAAGTCGAGCGAGTTCTCGCTCGAGGGCAACTCGGCGCACGCGTGGAACAAGGGCGTCGCCCTCCACGCCGGTTTGCTCGAGGCCCCCCTCGGTTTCGACCGCAAATTTCTCTACCCGCTGGCGGGAACGCTGCACGCCTCTGGCACCTGCAGTGCAGGCGGCGGCGAGACATTGGGGCAGTCTCGGCCGACAACCGAGAAGCTCTTGATTGGCGCGCGCGACTTCGTTCGCGCTATCGTCAACAAGATTAGCTCTTTGATGACGGCGATCCAGCAGAGCCAGCTGCGCTCTGAGCGCAAGGCTGGCGCGGATCTGTCGCAGATGAACGCGGCGGAGGAGGGCGCCGTCCTGAGCAGCTCCGGCGGCGGGTCCGGCGGCGGGTCTGGCGGCGGCGGCGCCGGCAGCCGGCAGGCGACGGAGGCGGCGCTCTCGACAGCGCGCCGCACCCAGCGCTCGCTCCAGAGCACCGGCACGCACGGCGCGATCATCGGACGGAAGGGGCGGACGGTGCCGGCCTTTGCGCACCCCTCGAGCGCGTCCGAGCTCATTGGCGCTGAGACCGCACCTTCAACGGCCGCTATCGAGGCGAAACTCGCCGTCGGCGGGGCTGAAGTCAACGGCGAAGAGCACGGCCTCGCCACACCGCTCCACGCGAGCAAGGGGCGAGTCGGCACCGACGGTGGGAGCGGCTCCTCCCCACCCGGCCTCCTACTGGCCAGTACCTCCAGTCCCGGCGCTGACATCGACGTGGTCGCCGACCCCTCGTCGGGCGGGACCGCGACTGTCCACGCGAGCGCCACGGCGCACTCCGCTGGCACGCGGGCGGCGACGCTCCGTGCGGCGTCCGCCGTGCAGGGCAGCAACACGAGTCGGCTCGCGTCTCCCAAGGCGCTTCCCTCTGGGCTGGTCTCAAGTTGCCAGATGCGGCTCTCTGAGCCAACCCTCGCCTGCCGCGCCGACGTCGGCGAGGCGCTGGGCACGTCGTGGGCCTCCGGGCAGCAGCTGCTTCGGCCTACGCAGGGCGAGAAGCTGCTCCAGACCGGCGCGCGCGGCTTCGTGCGCGCCTTCGTCGACAAGATCAGCACTTTGATGACGGCGATCCAGCAGGGCCCGCTGCGCCCTGAGCGCATGGCTTGCGCGGCTTGCGCGGATCAGTCGCAGAAGAACGCGGCGGAGGGCGCCCTCCTGACGGCGGGTGTGCTGCCCCTCGCCCACGAGTGCGGCGCGGCGGCGGCCGCGACCACCAGCGGCCCCATCGCGGGCGACACGGATCACGTTTGGCTCGATATCGGCCAGTCGCTCAGCGGCGGCTGCGGCGGCGGCTGCGGCGGCGGCTCCGGCGGCGGGTCTGGCGGCGGCGGCGGCGGCAGCCGGCAGGCGACGGAGGCGGCGCTCTCGACAGCGCGCCGCACCCAGCGCTCGCTCCAGAGCACCGGCACGCACGGCGCGATCATCGGACGGAAGGGGCGGACGGTGCCGGCCTTTGCGCACCCCTCGAGCGCGTCCGAGCTCATTGGCGCTGAGACCGCACCTTCAACGGCCGCTATCGAGGCGAAACTCGCCGTCGGCGGGGCTGAAGTCAACGGCGAAGAGCACGGCCTCGCCGCACCGCTCCACGCGAGCAAGGGGCGAGTCGGCACCGACGGTGGGAGCGGCTCCTCCCCACCCGGCCTCGCCGTGGCCAGTACCTCCAGCCCCGGCGCTGACATCGACGTGGTCGCCGACCCCTCGTCGGGCGGGACCGCGACTGTCCACGCGAGCGCCACGGCGCACTCCGCTGGCACGCGGGCGGCGACGCTCCGTGCGGCGTCCGCCGTGCAGGGCAGCAACACGAGTCGGCTCGCGTCTCCCAAGGCGCTTCCCTCTGGGCTGGTCGCAAGTTGCCAGATGCGGCTCTCTGAGCCAACCCTCGCCTGCCGCGCCGACGTCGGCGAGGCGCTGGGCACGTCGTGGGCCTCCGGGCAGCAGCTGCTTCGGCCTACGCAGGGCGAGAAGCTGCTCCAGACCGGCGCGCGCGGCTTCGTGCGCGCCTTCGTCGACAAGATCAGCACTTTGATGACGGCGATCCAGCAGGGCCCGCTGCGCTCTGAGCACGAGGTTTGCGCGGCTTGCGCGGATCAGTCGCAGAAGAACGCGGCGGAGGGCGCCCTCCTGACGGCGGGTGTGCTGCCCCTCGCCCACGAGTGCGGCGCGGCGGCGGCCGCGACCACCAGCGGCCCCATCGCGGGCGACACGGATCACGTTTGGCTCGATATCGGCCAGTCGCTCAGCGGCAGCTGCGGCGGCGGCTCCGGCGGCGGCTCCGGCGGCGGGTCCGGCGGCGGGTCTGGCGGCGGCGGCGGCGGCAGCCGGCAGGCGACGGAGGCGGCGCTCTCGACAGCGCGCCGCACCCAGCGCTCGCTCCAGAGCACCGGCACGCACGGCGCGATCATCGGACGGAAGGGGCGGACGGTACCGGCCTTTGCGCACCCCTCGAGCGCGTCCGAGCTCATTGGCGCTGAGACCGCACCTTCAACGGCCGCTATCGAGGCGAAACTCGCCGTCGGCGGGGCTGAAGTCAACGGCGAAGAGCACGGCCTCGCCGCACCGCTCCACGCGAGCAAGGGGCGAGTCGGCACCGGCGGTGGGAGCGGCTCCTCCCCACCCGGCCTCGCCGTGGCCAGTACCTCCAGCCCCGGCGCTGACATCGACTTTGTCGTCGACCCCTCGGCGTGCCTTGAGCTGTCGCTGCGTAGGCAGGTCAAGAAGACGGGGGCGGGCCGCAGCCACGAAGCTGGCTCCGTGCATTGGCTCGCCAGCGCACGTGCTCTCCGAGTTGGCATTGTGATCCTCTTCTTCCTCGACATGTCGGACGAGTGCAGCGGCGGCGTCGCCCCCGATGCGCGCAAGGGCCCCGGTTTTTGCCCCGAGATCGGCACGGCGCAGGACTTGGTTGATCGTTTGGGGTGGGGCGCCGTTCCTCGCCTGTGGCTCGGCGCCGCTGCCTCACACACAGCCGTTACTTGCGGCGCCGCGCCGGGCGCCGAGCTCCCCTCCGCTAGCGAAGCCACCGGCGCCGCCACGATCGGTGCCGACTACGCTGCTGGGCAGCTGGTCGAGACGGGCCTCCGCGTGGGAGTTACTGTGCTGCTCGGGATGGCGGTCTCGCTCACACGGACCCCCGGCATCGTCCGCGTGGCTTCCGTTGCGTTGGTCATCGGCAACGCGGCCGCGTCGCCGCCGCCGTCCTCGCCGCCGTCGCTGCCGCCATCGTCGAGTTGGAATGTCCGCTCTCCAGGATGCGTAGCGGGCTCCAACCTGAAAAAATACCTAGGCGAGTCGCTGACCACGGCCCAATGCCAGGAACGCTGCGTCGAATGGGCAGGGGAACAAGCATGCGTGGGGTTCGAGTTTGGCGTCAATCACGGCAGAAACGATGACTACAAGCCGGGAGACTGCGTACTCTCAAGCAGCGCAGACGCCACCGAGATCTGCGGGGCTCGGCACAACCTCGACTTCTACTACCGGCCGTCACCGCCGTCGCCGTCGCCGCCGCCGCCGCCGCCGCCCCGAACACTAGATTATAACGCCGCGTGCTTCACTCTAGACGATCGGCCGCTCGACGAGTGCTGCGCGCACAGAGACGGTAGGAGGGACAGCGTGTACTACGAAAGCAATTGCGTCCCGCTGACGACCGGCCGCTGCCAGCCGGAGTGCTGGGCCAAGGGCGAATGCGGCTCGGGCGCCGACTACGACATGGACGGCAGTCAGATCATCCCTTGCAGCTCGAGTTGGCAACACTTTCCTCAAGCTTGCGTTTATGGCAACAATCTGGAACCGAAACACTATGGCAAGACCACGGCCCAATGCGAGGCTCTCTGTGTCGCATACGGCACAACATGCTTGGGCTTCGAGTTCGGCGTCAATCACGGCAGAGGCGATGACAACTGGCCGGGAGACTGCCAGCTCTCAAGCAGTGCTGCATACTCCACCACGGGCTGCGGGCAATCCCACAACCTCGACTTCTACGTCCGTCCGCCGCCGCCGCCGTCGGCGCCGCCGCCGCCCTCCCCACCGCCGTCACCGCCGTCACCGCCGTCGCCGCCGCTGCTGCCTCCGACGCCGCCGTCGATGCCGCCGCCGCCACCCTCCCCGCCGCTGCCGCCCTTCACTCCGGGCAACGAGCTCGTCCGGACCGTGGATGAGCTACGCGCGGCTCTCGAGGGTAACGCCTCAGACATAGTGCTCGCACCGGGTCGGTACTCGCTTACTAAGCAAATCGTGATCGAGCGATCGCTCACTCTCCGTGCACTCACGCCAAGGACAGCGGTGCTCGATGGAGGGGACAAAACAAGGGTGATCTACGTCGACATGAGCAGCAGGAACATAAGGTGCAAGAACGACGACGGTTGGTTAAACACCAAGTACGAGTCCGTGTTTCTGGACGGACTCGTCATTCAAAATGGACGGAGTGATGGTGGTGCGGGGATCTTTGCGATTGCAAGTGATGAATGTCGCTTGCACCTGAACGTCAAGGACAGCGAGTTTAATGACAATGTTGCGGGGGCGGCGAATACTCCAGACCACGCCTATTACTTCGACGCTTTCGAATACTACCCTGATCGTCAACAGGAGCGTGGCAGATCTGGCTCGGGGGGCGCACTCTCCACCGACCTTCCTGTTTACAGCTCTATCTCGAAGTCTGTCTTCCGTCGCAATCGCGCCCACGGAGAATCATACCAGAAGACAGGAACATACGATGGCACGGGCGGTGCCATCGCTGTCCACTCCAGTCGCGCGCTCTTCATCGACGAGTGCGTGTTTGAAGATAATCACGCCGACCGCGAAGGCCACCACCTTTTTGCTGAAATTAGACAACAAGGAGGGCAGAATTTCCCCAGTGAGTGGCAGAGTGGCTTTCCGGCAGAATACGGTTTTAGTGCAGTTGTCGATGCAAATGCACCGTACCAGAACTTTGTCGTGAAGGACAGCACGTTCGGGCCTTACCAGTGGCCCAGCACGGGGCCGACAAACAGTAAGCCCCAAAGGTGGGCCAAAGGTGGGCCTGCACTCATCGCCGTCCCGATTCAGCTCAACTTTTACTGTCCACTCGGCATGTGGATGCCGAACGATGCCGACGTGAGAAGGCCATTTACAGACTGCGCGAACTACTGCAGTGCGGGCCGGTATGGCGACCGACACAATATTACCGAGCCCGATTTGTGTCCCATCTGCCCTGTCGGCCACTTTTGTCTGGAAGGGAGCGGGCAACCCAATGCCTGCCCGAGCGGCACCTGCATGCCATTTAATGGGGCTATCAGTAGCACTAGCTGCATTCTGTGCTCTCCGGGCTCCTTCGCTGCCACGGCCGGCCTCTCCGAGTGCGCCAGCTGTGAGGGCGGGACGTACCAGAGCGAGTCGAACGCGACGAGCTGCCTTCCGTGCGAGATGGGCAGCTACTGCGAGCCGGGCGCGTCGAGGCCGCTGCCGTGCGAGGGTGGGTCCTACTCGAACAGGACGGACCTGTCGGCCGCCTCGCAGTGCACGCCCGCCGATCCGGGCTACTTCGCGGTGACGCGCTCCACGCAGCAGGCGGCGTGTGCCAAGGGGTCGTACACGAACGCGTCGATGCCGGTCAAGGACAGCTGCACGCCCTGCGCCGGCGGGTCGTACCAGGACGAGGCCGGCGCGACGGAGTGCAACGCGTGCAAGCAGGGCCATTACTGCCCTGCTGGCGCGCCGGCGGCGCTGCCGTGTATCGGCGGCAGCTACTCGAGCGCGACCGACAACGACGGGCAGGGCGACTGCACGCCGGCCGATGCTGGCTCCTTCGCGGTGACGGGCTCCACGCAGCAGAGGCCGTGCGCCAAGGGGTCGTACACGAACGCATCGATGCCGGTCAAGGACAGCTGCACGCTCTGCGCCGGCGGGTCGTACCAGGACGAGGCCGGCGCGACGGAGTGCAACGCGTGCAAGCAGGGCCATTACTGCCCTGCTGGCGCGCCGGCGGCATTACCGTGCGAGGCTGGCAGCTACTCGCGCGCCACCAACCTCTCCGCCGCAAGCGAGTGCACCGACGCCACGCCGGGCCACTTCGCCACCACCGGCTCCACCGAGCAGACGGCGTGCGCCAAGGGGTCGTACACGAACGAGACCAGGCAGGGCGAGTGCACGCCCTGTCCCGCCGGCACGTACCAGGACGCGGAGGCGCAGACGGCGTGCAAGCCGTGCGAGGCGGGCGGCTACTGCGCTGTTGGCGCGGCGGCGGCGCTGCCGTGCGAGGCTGGCAGCTACTCGCGCGCCACCAACCTCTCCGCCGCGAGCGAGTGCACCGACGCCTCGCCGGGCTACTTCGCCACCACGGGCTCCACCGAGCAGACGCCGTGTCGCGATGGCAGCTTCACCTCCGGCGCGCGCAGCGCTACCTGCCAGCTGTGCACTGAAGGTTCGTACCAGAACGAGACCGGCGCGACCAGCTGCATCGACTGCGAGCCAGGCAGCTATAGTGCGGCCGCCGGCAGCGCTCTGTGCCTGTTGTGCCCTCCGGGCGAGGTGAGTAATCTCAGTGGAAGCGTGAGCTGCACGGCCTGCGGCACTGGCACCTTCAGCGGGTCCCCAGGTGGAACGGCGTGCGAGCTCTGCAGCACGGGAGGCTACTGCACCGGCAGTGACTCCTGCGGCGGCGGTTTCACGCCCTGCCGTCCGGGAACGTACAACGAGGAGGAGGGGAGCAGCTCGTCCGCCGACTGCCAGCAGTGCCCCCGCGGTACTTTTAGCCCAGACACCGGCGCAAATAGCGGCGAGACGTGCAGGAGCTGCCATGCCGGGACGTTTGGCGACGAGCCCGGGCGCAGCGAATGCACGGATTGCCCTGCAGGACAGTACCAGAACGACACGGGCGCCACAGCCTGCCGCAACTGCGAGGCGGGCAGCTACTGCCCCGTTGGCGTCTCTGCGCCACTGCCCTGCCCCGCCGGGACGCACATCAACGCCTCTCTGCTAATCATGACGAGCTCGGACGATTGCGTCACCTGTCCGGCCGGCACGTTTTGCCCGACCGGCTCTGATGAAGCCACCGACTGCGCGCCGGGCACCTTCACCGCTCTCGCCGGGCAGCCCAAGTGCGAGCCGTGCGAGGGTGGGACCTACCAGCACGACAAGGGTGCGACGGGCTGCCTGCCGTGCTTGGAGGGCAGCTACTGCGAGCCGGGCGCGGCAGCGCCGCTGCCTTGCAACGCGGGTTCCTACTCGACCGCCACCAACCTCACCGACGCGGGCGAGTGCACCGCCGCCGATCCGGGCCACTTCGCCACCACCGGCTCCACCGAGCAGACGCCGTGCGCTCCAGGTAGCATCGCCCCCTCGGCCAACATGTCCGCGTGCGAGCTGTGCTCGAAGGGCAAATACGCAGCCTCCACCACCGCTTGCGAGGAGTGCAAGTCGGGCACCTATGCGGCGAGTGAGGGCCTCTCGCAGTGCACCCTCTGCCCCTATCCCCTCGGTAGCGGCAGCGGCGACGTCACCTGCTCCATCTGCAAGGAGGGCTTCTACTTGCAGGACCCCTCGGCCGACCCAGACGACATCTTCAAATCCCCGACCGAGTACTGCAAGCCCTGCCCGCGAAACGCGACATGCCCAGACAACACTACCCTTTCGTCCCTCGTCATCCGACGCGGCTTCTGGCGCGCCAGCCCCTCCTCCGCCGTGCTGACAGAGTGCCGCCTCTTTGGCGGCGATGACAACGCCGGCAAGAGGCGATGCGCCGGCAGCGAGCCGTTAGGCACCTCTCGCGGCCGCAGGATGGCGGAGGCGGGCTCGGAGTACTGCGCTTCGGACTTCAAAGGCCCCGAGTGCCAGCTCTGCGCCGCGGAGAATCACTACCTCGTCGACGGCGACGAGTGCAAGGAGTGCGCAGCACGCGGCGCTGCTGCGGGTCGCATCGTAGGCCTCGTCCTCGGCCTCTGCGTCGCGTGCGGCCTGGCGGCGTATTGCTTCAGCATGACGGACTGGCGGAAGAAGTCCTACATCGGCCCCATCCTCCGGTTTGCAGACCGCGTCGTCAAGTACTACGTCCTGGGCGGAATGACGGCCAAGGTCAAGATCCTTTTTGGCTTCTACCAGATCTGCACCGTTCTGTCGTCTACCTACTCCGCGCGGCTGCCCCCGAAGTACACGGGCTGGACGGACAAGCTGGCCAAGGCGGTCTCCATCGATTGGTCTGGCTTTTTCCTGCCGGAGCAGTGCCTTGGCTACGACTTGCGGCTCCTCGCCATCGCTCTCTCCCCCATCGCCCTCATCGCGCTGCTAATGGTCGCGGGAATAAGTCTGCGGCTCCACCTCTGGCGCGCCGCCCCGGCGCCGCGCGAGAGATCGTGGTACGCCGAGGCGGCCCTCGGCCTCCTCGATCTCACTCCGGCGGGCTTGGTGCTCATCTTCTGCTTTGTGCCCTCCATCAGCGCCTCCATCTTCCGCTCCTGGTCGTGCCAGGCGCCCTTCACAGCCGATGACTACCGTTGCTCACAACCGCACCCCTCAGTCCTCGCGACGTTCTGCTGATAGGCCTACACCGTCTCTCCGCCAAACGAGCCCCTGCGGCAGGTCTCCTACATGCGGCAGGACGCGAGCGTCGAGTGCGGCACCGACGATCACGGACCCATCACCGACCTCGCCATCGGTCTCATCGTCCTGTGGCCCGTCGGCTCGCTGGTCCTCTTCACGTCGCTCCTCGCCGCTTGCTACAAGTCGCTGCAGGACAAGACGCCGAATGCTCTTACGCGGGCCACCGCCTTCCTCCACCGGGAGTACGAAAAGACCTGGTACTGGTGGGAGGCGATCGAGCTGGCGCGCAAGCTCGTGCTCACGGGCTTCGTGCTGCTGATCCCGGAGAAGAACGCCTTCCTTCGCCTCGTGGTGGCGACCCTCATCTGCTCGTGCTACGCCGTCGCGCTCGCCGTCGTGCGCCCCTACAAGCGGGTCGGCGATGATGTGCTAGCCGTTGCCACCAGTCTCGTGCTCCTCCTGCTCTTCCTTGGCACCAACTGGACCACCATCTTCCTCGGCATCGAGGAGCGGTACCAGGGAGTAGATCCCGCCGATGTCCTCGGCTTCGGCAATCTCAATGTAATCGTGGACACGATGATCGGCCTCGTCGCAGTCGTGCTCGTGTTCTTCTCAATCGGCGCCGTCGTCGCTGCCCGCCGCGTCGCCAAGATCCCCACGATCCGCCTCGTCTCGACCAAGCAGCCCCCCGAGCTGAGCGTCGGGATGGGCCTCACGTGGCACCTCTTCAACAGCCACATCTGGTGAGTCACAGCTATGGAGGGAGAAGAGGAGCAGGAAGCCGGTATAGAGTCACCACCTCCGAATAGGTCGACCGGTCAGGACGCCGTCGCCGTCATCAAGAATGAGCTCCAGCAGCTCCTGCCGGGCATCAAGATCTTTCTCGACGCGCGCAGATGCTCAGCACCGCTTCGAAGCTACACACCGCCCCTCTGACGCATCGCGGTGTGCTCTCATAGGTAGATGATCTCGAAGACATCGGGGCGCTCGAGGAGTACATCCAGCGCTCGCAAGTCATCCTCTTCTTCCTCTCGAGGGGCTACTTCCGCTCCAAGGCGCGTCTCTCCCTCCCACCCCGCCTCCGCCGTACTCTGGCCTCACCTCCCGCGCCTCCCGCGCCTCAGAACTGCCTCCGAGAGATCCGCTCGTCGCTCGAGAAGGACAAGCCGCTGGTCCTCGTCCAAGAAGCGGACCCTGACAAGGGCGGCGGGACGCTCCAGGCGCTGCGCGCAGAGTGCCCCGAGGACCTGCAGCCCGACATCTTTGACAAGGACTGGCCGCTCACGATCTGGTATCGCATTGCAGAATTTCAGCTCATCTCGCTCAAGATCATCGCCGAGGCGCCGTGGGCCACAGCCAGCCGCTTCGCAGTCCCTCTCTCCCGACCGACTCCACTTGAAGCACCCTAGGCGGTGCTCCTCTGCTCGCCCAACTTTAGTGACAAGACCTCCCTCCCGCTCCACGTGTCGGGCGAGCCGGAGAGCCAGTCGCTCGTTTTTGCCAAACGGTGTACGCTCTGGGCCTCGCCGGCCAACGCGGGCGCACTGGAGCTGGCCAACGAGATCGCCGACGCCTTTAACGGCCTCACGATCTCCACCACCGATGCTCGGCCGGCCAACGCGACGCACATGCTTCTCTACCTCAACGAGGACAGCTTCGTCACCGATGAGCGGCTGGCCGAGCAGGTCAAGCAGGCGCGCGAGGACAGGCTGAAGATCGTCATGGCGCACGAGAACGCCCTGGACCTCGGCGGCTGCCCCTTCTCCAAGTTTTTCGAAACCACGCCGCAGGAGCGATTGTCTCGCGGTGACGGCTATCCCGAGCCTCCCCTCCGCCTGCATCCCTCTCCTTCCAATGCCGCAGGAGCTCATCGCCGGCGGACTCTACAAGGACCTGGCAAACTCGTGCTTCCCCGGGCGCCACCGCAAGGCGCGCGCCCTCTCCCCCACAGCTCGCTTTGCGCACATCGAGCTTCGTGACGGCGTCCCTACTCATAGGTGTCGCTCGTGCTTCTGGCAAAGCGCCTCGGCGCGACCCCCGCTCGGTCGCGGGCGGACCTCCTCGTTTCGGGCAGCATCGCCGAAGCGGGGGACCTCATTTCCGGTGGCATTGGCGGGGGCAGCACCAGCCTCGCGAGGCGCAGCTTTGGCGGCCTCAGCCGGGTGTTCGCCATGAGCAGCCGCAGCTCTGCGGAGACTCGTGAGCCTGCGGCGCGCGACGGCTCTGGAGGCGAGGCAAAGGCGCACGCCCACCTCTGCCTCGACCAACCCGCCCTCGCCCAGTGGGGCATGGGTGCGGACGAGCTTTGGTTCCCGTGCCGCATCCTCAGCCTGCGGCACGACGGGACCGTTGACGTTAAGTACGACGACGGCAACATTGAGCGATCGAAGCTTGCCAGCCGAGTCGTCAATTGCACGCCGGCCGAGGCGGCGCAGCGCGCGATTGACGGCTGCGATGCGTCGTCATCGGTGTCGGTGTCGGTGCCGGGCGAGGCGTCGTCGTCGACATCGGTGATGGTGAAGCATCAGGTCTGATCGGTTGAGGGACCCCTGTGACCTTGAGGTGGGTCGTGCTGCCGAGAGGGGCGCGCGCGCGGTCACGATACATTGAACCAACAATATTCGAGAGCGGGTTGCACGGGGGGAGAGAGTGCACGATTGTGGGAAGTATAGAGACACAGAACTCCGTGTGTGTCGCGGCGAGGGTTTTAGATGCCTTTTAGATGTGTCCCCTCAACCCTGATGGATGGACTGAATGCTGAAACGTTCGTCCACCCACCCCCGAAGGGCGAAGCGGCGCAGGCCGACCGGGAGCGGGACGGCCGTCGCCCCAGGCCCATGCCCCAGCCCCTCTCTCTCGCCGCAGCCTCTCCGAGCTACGCGCTAGCAGGAGGCCGATAAATAAAATCGACTCCAGCCACCATCCCCGTCATCCAAGTTGCAAGTAGATCCACCGGGCCTCCTCGCTCCTGTATGGCGCGCCCGCGGGCGCCACGACAAGCGAGGGATTCAAGTGTGATGAGCGATGACCGGGAGCGATGACCTGTGTGCTGTCTGTGAATGGGCGATCGGCATCGGGTCCACTTGTCTCGACACTCGAGAGGACCCGAACTCAGATTAGAATTTTACAACTAAGCTCCCTCGCACGACACTGGGCTCAGGACAAAGATTAGAACTGCAGACTCCTGGGCAGTTGGCCCCACCAGTCTCTCCGCCGCTGCTGCCACCGTCGCCGCTGCCACCGTCTGCCCCGCCGTCGCCGCCGCCGCCGTCGCCTCCGCCGTCCGCGTCCTAGTGCGGGCTGCAGCTCTGTGCTGGACTGCGCGGCGTGCACATGCACCTTTCATGTGCTGCCCCGTCACCACGTCGAGCCGCAGCCGCGCTATCACCACGCAGGTGACGGCTGCGACGGTCGCGAGCGCACCTTAATCGCCACGGCTCCACCCGACGACCACACTCACTCGTACGTCCCAGATGTCGCATAAGCCACGGCATGGCGCATGCCATGAATTAGCGCCCGATTCATCCTATTATTCTGGCTCCGGTGGTTTGCCTGTGATAGTGCTAGCACGCGCCAGTCCGCACCTGTGTCGAGCCTGTCTGCTGTGAGAGAGAGTTGTTTTCACTTAAATAAATTCTTCTCTCGCTCCTGCTTCCCAGCAAGCAAGCCCCAGGGCCAGGCCTTGCTTGTGTGGTCTCGTTGTTGTCGTTGTGTTTGTGCGAGGCAGCTGCCATAAATTATTTTGGCACAACACTGGGCCGCACCTAAAAGAAAGAAAGAAACCGAAAAACCAAGGGAGGAAATGGGAGGACGACGGCACGCCGCCCCACATAGCTCACAGGGATTTTAAGGAGAGGAGTGTGGTGTGCTAGCCGTCGCCCACCCTTGGGCGTCTGACTCTCCTATCTCATTCGCAGTCTCGCGCGATGTGGGTTTCTTTCCCGCACAACACTGGGCGCCGCCCAGAAATTCTTTTCCGAGAGATTTGTGTTGCGTTTCCGCGGCAGTCCCGGCCGTGGCAGGGAGTTTTGACCGCGCAAGACAAAGGGTGGCTAAGGGCTCTGCCCGCAAGGCGCCCGCGTCGCCGACGCGGTACCATTGACTAATCCCGGAATCACACCCACACGACCAAATAGCGAAAATCCGAATACCGTGCAAAAACCACGGAATCTGGGACGAAGAACGTCGGTTCAAAAAACGCTGAACATGGGATTGGACGGACGAAATGATCGCGGAAAAGCGGGACCGCATCGCGACCTCGGGGGTTCACCATATGCCGAGCCTGCTCGGCCTGCCATGCGCGCGCGCGCCTCGCCCGAGCGCAGCCACCTGCGGACCTGGCCAGCCTGTTCCTGGCTCGTGCCCAGCCTCTCCTTCCGCTGCCGCCGGCCTCGCAGTCCCGCCAGCCATCACGCTGCAGAGCCTGCGTAGACGCCACAGACGCCAATTCTGCAGCCTACAGCCCTGGCAACTGAGGGCGAGGGCCAGCAGTATACGACGACGACGACATCTCACACCCCGCGCTGGCCAGCGCCATCAGCCCCTCACGGCCCGGCCCAACCTTCCCTTCCCCACCCTCGCAGTGCCTCCAATCAAGTCGCACCTCTCTTCTTCAGCGAATGCAGCGGCAGCACCACGTCAGAGGCCGGGGCAGGGGCGGCTCAGGATCACAGACACCCCTCTCAGGATCACAGCACCGGCGGGGGGGGCGCCTCAGGATCAAGCACCCACGGCAGGGTCTGTGGGGATCAGCAGACCTTGAGGGGGCGCGCTGAGGATCATAGGCCTGAGAGGGGTGCTGTCAAGATCACAGGGCTGCAAGGGTGGCACTCGAGATCAGAGCGCCAAAATAGGTGCAATACAGATCAGCGGCCGGAAGTGGGCGCAATAAGGATCATGAGCGCCGGATCGGGTGCAATAAGGATCATGAGCGCCGAACGGGTGCAATAAGGATCATGAGGGTTTTGTGGTCTGTGCGCGGACGGCCCGGGGAGCCTGCGGCGCTATTTTAACCTGCCCCGACAGAGTCTCTCGATACGGCGCGCGGCGGCGCCGCACCCAGCAAGCTGGGGCCGCTCCTTACGGACTCGTCGCTGCGCTCCTCAAGGCAAACACGGAGCGCGCTGCGCGCGCGGTCTACGCCGAATACTGCGGCCGCCGTCACGACTGCCATCCTCGGCGGCGCCGAGCGCGCGAGCGGCGCCGATGGCCAGCCCGGCGCCACTTCCCAGCGACAAGCGCATGAGCGTTTGGACGCGCATGAGCGACCCGGTCCAGCGCACGTGATTGGGCGCGCGACGGTTTCATGATGTCAATTGCACCAATTTCGGCGCTCGTGATCCTTATTGCACCCGTTCCGGCGCTCATGATCCTTATTGAGCCCACTTCCGGCCGCTGATCTGTATTGCACCTATATTGGCGCTCTGATCTCGAGTGCCACCCTTGCAGCCCTGTGATCTTGACAGCACCCCTCTCAGGCCTATGATCCTCAGCGCGCCCCCTCAAGGTCTGCTGATCCCCACAGACCCTGCCGTGGGTGCTTGATCCTGAGGCGCCCCCCCGCCGGTGCTGTGATCCTGAGAGGGGTGTCTGAGATCCTGAGAGAGGCTTATCTGTCAGAGGCCGGGCCGACTGGCGGACCTGCATGCCCAGCCCCCACTCCCCACCCGCTTGGATCGATCAGCTGACAGCTCCACCAGCTCCCACCACCGCGTGTCGTGTCATGAAGCATGATAGCCGATAGTTAGAAAGCATGAACCATCGAAAGGTCTGATCTCCAAAAAGAGCTCTCGGCCTGCCGCGTTTAAGAGCACTTGGACCCGAGAAGGTGACGAGAAGCGTTCCGGTGGTCTCAGGCCCAGTGAGGTAGTGCACCGGTCTAACTCGGATCCTGCTGAACAAGTTCCTCTTGTAGCTCGATCGGTCACACCGCCATCGCCGTCGGGGAGAGAGGGGACCACGGCACTGCTTCTGCAGCGTGCACCTCGATCCTGTACCGTGTTTGTCATGACCCCCCCCAATGAACACACCAGTGAGGGTGGGCGAGACGATCGAGGGGTCCCGTACCATGCGGAATCGACCCTATCATAGACTCGGTCGAGAGACCCCAGATTGGCATCCATGCCTCTCTGGACAGGGTGGCCCGCCACAACGACCCCTGGAATTGCGACTCGCCGCTTTCCTCCCGCTGTGATTCTGTGTGAGCTCTGTGTCTTGATTTGCCAACAATATACCTACAATCAAGTGCTCTGCTCAAGCACGGCACCGATTACTTCTTTTCGCGCGGCGGCCGCTGTGTGCCTCTACGCTGTGTGCCTCTTCGCTGTGTGCCTCTTCGCGTTAGTGCACCTTACTCCATGTGGAACGTGTATGCCTCCTCCGTGAGCGCCTTGGCGGGCCGTTCGGTGCTCATGGCGCACCTGCGGCCTGTGAGCAGCAGCCGCATCGCGCTTTGTGGCGCGTCTGCGCCCACCCAGTCGTACGAGAAGCTCAAAGCCCTCCTTCGAGAGGTCGACGCGCTGAGCGAGATCCAAGGGATTCTCGGCTACGACGAGCAGGTCTTCATGCCTCCCGGGGCGGCTGCTTCGCGCGCCAAGCAGAAAGGGGCTCTCGCAAAGATCCTCCACGACAAGTCGACTGGCACCGAGATGAGGGAGGCGATCGACGGCGTGCGCGGCCGCGAGGAAGACTTCGACGACGTCCGGGTGCGAGCGAACATTCGCGACGCGGTGGATGCCTTTGACAAGGAGGCGCGCAAGTCCTCCGAGCTGCGCAGAAGGAGGCGCAGCTCGAGTCGGAGGCGAACCAGGCGTGGGCGGCGGCGCGCAAGGCGTCGGACTTCTCGCTCTTCGCGGGCAAGCTGACCGAGATCTTCGAGCTCAAGAAGGAGGTCGCGGCAGTCACGCGGCCGGCTCTCAAGAGCGAGCCGTACGACGGCGCGCTCGACGCGTTTGAGTGCGGCATGCTAGACGCCGGAAAAGAGCACACACCGAGTTACCCACCCCACACTGCGTTGCCTGCTTCTTCTCGCCTGTCTTCATGCCGCCTGTGCTCTTCCTCCCAGGCGCGGCATGCGCGCAGAGCGCCTCGACGAGATCTTCGAGGAGCTTCGCGCGGGCCTGGTGCCGCTGCTCGAGGCGATCAACGCCAAGAAGGCCGCGGCTTCGTCTGCCGACGCGAGATGATCCGAGATTTCCCGGGAGGAGCCGAGGTTGCCCGAGGCTGTAGGCCTCCGACCCGTCGGTCGACGCGCCGCACCCGTCGCTCGCGTTTGGCGACCAGTGGGACACCGAGGCGCAGGCGGCGCTCTCCCGCGACGTTGCGGCGAAGATGGGCTACTCGTTCGACACCGGCCGGCTCGACGTGTCGACCCACCCATTCACCGGCGGCGCGGGCCCGCGGGACGTGCGCATGACGACGCGATACTCGGCCAACTGGGCGGAGGGCTTCGGCGCGACCATCCACAAGAGAGAGTGAGCGGGCCACTCTCGAGATCCGCCGAGATGCGCCGAGATGCGCCGAGAGTAGGCGCGACGATCCACGAGTGCGGCCACGCGCTGTACGAGCAGGGGAGGGACGTGGGGGAGGAGGGCCTGGGGCTGCCCGCCTCGCGGGCGCTCTCCATGGGCGTGCACGAGTCGCAGTCGCTGCTGTGGGAGCGGATGGTGCTGCAGTCCAAGCCGTTCTGGGAGTTCGCGGCGCCCCTCTTCCACGCGCGCTTCCCGTTCACCGCCGAGGCGACGGCGGCCGACTTCTTCCGCACGTACAACCGCGTGTCGCCCGGCTGCATCCGCGTCGAGGCGGACGAGGTCACGTACCCTCTGCACGTGATCCTGAGGTACGACATCGAGCGCGCGCTCTTCCGCGGCGAGATGGAGGTTGCGGAGGTGCCGGCCTACTGGGTGAGGCGCATGAAGGAGGACCTGGGCGTACACGTGCCCGACGATGCGCGCGGCTGCCTGCAGGTCGGCCACGAGAGGGCCCGAGAGGGCCTGGATGGCGTCGGACACCCGCGGGCTTCTCGTCCCCTCTCCTCGCCACACCTCGACTGCTCTCGGCCCCTCTCCTCTCGGCTCCTCTCCTCTCGGCTCCTCTCCTCTCGGCTCCTCTCCTCTCGGCTCCTCTCCTCTCGGCTCCTCTCCTCTCGGCTCCTCTCCTCTCGGCTCCTCTCCTCTCGGCTCCTCTCCTCTCGGCTCCTCTCCTCTCGGGTGACGCGTCTCGGATGATCTCGGGTGATCTCGGGTGATCTCGAGTGATCTCGAGTGATCTCGGGTCTCTCCCCGCCCACAGGACATCCACTGGTCCTTTGGCGCGGTCGGCTACTTCCCGTCGTACACGCTCGGCGCGATCATGGCGGTGCAGATCTACAACGCCGCCAAGGCCGACCTCGGCGCGGGCGCGCTCGAGGCGCAGATTGCCCGGGGCGAGTGCGGCGCCCTAGATGCTGGACCAGAGATGCGTATTCCAGCATTGGACGGCACTCGCTCGGCTGTATTCGAGACCCTTCGGTCCACGCTAAGCCCGGAGTGCACTTCACGCTGCCGCATTCACACCGTCACCTGTTTCTCGCGCACAAGGTTCGGCACGCTGCGCGAGTGGCTCCGCGAGAAGGTGCACGCAGTGGGGTCGGTGCATGCATCCCCCGACGCGTTGCTTACAAGCATCGCCGGAGAGCCCGTCTCGCCCAAGCCGTTCCTGGACTACCTCCGAGCAAAGTACAGCGAGCTTTACAGGCTCGAAGAATAGCCGGCGCGAGCGGTCCACCACAGGCCACTCGAGCTCCACAGCTGCAGGCCACTCGTATTATAATCTCACTCAAAATTATACGTCGTATTTTCTCACTTATTTTTGTGCGTGCGGTGCATGTCGACGTACCCACAACCCAGACGATGCAGAAGCCAGAAGCGGCAGAACCCACCGAGCACCGTGTGCGTGTGGTAAATCTCGACAAAAACTCGGAGGTGTATGTGAGGAATGAAACGGCGATCGGCGCGCGGTTCGCGCAGACACCAGCAACGGATTCAGAGAGCCAATAGAGCTTGCAGGGTCTACTAAAGGCTAAAGCGCGCAGCACCCACAACACCCACCAGGACATATCGGCCCAGTGCTTTCCAGAGAGATGAGAGTCCGTTCACGTCTTCGCCTGCGCCAGCCAGTACGGTAGACGGCATCTGCGAAAGTCTCCTTTGAACTCCGTCAAGATATCCTTCGGTCTTGAGGGCAGCGTTCGCTCAATCTCGTGTTCGTAGCACAGCACGGGCTGCCTCGCGACATAGTGGCCCTCCGTGGACTCAGCCAATCTCGCCAAGAGACAACGTCGTCAATCCGTGAATCAAGCCCAGCAGTGATGCAGTGAATACGAGCGCACTTCTCTTGTCTCGGAACACCAAAGGTGCTCGCATAGTGCCGCTTGATCAACAAGGCCACTGGTCCACCGACCGCACTTTGAAATCTCCACCTAGGAGTGTTGGGAGTGATGTGCAACAGAGCCAGCTGACAGACAGAGCTGTGCTGTGGTTCTGCTTTCCGGACACCGGAAACCAATGACATGTTGCGAGCAGCGTTGTTGATGTTCTGCGCGTCGCCACAGACGGCGGGCGGCGGCTCGCGAGAGCTGTGCGACTTGAAGCCCCCATCCGGTTTGAGGAGTCGAACCCCCTTTGTTTGTGGCCGGCGCCGACGTGTGGCATTAGGATTCCTAGACGTCGTTAGACGTGTGCACTGACGTGTGCATTAGCCAGCTCTCTCCTCTCCCCAGCACCCCAGCGCTCATCGGGCGGCCGACTTAATCCCGCATCCATGGCCGCCGCCGTCGACGTCGACGCGGCCGTCGAGCAGCTCGCCGAGGCAGCGGCCTCCAAGGCGAGCGGCATGACAAGGCGGCCGTGGCTCTGCTTCGTCCTCTCCACGCTCGCCCTCATCCTCGTCTTTGCCTCGAGCGGCCCGCTGCTCACGCTGCTTCCGGCGGCGCGCGGGAGCGCCACCGCCGCGTCGCCGGCCGCGCGGGCCCGCCCGCTCGCAGCAGCCACGCCACCAGCCGCGTCGCCACCGCCACCGCCTGCCGCGTCGCCGCCGCCGCCACCGGCCGCCTCCGTGGCGGCCGCCGTGTGCGGCGACAGCACGTGCGGCCCGGGCGAGTCGACGGCGTCGTGCCCGTCCGATTGCCCGGGCGTGACGACGCCTCCGCAATGCGGCGAGGAGCCGCACAGCGACCCGCAGGGCAACGCGGTCGTGGACGGGCGCGGCCACCACGTCGCGAGCGCGGCCGCCTGCTGCGACGCGTGCGCGGCGCACGCCAAGAAGTCCCCGAAGCGGCCGTGCAACTCGTGGGTCTTTTGCTACAAGCCGCACTGCTGGTCCGCCGACAACGGCAACACGCACCTCTTCGGTCTCCCGCCGCCCATGCAGGGGGAGGCGTCGCCTCGTGGGCCAGGCGGAGTGAGCCAGCCCGCCGCCCTCCGCCCCAGGCGAGTGCTGGCTCAAGTGGCAGAGCGACGCGGCGCACCCGCTGTACGGCCAGCGGGGCGCGTACACCGACGGGTACCGGCGCGCCAATCGCGACAAGCACCTCAACGGAAAGTACCCCGAGGCGTCCAACCCAGAGTGGGTGGGCGCCACCAAGGCGTGGGGCGAGGCGCACGGAACGGCGCCCTTTGGGGTCGCGCCGGGCAGCCGGCGCAACCAGAGCGTGCCGACCCACGTCTCCTGGATGGGCGGCGTGATGGGCGCCACAGTGGACTTGCACGTGAGCTGGACGACCGACGAGCATGGCACGATGCGCTCCTCGGCGGGAGATACGATCGTCGACTATCGCCCGTGGGAGAGCCGCGAGCAGAACCTCAAGAGGGGCGTCAAGCCCGAACAGATGAAGTTCTGAGTCGGCGGCGGCGGTTCGCGGCCGGCTGTGTTGTGTGTATATGCCTCGATAATTCGCACTTCGTGTGTCGGGGCTGTCGCGGTTAACATAAGAGTCGCCGATATTATACGACGGTCCTTGGTAGACATGGCTGGAGACGCACTACCGCAGCCATACCGCCCGCCTCGAGGTGAGCCCTCTTGGCTGAGCTGGCTAGAGGCTGCTCTATCTAAGTATCTTGAAAAAGATAAACGAAGTGAAAACAGTGAAACTCAGGTGCTGTCTGCTGATCTCAAAAATTCGATTTCGAATGGACAGACACTGATCAGTGCTATGGGTCTACATGCCCTGATCGCGATGCGTCCGCTGGTCCACAAGATCATTTTTTTCTGCAGGTGCGCCTCCCGGGTGGTGTCCTTCTCCCATCCGTGACTGTGTGTCTCACTCGTCACTGCCGGAGCTCGACTCGGCCCTCGATCTGGCTCGAGCGGGCGAGCAAGGCGGCGCGGTCGTCGAGCATCTCGCCGGGCCGCGACTCGAGCATCTTGGTCGAGAGCGCTAGCGATCCGTCGGCGAGGTCGACCTTGAGCACGACGCAGGTGAGCTCCTCGCCACGCGTCAGCACCTCGCTCACGTTCTGCACGTACAGCCGCGAGACCTGCGAGACGTGGAGCAGCCCCTCGAGCCCGTCGGCGAGCCGCACCACCGCCCCGAAGGGCACGAGCTTCGCCACCCTGCCAGAGACCAGCCGGCCAGGCGACAGCTCGTCGAGCCGCTGCTGGACCGCATGCCTAGCGCGGGAGAGCACGCGGGCGCTGAAGGGGCGGCTGGCGGGCGGGGATGTGGTCTCGGGGATGTGGTCTCGTGCAGTGCATTCCGAGCACCGCGTGAGGACGCGCTACGACTACAGCGAATGAGGCTGCGATGCGGCCGAACCGTCTGAGCACGTGCCGCCTCGTGCGCTAGTCGGAATGCTACAGCGATCTGCAATCCGCATCTGGGGTACGGCTCGCCTCCGGTGCGACACAACCATCCGGTTGCGGCCGGCGTCCACCTCCAAAAACTTGACGGGGAGGCGCGAGCCGAGCAGCGCCTTCCGGTCCGCCCACGCCGCCTCCGGCAGCTGCCAGTGAGACCACGGCACGAAGCCAGGGAGCCGCTCCACCTCCACGGTCGCGCCAGCGTCGGCGAGCGCGATGACAGTCGCATTGTAGGACACGTCGGCGCGGTGGAGCGACTCGACGCGTCGCCACGCCAGCGCGCGCTGCGCACGCGCCACCGACACGTTGACCTGGCTACCGGCAACTCCGACGACGAGCGCCTCGCGCACCTCGCCGGCGCTCAGGTCGGCGTAGCCTAGCGAGGCGGCGGGGAGGCATCAGAGGCCGCCGGTTGGGAAAAGCCCGGCGCCGGCCACACACCTTGGCCTGGGACGCGGCCACGGGTCGCGTTGGGAAGCAGCGCCGACTCGGACCGCGGCATCGTCGCCGGGCTGCCCGTCCCAATGTCCAGCTCGTAGCTCCCGTCCTCGCCGACGCCGAGCACCCGGCCGGCCACGATGGTGCCGACCGTCAGAGCCTTGACGTCCACGGATGGGATGGGCGGCGGTGCGCTGCACCGGATCACTCCATGTCGGTTCACGGTGTGCCGCGACGGAGGCAGCAGCGCGAAGAAGAGGTTTGCCAGAAGGTGCTTCATCTCCAAGGTCGGCTGTGCCACAGAAAAATGACAGCGGTGCCGACTGCTGGCGGCCAAACTTGCTCGGCGCCGAGGTCAGATCCTTCTACTCGACTGATGCAAGACTAGCCCTCGACAGGGGTTGGGAATTTAATGCAACTGCTAGCGGCTTTGCCGTTAGGGAGTTTGAGAGAGAGATTTTTAGCAATACCAAACAAATCTAACACTCACACGTCATTTGGGGCCTGGAGCCTGTTCACGCGCGCGCGAGACGTGCAGACAGGGTTGCCAGGTGAGAGCGAATGGCGCGGTTCACGCCTCGCACAACAGAGAGAGAGATGCGCTCTGCATGGTGGGACATAAAAGAGAGCGAGTACTTGGGCGAGTAGGCCGTGCGGTCGACGCTGCCGCGCGCGACTATGCGCGCGAGGCGGCGCAGTTTGAGAACGGCGGTGGGCGAGAAGCCGCCGCCGAACGTCTCGTGGTACGTGGAGCAGCAGGTTTTGTTGTTTGGAGTTTGTGTCCGCCGGACGGACGCCGCTCGCCCCTCTGTTCTGTGTAGAGTGCCCTGCAGCCCTGTAAGCGGCGAGGGACTCGGCGGCGTCCTGCGTTTCCCCGCCGCAACGCAGCCGCATGATCTGCGCTCGAGCAGCATCTCGCTGTTGGCTGCACACAAATTGCAACACACAAAAACAACTCTCTCTCTCAAATTGCCTCAGCTTCTAGGCTAGTGACAATTGCCTCAGCTTCTAGGCTAGTGAATGGCGCAAAGTTGGAAAGTACCTTTGCCACCTGGCTCCCAAACCCGAACGAAGATCAAAGCCCCAGGGGTTGGCGCGCGGCATGCGCGCGAATGGCCCCACACGGCCCTCTCGCTCGACCGACCACACTGCGGGCAGTTAACCAGGGGCCAGTGCGGCCATACGGGCTGGCGTGGGCGTTTCCGGGGTGGCGGCCGCACGATCAATCCTGGCCGTACTGCGCGCTGCTCCAGGATCGTAGCACCGGCCGATTCTGCAAGCCCAGCACTTTCAGGTGTGGATATCAGAACGGAAACTTCCAGCTGAATGTCTCGGGCCGTTGCAGGGGCGATTTCTTCTGCGGAGACGCGCAGATACCCTGCGGGTCCTACAAGTCCGAGAGAATGACCTGCGACTGTCTGGGGAATTTCCAGAGCATAGATTACCGCAACCTGCGATGCTCTGGCCGACCAGCCGACGGCGTGCAGCGTTTGCCAAAACCCCTGCAGTGGAAATTAGTGTTGGTCGCCGTCGTTCGTGACGAGTTCGACTATCTGCCCGATTGGGTTCTCTACCACAGAGCCCTGGGCGTCCACGCGTTTGTGCTAGTGTCGAATCAGTGCAGCAACGCCTCCCACCAACGCTTGCTAGACACCGTCGACGGCCCTAAGCAGCGAGGCGTGCTAGTTGAAGTCATGCCAAGCTTCCGATGTGCAAAGAAATTCCAGACCGCCGCTTATCGAGCCGCCATTCGGCACCTCTCGCTGCGCCAACAGCAACACCGCCTATCGCTGGTCGCCCACCGGACACGCGTCGGCTTCATAGACATAGACGAGTTCCTCGTTATCGGATCGCAGCCCAACTCTTTCAGCAGTCGAACTCTTTCAGACCAGCTCTTTCAGCCCGGCATGGGCTGTGCCACGCGCAACGGAAATTGCGTCGCCCCCCAAGCCTGTCAGGCTGCTCCCATGTGGACCGTGGGCTCGGTTGTCTTTGGAACCTCCTTTGTCGCACTTGCTCCTGAAATTGGCCCGGTCCCCGCCAACTTTTTGCTCGCAGCTCAGGACACCTGCGACCGCAACTGCACGGGGCCAGACATAGTCGCGCTGTCCCAGCGCTCGATGCACAAGTCGTTCTGCATCCTGAGCGAGCTAATTGCGCGCCCGAATCAAACATTCCCACTAGGATTGGGAAGCTGGGTGCACGAGTGCCTGCCGACAGCGCTCGGAGTCGCCCTGCCCGGCGCCGACGCGCGCCTCAATCACTACTTCACCAAGAGCCGCAGCGAATATCGTAAGAAGCGGTGGCGGGGCCGGGCAGACAAGCCCAAGAGCTGGTATGCAGATTTGAGAAATGAGTCGCTTTGGTCTGCGCGCGTGGACCTTCGCCTGGTAGAACAACTTGCACTACGGTACCAACACTCTAGCGGCCGAGAGGAGAAAATGCTGCTGCACTCCCTGATGCAGAGTCTACGGAATCGGTCCGCGCTCCCTGAAAGAGCGGCGGCCATGCTGTCTGCACACTGCATAGCCACCAAAAGCGTGGCGTGCACGTGGCTGGGCGTGGGTCACGCTGAGTCCTGATACCACACCCCTTGAGCAATCGTTGTTACCTTCGGTTGATGTGTTGTCTGTTGAGAGTGAGCTTTTTTAGCATACCTTCGGGTACAGGTGCGAGGTGGTGTTAAGAGCTAGTGCTCGATCCTGAACCTGTGTTATCCCCCCCGCCCCCCCCCCCCCCAACACACCAGTGAGGGCTGAGGGCGAGACGATCGAGCTTCGAGGGGCGGTCCCGTCGTTCCATGCGGAAGACCTTATCCCAGTGCTCAGTCTGTTGAGAGGGTACCACCCCTCCGTGCGCCTTTCGCTCAAGATCAAGCTGGGCAGTCGGATTTCTTTGTCTCTCTGCCTGCATTGCCACATCACATCGCATAGGGTGGAGGTGCTGTGAGTATGGCAGTGGCGGCGGGGAGTAGAGTACTGCTCGTCGCCTTCACGGCGTCTACAGCCGCACAGAACCTCCCTCTCCCGCCACTGCCATACGCCTACGACGCGCTTGAGCCGCACATCGACGCCACTACGATGGAGGAGCATCACTCCAAGCACCACCGAGCCTACACAAACAAGCTCAACGCGGCGTTGGAGACGCTGAGGGGTGACCCAGCGACCAAGGCGCTCGCAAAGCTGGGCATCGACACGCTGCTTCAGCGGCTCGACCAGATCACGGACTCGAAGCTGCGTGCCGCCGTGCGCAACGCCGGCGGAGGCTTTGTCAATCACGAGCTCTTCTTCGCAACCATGTCGCCCGACGGCGGGGGAGACATCGTGGAGCACGCCGGCCTTAACGCGGCAATCGTGTCGGCGTTTGGCACCATGGCGATGCTCAAGCGCGCGCTCAGTTTGTCGGCGCTGGAAGTGTTTGGCTCCGGCTGGGCCTGGCTGGCACTTGACCGGCGTTCCGACAAGCTGGTCGTCCAATCGACGCCGAACCAGGACACGCCAGCGATGGACGCATCGACGGTGCCGCTCCTCGGTATCGACGTCTGGGAGCACGCGTACTACCTCAAGCACCAGTCGCGCCGCGCCGACTACATCAAGGACTGGTGGCACGTCGTCTCCTGGCCAGAGGTCGCCCGCCGCTACGACGCCGCCCGCGCGGCCACGGGCAAGGCGGAGCTGTGAGGAGGTGAAGGGCCAGGTGCGTGGAGGCGGCGGCGCCGCGGCCGAATTTGGGCTGCTTAGTGCTCACGGTAGTGGAACTGTGGAGCACGTCGCCGGGCGCGAGGCTTGCGGCTTGAGGCGGCTCCGGCTGTGAAGCGGCGCTGCATGGCCCAGGCGCGCGCCAAGCGGAGGGCTGGCTGGAGGGCCTAGATAGCGACGTGAAAAGCGGAATGTGAAGAGAGCGTCTGTGAGTTCTGAGACGTGTCACGTGAGAGCCCCCCAAAAGGCGGCGCAGGGGGGGGGCGCGCCGTGTCGCGCGCGCAGGGGTGACCGGCGGCGCTGTGCGCACGCCTCACGGTCCGCCACGGGCGATGAAAAAAAGGAGTATGCACTGGCGTGGTGTACCAGGTTTGTGTAAATCAAATGGAAATGCGCGAATAAGACATTACCGCCTGCGCGCCAACCCAACTATAACAACGCAGGCTCGCGGCACTCAACCCCCGAACAAATGTGCCATGGGTCGGGGAGAGAGGCTGCGAGCCTGGCGACGGGTCGCCCCGACAGAGCTGACCGTCCACATGGGGGCGCGCCAAGCTCGCGGCGACATTACGTAGAACAGGCAGCGACCAACGTGGCCAATCAGGACTTGACATTGGTGAAGGGCAAGCGGAAGGTGCCAGACTTGGCGTCCTCGGTCAGCGTGCTGGGCACCGGCTCGCCAGCCTTGATCTTGCGCGCCCGCTCGTCGGACAGCGCATTGAGCCGTGTGATCTGCGGCACACACTTGGGAAGCTCAGAGGCACACGCGCCGGTAACATGGCTGCCCCTACTCCCCTTGGCCCGCTGGTGGGCGAGGCGCGCCTCCTTTTTATGGTGCAAGCACTCGACGTAGTCCTCACGCAGCTCCGCGCACGCCGCCGCCTTCTCCGAAGGCGACCCACTCTTCTCCGAGATGCACTCCGCAAACTCCTGCGGGCGGGGAGGATCCGGCGTTGTCGCGGGGGGTGGCGGCGCGCCACGGCAAGGGCGAGACGCACCCGATAAACCGGGAAGCAGCGCCCGACTGGCGCGCGAGTGCCAAAGCCGCTGGCCATCCGAGGGCCCCTGTAGTCGAAGCCCGAGCCGGCGCCAGAAAAAAAAGCCGGAAAGCTCAAGCCCGCGCGCTCCGTGACCGGCCGCGGCTCCCACGCGAGCCGAACTGCGGACACACATGTCATTCGGAACACCGTCGGATAGCGTTCCTAATAGCGACTAGCACAACCTGCCAGTCGTCTTAGTCCCAGAAACCCCGAGGAGTCGCAGTATAACGTGAACATGTCCCCAAACAACTTCTATCCAGGTACGTTTTATGGCCGAGTGCTTGCTCTCGCTGCTGACGCTCCTGCCGCTCACGCTGCCGCTGGCGACACCGGAAGAGGCGCGGTCCCACGACGAGGCTCGCAGCCTCGTGGCTCGCTTTCATTCCTATGGCGGTGGCGACTTCGAGTACCCCGACAATGCCAACATTCCGCTCGAGGGGCTCGGCCACGAAGAGTCGCTCCACGTCCGCGCAAGCAGCCATGCCACAGGCAACGTGACGCACAGCCTGATCACAGACCGCTTTCACAACAACGGCCATCTGACTGTGCGGGGGAAGATGGTGATTCGTGACGGCGCGCACTTTGTCAACGATGGCACACTCAATGTAGAAGGTGTTGGGGAGCATCGGCCGTCGGCTCTCGTGGCAGAGAGAGAGGGACAAGGAATGGCAGGGTAATCGGATCGAATGGAGCACCAATGACGTCCTTGTGCGTAGACATCTGCCGTGCGTGACAACCTGCGGCAGAACTTGTCCTCATCTACCGACTGGTGCGCCTTCCTCATCAGACGCAGACTGCTCTGCGTCCCCACGGGATCTTTATCGCCGTAGAGAGTCAGCGCCGGCCTTTGACCAAGATCCAACGAGGAGTGCGACACGGGTCACGGCTAGTTGCGTGTGCAATGAGCGGATATATGGTTCGAAGCGACGCGCAGCTACAGACAGTACTCGGAAACTCGCAGTAGTGAGTACCTCCTCTGTAGACCTCCTAAAGTCGTACCTCGAAGGGCGTGCGGGTCTGGCTCGCGCGCGTTGCTGACCCCCCCTGCCCTTCCCCTGAGCGCCGTATACGTCGACGTGAGAATCATGCGCCCTCCTTTGTGCAATTGTGGGGTGTACGCTTCTATGAAAAGAGAAAAGAGGGACACAAATCCCTCAACCGGCAGCCAGGTCGCGAGCAGAGCCAGGCGAGCTACCAAAGAGCTGCGTTGCGCTTGTCCTTGCGCCGTAGAGCCGCGACGAAGGGAGCCTGGCTGGCTGTGAGACTGGCAGCGACGCCGAGCGAGCCACCGGTGCGCGCCGCGGTGCCGGTGATGGCATACACGAGTCGCTCAGGAGGCGGTAGCTCTGGTAGCCGCGAAGCAGCCAGCTAGGCGCTGCGGCGCCGCGAAGGTGTTCCTCGAGGTGCCTCCTATTCGCAGCAATGCTGAATACTCGGAGGCGCGCCCGAGCCCCTCCTCCCTCTCTCTCCGGGGGGCGCGCTCCTCGTGACACGGAGCTGCTCGATCGCCTCGCGGATCGCCGCCAGCTCCTACCAGAGAAGGCTGCAACATCAGGACACATCCTCGGTGCTCGCGTGGCTCCGAACGACCCGCCACGCTCCACCATCGGGTCGAGGCCGTCGCTGGCGCTGCGGCTGGCCGGCGCCGGTGCCGGAGGCGGCGGTTCAACAGGCGAGAGCGAGCGCATGTCCTGCGAGGCGGGGCGAGGAGGTGTCTTTGGCCGTGGAGCGTCTAAACCGGAGTCCCTCAGAAGTGTCAAGCCGCTGCCCGGCGCCTGCAGGAGCAGGAGGAGCGAGCCGTGGATGTCCTGCAGCGACTGACTCTCCACCGACTCCGTTTGCCGCTCGTCCGACGACTGCAGCCGCCGAATCTCGAGCTGCAGCCGCTGCACCTCCCGCTCGTGCAACACGCGCATCGCCGCGCCGTCGCCGCCGCCGCCGCCGCCGCCGCCACCACCTAGCGCCTTGCGAAGCTCCGCCTGCGCGGCCCGCATCTGCTTGGCGTGCGACAGCTTCAGCGCGGCCAGCTCCTGCGCGAGCTCGCCTGCAGCGCGGCGCGGGAGGCGCTAGCGGGCGGCAATGAGCGGGCGGCGGGTAGGAGGGCGGAATGCGGACAGGCGGCTTGGGCAGCTCAGCCGGTGGCGGCGAGGGTGGTGGATGGGCGGGTGGCGCGGCGTCGGCGAGCGGGAGGGCGGACGGGCGGAGGAGAGAGGAGAGAGGAGTGGGTCCGTGGGGGGACGTGGGGGGCAGAGGGAGGTGCACCGGCGAGAGAAGCGAGCTCCTCCTCTGCAGCCTCGCCATGCTCCCCTCCGCTCGACCCCGTCCCTCCGCCCGCCTCGCCCGCCGTCAGCGCGCCCGCCTCCGCGCTGCTGCGCGCCGCCGCCTCCGCCCGCAATGCCGCCACCGTCTCCTCCTCCTCCCTCAGCCGCTGCGCCATCGCCACCACCTGCGCCCGCGCCGCCTCCCCCCTCTCGCGCAAAGCCGCGACGGACTCGTCCAGCTCCGGACAGCGCTCGCACGGAGCCAGCCGCTCCTCTGCCGCCGCCTGCAGCTCGGGGCAGCGATCACACGCCACGTTTGTCGGCGGCGCCGCCTCCCCGATGCACGCCTCCGCCCTCGCCAGCAACGCCGCCAGCCGCTCCTTCTCGCTGGCCAGCGCCTCCTTGTCTCGGCAGAGCGTCGCCACCTCTTCCTCCAGCGCCGACTCGCGGGCGTGATGCGCCTCCTCCGCCGCCCTCCGCGCCTCCTCCGCCGCCCTTCGCGCCTCCTCCGCCGCCCTCTGCGCCTCCTCTGCATCGCTCTGCGCCGCAACAGCATCTTCCCGCCGCCCCTCCGCTGCCCTCGCCGCCGCCGCACTCTCCTCCGCCCGCCTCACCGCCACCGCGCGCTCCTCCGCCGCCCTCGCAGCCGCCGCGCTCTCCGCCGCCGCCCTCGCAGCCGCTGCGCTCTCAGCCGCCGCCGCAGTCTCCTCCGCCCGCCTCGCCTTGTCCACTTCTGCGCGCAACGCCTCAGTGGCGCACGGGAGAGGGCCGGCCGGGTCCGGCAGCCGCTGGGTGCGGAGCTGCTCGGCCTCGGCGCGGCGAATGGCTGCGTCTGCGCGTGCGGCCGCCTCGAGGTCGGCCAGCCTAGAGTATGAGTGCAGCGGGTCCGAGGCAGGCTCCGCAGGCAGCGACTGGGCAGGGCGAGTGCAGTGGCGTCCACTGCTTGCGGACCCGCGGGGTCGGGACGAGGGCTGCTCAGAGGCGAATGCGCGAGTACGATGCGAATACGATGGAGGAGCAGTCGGACGCGCGCAGCATCCGTGCCGGCTGGAGTGGTAACTGCACACGCGGTACTCACACGCGGACCCGCACTCCGCATCTACCTAGGTCTCGGGTGCGGCCAGCCTGCCCTCGAGCAGCTCCACACGCGCCTCGGACGCGTCGGCGCGCCGCGCTTCGCGGTCGCGCGCAGCGAGCAGGTCCGCCTTCTCGCCCGCCAGCTGCTGCTTCTCGGCCTGCAGCTGCCGAAGCTGCGCCACCGCCCGCGCCTTCGCGACCCCCCACTCGTCTGCCTGCTGCGCCAGCTTCCGCTCCTGCTGCGCCAGCTGCCGCTCCTGCTGCGCCAGCTTCCGCTCCTGCTGCGCCAGCTGCCGCTCCTGCTGCGCCACCACCGCCGCGGAGGAGGCCGAGGTGGCGGAGGCCGAGGTAGAGGCAGCTGCCGCGGCGGCCTCGAGGGCAGACAGCTTGCCCTCGAGGGACGCCTTGTCCGCGGCGAGCCGCTCCGCCTCTGCCGCAAGCCTCGCCCTCTCCGCCGTCTCCGCCGCGAGCCGCGCCTAGCAGCGCAGTGACAGGTCACACAAAGCTATTCGCTGGCGCACGCGCGTTGGGCCTCCGCTGCGCGTGCCTCCATCTCCTGCTGCTGCCACTGCCGCTGCTGCTGCTGCTGCGCCACCGACTCCCGCCCCAACGCCTGCTGCTCCAACTGCGACATCTGCTGCTCCAGCCGCTGCTTTGCTTGCTCCAGCTGCCACTTCTCCTCCTTGAGCCTCTGCGCTTCGGCGGCGCTGCTCTGCTCAGCTGCGGCGCTGCTCTGCGCGGCTGACGACAGCGAGTCGAGCTGCTGTTGCAGCAGCCGGGCAGCGGCCGCCTCAGCGTCTCGCGACTCTCGCAAGGACGCCCACTCGTCGTCTCGATGTGAGGCGGACTGGCCACCCCCAGCCTCGAGCAGCTTGCGGTGCGCCTCGGACGCTCGGAGTGACGCCCGCAGCCGCTCGATCGTCTGAGCCGCCTCGGTCGCCAGCCGCCGCTTCTCACCTTCCAGAGCGAGGATGCGCCGATTCTTCTCCTTTATCGTAAACTCGATGTTGAGCGAGCCATCTCCGAGTGTTGTCTGGAGCTGTTCTCGAATGCGGTCCTTGGCGTCCTTGATACGGCGCATATGCTACGGGTCCCTAGTATGGGTTCGTCCACTGTTCACAGCAGTGCGGGGTCCCCTGGGGGTAGGGGACCCCCGGGGAGTACCAGTATGGATTTCTTTTTCGGCCGCCAATTCCAGGGCTGCATTTCTTCTTCGGGCGGGCGGGAAAAAAAGTCGCGGCAAGCCTCTTGACTGCTCCCACCACCTCTTTGAGGAAGCTATCTGCTTTGACCAACACAGTCTCACTACGTGGCTCCACACCACTCACTCTCATGCGTGACACTCCAATTAGAACTTAGCGTGACACGCTCATCCAAACTTAGCGTGACACGCTCCGAGATTGCAATCTCCCCAGGGTTCGGCTCCAGTGTGGGTAGGGGATCCCCTACCCCCAGGGAGGGGGAACCCGCACTGGACGCGCGTCTCCGGAGCATATGCGGGGCGGCGCGGCAGAGTGGCGCGCTGGCGTTGCAATTCTTTTCACCTGTGTCGAGCCTTTCTGCTGTGAGAGAGAGTTGTTTATTTATATTCTTTTCTGAAGTTTTTTAATAAAAGAAAATCTACCCCAAGTCTCTCGTCCAACCTGTAACCTGTAGCACTGCAGCCGCCCGCTACTCGAGCAAGCGCAGGTTGAGCATGGCCTGCTCTCCGTCGAGCCCCGCCATTTCAAGCGTCGTCTCGCCCCCCTCGCCGGCGCGCGACACGTAGCGCGGGTGCGTGCTCACCAGCTCGAAGCGGTCGCCCAGCGCGCCGTGCAGCGTTTCGGGCAGCGCCGACTCCACCCAAGTCCTCACCTGCTGCAGCGTGGCGCCGCTCCCGAAGCGACGCGAGATCCGCGTGGTGGGCAGCCGCACCAACACGCGAACGGTGCCGCGGGCGGCCGCTTGCGGCTCCGCCGGAAGCCACGCAGCGAGCTCTGCCTGATGCGCCGCCGCCGCCGCCGCCGCGCGTGCCGCCTCTGCCTCCGCTGCCGCCGCCTGCGCCGCCGCCTGCGCCGCCGCCGCCTGCGCCGCCGCCTGCGCTGCCCGCGCTGTCTCTTCAGCTCTCCTCTCTTGAGCGATGCGCTCCTCCTCGCCCTCGAGGCTCTCGCCCATGTCCACCTCCAGCGCCTCCACGTCAACGATGCAAACGGCCTCGACCGGCGTCGGCGGGATGCCCGTGCAAACCTCGCTCACCAACAGCTCGAACTCTTCGCCGCAATTCGCGATTCGAATCGTCTCGCCGCAGCACAGCACTGTGTACACACCGTGCAGCCCCGCCTGCAGCAAGCTCTGCTGGTCTTCAGCCTCCTCGTAGAAGCGCGTGCGCGCCGGCCGCAGCCGCACCAACGAGGCACGGGGCACGTCGACGCTGGACAACATGAGCGGCACGCCCTCCTGGGCGCCAACCGCCTGTAGCAGCCAACGGGGCAGCGCAACGTGCCCTTCAGCAGCGGTGAACTCCAGCAGCCCTGCAAGCCGGCCGCCCCCTCCTTGTCCTCGCCCCGCTGCTCTCCGAGGTTGACCATGGCCAAGTGTGCCGCGTCCGTCGCCGCACTCCACCCTCAGGCACAGCGGGTTTGGCAGCTGCGGCGTGCCATGCCTCGCCTCGGTCAACACGCCAATCGCCTCGAGGGCAGAGGGCGGCAGGAGCACCTTGTCGCCGCCGCCGTGCGGCGCCTCGAGCGCGATGAACGTGGCGCCCCACACGCCCTGCATTGGGCCTGGCGCGGCGGACGACTGTCGGACTGGCGGCGGGGAGAGGCCCGCCGAGCTGCTGGCGGAGGCGGCGGCGAATTCGTCGGCGAGGGCCTGCCAGATGGCTGGCGCGTTGTTCAACGTGGCCAGCACAAGTCGCAGCGTCGGTGCGTCGTGCGTGCACACAAACGCAATCGGGCTCGAGACCGGCTCGGGGGCAAAGCCGACGGCGCGCAGCAGCATCCCGCCGCCGGAAGCGGCCAGCAGGCGGCCGCAGAGCGCCTTGTTGGCCGCGCCGATGCGGCGAAATCGCGCTTCGTCGCTCGCCAAACAGTTGCTCACGTAGGTGCAGCATAGCGAAATGGCGTCCTGGGCTCGGCGCGGCGCGTTTGCGTTGCCAACCGCCACCACCTCCTCACGAACAGCGACGCAGATGTCGTGAGCGGCTCGGATGGCGGCGGCGCGGCAGGCCACCTCGCGCGGCTCCGCCGGCGCCGTCCAGATGAAGCTGCCTGCTCCGAGATCGGCGTCGAAGCCCAGCGCGATCACGGCAGCCTCGCCGCCGTCGCGGGAGAGAAGACGCTCCTGCAGCACCCGTGACTTGCAGGGCAGACACCCGTACTTGGCTGGATCTTGCGCCACGTTGGAGAGCAGCTTTGCGCAGGTGAGCAGCGCCTCGAGAGCCGCGGGTGTTGGGTTGCGCTCCACGAGCTCCAGCACGGCGGCGTGCGCTTCGTCGGGAAGTGTGGCAGTCCAGTTTTGGAGCATGCCGCTGTTGCGAGCAACCAGGGCGAGACCGAGGCCTGTCGCAAAGGCCGCAGCCACTCCCAGCTGCTCGGTGTGAACAGACCAGCGCATAGCGCCATAGGACGTATTTTCTTGTCAATAACAAGGCTGTGAACAGAGTTCGTACACCGAGCAGCAGGGATCCGCAACTCGAGATCCCTCGAGAGTTCACGCGGAGTCGGCTGGGGCTATACCAGACAGGACCGAGGCCCCCTCGAGGTTCACATACCTTGTTATGGTAAATTCTTTGTCTTAGCCACACGAAATTTCTTTTGCCCGAAGAAAGAAAACAGACAGCCCAAGAGAGGGATACTACGTGCCTCCCCGCTTTTGTAGCCTGGCGTTTGTGCCCCGTTTGTGCCGCGTCCCGTGCCCCCGAGTTCATTTTAAGTATGCTTTTAAAGAAAAGAAAGAAAACAGACAGACCAAGGGAGGATGGGAGAACGGCACGCCGCCATCACACAGGGATTTTAAGGAGAGGAGTGTGGTGCTAGCCGTCGCCCACCCTCGTATGCTTTTGCCCAGTGACACACACACACTCACTCACGTAAAGAAAGAAAGAAAACACACAGCCCAAGGGAGGGATGGGAGAACGGCACGCCGCCACCACACAGGGATTTTAAGGAGAGGAGTGTGATGCGCTAGCCGTCGCCCACCCTGGGGAGTCTGCCTCTTCGTATCTCTTTTCGCAGTCTCTCGCCGCTTCTCGTTGCAACTCTCTTTTGCCAGCAAAATCGCCTCAGTAATTCTTTTGCGCAGCCGGGACTAGCACGACGCCGCCTGGATGACCTCACAACGCTTGAGCGACACCGCGTCCAAGCTCGACGCCGCCTCCAAGCTGCTCCGGGCGAAGCCGGAGCAGTCCCTCATCGGCGATGTTGGACGTGCACACGGTGACGCGCGCAGCGCGGCTGCGTCGCTGGCCCAGCAAGCGCGGGCGCTGCACCTGTTTGACATCCTCGACGCACCCGAGACACAAGCGGTCGCGTGCATCGCCGACCTGGACCGGCACGCTGCGGTGTACGCGACCTGCGCAGGCCTGTTCCTCTCGCTCTGCGGTGGGGTCGTGCACAAGCTAGCGGCCTCGCCGTGCGCTGACGTGCTGCGGTGCGCGGCGCAGCTGCTCAGAAAGACCGCGGCGCGGCAGGCTCAGGCATCGGACGTCGGAAGGCTGGAGGCGGCGGTCGACGCCGTCGGGCGGCTGGCGTGGCAGCCCGGGAGCGCGGCGGTGCTGCTGATTGAGCGGCAGGAGGGGCTGATGCGTGACGCGCTGCAGGAGCTGCTCGAGGCTGTCGAGGAGGGGGCGGGCGAGCAGGGCGAGGGCGAGGGCGAGGAGGAGGAGGAGGAGCTCATCCACCAGCCCGCCCTCGCCCTCGCCGTGCGTCAGCTCCTCGAGTCCACGCTCTCCACGGTGCACGCGTCGCGCGCAGCGGCGGTGCGAAGCACAGCAGACTCCGGCCAGAGCCGGCTCGCCGAGCAGCTGAGCGCGGGCGCAAAGGCGGCGAGCCAGCTCGTCGACTCGCTCGTCTGTGCGCTCGTGCACGAGGACGACGCCGACGGCGTCGCCTCTTACAGCACTTCGCTCGGCAAGGTCGTGCGGAAGCTAAACTCTCTCGGCGCCGGCGGCGCAGACGCGGGGGCGGCGGCGCTCGACGCATTGGTCGAGCGCTGTGTCACCGAGGCTCGCCGCGCCGCAGGCGAAGAGGGCGACGAAGGCGCGGTATTATCGGCAACTGCACAGCTTGCGAACGCGTCCCTGAAGTCCACGTGAGAAAAAGAGAAAACTCGGCGTGTCGCGGGTGGGGGTGTCCAAATGCGCCGCGCGCACGGGCGGCGCAGTTTGGCCGGTCCCCGAAGGGTGTCGTGCGTTGTGGTTGAGCGAGACTCTCGTATATGTCCTGAAGGCGCTCTTTATATCACAAGCTGTGTCCTGATCTCTTTCTCTCCTCTCCACCGCACACTTAAAACCGATGTAGAGGCCTACGGTAAGGAACAAGTTCTCGGAGACACAGTGACCCGCGCTCCTCTCTTGCGCTCGCTGGGGCTGGCCGGCCGCGAAGCTGCAAGCTCTCGCGCGGCCCCGTTCTCGCGGGCCGCGCGGTCACTCGAGGGCTGGGGCTCGACGCCAACCGTTGAACGCCCCACCGCCCTTCCCTCTACTCGCCCCCCCTCGCTCTGACTAGCCACCGCCCCTCCTCGAGGACTGGCCACCCGCCTCCTCCGTCCTCCCAGCAGCTCCTCCCTCAGCTAGAGGTCACCGTCCCTCCGCCCTCCTCCGGTAAGGACGCAGCATGTCCTTGACGCAATCATTCACAGTGAGCGAGACGCCTGCGCAGACGGCAAACAGGGGGCTCGGAGCCAAGCCTCCCGCCCCCCCTCCGCCCCCCCCCCCCCCCGCAGGGCGAGCGCGCGCCGGTGGCGAGAGGGTTCTTGATCAGGTTGAGGGCGAGGCCCTTGTACCTAGGAGGCGGGGGCGGGCGCGTCGTGGACGCGTCGTGGGCGCGTCCTACCGTCGAGAGGAGTGGCATCGCACATCCCCTTGAGCCCCTCTTGCCGGAAGACCATCATGATCGCCTGTCCACGACGCACGCCGCTGCTGTCAAACGAGTGAGACGAGCCGAAGAGAGGCCAAGCCCCGCGATTGGCTCGACGCGGGCTCGGCGAAGCCACAAGAGGTTTGGGGGAGGGGGAGGCCCCCGGCAGAGCCGGGCTTGCTCAAGAGGCGCGTGGCGCGTGGCTACGCCCGAGTCTGCCCGCGGGCGGTGAGCGCTGCGTGCGGCAGGGGGTGTCATGCGGGGCTCACAGGCCTGCCCCACACTCTTCCTCGCCAGCGGAGAGCCGTCGCCGAGCGCCTAGGGCAAGGTGAGGTGAGCTGCACACTGGTGTGGGGCAAGGGCAAGGGGCTGTCCCTCGCGTACACGCCCAAATGCAGGAGCCTCGAGGCGTTGACAGTGCTAGGCCCGATGCGCGTGTGAGCTGCGTGCGTGTGAGCTTGTGTGCGTGCGTGCGTGCGTGGCCGAACGCCTGCTGCCGTCTGCGGACCGTGTCGAGGGGGTAGATGAGCAGCTCGCCCGAGAGGCCGGCCAAGTACCCAAACACAGCCTTGCACGCCGTGGGGTACCTGGGAGCGGCCGACGCGGTAGCGAGGGGACGTGTGTCGCCGCCGCGCCTCTCTCCCCGCCGCTGCCGCGCGCCGCTAGTATCCTCGCTCTCTCTCTCTCTCTCTCTCTCTCTCTCTCTCTCTCTCTCTCTCTCTCTCTCTCTCTCTCTCTCTCTCTCTCTCTCTGCTATCCCTCGCCTTTGGTACGCGTCGCTCTTCTGAAGCTCGACCTTGAGCGTCTCGAAGACGCCAAAGCCGAGCGCGAGCCTACGGCAGTACAGCCGTGTGAGCCGTACCGCGAGCCTGCGGCGTGCTGGCGCCGCGGCTCACAAGGCCGCGACTGCGCCCTCCACAGGCGGAGAGAGGCGGAGAGAGGCGGAGAGGGGCGGGAGGGAGAGAGGCGGGAGAGAGAGAGGCGGACGGAGAGGGCGGCGAGCGCCAACCGTCGTCAGAGGGGAGGGCGGCGAGCGCCTTGGCCCCGCGCCAACCATCGTCGCGGCGAAGCCGTGGTAGAGAGCCCGCACGCCGCCCTGCCGGCCGACGTCGGAGAGGATATCGGCGAGCTTCGCCTCGCCTGCCGGCCGGAGGAGAGGAGGGGAGGGCGACATCAGCCAGCTGCGGCGGCCCCCCTCCGCCCTCTCTGCCAGGCGTCGCCTTGCGTCAGACTGATGCGCACGCGGATCGTGTCGAGAGGGTGCGTGGCGACGGTGGCGCAGAAGCCGGTGGCGAAGCCGGCGAAGAAGCGCGTCCCGAAGCTCGACTCGCCGCCTCGCGCCTCGCCGCCGAGCGCCGCCTTGATGTTTCGCTCCCACCACGGGTAGATTGTGTAGACAAGCGACGAGTGTGGGATGTTGCGGACAATCCCGGCGGTCGAGCCGCGGAAGAGGCCGAGGACGCCGCCCTCCTGCACGGTCCTCCGCAGCACCGTGCCGTACGGAACGGGCTGCCCCGGGTCCACCTGCCGGATCCACTTTAGCCGCTGAATGGGCTGCCGCGCGAGTGTCGCGACGGCGCCAGAGATGGAGCCGGATATCATCGTGACCTGCCAGCCCTTGAGACCCTCCGCGCTCGCGCTCGCGTCGCCCGCCGACGACGACGCCATCGGTGCGCAGGCCGCCGGCGCGCTTGGCGACGAGCAGCGAGTTTACGGCGGCGGCGGCGATATGAGAAAAAATAGTTATCTCCTTCCTCATCGCTCTGCTGGCCTCGTTCTGCGACGGCGTCGGCGTCTGCCGAACACTTGCCCTCGCGGCTTCTCTCACCTTCGGCCTAATCCTCGCAGGTCGCAGCGTATCACACGTTCCACGACTGAATCTGAAGAAGCGTCGTGATTTCTTGTTGGTTTTCTAAAATCTCTTTTCTTGAGTGTTAGATTTGTTTGGTATTGCTAAAAATCTCTCTCTGAATCTGAAAGAAAGAAAGAACGAAAAAGTTGTTGCACGACTGTTGGCAGAAGTGTGCGAAAATTCTTTTCGCGCAAAATTCTTTTCTCTCGCGATGTATATGACAAACAAACAAACTCTCTGTGCATGCCCGCCTCGTCGCGCCGCCGCTCTCGCCGCCTCGCCGCCGCCTCCGCCACCGCCGGCACCGCGGCTCCGCCAAGCACGCCGCCGCCCGCCCATTTTCCTCCCTTCCTGCCGCCGACCTCAAACAAAATCGAGCGGGGCATGCCAGTCGATTTCTTCGGCGACTACCTTTACAACAAGGCCCACCACCGGCGGCCCCACGACGGCGTCCTCGCCGCCTGGGCGGACGCGATGCGCGCCCCGGCCAACGCGCCGGTCGTGCACGGCGGACAAGGAGAAACCAGAGCTCACCCGGCAGTACAACGAGGGGTACAAGACTGACCTCGCAGAACCCCATGCGGGGCCGGGAGGGTGCGATGACGTGAATGAAATCAAGCTCTGGACGCCCCTCCTCAAGACCTCCTCGCCGGGCGTTGGCAACGCCTCGAGTGGCGGCACGCCCGCCTCCGTTGGCCACTCCTACGCCTTCGGCAACACCGAAGAGAAGGCCCGCCGCCTAAACATGGGCTGCAAGGCGCGCGGGCAGCCCGGCCAACCCTTCTCCCACAAGACCGGCCACGGCTACGTCAAGGCGCGCGCATCGCGGTTTCTACCACGAGGCGATCTTTGTCAAGCGCAACAACTTCAACCTGCTGCTCCACGAGACGTTCGGCGGCGGCTTCTCGCCCACCGCCGTTCTCAAGCTGCGCCGCCTCGCGCGCAAAGTCGCGCGCGGCAGCGTTGACCGCACGGCCTACTCGCCCAAGTACTCGCTCTCTTTTATGTCCCACCATGCAGAGCGCATCTCTCTCTCTGTTGTGCGAGGCGTGAACCGCGCCATTCGCTCTCACCTGGCAACCCTGTCTGCACGTCTCGCGCGCGCGTGAACAGGGCTCCAGGCCCCAAATGACGTGTGAGTGTTAGATTTGTTTGGTATTGCTAAAAATCTCCGACCCTCGCCCCTAGCTCCCGAACGTTCGATTCACAACGTAATCCATAAATAAATAAATAGAGCAGACATCTCCAGGGAGAGATGGGCGACGCACACGAACACAGAGGGACAGTGCAACCGCCAGCCGCGTTCAGGTCAGCGTGGCAGTGGTCTGGTGTGCACCAGGACCGGCCGAGGAGGTCGCAGCCGCACTGGGTTGGGCGCACACGGGGCAACCCGCAGGCCCGGGTGAGGGAGAAGGGGACGGCGACGGCGAGGGCGCAGGTGCCGGGGAGGGCGAGGGTGACAGGGAGGGCGACGGTGACGGAGACGAAGGAGACGGCGGTGTGGTCGTCCCGATCGGACCAAACCTGATGTTGCTGAACTTGACAAAGCTGTTTGGATAGTTCTCGCGCACGTACTCGGGCGTGCTCGTCTCGTCGCCGGGGCAAGGCCCGCGCAGGTTGGATGGCGGGTGGCCAAAGTCGGAGTCGAGCCACTTCATGTTGACCGTCTCGTCGTCCCAGAGCGACATGACGAGTACCATGCCCGTCTCGTGCGCGATGTCCATCGACTCCATCCCGCCCTTTTCCAAGAAGTTGGTGCCGTCGGCTGCCCACTCGGCGGCGGCATCGCGCATCGCAGAAGCCCTCCGTGATCGAGTCGTGCGGGGAGCCGACCTTTGTGACGGTCGGGTTCTGCACCACAACGCCGTCCTGCACGTAGAAGCGGCGGATCTCGGAGAGCGTGCCGTCGTCGGTAGCCTTTTCTTTTGGCCTTTTCCCACCCTTCTCGCAGGCGAGACCCTCGCCCCCCCGGTGTGTATACATGTGTATATGCTCCGCCGCGCCGCCGCCTCCGGCGCCGCCGCCGCGGCGGTCGGCGGCGGCTACCTCTGGGCGGCCTCGTCTCGCCACGAGGCAGCTCGCGAGCCTGGCGGAGCGCCGCGCGCGCTGCGGGCGGGCGAGGCGCTGTACTGCACGCTCACTGAGAAGCAATGGGTGACGCCGAGCGCCGTCCGGCTGCGGTTTGCGCTCCCGTCGGCAGAGCACGTGCTCGGCCTGCCGATTCCAGGCCACGTCATGGTCATCGACGACGCGCAGATCTACCGGCCGTACTCGCCGGTCACGGTCGACTCTCAGGCGGCCGGCTACTTTGAGCTGCTCGTGCGGCACTACCCGGGCGGCGAGATCTCGACGCGGCTCGCCAAGATGAGCCCGGGCGAGCGCGCCCACTTCCGCGGGCCGGTGGGCAACGCCTTTGAGTACACGGCCAGCGCCGCGCCGCGCCGGATCGGCATGGTCGCGGGCGGCACCGGCGTCACGCCTCTGTGGCAGGTGGTGCAGGCGGCGCTGGCGGACGAGGAGGACCGGACGAGGCTGAGCCTCGTGTACGCGAGCCGCCGCGCGGACGACATCCTCCTCCGCGACGAGCTCGAGCGGGCCGCCGCCGCGCACCCGGACCGGTTCTCGGTATGCTTTGTCGTGTCGGAAGGAGGCGGCGCGCCGGCGGGCGGGGTGGCGGGCCGGATCGACGCGGCGGTGCTGCAGCGGCACCTGCCCCAGCCGTCGGAGGACGGCAGCGGCGTGCTCGTCTGCGGCCCGGACAGCATGCTCCGCGCCCTCTGCGGCCCGCGGGCGCGGGACGGCGGGCTGGCCGAGGCGGCGAGGAGGCCTCCGCTCGGCGGCCTGCTGCGGCAGCTCGGGTACGAAGACTGGCAGGTGTGCTGGCTATAAAGTGGTCGTAGTGATAGTGGTTAGACTTGAAAAAGTGTCACGGCTGTGCCTGTGGAGCGCGAGTGAGAATGCCGTGGCGCATGTGCTTGACAGTGGGTCCACCGACATTGACGCGGTAAAAGAAAAAAATCCCTGGGGAGCGATCATGCGAGCGCGCTTAATTTCTTTTTTCACGCGGCTGTGGTTGGACATCATGGAGGAGGAATGAGCCGAGCAGAGCTCCAGCGGCTCTCCGACGCCATGGCTGGTGCACAAGTGCACATGGCGTACCGTGCTGCAGGTGCACCGACGGTGTACCCGGTCATAGCGTCGGAAGATGAGGTGCACTCGGGATTTTGGTACCTGCCCGCGAGTGCCGACACCATCGATGGAGAGGAGCCCATCTTTCAACCTGAGTCGTTTCTCCTCGTCTCGAGCCGCCGCGCAGACGGCTGGCAGGCCATGTTTCCCGATGGCAGCGTCAAGATCATGGCGCTCAAGGACCTCATCGGAAAGTACAAGCTGGCCCGGCTGTCGGATGGTCTTGTCCCTCCTGAGAAGGGCGATGACGAGTGGGTGCGTATGCGCAGTTACGACAACCTCTCCCTCTTCTGGACAGGCTCGTGGGAGCTCGCCCAGCAGCACGGAGCCGCCGCCGCCGCCGCCGTCTCCGCCGCTGCAACGGCGGCGGGGAAAATGACCCGCGGCGACCGGACCTACACGGCATCCGCGGTGACTGATGACGGATGTGACGTGCATGTGTGCCAACTGCATGTGTGCCAACTGTGTCCAAGCGCGTCGTCCTGCCCTAGCGGGAGTTGAGACCGCGTTCCTGGCCGGCAGGCCGCTGACCTCACGTCAGCCGCTGACTGATGGACGTGTGAGCTGTGACATGAGTCGTTGTGCGTGGATTGTGTTTGTGAGTTCGAGAGAATTTAAACAAAAGAACTACAGCAGACAGGCTCGACACAGGTGCGAACTGAGTTCGAGAGAAGTACAAGTAGTCTACGTTCACCACGTATGGTAAACGTGGGTTAGCGTCCGTGCGTGTTCGACTGGCGGGGTTGAGCCACACTACACACTAACCAAACACTAACCCGGCACGACCACGAGTCAGCGACGCCGACGGGTTACCAAGAAGAGATAGATAGAACGGATAGACCGGATATATATCTTAATTAATACGCGCTTTCTCCTCAACGGCTATCCGTGCTTGCTGTGCCCCTGCGTGGTGTATTAGATCACCACCCAAGGTTGGAGAAGGTAAAAGATCACGCGTTGCGCTTTGCCGATCCGCAGCTACCTATCCGCTCTTGGGTGGCGCGCCCAACACTTCACGCCGGGCGCGGCTGGTTTCTCCACGCCGATTGTGCGCCATGGCACACCGTGACGACTGGACTGAGTCCCGCGAGTGCCCTGCGTTTGATGCGTACCAGCAGGCGTTCGAGCGCAAGGTGGCGGCCGTGCCCGCCGCCGCTCAGCGGCAGGTCGCCGGCCGACTGCAGCAGGAGCTGCTCAACTCGCTGCAGAGCCAGCTCTCGATGACGGAATCGTTCGCGCCAAGCCCACCGACCGGCGCGCCCGCCATGGCGGTGCAGCCCCACGGCTCGCCCCAAACGGGCGGCCCGTCGCAGCTGCAGCAGCTGCAGCTCGGCTTCCTGACGCGGCAGTTAGAGGAGCAGCAGCGGTTCCAGCAGCAGCAGCTGAGCTCGACGCAGCACCTCGACGAGCAGATGCGGCAGCTCGCCCTGCTTCATCGCAGCATCGACGGCGTCCTCGCCCCATCGCCGACCCTCCCGCCGCCGCCGCCGCCGCCGCCGCACCACCCGCGGTTCCAGCTCCCTCCATCGCAGCACGCCGGACCGCCGCCGCCTCCGCCGCCACCTCCACCACCACCACCCCCGCCGCCCCCGCCGCCTGCGGTGGCGCTGCAGCACCTGCCGGCCGCGTGCTCCGCCGCGCTGCAGCCGCCTCTCGGCGGCGACCGGCTCGGAGGGCAACTGGCTGCCGGGCAACTAGCTGCTGGGCCGGGGCCGAGGGCTCTCGGGATGCGGCCGCCGCTGTCGGCAACGGCGCCGCAGGCCGGGCCCGCGGTGCCGCTGTCGGCGGCGCCGCTGCCCGGCGAGCAGCCTGTCGAGCCTGCGGCGGGCGTCATCTTTTCGTGCACCGACGCCACTTTTGAGCAGTGCTATGAGATGTCGGTGGTGGGGCTGCCGCGCAAGTACCTGCCGCTGGTGGGCTCGATCGCCGCGGGCCGCACCCTCCTCTTCCTCTTCAACTTTTCGACGCGCGCGATCCACGGCGTCTACCTCGCGACCTCGGAGGGCACCGAGAACCTGCACCCGGGCGCCTTCACCGCCGGGTCGGCGCGCGACGTGGGCGAGATGCCTGACGAGGAGGTGCAGGCAGGCTCGCCCTTCCCCGCGCAGTGCTCCTTCTCCATCCTCGAGGAGTTCGCGCCCTGCCCCGAGGCGGAGATCAAGCACGTGCTCGAGTACACCGAGCGGCAGCGCTTCCGCTTCAAGCTCTCTCGCTACCAGTGCCGCGACCTGCTCCACGCGATGGCGCGCAACGAGGCGCGGCTTCGAGCCGACCGCTTGCTCGCCTCGCTGCCCTAGCTTTGGCTGACGTCGACTCGATGGAGGCGGGCCGGCGGCGGGAGAGAACGTATACACGCAGCCGGCAGGCCGGCCCGTGGCGCGCGATGTGGCGCGCTGTGTGTGGTTGCTGTGACCTGTGTTTAGGTATATTTGGTCGCGTCTAGGTGTACCTTCAGAGAGTGGAACATGTACGGCTTAAATTCGTATTGTTACATACCATACTGTATGTTACGCGCCTGTCTCACATATCATTCCCACCGTATTGTGTACGAACAACAACAAAAACATAAGACGACGACGACAAAAAAACGTACCGTACGACATACACGCTCTCGTATACTGAGTGCGTGTGTACACTCTGAGTGACGGGCGCGCCCGCGTCGCCGCGGGGCGTCACAGCCACGGCGCCCACCCCTCAAACATCTGGCTCAGGTTAGCCGGGTCGCGCGCCTGGTCAATTAGCTGCCGCACCTGCCCCTCGACGCCGAGCCGCTCCTGCCTCCCCTTCTCGCGCCCCTCGAGCTTCAGCTGCACGCGCGCCAGCGCCCGCTCCGCCTCTTGGTTGCGGCTGAGCGGCTCGGCGGGTCCCGCCCGCTCCCGCTGCGCGCCCTGCATCCGCTCCTCGTCCTGCGCCCAGCGGTGCATCGGGTTGTGCACGATCAGCTGCAGGATGGCGAGCAGCGCCTCGCCGTTGGAGCGCAGCACGCGCATCGTCTGCTCCGCGGCGCCGCGCATCGGCCCCTCCACGCCGCACACGCCGAGTGCGTCGACGAGGTCGCGGGTGAGGCGAAAGGGGACGCACTCGGGCGTCTTGAGCAGCGTGCCCTGGTCAAAGGCGATGCCGAGGTCGATGTGGACCAGCTCGGCCGTCTCCTTGTCGACGAGGATGTTGGACGAGTGCCGGTCGCCCAGGCCGACGATGAAGCCCGCCATCGACGAGGCGGCGAGCGAGCGGGCGTACGCGAGCCGCCGCTCGAACCACGCCGACGGCTGCGTCCAGCGCTCGAGGAAGAAGTGGTGCATCACCGGCCGCAGCCGCTCCGCCACCTCTTCGTACACCTCGAGGCGGCTCTTGCCCGCCTTGCGCTCCTTCTCGCGCGCGTACGCCGCCTCCATCAGCCGGCGCGCCTCGGCGAACTTGAGGTCTCGTGGCCGGTAGCGCTCGTGCGCGCCGCGGGAGCCGCAGAGGTACGTCATGAGCGGCATCGAGTTGTCCACCCACTGGAGGAGCGCGGCGGTGGGCGCGAGCGGCACGATGCGGTACGTGCGCAGTTTGAGCGAGCGCTGCCTCGTCTGCGGGTCCTGGTGGAGCAGCGTGTTGACCAGGCTGAAGACCTCCTGCAGCGCGGCGTCCTGCCGCCCGTCGTCGCGCCCCTTGACGAGCTGCGTGTACACCCGGCCGTCGGAGCCGTAGCACTGCACAATCTTGGGCAGGTTGACGCCGCCCGCGCACGCAAAGGTCGCCGTCGCGCGGCGGCCGCCCCCCGTGCGGGACGGCGCCGAGAAGCCGTCGACCGTCACCATCGCCTCGTCGTCCTCGTGCCACGCGTCGGCGGGGCGGGTGAGCACCGGCGCGCGCGAGGGGCTGCCCTTGAGCTGCAGCGCCTCGTAGAGCAGCCTGCCCGGCTTGAGGTCCGCGTTCGACTTGAGCTTGAGGTCGACACCGACGAGCTTGTCGAGCGGCGGCGTCTTTGTGCCCGAGAGGAGGCCCTTGGTGGTCTGCACGTCCACCCACGCAATCTGGAGGTAGAGGAAGAAGAGCCGCTGCGTCGCGTCGACCACGTCCGACTTGCCCGACGCGACCAGCCCCTGCCTGAGCTCCTGCACCACCTCGCGCGACGCCTTGAGCTGCGACTGGTCGGCCACGACCGCCCGCTCGCCCGGCGCGTAGTGGTCGCCGAGGGCGAGCGCCAGTATGTGCGGCAGCACCGCGCGGATGTGCGCCGCGCCGACGTGCAGCAGCACCCTGCGCAGGCCCTTCTGGAGCTGGCGCGCGCTGTCGTCCCCGTCGGCGGAGCCGCCTGCCGCCGCCTGCCGCCCGAGGCGGCAAGCGAGCTGCGGCACGAGAGAGAGCAGCTTGCGGGTCGGCAGCGCGCAGAGCCGCTCGCCCGCGTCGGGCAGCGTGCGCGGGTGGGCAAACCAGAGGGTGAGCATCGCAAACGTGGCGGCGTGGTTGTGCTCGTCGCTGTGGCGCGCGCTCTCGGCGTGCTGCACAAAGGAGCGGCGCGCGAGCTCCTCGAGGCGCGCATCGCGCGCCTCGGCGCGCCGCTCGTGCTCGCCGACGCACTCTGTGAGCTCCGCAGCGCGCTGGCGCGCCGCGCCGTCGTCGAGGCCGTCGGGCAGCGCAGAGAGGCTGGCGAGCTCCTCGCGCGCCGCCAAGTGGAGCTCCTGCAGCTGCCTCTCGCGCTGCGAGCTCTTCGCCGCCTCGCAGCCGCGGTAGAGCGCCTCGAGGTAGGTTGCGTGCGCGTGGTGCGCCGCGCCGCGCGCATCGCCGGCGTCGCCGAGCAGGCCCTCGCACGACGCGGCGGCGCGCTCGTGCAAGTCGACAATGGCCCGCTCGGCCCGCGCGCTGGAGCTGCCCTCGGCCGCCCGCCACGCCGCCAGCGTGGTGCACACGCGCTGCTCGAGCGTCGCATCGGCGGGCTCGAGCCGAGCGCTGCTCCCATCGGCGCGGCTCGCGCCAACCTCGCGCAGCAGGGCTGCCGCCGCGTCGACGGCGCGTGGCCGGCCCGCGAGCTCGCCGCGCGCCTCTCCGTGCGGGGCTGCGTGCCACAGCAGCTGCGTTTGCTCCCACTCGCACAGCCGCCGCGTCGCGTCGCTGAGCGGGAGCGCGGCCAGCTCGGTCAGCCGAGCGGCCGCCATCGGCAGCCTGCCCACTCCGCGGGCGAGCGTGGCCGAGTGCAGCAGCGCAGCGGCGAGGGGGAGGCTGCCCGAGGCGCTCGTCGGGTCGGCCCACATGCGCAGGAGGGACGCGCGCAGCGCGAGCACCGGCTCCAGCATCCGGTACTCCTCTTGGCTCGTCACGCGGCCGGCGCCCGCCGTGGCGGCGTGCAGCTGCGCGCCGGTCGCCGCGGCGGCGGCGGCGGCAGTGCCTTCGCTGCCCGCAGATGCGACCTGGCAGATCTGCATGCACTGGCGCAACGCGACGCACAGCTCGTCGAGCCGCTTCCCGCCCTCGTCCCCCAGCTGCCCGAGCGACGCCACCAGGCCCTGCGCGCACTCCTCCATCGCGTCGTGCGCCTCGACCGGCCGGCCCTGCTGCAGCCACACCACGGCGCCAAAGAGTCGCTCGTGGAAGCCCGGCTCGGCCGGGGCCGCGCCCCGGGCCGCCCCGCTCGTCGGCATCACGTCGCCCTGGTCCCACTGGCCCAGCCGCCACGCCGCCTCGGCCCGCGCCTCGCGCACGGCGGCGCTCTCGTGCGCCGCCTGCGCCAGGCAGGACGCGCTGAGGTGGTCGCAGCCCATGTTGCGGAGCGTGACGGCCATCTTGAGGACGAGCGCCTCGTCGTCCTGCTGGCTCGTGCCCGGCAGGCCCCGGTTGGCGAGCTGCACCTGGTGGAGCGTGTCGAGCAGGCTCAGCCGGTCGAGGCTGCCCAGGCCGTCCTCCTGCAGCAGCTGCTGCTGGCCAACCCCGGGCAGGCCCTCGATCGCGACGCTCGACATGCCGAGGGTGGCGTCGGGCGTGGGCAGCTGCGAGAGGATGTCGAGGAGTAGGTTCGCGCCCGCGGCCCGCTGCAGCACCATCTCGGGCTGCAGCTCGGACGACTGCTCGCACGAAGCCTCGAGCAGCTGCAGCGCGGTGAGCGGCGCCCCGGCGGCGTGCGCGGCGTGCGCGGCGCGCTGCCAGTCGACGGCGTTCCACAGCTTCGGGAAGCGCCAGCCGTCGCTCGCGCGCAGCGGCGTGCTGTGCGCCCGGATCTGCAGCAGCAACTGCAGCTGCAGCTCCGTCGCCTGCTTCTCCTGCGGCGGGGGAGCGCCCTCCGTCCGGAGCGCGTCGTCGCAGCCAACCGAGGCGGCCTGCGCGAGGGTGGCGGCGAACTTGCCGTCGTCGTGCGGGTTCTCGAGCAGGTCGAGCAGCGCCGGCAGCAGGCACAGCCGCGCGAGGGCCGGCTTGCGCGACGCGAGCAGCCGGCTCTTGACGAGCAGCCGCTGCCGTGCGTGCCGCAGCAGGCTCTCGGCCAGCACGCAGACCCAAGCGTCGACCGACTTGCCGCGCGCGCTCCAGAGCTCCGGCAGGGTCGCGTGCAGCTCCTGCAGCATGGCGATCTCGCCGCGCTGAGCCGCGGGGCGCTGCGCCACCGGGTTGCAGCTCGCCATCGCCTCGATCGCAACCACCCTGGCCGGGGCAAAGTGCATCGCGTCCGAGCCGATGCCCGGCAGCGGCTTTGAGTAGGCGTCCATCTCGACGACGGCGAAGAGGGCCTTCTTGGACAGCTCCTTGCGCGCCTCCTTGAGCTCCTCGGTCTGCTTCTTGAGCGACTCGCGCAGCGCGTCCGCCGCGAGGATGGCGGAGACCTGCAGAAGAGAGGTGTGCGTCATACACAGGAAAGGGGGGAAGAGCCGCCGCGAGGATGGCGGAGGCCTCGTCCGCGTCGGTGAGGTAGCCGTGCAGCAGCATCAGCACCTTGGGCAGGATCTGCGCGAGGTCGGGGCGCAGCTCGTCACCGCTGCGGGTGGCCGCGGCGGTGCTGGCGCGCATCGCCCGCTGCGGGAGGCCGTGGTGCAACAGGACGCCCAAGCACTGCGCGATGAGCCACCGGCAGTCGGTGTCGCCGGCAGACTTGGACAGCAGCAGCAGGCGGCGGGCAGCGTTGGCCGCCGCCTGCGCCAAGCCCTGGATGGCGGGGGTGGGGGCGGTCCGCGGCGCGGCCGCCGCCCTCGAGGAGCTGCCGCGGGTGGCGTACGGCAGGGCTCGCGCCAGCTCGACGCCGGCCACGTCCGTCTGCAGCCTCGAGAGGAGGAGGCGCAGCCGCGCGAGGAGACTCGCCCCGGCAACCTCGCGCTCCGACAGCTGGGCGAATGTGACCAGCGTGTCGGCCAAGGAGGCCTGTGCCCGCGCCTGCTCGCACACGGCGGCGAGGCGCTCGAAGGGCGCATCCTTGGGCAGCGGCGGCAGCATCGAGAGCGCCGTCTTTGGAAGCGCGCGCACGGCGTAGTCGAGCAGCGAAAAGGCGGTGGGGGAGGCGGCCGCGCGCGGGAGGAGGGCCGAGATGAGCGCGGTGCAGTGCTCGCGTTGGAAGTCCTTGAGCTGCGCGGCGGCGTCGCGGTAGCTCTTGTACACCTCGCCGAGCTGCCCCAGCTCTGCCTGCAGCACGCTCTGCAGCACCGGCCGCAGCACCTTGCAGCACCGCTCGGCAGCGCCGCCGCCGCGGCCGCTGCGCCCGGCGCTGTCGGCGTCCTCGCCGTCCCAGACGGCGAGCGCCGTGTGCTGCAGCATGCGGGCGAGGGCCACGAAGCTGAGGTGGCGCACCGTCTTGCCCTGCCCCTTGAGCAGCGCAGGCACAACCTCGCTCGAGCAGGTGAGCAGCTCGAGGAGGGTGAGCATGTTCTCCCGGTGCAGGGCGCGCGGCGCGGCGGCGCGAAAGGCGGCGCGGTGCCGGTGATGGAGCAGCAGGAGCAGCTCGAGGGCGCGTCCGTTCACGTTGAAGAGAAAGTCGGCGGGGAGGGTCCCCGGCTCGAGCTGTGGGGGCGGGGCGGGTCGAGAGGGGGTGAGGGGGTGAGGCGGTGAGGGGGTGAGGGGGTGAGGCGGTGAGGCGGTGAGGGGGCGAGGGAGTTAAGAGGGGTTGGGGGGGTTTAGAGCTGGCTGGCACACTGTCTAGAGCGCGTCTCGGGAGTGACTCACAGCGGCCGCCTGGTCGGCGAGGAGAGGTCAGGGTTAGGGTCAGCTGACCTGGTCGGCGAGGAAGGCGAGCGACTTGACGAGCGTCCCCACCACCAGCTCGCCCGACCCGGGAATCACCCACGTCACCGACTCGAGCGCGAGCATGCACTGCAGGATGTGGTCGAGGCTCTTCTCGATCCGCACCCTCAGCGGCACCTCCTCGCCGTCGTCGCGCAAGCTCTCGATGAGCTTGACGATCGCCGCCCAGCGCTGCGCGGGCGGCTGCTGCGGCGCGCCGAACTTGGCCGGCAGCCAGCGCCCGATGAGATGGGGGATGCTGTCGCGAAGCATCTCGCTCTCCTTGCGCTGCAGCAGGCGGCCCGCGCGCTCGAGCTGCTGCCTCGCAAACCCGCCGCCGCCGTCGCGCGAGGCTGGGCCGCTGGCGGCCACGGCGAGCAGCGTCGGCACCAGGAGGAAGCGGTGGTCGTGCAACATCTTGCGCAGCCGCTTCCGCTGCAGGTCGCCGCTCTCGCTCGGGACGGCGGCCGGCTCGGGATCCGCGCCGGGCGGGTCGAGCCAGTGGGCGGGGAAGTCGAGGAGGCAGCGCGCCCCGTCGAGCCACTTCTCCACCAGCCACGCCAGGTGCAGCTTGAGGAGCGAGTGCAGCCCGCCGGCTGGCCGGCAGCCCGATCGCAGCACGGGGAGCAGCGAGTGCTCCCTCGCACGGAGGAGGCCCGACTGCTGGCAGAGCTGGAGCAGGATGCTGCGCTGCCGCGGCGCGGAGCAGCTCACCAGCGCGGCGCACGCGGTCCGCAGCGACGCGATGTGCAGCTCGAGCGGCTGCTGGACCTAGTCGATCCACACACCGACTAAGCGCGGATTGATTCGTTGCGGCGCGGAGCCCGCGCGGCCGCTGGACCGTCTCGTGCGGAATCGGAAGCGTCTCGGCGAGGTCGATCGACGCGAGCACGGGGAGCAGGCAAGTCTGCAGCCGGAGGAGGTCGCCAAAGCAGAGCCGGCGGCTGCGCTGGAGCATCACCGGCAGCGCCCTCCAGATGCGCGGCCGGATGTCTTGGAAGTGGCCTGCGTCCGCCTCCTCGCGCCACGCGTCCCGGTGCAGCCGCTCGGCCTGAGAGGCGAGCAGCGCCCACTCGACGGACGCGTGGATGGCGGGCGTGACCTCGGCGAGGGACGACTCGCTCAGCAGGCCGAGCGTCCGCGAGAGCACTTGCCCGCAGCCCGAGAGCAGCTGCATCTCCGGCTCACCACGGCTGGGCGAGCGGAGGGAGCGCGCGCGCCGCATCAGCCGGGCCGCCGTCTCAAGGCTTGCGCGAAGCAGCCCCTCGCCGCCGCCCGCGGGCAAGCAGCCGACCTCCTCGAGCAGCTGCATCTGCCGCGGCAGCAGCGACGGGTGCGGCAGCTCGATCAGCGCGAGGCACAGCCGCGGCACCTTGGCCTCCAGGCCCGGCTTGTGCAGCAGCGAGGTGACGGAGCAGCGCTGCTGGTCGGCCCGGAAGCTTCCGAGCAGCGCGGGCTCGAGCACGCCGCCCTCGGCGGCCTCCGCGGCGCAGAGGAGGCGCAGCGCCTCGAGCCAGCTCGAGCAGACCCGCTCCTGCTCGCCAATCTCCTCGGCGCTCCCGTCGAGGAAGTCGTCCTCGCCCAGCGGGTCGGCGGCGCCCTGTCGCACCTCGACGCTCCCCATCTTGCGCATGGCGTTCGCCTCGACCTCGACCACCACCCGCGGGGCGACCACGGAGCGGAGCAAGAGCCGCTCCTCCCCGCCCGCGCACGCGAGGAGCAGCCTCACAAGGAGCGGGACTAGCGCGACGGTCTCAGCCTCGCTGCATGCCGGGAGGCTCTCCGACGCCCACGAAGTCGAGGCCGCAAGCTTGCTCCGCAGCTGCTGCCGCCGCGCGTCGCCGTCTCCGCCGCCGCCGTCCGGAGAGGCTCCGAGGCAGGCCAGCACAAACGCCGCCATGCAGAGCCTCTGCATGTGGTTGAGCAGGTTCGGGGGCTCCTGCGACAGGAAGGCGGGCAGCAGGCCACACACGCCGTCCAGCGCCGCCAGTGCGCCGGCAGAGAGGCGACCAACAGCGGCGCCGCCGCGGCCGATCTGTCCGCTTGGCTCCTCGAGCAGCAAAGTGGAGGCGCCGCCGCCGCCACCGCCGCCGTCGCCAATGCCGTCGCCACCGCCGTCGCCGCTGAGCGAGCGCACCAGCGCATCGAGCTCCTCCAGCTGCGCCTCCGCCTCAGCGCCCTGCGCATTTGCCGCCCCTCCCTCCCGCGCTGCCGCGCCCTCCGCCCGCCTCGCCGCGACGCCCGGCGCGCCAGGAGGCATCGGCATGAGCCTGTCCGCCTTGTCTCCCGTCGCACCCACGGCGGCGAGGAGCAGCCGCGCCCGCAGCGCGAACCAGAGGCGAGTGTGGTACTGCTTGGAAGGGCTCGCGGCGGCGGCGAGCACACCGGACGGGGTGAGCGAGAGCGAGCAGGGCGAGAGGAGGGGCGAGCCGATGCGGGGCGGGACGAGCTCCGTCGCGACGGCGAAGGCGGGCCCTCCGCCCGGCGCGCGCTCCAGCACGGACGGGTGGCGGCTCCACAGGCCGAGGGCGAGGGCCTGCCTCGACTGGGACGCCCAGCCGGCGACGCGGCTGAGGCTCGCCCGCCCGCCTCCGAGGGCGACGCGGAAGGCGGCGGCCACCTCCGCCGCCGCGGGGGCGGTCGTGCTGGCCTGCACCTGCCGCGTCGCGACCAGCTGCGACAGGAGCTCGCGCCGCAACTCTGCGTGCAGCGCCGCGGTGCTGGCGGCGCTCCCGGCGGAGGAGAGGAAGCCGGCGCCGCCGCCGACGCCTCCTGCCTCCCGCGCGGCGTCGCTCGCGATGGCGGACGACTCGAGCAGCCAGAGCCGCTGCCACACCTCCCCCCAGCACGCGCAGTGCGGGACGCGGCCGCGCGCGAGCTCGAGCAGCGCCAATGTGGCGCAGATGGCGGCGGGCTGCTCGTGCTCCGCCGACGAGCGGGTGGCCACGGGGAGGAGCATCCCGACCAGCGCCTCCACGCTACCCGCGCCGAGCCGCGCGCCACGCGTGAGCGACATGGCCAGGAGCAGCCACGGCCGCCACGTCGACTGCGCCCCCCCCGCCGCCGGCTGGAAGGGAGCTCCGGCGGCGCCGCCCCCCGCCGCGTCAGCGGCGGCCGCCGGCCCGAGCCGCGCCAGCAGCCAGCTCGAGGCGCCGGGGACGTGGGCGGGCTGCGGCAGCCGCTGCCGCTTCGCCGCCGGCGAGGGAACGCGCTGCCGCTGCCCCGAGGGGGAGGGGGCGTCGGCGGGCGCTGGCGTGCGCGCGGGCGGAGGGTAGCTGTGCAGGATGTCGGCGGTGAGCTCGAGGAAGGCGAGGGCGGCGTGGCTGTCGCGGCTCGCGGCGCTGCCGGCGCGGGAGCCCTGCAGCAGCCTCGCGACGAAGGCGCCCTGTCGACAGCCACGCGTGTGAATGAGACGGTACTCGCAGCTCGCGGGCGAGGAGAGCGGGGCATGTCGAGGCCGACCTCGGGCAATCTCGGGCGGTCGAGGCTACTCTCGGGTGAGAGAGGGCGAGGCTGGCCTCCGGAGGGTCGTGCAGCAGCACGGCCGAGGAGGGCTGCAGCTCCCGCTCGGCGAGCGCGACGATCGCCTCGCGCAGCGCGTGCGGCAGGGGCTTGCCGCCGAGCCGCGAGAGGCGGAGCAGGGTGCGGCAGAGCTCGACGATTTCTCGGAGGAGCTCGACTTGCTCGGCGGAGCGGAGCGCCTGTTGCACATGCGCGAGCGTGTGTGTGTGTGCGGGCCGGTTTCTGTGCGCGCGGCACGGAGGAGGCGGGAGGAGGGGCGGGAGGAGGGGGGGGGGGGGGACGGGCGGGAGCAGCGCGCCTCGCCAATCCACTCCTGCACATGCCTCGAGCAGGCGAGCTCGCGCCAGACGACCTAAGCAAGGAGAGCGCCGTCCAGAAAAAGTAAGCTGGCAGGCCGAGCTCGCGCCCGCGCAGCCTCGAGGAAGTCAGCGCCCTGCCGGCGGAGGAGCGCGTTGACCGCCGCGAGCAGCTGCGGCAGCACCGGCTTGATCTGCTGCATCCGCGCCCGCCTCCAGTCGAGCTGCGCCTGAGGGGCCACGTCAAAGACTCGTCGTGGACACGTCACGGACTGGCCTCGGGTCCCCGTCCCAGCCGCGCCGTCGACTCGAGCGTCGGTGCCGCGGCTCCGGACGTGGCGAAGGGGGGTGCGTCGTCGAGCCCGCCCGTGCGCGCGGCAAGACTCCACTCGGCGAGCCGCTCCATGTGTCGGAAGCAGGCGGAGAGCGCGCGCTCCGGCAGCGCGAACGGGAAGCTGGCCGTGAGCCGCAGCAGCAGCTTGGCCGCCGCCGCCGCCGGCCGCGCCGCCACGGCTACGCCCCTGCGCTCCTCGGCGCCCCCGCCGGCGGCCGCCTCGTCGTGCGCCTCGGTCAGCGACGCGCACAGCGCGACGAGCCGGTCCGCGACCTCCTGCGCGTGCGCGATGCCGCCGAGCTCCGCCGAGCCGCCTGCGGCTGCGCCGCCCTGCCGCGCCATGCCGCGAAAGTACTCGCTCCGCGAGCAGAGGGTGCTGAGGATGGCGAGGTACATGGGCGCGACCGGCGCCGGGATCTCAGGATCGGTCGCCGCGCCATCCGCATCCTCCTCCGCCGGCGGCGTCGGCAGAAGCTCGTCCGCTGTGCGGCTGATGAAGCGCTCGACGGCGTCGACGTCGAGCACAGCGCCCGCGCGGTCCGCCTCGTCGACCATCCGCTTGAGGCCGTCGACCGTGTTGGGCCGCCGCCACTTGCGGTTCCACGACAGGCCGATGATCACCGCCTTGAAGAGCGTCGTCCAGCCCGACTCGCCGCCGTCGGGCACCACGCCGAGCTTCTCGCAGAAGCGCGGCGTTGACAGGCGCGACTTGAGCGTCTCGACGGCCTGGGCAAAGGCGGTGACATTGCGCGGCGAACGAAGGTCCTCTGCGACCGAGGCGATCTCCTCGTCCATCGCCGGCAAAGCAGATGTGGAGGCTGCCCGAGGAGGAGAGCGCCAAAAGAAAAAGAAACATAGTCCAGAAGAAATGCCCAAAAACCACACAATGCACGGGTGCGTCGGCCATCGATCGAAAACGGACTGGCCGCCACATGCCCGTCCGACAGGCTCTCGCCGCGCTACGCCGCACGGCGCAGCGCTTAACGGCCGCGCCGTCGACCGCAGACGCGGCGCTCAACCAGCCCAACAACATCGCGACGCTGCAGACCGTGCTGTCCCGCTCGTTTGATGACGGCACCGCCGAGGGCGAGGCGGCCGCGGCGCAGTTCGAGCGCCTGAGCCGCGCCGTCTCGACCATCATCGCCGTCGAGTACCACGGCCGCGCCGCTGAGCTGCAGGCGCGGTACGAGCGACTCGACCCGCGCGGCGTGCACGCTCAGCGCAACTTTCGGCGCGAGACTGCCGAGCGGACCGCCGCCACGGAGCGGGGCGAGACGCCGCCGCCGCCGCCGCAGCGTAGCGCCGCTCAGGCGGCCGAGGCGGCCGCCTTCAGCGCGGCGCTCCACACGACGATGCGTGAGGCCTCCCGCTCCGCCTCTCTGAGGCCGTTCTGGACATGCCTGGAACTGCCACCCGTGCCCGATTTAGGCCGGGTTCCGGCTCAGCTCCGCGCGAGACGAGGCGCTCACCAAGGGCTACTCCTTCGGCCACGCAGCCTCCTCGAGCGTGCCGCGACTGCTCGCCATGTCCCCGACGCGTCCCCGGCGCGTCCCGCAGGCGACGAGGCCATCTGGAACGTGCCGGTGGCCGATGTGATGGGACTGCGCTCGACCCGTCCAGGACATGCCGCGTGATGCGGCCACGGGACGGTGCCCCGCAGGTGACGATGTACTGGGACGCTCTCGACCGATCCCTCGTGGCACCCGACGAGGGAGGCTTCGACCCTGACCTCGACGGGCAGAGGCGGACGCGGGAGGACACGTCCCTGACACGTCCCAAAGGCATACCCCGTCAGGCTTCGACCCTTACTCGGCCGAGGCGGACGCGGGCGAGCCGGTGCGCTGCCACGCGATCCCTCGCCCTCGCCCTCGCCCTCGCCCTCGTCCCTGTCCTAATCCCTCGCCCTCGCCCTCCCCCTCACCCCTTGGCCCACAGGTGCGCCGTCCGCTCTGGGCCGGCCACCTCAGCGTCTACCTCCGCGGCGAGGGCACCGTCGAGAAGCGAGGCTACTTCTTCGTCGCGAAGGCCGAGGAGATGCTCTGGAGGGCCGCAAAGAGGAGAGCCCTCGCCGTCGCCGCCGCAGCGGAGCACCTCGTCAACGTGAGAATAGACGAGACAGCACCTCGTGTCTAGACTCCGCAGCGGAGCACCTCGTCAACGTGAGTCGCCGAGACACTTCCGAGACATTTCCGAGACACTTCCGAGGAGCACCTAGTCAACGTGAGTCGCCGAGCCTGACCGAGACTCGCCGACACGTACCGGCAGTCTCCGAGGCGCTGTCGCAGCAGAGCACGTCGCCATCGTGCGGGACTCCGCCGCCGCTCTCCCTGCCCGCTCCTACCCTCTCTCACACTCCCTTCCCTGCCACCCCTCGTCTCGCCGCGCCTTCTCTCGCCTCTCGCCTCTCGCCCCCCCCCCCCCCCTCCCCTCGTCCACCCCGCTCTCACCACACCAGGTGCCCGCCGGCTGGCTGCGCAGCCGCGCCGCCAATGCCGCGGAGCGGTCTCGCGCAATGCTCGAGCGAGCGGTGAGCAACCGCCCCACACGTCCACCCCCCAGCCACCCCCCGACCCCTCTTCCGCCGCCGCCCCTGCCGCCGCTTCCCCGATCTCGCGCGTCGCCCCCGCCCGCCCACTCACGGCGCTGCGCCCGGCGCGGCGTGTGTCTGGCCAGGCCCTCGCGCTCGGGCTGGCGCTCAAACAGCCGCCGCCCGCGGTCGCGGGGGAGGCGGCGCAGGCGGTGGTGTCGGAGGGGACGGCGGCCGAGTGGGCCAAGGCGAAGGCGAAGGCGGCGGCGGGCGGCCCGCTCGCCGGCGAGAGCGCGGGGAGCACCTTTGGCTCGATGCAGCTCGGCTGGTGCGAGTAGCTCGAGGGGGGGAACAGAGGGCGTGTCGGACATGCACGTGCATGTCGTGGACTTGCTGTCTCCTCGCGCAGGTACGCGCTGCTCGAGGAGAGCGTGCTCACGGCGCCGTCCCACGCGCACGTCCTCCTCGCCTTCCGCCACTCTGACGCCGCGACGCACGCCGGCAGCACCCGCCCTCTCCCTCGGCTCGCCCCGCCCTCTTCCCGCTCCCGTTTGCTTCTCCGGCAGCACCCTGCCCCGCCCCAGCCCCTCGCTCCGGCCCTCCCCTCGCCCCCCCCCCCCTTCCCCTTCTCTTCCCCTCGGCCCCTAGCCCCTCGCTCTGGCCCCTCGCCCTAGCCCGACCCTGCTGCTGGCCCCCAGCGGTCCAACCCCGCAGGAAGCCTGCCCCACCACCTCGCCCGCGCCCTCTACCGCGACGTGCCTAAGAACGACCTCGACCTGCTGCTGCCGCATCAACAGGTCGAGATGCCGCCCGTCCAAAAGGCGCAGTTCATCCTCTTCGGCGGGCTCGGCGTCGCGGCGGGATGGCGAGCCCTACCCCCGCACCACCCTGCCCACCGGGACCGGCGGGCACGGCGCCTCTCCACGCGCGCCGCCGCGAGCAGGCGCCTCCTCGTGGTCGACACCTTCTCCTACGCGGGCCTGCTCACCCTCTACGCCATGGTGCCGCACCATGCGGGCCGCCGCCGAGGTGAGGGTGGCGCCGGTTCAACCGCCCCTCCCCCCCCCCCCGCCTGCGCAGGCGACGCTCGGCATGCGCACCGCAGTGCGGTGGCGCGCCTCCAAGGCGCTCTACCAGCAGCTGCTCGTCTCGTACCAGTCGGCCAATCGGCTCGGCTCCGCCGACGACGCGCTGCTCTACGTGGCGCGATGCCGGCCGAGGCGTGGCAGCGTGCTGCGACGCAGCCTCTCCCCACGCGCGCCCCTCGCGTCGAGTAGGCGCGGCTGGCCGAGGTGGAGCAGACCAAGCGCGCGCTCCTCGCCATGCACGCGCTCACCGAGAGGCGGCGCGAGGCGGGCGGCGGCGGCGACGAGGCGGCGCTCTCGCCCGCCGAGGTGGCGGCGCACGGGGAGAGGCTGTTGCGCGAGTGGAGCGAGCTCGCGCCGCTCAGCACGACCGAAGACGCGGGCGGGCCCTCGGCGCTGCACCACCTCGACCGCATCGGGCTGCTCGAGTGGCGGGCCGGGCCGGACCGGCAGGACGGCGCAGAGACCGCCGGCGAGTCGGCGTCTGGCGCCGATGTGTGCGTGCAGATGGTGCCTCTTGGCGAGGCGGTGAGGCGCGGCAGCCGCTACTGGGGAAGGCTGCTCGAGAGAGGCGGGAAGTCCCCTTGGGCGGGGGAGGCTGCAGGGGAGGAGCGCCCTCGCTCCTCGGGGCTGGACTTTTGGCGCCTGCTGGGGGAGGGGGGAGGGTGACGGAGAAGGTGGCCGTCGCGCCGTTGGAGCTTGGACACCGGGAACTGAGGCGAGGAAGTGACTAATTAAATTGCTCACCTCACTGAGAGAAAGATGGGCAAAACGAAGGAACGTGGCCCCTGCACCATGCCGCTGTGCAGCTGCGGGGTGGCTCTCTCTCCGCGGACTCCCCGCGCCGACCGTGTGTGTGTGAAGGGGCAGTGAGAGAGGGTTCGCACACGGCAAGTGGGTTACGCATAAGCCGTTGAGCAGTGGCCAGTAAGCAAACCAAATGGCCCGGCCCACTGCAAAAGCTCTCCTGCAAACGCGACTGCTCACACAACACATAGAGCATCACACGCGTATTTGCAGCTCCGTGCTCAAACGCAGGTGTCAAACCAGCCGAGCACCACACTAATGCATAATGTAAGAAAGCAGACGCGTCTCACGGAAGAGACGATCGCACTCTTCAAAGGAGAAGGAGGACGATCAAGACAGCTGCTGTGGTCTGTAGCATGAGGAGCGTGGCGCAAGCTGCGCCAACCGCTCTCTCTGTCGCGCTGACCTCTTCGGTGATGGTGGAAAGCGGCTTGCGGAGAAGCTTTGGTGGCGTCACTCTGCCGCACGCCCAACGGAGTAGGCCGGGTGAGGTGTCCTCTCGACTCCCAAGCATGCGCGCTCGCTTGCGCGTCCGAGGCGCGGCGTGTCACCGCGTGACAAACAGGGCACCAGAGTGAATGCCGCAAAAAAGAATTTTACGACGACAACCTTGGTGTACCTGTGTTAGTGCCAGTGCGCGCCAGTCCCGTGCCCAGTGTCGTGCGCAAAAAGAATTTTACAATAGTGCGAAGGGAGATAGAAAGATCTCCCGCAGCGCTCGCGATCGCGCAAGCGGCGCGCGCGAGCGAGCGAGCGAGCACACACACACACACACACACACACACACACACACACACACACACACACACACACACACACACACACACACACACACACACACACACACACACACACACACACACACACACACACACACACACACACACACACGCACACGCACACGCACACGCACACGCACACGCACACGCACACGCACACGCACACGCACACGCACGCACCTCCCCAGAAATCCCGAGGAGCCGTGCAGTGCCTAGATAAGTCTGTGTGCTGTGTGGTGCACGCCTTCCGAGCGGGGCGGGGTCTGCCCGCCGGGTTGCTGCCCTAATCCCACCAGGGGTTGTCTGCTCTATTTATTTATTTAGAAAGAGGCAGACGCCCAAGGGTTAGGGTGGGCGACGGCTAGCACCACACTCCTCTCCTTAAAATCCCTGTCTGGTGGCGGCGCGCCGTCCTCCCATCCCTCCCTTGGGTTGTCTGTTTTCTTTCTTTCTTTTCTTTCGGGGCACGCACTGTTAGTGTGCACTAACACAGGCAAAAGAGAAAGGCCGCTGAAGGAATAGCGAAAGAAAGAATTTAACAAGACCAACTATCTCACAGCAGCCCCAGAGACAGCTCGCGACACAGGGGGACTGTGTGGCGCGTGCTCCTCGCACTAACATAAGGCACACCGAAAGAAAGAAGAAATCAAAAGGGCCTGTGGGGAGAGGAGTGTGGTGCTAGCCGTCGCCCACGGGCTCCTTGGGCGTCCGCCTCTTCCTATACCTCTCTTCGCAGTCTCTCTCTCGGGCGTATTTTGGGAACAACTGTTACGAGAGTCACCCAGCTCGAGGGTTGCTCAGACTTTGGGACGAGGCCTGGACGAGGGTTGGGCAGAGGGCGCACCTCATGTGCGTCGGCGCGCCGCGGCGCCGGCGAGCGTGCCATCGATTACAAGTTCACACAAAAACACAACCACGGACCCAAGACGCACAAGCTCAGACAGTCGAGAAAGGGATAGACCGCAACGACAGTCAGAAGTCAGCGCTGGGTCCCAGGGCACGCGGTTTCACGGAGCTCCAAGAGACCTCGAGAAAAGAAAGAAAGAAAGAAAACAGACACGGCAAACGAGGGATGGGACGAGGACAGGGTCCCCACCTGCACGAGCAGGATTTTGGAAGGACGATCAGGGGGACAGGTGGGCTCGAAAAAAGAAAGAAAGAAAACAGACAACCCAAGGGAGGGATGGGAGGACGGCACGCCGCCACCACACAGGGATTTTAAGGAGAGGTGTGTGGGCTCGAGAATACGTGCGAGTGGGGCAGCAAATTCTTCTGCACTGCCTGCCGTACAAGCCGCCAGACTCTGATCCCGCTTGGGTGGTGGTGGCACGCGAGATCGTCGCAATGCAAGGCAGCAGCAGCCCCGCTCGAACGGACCGCACCGCCGAGTTTTTCGGCATCGCCGACGTTCGTTGCCAGCAGCGCGGCCGCCCACCCTCGTCCAGGCCTCGTCCGCAGCGCACCGCCTTTGGCGCCTCGAGCTCACGCGTCGGGCAGGAGCCGCGCCGACTCTGCAGCACCGCCGAGTCGCCCTCCCAACACCACCGAGCTCGTTTACACTAGGCGCTTCACGAGCTCGATGGCCGCGTCGTGCGCCTCAGCAAGCTGGCGCGCTCGCTGCACAAAGCTCGTCACCGCCACCGCTCAGCGGATCGCTCCTCCCGCCGCGGCGCAGGCGAGCAAGACGAGCCTCTTCGACGACCCGGCGCTTGAAATCGCCGAGATCTCGGGCCTGATCAAGCAGCACCTCGGCCGCGTCAGCGGCAGCATCGAGGCGCTCGCGCGCAGCGGCCGGCCCGCCGGCGCGCAGTTTGCGGCGCATGCCGAGGCGGTCCTCTCGTACCTAAAGGGGGGGCTGCAGCGCGGCAGCGAGGGCTTCCAGCACGCGCTCCAGACGCGCGAGGCCATCCTCTCCGCCAAGGAGGCGCGCGCCGAGAAGATCGGCGTCGGCGTCGCGGCGACGCCCACGCCGGCCGGCCGGTGTGGAGGGGGAGGGGCGGGGAGCAGCCGCACGCCGAGCGGGCCGCTGGGAGGGAGCGGCGGCGCCGGCGGCTTCGGCGGCTCCTTCAGCGGCGCCGCCTTCGCCACGCCCGGCAACGGAGCCTCTGTCCTGCAGCGCCGCCGGCCGCACCCGGCGTATGCGACGCCCGTGCCGGCGGCGGCGTGCGGCGACGGCGGCTTCGGCGGCTGCGGCGAGGCGCCGGGGTCGGCGGTCGCGATCGACATGGGCGGCTTCAGCGGCGGCGCGCCGGGCAGCGGCGGGCAGCAGGCGCAGGCCTTTTGGACGCCGCGCTCGCGCCAGCACCGCCAGGAGGAGATGTCGCAGATGCAGTCCACGCTCGCGGAGCTGGGGACCATGTTCCAAAAGTTCACCTCCCTCGTCTCGGAGCAGGGAGAGATGGCGCGCGCGCCCCCTTCCGCCACCTCTGCGCCCACCCTCCCGCGTTTCGGGCTTTCGGGATCGCCCCCCCCCCCCCCCCCCCTTGCCGCCTCTGGGGCGAGCGCGCCGGCCCGCCCTCTCGCCTCAGGTGCGCCGGATCGACCTCGACACCGAGGTGGCGGCGACCAACGTCGAGCAGGCGCACATACAGATCAAAAAGTTCCAAAAGCACATCTCGGGCAACCGCTCCCTGATCATCAAGTCGTTCCTCGTCCTCTTCTTCTTCATAGTGCTCTTTGGGACCGTGCTCCGGTGAGGCGAGATTTGCACTGGTTGCCGCGACAGCCCTAGGTGTCTTTCTCTTATTTCGTTGTATGTGGCTCTTACTAACTCCTACCCGGAGGCATACAGTGCTGCTGGTAGAGCGAGGCTGCGGTGAGCGCGTTGCCGTTGGCGCGGGACAGGACCGGAGGACCCTCTAGCCTCTTAGGGGACCCCTAGCGCCTAGGCGGTGACCGGTGTAGGCGCTAGGGTTCTGAGGGCCGGAATTTTTGACCTTTTAAGAAACGAGGAGATTTGGGGGCTTAACTTGCCATTTAAGAGATTGCAGGCACGGGGGGTCCCTCTTTTAAGACCGTTTAAGAAAATCGGCCTCGCCGGCATGCGTCGCTGGGTTCCGCGCCGTTTTCTCCAACACAGACTGCCGTTATTAGGCACAAGTCCGCCTCTGAAGACATCTGTAAGTCTGGTGCACTGGCAGGAGCCATACTCGCATAGGGGGCGCGTGCCAGCTGACTAGCCAGCTTCCCGGCCTCCGGCGTCTACCGGGAGCCTCCCGGACCATCGACCTCGGGAGCTCTCCCGAACCGTTTAAGCGTTTAAGACCGTTTAAGGAATCGGCGGCCCAGGCAGCCTTAAAATGGGCCATGGCCCGCTTTAAGCCGTTTAAGCCGCAGGCGCCCCAGGGCCCACCCTTTTAAGCCTAGGGGTCCCCTAAGCGAGGACCGGGAGCGCTCGCTGTCCCCACAGAGATGACAGCGATTACTCTTTTTATCCATGGCTTTAATCTGATCATTTTTTCGCACCTCCACCTCTGCTGTGTGGGTGTGTGGGCTGCTCACCCGCTGCGAGGGCGCTGCACACACCACAGACACGATAGGAACTACAGGGATATATCCTCAGCAGAAAGCCGAGTGTCCTCCCCCCGCCCCCCACTGCACTGGCGCCATCGACCGCAGCAGGCCCCGTGCAGGCCACCAGACTGCAGTAGCGCATGCCTGGCAGCGGCCGTCCATGAACGCCTTCGTCTCTCAGGCCGGCTCCCGCCATGGTGTACCTCATTTGTAGGTACTTTTAGCTTAAAATGGGAGAAAAGGAGAGGGGGGGCTGGGTCTCGCCTCGCCGCCCTCGCGGGAGTCCACATAAGGGATGGGCTGCTCCTTGCTTGCTGCTACGCAGGTCCTACTCTGCGATCTCGTCATCCATTTCCCAATCGCGTATCGCGGAAGTGTCTCAAAGTCGATGCCGCGCTCCTTACAAACGGCCACCAGATCGCGTTGGTTACCGTCTTAGGTTACCGTGGAGAGTGAGCTTCTCGAGCTGCGGCGCTGTCCCCTCCATGCCAAGGGCTTTGGCCAGCGCCGTGCAGCCCTCATCGCAAATCTTGCAGTAGCCGAGACGGAGGTCGATCAGCACCCCGTTGACCGCGAGAGTGCCTTGTGCCGATCGCCTTGGCGCCCTGCTCGGCACCGCGCGATGATGTTCTCGCTGATGTTGATTGGTCAGCACCTCGTCGACGCAAAGAGCGGAGGCCAGCGCCTTGGCTCTCTCCGTTGTTGCCGATGCGGTTGTTGTGGATGAGCTGTTTCAGCACCGCGTTGATCTTGAGGGCGTCCAGCGCATGGTACTCGCCATCCTAGTCGCCATCGCCATCCTCGTTAGCCGCATATCTCGTTGTCGCTCATATAATGTATATAGCACGCTAAGCAAGGTAAAAAAGGAAAAACACATCTCTCTCTTCGCGTTCCCCTCCGACGCTTACAAGACAGTCTTCAGTCCGATTGCATGCACCTCCCTATGTAAAACGTCCCGCAGCTCCCGCCGATCTCCCGCTAACGGAGATCTTAACCCACCTGTACCCCAGCTGTACCCTCTCCTTATCTATGGATGGATGGAATTCCTAGCCGGTGGGTTGGGTGAGTGGCGGCGGCTTTTTGGCGTTTCATTTTGTTGGCACGTTTCATGCGCGCTCCCCCACCCAACACCCCTATACCCGCCTCGACTACCCTCCGGGCAGCGCGCCATCCAGATGGCCGCCCCGACACTTCCGGCGCGGAGTGGAAGGTGTAGTGCGAGTGGGTGGACGCGTGGGAGGTGCCGTACGGCGTGTGGTCAATGGACCCACTGGCGAGAGTGCGTGCGCTTGTTTAACAGGCGCGCCAGGCATGTGCCCAAGAAGATGTTAATCAGGCGGAGCACTTGGAGCACTTGGAGTGCAGTCGGTAACCTCACACCCAGGGCCGGGGAGCTAAGAAGCGCACCCAGTGGGCCAGATGATCGGGGTCGGGTTGCGGGCTAGAGAGCCCGGGCCTGGGTTTGTTGTTTTGTGTCTGAAACGAACTCCACACGCCCCCCCCTCCCGCTGGGCCCCCCCACATGCCCAATGCGCTCCGCTGAGCGCCTTACTCGCCTGCCGCTGGCGGAGCAGCGGCCTGCAGCGTGGCCCTCCTCCTGTGCGCTGCCAGTCAAGCAGCATGCAATGACCGCCTCAGCGGAAAGCCTCGTTCGCACGCAGCCATCGCCGCACTCCATGGTCCGTGCTCAGACAGCGGGAGCGTGCCGACAGCGAGCGAGCCCCACGGTGCGAGGCGCTCAGTTCAAGTGCGCTTCGCGGCAAGCGGAGTGCGAGCGCTGCGCACTGCTCTCGACCAAGCTGCAGAGGAGCAACCGCGCGCTGCGGGCAGCGCAGGAGGAGAGGGGCCAAGCCCTCGCCATGCTGTATCAAGCGCAGGACTGCTCTCCTCCCGCCCCCGTCCTATCACCTTCACCAATTCAATTCACCGTGTGCTGTCGACCCTTCAGGCGGAGGACGTGAGGGGCGGCGCTCAGCGGCCAGCAGAGGCGTCTCCAAGCCGGCCAGAGCTGACGCGCCGGCATTCGGCAAAGGCGGCACAGGAGCTGGCGGCGGCAAAGGCCGAGGCCTCAGACCTACGAGAACAGGTGGCTTCGCTGTTTGCGCGGGCAGAGCTGCTTGAGACAAAGCATGCGGCCAGGGAAGCGGAGCTCCGGCAGCGCCTGGTAGCGTCGGAAGGCAAGTCCTCGCGCCTGCAGCTTGCGCTCCAAAGCTCAGGTGCTCACGGGCGGGCGTCGCGTGAGGAGCACGAGCAGGCCAAGAGGGCGGCAGAAGAGGCGCGGCGAGCGCAAGAGCACGCAGTCAGCTGCGATCTCGAGCGCTTGGCGGCTTCCCTCGTCGAGACGGAGGAGCGGCTGCGCCGCAGCGAGGAGGAGCGCGAGCGCACAGCTTCCGAGGTGCTCTCCGCACGTGAGGAGGCCGACCAGGCTGCCCGCGCGCTGGGCGAGGCGAGCGAGGCAAGGGCGCGGCTGGAGGCCCAAAGCAAGGACAGGATCCTCGAGCTCGCCACCACCAAGGCGGCGATTGAAGCCGAGCACGTCGCGCAGGTCGCATCGCTGCAAAAGCGGCACGAGGCTGAGCTGGAGATAGAAGTGCATAAGGCCGTGCGGCGAGCGGAGGCGGAGGCGCAGGCGGCAGCCGCCGCGGTGGCGGCTGAGACGGAAGCGGCGGCGGCACGGCGGCACGCCGAAGACTTGCTAGGTTCGGTGCGCGTCGCCGTGCTGGCGCCGTGCGTTCGCCTCGTCGTCAATGATCACGAGGCTCTCGCCGCCGCCTCCGCTTGCTCTGTGTCCCCTGGGCCTCCCCTGCCCCTTGCTTCCCCTGCCCAGCCCCGCGGCCTCCTGCTGCTACGAGGAGGGGCCACCCCTCATGTGCCCCTTTAGGCATTGCGGATCGGCAGTCCCACCCAGGTCGATTTTGATGCGCTCGCTCGCATGATTGAGGCGGAGGTGCTTGCGCGCTGGACTCGACTCTGCGGCGTGCCGAGCGATCTTCCGGCCGACGCTCAGTTGGCTGCAATGCGCGACGGAAGCCTCTTCCCTCACATCCTCCTGGAGGAGCACATGCAGAGGGTGACCGAAGAGGTGAGTGGGCGGCTGTTGAGAATGATCCACGCCGCATAACGGCCTCACGATTCACGTATCAGTCGGGAGTGTAGTTGTCAGAGGGAGTCTGTGCCGCCGCCGTGCAGGCGGTACAACTCGCGCTCTATGTCGTTGTAATGTGTGCGCGCGTCCGCGTGTGCCCGGGGCCTTGCGGGCCCGGCGGTGGGGGCGCGGCGGCGGGGGGGGGGGGGGGGGGATGTGCATGTGGGGTGTGGGCGGGGCCCCCGGCGGGGGGGGACGGGTGTCGGTTCGGAACGGAAGCCTGTTCGTGTTGAGGGAGCAGGGGGGCACTTGTGGAATATGTGTCTTCTGTGTGCGCTTTTATCATTTGACTCATCTTGCTTAGCAGTACGCAACACCACGCATCACACGACACAATAAGTCACAAGTCACACACAAGTCACACACAAGTCAAGCAGTCGAAAGCAGAGGTTTGAGCGAAGAGTGGCGACGTCCGACGTGCGACGAAGCAATCCGTCGCTAATGCATCGTGGGCTGCCGCGCGGACCGTGCTGACGGCGGGCTGTCCTGCTGCTGCTTGGAACAGCACGGGAAGGGCGGGCAGTCGGAGCGGTGTAGCTCGTGCTGGCAGTACTTGTGAGTCGGCGAGCCGTCGAAGCCCGAGTAGAGGAAGAGGGCGACGTGCGCGCAGATGATCCAGTACCCTTTCGCGAGGCGCACGTCCAGCATGAGGCACGTCTCCTGGCCGTACCTCTCGCCGAGCGGCCCGCACAGGCCGGGCGAGTTTTCGACGGTCAGCAGGTTCTTCGACACGGGGCCGAAGGTGACGTTGAGCAGCGGCACGGCCACGAGCAGCACCTCGAGCGCGTAAAAGATGGAGGCGTTGCGGGAGAGCTCGTGCAGCATGCGCAACACCTTGGTGGGCAACGGCAGCAGCAGCAGCATCAGCTGCGTGCTGCAGCGCACCGCCGGCCCGATGACGCAAAAGACGAGGTACGTCGTGTACATGAGCGCGCGGTTGAAGCCGCCGAGCTCGTAGATGATGCCCGAGAGCGACCAGATCGAGTACTCCTCGTCAAAGTCGAAGCCGGTGTCCTTGAGCAGCGCGGGCACCGAGCCGGTCACCTCGCGCGTGAAGCAGGGCGTGAACATGCCGTACGCGAGCATCGCGCTGGTGAGGAGGCAGATGGTGGAGTGCCACGCCCACTCGCGCGTCACCGGGAAGGGCTTGGCGCCGCCCAGCACCGTCATCTGCCTCTTGATCTTGCGCTCTATCCGGATCTCGCGCGGCGTGCGCGTGTCCTTCGCCGGAGAGAAGATCCCGACGGCCGTCTTGGTCTTCTCCTCCAAAAAGTGGACCGAGCCGGCCAACCGCCTCCGGAGTCCGCTCGGCGTCTCGGGGATCGGCGTCCTCGTCGCCGTCCCGGCGTCGAGCGCGGCGGCGGGCGCGGCGGACGACGAGCCCGCCTCGTCGCCCGGCGTGTCGACCTCGACCGACACGTGCCCCAGCGGCGCCACCTGCCGCACCCCCCCCTCCGCCTCCCCGCCCGCCCCCTCCGCCGGCGGGCTCGGTGGCGGAGTCGGCACGCCGCGCCCACGGAAGCCGGCCGCGTCCTCGTCGAACGCGTCGTCGTCGTCCGACTCCTCCTCGCCGGAGTCGTACCCGTCCCAGCCCTGCGGCAACGAAGCACAGGCGAGGCGTGGCTCAGAGGGGCGCGGTGGGCGCGCACGGGCGCGGGGCGGCGGGCGGCGAGTCTGCGCCTCGGCGTGATGGTCGACGACCCCCTCGCCGCGCCCCTCGAGCCGCTCGACCACGATCGAGACGATGAGCGAGAGCATGACAGCGATGCAGAAGGAGTACATGGCGACCATCCCCTCCATCTGCACGCCGGCGTGCAGCGTCGAGACGAGGTCGGGGTGCACCGCGTCGAGCGCCTCGCCGATCACCTTGCCGAGGTTGGCGCAGCCGCTGGCACACGCGGCTTGCCCCATCCGGTCGGCAGGGTCCTTTGCCATCTCCGCCTGTGGGGGCGGGTGAGGGGGGCGGGTGAGGGGGGCGGGTGAGGGGGGCGGGTGAGGGGGGCGGAGAGAGGGGGGGCAGAGGTGAGAGGGGAGCGGAGGCGAGAGGGGAGCGCAGGCGAGATGGCGCGGGCAGGAGGAGCGGAGGGATCGAGGCACGCTGCGTGGGCTGGGGGGGGGCGGGCGAGGCGGGCTGAGCCTTCATGCTGTCCACAAAGTTGTCCCACGCAGTCGTCACCTTTGGGATCCGGCTGGCGAGGCCGGTCGACGGCTGGCTCGCCGCGCCGTCCTCCGGGCAGCAGTACGCGTAGCACGCCGAGTTGTCTTTCTGGGCGTAGCCCTTGTTGCCCGGCATTGGCGCGTCCGGGCAGGCGAAGTTCGCCGTCCAGGCGCAGGAGCAGGAGAAGTCGGCCGACGGAGCCTGGCCGTGGTGGAAGACGTTGTCCCACGCGCTGTCCATCTTCTCCTTCTGCTTCGTCACGAACTCGTCCCAAGCCGCGTCCATCTTGTCCTGCTGCTCGCGGTTCCAGTCGTTGAACTTTTGCAGCGGCGGCAGCTTGGCCTCGATCGCCTGGCCGATCCCCTCGAAGGGGTGCGTCTTTTCGTGCATGAACGTTCCGCAGGTCCCGCCGCACGTCTCGATCAGGTCCGGCCCCGCCGAGTCCCACACCTCCGACGCCGTCGTGTCGAGCGTGAGGTGGAAGACGCCGACGAGCGCAGACATGACGAGCACGTCGGTGAAGGACCACTTGCCAAAGACGGCGAGCCAGTAGTTGCCGTTGCGGCGGCCCCTGCTCGTCATCGGGAGGTAGAAGAAGAGGTGCAGCAGCGCGAGCTTCACGTGCGGCCAGACGAACGAGAAGCCAAAGAGGACCACGGCGCCCGGCTTGCCGTACTCCTTGGTCACGTTGGCCGTCGAGATGGACTCGGCGGGCTCCCCGGGCAGCGGCTCAATCTGCGAGGGTGGAGATCACGTGGGTGAGCGAGACGGCGCCGCCGCGACTGTTGGGCACCCTCTTCTGCCGAGAGCGTGCCGCGGCGCCGGTCCGTGCACGCGCTCTCCTCTCCTCTCCCCTCTCCGCACCGTCTTCATCTCCCAGAGCTCCCAGATCGAGTACATGTAGGACATCTGCACCGCCTGCTTGGACATCTGGAACTGCTTGCACTTGAGGACCACGCACACCGACATCTGGTCCGACTGCAGCTCGCAGTCGATCTCCGGGTAGTAGGGCGTGTGCTGGCAGAGCTGGCTGTACGCAAAGGCCTGCAGCTCGACCGCGTCTTGACTCGTCGCGTTGAAGGTGAGCCCCACGTCGAAGACCGCCTTGAACAGCCCGGCGTCCGGGTCCCAGTAGTCCGGGTTGGTCGACGCCTTGTTCCCACCCTCGATCTGTGCGGCGGGAGGGCCGGGCGGCGGCGTCACGATCCGGCACGCGACGCGGGCGAGGGCAGCGCCGCGGCGACGCGGCAGCAGCGCGGGACGGGAGGCGCGCCATGTCGGCGCCAGCCAGCTGCGAGAATCCGAAGATGAGGTGGTTGATCACGATCGTCGTCGAGACGAGCACGCACACCGTTACCGAGTAGGCGCAGCCGAGAGAGTTCTTTCTAGCGTAGAAGGGTTTGCGGTGCGATTTGGGGACTGCCGAGATGCGAGCGGTGCTGCCGAAGGCCCGCGCAGCCTTCTCGGCCTCTAAGCTGGGCATGGCGAGCCAACAAGCGCGCAAGCGTATGTTTGGCGGTGACGACGGTGGCGGCGGCTGCAGCGGCAGTGGCGATGAGGACGGAGAGGAGCCTTGGTGAAAGAATTCTTAAGAGACAAGCCTCTCTCACAGCACACTGGTGAAAGAAGAGAAAGCACGCTATCCTGTGCGGGCGATACAGGTGACGCGCCACTGGCAAGCGGTGGGGATCCCTCTCGAGTCGCTCGGGACGGAGCGCTTCCCCACGCTAGCCGCCTCTCATGGGTGCGGCGGTAAATTTCGCACACTGTTCCACGTGAAGCCGGAAGACGGACCTGCGGCTACGAAAGTGGCTGAAGAGGTGGTTAGCGCCATCCTAGAGCGGATTTCTGAGCGGGTGGAAGGGGAAGCGGAGGAGGGGATGAGGACGCGCCTGTGCCACGCCATGCAGGGATAGGGGGTGTTTGTGTGCTTTTGTTGTGCAGGGTTTTAAAATCCCTGTCTGGTGGCGGCGTGCGGTCCTCCCATCCTTCACTTTGTGCGTGGGTGCTTTCTTTCTTTCTTTAGATCTTGCGAAGAATTTTTTAACACCCAGCGGTGCGCCGTTTGCGGGCCTGTTGCTTGTGTGAGCTTGATTGTGTGTATGGAGCCTCCTTGTCGTGAGCAGCGCAGACCTCCAACCGAGCCCTCCTCTTCGAGGGCGAGTGGTGGGGAGGCCAGCCACTCCACGGTGGACCTGCCCGCGCTGATCGCGTCCTGCAATCCATCTGTCGCCATCTTCGACCTTGACTCCACCCTTTGGAACGGCAACTGCGAGAGTTTTGATGCTGCGCGTGTTGTGGCGCCTGGCGAGGCGTCCGACACGGCTGGCCGCACGCTGCGCCTCTTCCCAGAGGTCTCCGCGGTTTTCGAGGCGCTTTCGCGCGCCGGTGTTCCAATCGGGATCGCGTCGGCCTCGCCCGCCGCGGCCACCGCCACCCGCCTCCTGCAAGGTTTTCGCCTCGATTACGGGCACGCTGTGGTGCAGCCGGGCAGCAAGAGCACGCACCTGAAGGCGATCGCGGCGGCGCTCAAGGTCGACCTGCGCCGTGCGCTCTTCTTTGACGACCTGCCTCACAACATCCGCACCGCCGACGCTGTTGGTGTGGGCGCCGCCGTCCAGGTCGCGCGTAGCTCCGGCGTGACGCTCGACGACGTGAGGCGCGCGCTGCGGCGCTGCCGCGAAAGAGGAAAGCAGCGCGGGCTGATGGCGAGGTGGATCACAACGGCGCATCCCGCCAGTGGCACGACCAAACGGCCGAGGCCGCCTTCACCACAAGACGAGCCCAGCAAATCTGCTCGGCCACACGGGCCGGTGCCCAGGAGCAGTACGCTGCCGAAGGGAGGTGTGTAGGTCGTATACGTGGAGAGCTTAGAGACGCGCTGCGGGAGCATTATTCCTCGCCGGCGACGTGTTGTTACATTGTTGTAGTCGTTCAACTTCAAGGTTCATCCTCCGGCTCCGCTCTCCCTCTCGCCTTTTCCGATCATTGCGAATTGGGCCAATTCCAAACACCATTAGCGCTCCGGTGAGACACCGGCGCTCACAGCCATCCATGGTCGTGACCCAGCCAGACCTGCCCAGGCCTGCCGCCGATTGGTTGGCGGGTCGGCGACGGCTCGAAGCTGCCAGCAGCGGGGGACCGCAGCCGATGGCAATGGCCCGCGGAGGCGTCTTCGCCGGCAACGACGAGGTCACCCAGCGCAACCTCAGCACATCAGATTTGGTAAGCTTTGCTTCCGATGCAATGAAGAGCCTCCAGCCAGCGCTCGGTGTCTTTGGCAGTGGAGGGATACAGACCCGAGATGGCGCTGCGTTTGCGAAGCTCATTGGAAGCGACTTTGAAAGCCAGTTGGCTGCTGAGCAGTACGGCCCTGGATCAAGAGCTTGGGGCCTGACTGGCTGCAGGGCGGCCGGCCGCTGTGGGGTCTTGAACTCTAGGGACCCCACGGTAACCAGAGGTCCCGCTGCTTGTTGATCATTTTGATGCTCTTATGTGTGTATAAGTGGTTTTTAGTGGCAGGCAATGTAAGAGACAAAATCTCCACACCGTCACAGACGGTTTTATGCTCCCACGACTACTCTTCTGAACCCCCTTCTCCCTTTCCTCTTTCTCTTTCTCCCTAAGACCCCCCCCCCCCCCCCTGGCGCCCCCCGCGTCTCCTCCCTCGCAACCTCCTCACCCATCCTCTCCCCTCCGTCTCAGCGCTCCATCTCAGCAATCTCGGGTGCGCCCATCACCTCTTTGAAGGGCTTGCAAATGCCAAAGTTGGGGATCAGGGCGATGAAGCAGATTGCACAGACGGGCTTTGCCACGTACTCCTCAACAAACGGGAAGGACGCCTTGTTTTTGCAGCAGAGACACTGGCCCTCCCCCTTGATGAGCACCTCTGGCACCTTGAGCCCGCACGTGCAGCAGGGGAGGCCAACCTTGCAGATCATCCCGTCCTCCTTGATGAGGCCGATGGGGAAGTGTTCGGTGTCTGCCGCGAGGCAGACCTTTTCCTCAATGCAGAGGAATTCCTGCGCACCCTTGCAGAGGATGAGGATATCCGTCGTGTCCATCTGTAGAGCGGGTCAGGCAGGGCGCCAGGGTGAGGGGCCCTTCCCGGCAGTGGTAGCGGGCTGTGACGCGCATTGTGCGAACCTCATTGATGCAGCAGATGCATGCGCTGAAGAGCGCCCCGCCTTCCTTGGTTACCGTGTCCATCCGGCTGCCCTTTGCCTTCGCCTCGCGCTGCCAGCCTGTGGACAGGAAGTTGGCTCGAGGTGTGGTATGAGCCAGTTTGCCTCGCAGGGGAATGGGCTCGGAGGATAACGAGGGGTCGAGCGGTGGCTCGAATGAGCGGGGGCATGAAATCGGCTGCTAACCCGGGGGTGGCCTGGCGCCTGGGAGTCGTAATATCGGCCGATCGATATGAAATTTGGCTGTTTACGCGACCGAATCCCAGCGGGCTCAGATGCAGCGACGGCATTAATGAGGTCTTGAGCACTTGATAGGGTCGATTCCGCATGGTACGGGACCCCTCGATCGTCTCGCCCACCCTCACTGGTGTGTTCATTGGGGGGGGTCATAACAAACACGGTACAGGATCGAGGTGCACGCTGCAGAAGCAGTGCCGTCCCCCCTCTCCCCTCTCCCCGACGGCGATGGCGGTGTGACCGATCGAGCTACAAGAGGAGCTTGTTCAGCAGGCTCCAGGATAGTCTCGTGCACTACCTCACTGGGCCTGAGATCACTGAGCCAGCATCCCGTCACCGTCTCGGGTTTGCGTGGGTGGGGTCGAACCACTCCGGGGTGGGCACGCCCACCATTCATTACGAGTATGCGGGTCTGGCAACGGTTGAGCTCAGCAGTGGGACGACAGCCACGCAGCAGCGGGGGCGCGGAGGGGCGAGCGGTCAGGGTGGTGGATGGAAGCAGCAGCCGACCAAGCCACCTTGCACCTAGCTCTAGCACGCCCGCCAGCCCGGTCCGGGTGTGCGTGGATGGAGGTGGTGGGCGCGTCACCTTCGTCAGTGGGGAGGAGGAGCGGAGAGAAGGTGCAGGACGGGCGTCGACCATGCCGTGTTTCTGAGCGCAAGACCGAAGTCTGAACTTGTGAACCACACACAAGTCACACACAGCGACAGCCGACACACGCAGGCGGCATCGGGCATGTGAGGGGCAACGTGTCTCGCGAAAGCACCCGCCCCCATACGGTAGGCCCCTAAAGCCTAAAGCCGTGTTTCCCTCTCGCCCCATCCATTTTCTCCCTAACTGCTTGTGACGATGACTCTGCGTATCATAAAACCCTAACCAAGTCAGCAGCTGCATCGGTTGTATATCTCTCTCCCCACTCACTCGCACGGCGTCGGTGGGTTCTGAACCGCCTGGACCCGTGCGCCGGCGGGTACTGCCCACCTTGGCGGCGGACTCCCGAACTTTCGTGTAGTTGCTGTGTGGGCAAAGGCCAGCGCCGGCACACAGAGCGAGACGGTGGCGATGGCCAGCCTGGCGCCTCTGGAGGCGCGGGCCACCGGAGAGAGCCGCAGCGCTCCCAGCATGATGCCTCCGCCAGCCAGCATACCCGCGAACCCGCCCGCCAGTGTGGTCTTGAGGACCTCCACGTTGACGCTGCGCCTCGGAACACCGCCATCCGCCGACGAGGTCTGCTTGAGCCTCGCACGTTGACTCTCGACCATCGACTCACCACCCTCAAAGGAGAAGGATCCGCGACTCGACTTGGCGCTGACGGCGCCCTCACCCCGCTCCTTCTCAACGGGAACGCCCGCCATGATGAGGTGGCGTTGCGACTTTTCCATGGTACGACTGTACCTAGGTCTCGTACCCAGGCCCACGAAAGGCGCGAAGACCGGTACGTTCGTAAGGCACGAAAAATATCTTTGCGCCCGGCTCGCCCTCGTTTCTGTCCGTGCCGTCCTCCCATCCCTCCCTTGGGTTGTCTCTTTTCTTTCTTTTTTCTGTCCAAGGGTTAGGGTGGGCGACGGCTAGCACCACACTCCTCTCCTTAAAATCCCTGTGTGGTGGCGGCGTGCCGTCCTCCCATCCCTCGCTTTAGTTGTCTGTTTTCTTTCTTTCTTTCTTTTCTGTCCACTCTGCACTCAGCTCCTTTACGTGAATCCCTGTGTGGTGGCGGCGTGCCGTCCTCCCATCCCTGCTGCCGGCCAAACCCACGTATTATATGACTTCCCACTGGTCTTCGGACCTGTCTCAACTTTCCTCCTCCTCGGCTTGGTACTAAGAGTATAATAACTCCTCAAGTCGCACTGCCATCGGACTCATCCTCCTCCTCAAAATCACTGCAGTCATATGACGCACCGCCAGGGGAGTTCGGGTCAATCCCCACAGGTGGTGACCCCCCGGACGCGTTGGCGTGGGGACCGCTGGAGGCATGAGGATCCTCCTGCAAGTCGAAGAAATCTCGCGCCAGCGTGCGCTCCTGGGGGGGCGGAGCGGGCAAAAACGTAAACGACGAGCTAAACAGGATAACTAACACCCTGAGAGGGAGGGTGTAGCGGATGTAGAGTGTAGAGCGCTGTAGAGCTGTAGAGATGTAGAGCGCTCTGGAGCGCTGTAGAGCTGTAGAGCTCTACATCCGCCGCGTGACGATGTGAGTCCGATGTAGAGCGATGTAGAGCGCGATTTTGCTGTAGAGTTTGTTGTAGAGGCTCTACAGCCAACCCGCCGGGAAGGCAGTGACTCAAAGAGGTCGAGCCGCACTAATGGGGTGTCTCCGAGCTTACTGGAGCTCTGATGGACGGCCCTGACTATCCCTGACACACAGAGAGTCACTCTGACGGCACACAACACCCTATAACTGCGTCATGACCAGCCTGCCATGCGTCGCCGGTGCCGCATTCGTCGCTGTGCTTCTTTAGCAGGCGGTGGACTGTCGGCTGCGAGGACGGTCGCATTTGCGCGAGGCGAGGCGAGCATTCAGACGCGTTGCATGCGCCATGACTCGCGCCAGCGCGTGCGGGAGCTCCTGGCCTGAGCGTTGAGTCCAGGCGAGTTGCGCTGGCTACGATCGCTACGCCGAGCCGAGCGAGGCGCCGGCCAGTCGCAGCCGTGAGGCATGCCACAGCAGCAGAGGCAACTGCCACCCATTGGGCGGGCACACAGAAGGCCAGGGCAGCACTGGCAAGTGCAACGCGCCTCATGTTCGCCGCTTATGATGTCGAGTTTGTTGTACTAGAGATTTCACGTTGTACGTCTCCTCTCTCTCGTTGTACGTACTTTTAGCTTTCTCTCTCTCGCTGTACGTACTTTTAGCTTACTGGGAGAAAAGAGAGAGGGGGTTGTGTTCTCTAGGCCGTCTCGTTGTATAGAGCGCCTCTACATCGCTCTACAACGCACCCGCATCGTCCCGCGGCGGATGTAGAGCTCTACAGCTCTACAGCGCTCCAGAGCGCTCTACATCCTCTCATGACATCTCTACAGCTCTACAGCGCTCTACACTCTACATCCCCTACACCCTCCCTCAGATGCCACCGCGCCATGTCGATGACGATGTGCCAAGTGCGAAAAAAGTGCACAACTGCAGGGGATGCTAAAAACAATTCTCGCTAATACAACGCGGCTTCGCATACCCCTTACCCGAACGCACTCTTGGACGGCTCGAGCATGCATGCGTCGATGGTGTTGAACGACTCCGCGGCTCTCGCACATACGCGAAGAGAGAAAGATCTCTCTCTCTCTCTCTCTCATACGCGCCTGAACGTACGGTCCCTAATTCGATGATGTTAGTTGTTACCATTCACCGGCCCATTGGCGAACCTAGACCAGCCGTCTTTGGCCCCTCGTTGCCGCGCGAGCAGTCGACGATGGCCGACGCCGGCCGAGGCAGAGGGCACCGAGCGCAAGTGTACCCACGGCCGCCGCCGCCACCAGGAGAGGGTGCGCATTCGCGGCTGTCGCGGCTGCCGAGCCGGCGGCGGCATCCCATCCGCGTGCCGAGGAGGCCGGGGTCGAGCCGTTGCGAGCGGCGCCGACCCGGCGAAAGAAGGACGTCGTGGCCGTGAGCGGGTGGCCGTCCGCGATCCACGCCCCATGCGCAATGATGCCGGTGCCGCCGTCGACCAGCTCGTGCCTTGTGGTCAGGTAGCCTCCATTGTCGAGCCGCACGGCATACATTGGACCACTCCTCTCGTACGCGCCGACGGTGGAGTGCCGACCGATCATCGGTAGGTCCGACTTTCGCAGCCGGCCATCGAAGCCAAGGAGAAACACGTAAGCCGTCGCGAAGGCGCCGGTGAAGCTCTCTCCGTAATCAGGAAGGCCGGGGAGCCAGAAGTGCACGACCCAGGCGCTGCCGTCGCCGACGAGGCGGATCGTCATCCCGGTGCCCACGCCCGAGCCGAGAGCCTGAAATCCGATGCGAGTGAACCACGGCACGCCCTGTGAGGCGAGGAAGCTGTCCTGGTCACCGCTGATCCAGGTGCATTCCCACGTCCCCTCGTACTCTCTCCAGATGGGCGGCTCGCCGCCTGTGACCGCCTCACGTCCGTCGGCACCATCGCGCAGCGGCTGCGCACCTGGGACCGTCGGGCCACCAGGGTGTATCCAAGGTGGTGCTTGCGAGGCGGCGGCAAAGGTGCCTTCACCGAGGGCTCCTGTAGGCGGGCCGAACACCTCCGCGGAGAGCTTGCTCACCTGATCGGCGCAGGGCCCGGTGCAGTGCTCCTCGAGCATCAGTGCGTCGTCGTTAAAATAAGCTCGCGCCGCACCGCACGTTGGCGCCGCCGAGCAAATTCGCGAAGGGTTCGGATTTTGCGGGGGTGTGGTACATGTCATCGTGCTTCTGACGTCCGGTTTCATCCTAGCTAACCCAACCTAACAGCTTTAACCGGCTTGAGCGTATCGTTGAACATGTCCTGCGAGAGCTCCCACGCACGGCACCGAGGAGGGGAGGTCGACACGCGCGGATTGCCGCCGTCTTCCGCGCCAGCACCGGCCGCGGCGGCGAAGTTGGCAATCAATCGCCTGGCTGGCAACGTACGTGGGGGAGCGGCGGGTTTGCGGCCGGCGCGGAACCCGCAGTCGCCGCACCCGCACCACCGCGGGGGGGGCAGTAGTCGGCGTAAGAGCCACGAGCACCGACAAACATAGAACACACACACACAGTCCTCCCGTCCCATCTACTCGCGTAGCCCTTATATGTATGTAAAAGAGGGAAGCAGTCGAGAGGACAGGGGAGGGATGCGGCCAGAATTTACCATACACAAAAAACACGTACGTACGTAAGAGCTACATACACTGGAAAAAGGACTCGCTCCTCACTAGGATTGTTCGCTTTCCCCAAACCGGGGGGGATTGTCGCTTTCCCCAGGGGTGCATCCACTATCGAACCTCGTCTTTTAGCCGGCCACGTTTGTTGATGAAGCGCTTGCCCCACCGCGCCCCCGGATACCCCCGTCGGACTGCTGGACCACACTCCAACCTGCAGCACTGCAGCGCCCTTGGTGCTGGTGCTGCATTGGCTGCGACGCGCGGCCATGGCGGAAGACACGGTAAAGATGTCCGAGATGTTGCGGCAAGTGCACCTCAACTTCATGACAATCGAGTCGATGCAAGAGACAAACAGGCTGCTGCAGGAGCAGCGGTGCGGGCTCCGCAGGGTGCGGAGCCGCGCGCCAAAGCGCAGTGCACGCTCGTGGGCGCGACCAACCTCCATCCCTCTCGCGTGCAGGTGGCGGATGAGCAGACAGGCCAGTCGACCTCGTCGTCACCCTCCGGCTCTCCTCGCCCAAGGCAGCGGCTGCCACGGGCGCGCAGCACGGGGAGCGTGCGTCAGCGGGCCGAGGAGTCGGACGACGACTCGCCACGCACCGGCCGCGTCTCGCCTTGCCACTCCCTCTCCTCGAGTCCCAGCCGTAGCTCCCTCTTGCGCGAGCCAGGCGGTGCCCCTGCTCCGCCGCGCTCAGGAGAGAGGCAGAGCCCCACCCCGTTCCAGCTAGACCACACCGCCACCGCGCCCAATGTGGTGCACGTGCCTATGAGCCAGCGCAGCGAGACTCCGATCAAGACGTTCTCAGCGGTTCCCGAGTTCGACGGCAAAGTCCTCTTTGCGTGTGTGCCCTCGCACAGCCAGGACGATGAGGCAAAGGTGCAGCAGGGAGGGCCTCCGCCTTACCCGGTGGGGGAGGGGGAGGGGGGGGAGCGCGGAGAGACGCAAGAGGCGATGCTGCGGCAGCCAACCTCGCTGAAGCGTCCCTCGCCTAGACACTCAGTAGCCGACTCTTCCGCCACAACTGCTGGAACCACTGCAAGCACAGGGTCAGGACAGGTCCAGTGACAGGACTACACGGAATCTTATCCTTGTCATATTTGTCTTGAGTGTGGTGTATTTGAGAGCGCACACGCGCGTGAGAGAGAGTCCTCTCCGTCTGAGAGACTGTAGACTGACGAGTGCGCCGAGCTTAGCTTGCGAGGGTGTGCTGTGAACATGTACGTGCGTGTGCCTGGCGTCAGCGTGTTACGTGTTTTCCGGCCCGATCATTTTATGTACTTATCGAGTGAGGTATGTTCTTGCACACAACGCGCTGTCACAGTAGAGATGTCCGTTTTATTTATTTACACAACGCGCTTTCGCTACCCGCCTTGAGGCTTGTGTGATGTCGGTGTCATTCAAAACACTGGTGGTTTCACTCGCACCTCACGTGTGCGCCACGGTTGCGCGGGCCGGGAACATCGAAAAGTGAACCCGCGCCTCAGCTCCCAATGGCGCAGCGTTGGCGGTCGGCGCGCCCCCTCTCCGTTGCCCGCGCGAGCTGCGCGGCGCGCGCGCACTGCGCCATCGATCCCGCCTCGTACGCGCGCGCCAAACTCATCGCCGCCTGCCTCGCCTCGCCCTTTGGCTTAAGAAGGGCGGCCTAGGGCGAGGTGAGGTGAGGTGAAGATCTCCACACGCTAGCAAGGGCCAGGCTATTCTCCCTCGGGCCTCCGTGTCGGCAGACAGGAGCCCCGCGGCATTGAGAGCGCTGGGGCCGTGTGTGTGTGTGTGTGCGTGTGCGTGTGTGTGCGTGTGTGTATGCGTGTGTGTGTGCGTGTGCGTGGTGTGCGCGCGCGTGTGTGTGCGTCCGTGCGTGTGTGTGTGGAGGCCTCTGTAAGGCGCGAGAGGCGCTGCCGCTCTGCGCCGCAACCGGCCCGCGCGTCCCGCAGCGCCGTCGCGAGCACGATGCCCTCGACCCGATCCGAGAGCGCCGCGTCCGCCTCGAGCGCCGCCGCAACCTGGGAAACACAAAGTCATTTCCAGCTGTGTTGTCTCAAAGGCCACCGGAGCGGCAGGGAGGAGAGAGGCAGCAGTGGGGAGGAGAGAGGCGAGGCAGCTGTAGGGAGGCGCGTCGTGCTGCCCGTGACTACCCATCGCTACGTGGCGCCGCACGCCTCTCTCTCGACGTAAAAGGCAACGGGCTCGAGCCGCCGCGGCCCTCCTGCTGGCTTGCCGCCGCGCGATCCCGCCTGCGTGTCTGCATTCTCCTTCTCCACTGCCCGCTGCTTCTCCTCCTCCTCCTCCTCCTCCTTCTCTCTGTCCTCCGCCTCTTGCGCGGCGCGCAGCATCTGCCTGGCGCGAGCGAGCCGCGGGTCCTCGGCCTCTCCTGTCGGACCGAGGCGCGGGGCGGGGCACGGGGTGAGGCCGCGCCGCGTCGGAGGCGCGGGACGGGCGGCGCGAGGCTCGCTTGGAGGCATCTCGTCGGCGTCCAAGTCTGCGCAGCCGAGCGGCGCCGCTCTCTGCATGGTGTGGTTGCCGCTGGGAGCAAAGGAGAAGAAGGGCTTGGCGTCGAGGAGCGCGGCGGGCGGCTGTGCCGGCGGCGCGAAGACGAGGGGCAGCAGCAGCAGCGCCGGGAGTAGTTGCGCCACGCCGAAGAGCGCGCACTCCACGCAGCCGACCCGGCTCTGCGGGGCAGAGTAGTGCCGGCGGAAGGGGCGCGCGGGCTCGCCGCCCGGTGCGGCGCCGAGGTACGCCCCCGCCAGCTGCTCCTGCAGGTACATCATCGCCTCGCGCATCGCCTCTCGCACCACTGCAGGAGGCACGTGCACCGCGTCGTCCTCGTCGATGTCCTCGCCGAGCGAGGGGCCAAACTTGTCGTACTGCGCGCGAGTCTTGCTGTCCGCTAGCACCTCGTACGCGGTGTTGACCTGCTTGAACTTCGCCTGCGGACAGGGGCAACGTGCATGTGCAGCGGAACATGGCCGGGTGCAGTCTCGGTGCCGCATATATCCGCCTCGTGCTCGCCGCGCTCTTCGCCGGGGTGTCGGTCGGGATGGTGCTTGAGCGCCAGCCTGCGGTAGGCCCGCTTCAGCTCGTCCTCGCTGGCGTTGGAGCGCACGCCGAGGACTTCGTAGTAGGATGGGGCGCGACACATCCCTGCACTTTTTCCTGGGCTGGCTGGGCCGCCACAGAAAAGAATTAATATTTCGCGAACTTTTCTCGGCACGAAGGTTGAAGCGAGAATAGGAGAAGGACTGCGAACATTACGCGTACAAACGGTCACAAGACACAAGAGAGCGCGGCTGCTCGAGTCGTCACGCCTTCCTCCTCCCGAGCGCGTGCTTCACAAACGCGGAGCCGAAAACTAGCGCCGCGCCGCCCACGTGCCCCCAGCCGAGCGGCTTCGGGAAGAGGATGTAGGAGGCGGCGAGGGTGGCCGCCTTCCGGACCGTGGTGACCGCGACGGCGGTCACCGCGGAGAACTCGCCGACGAGCCGCATCACCAGCGTGACGCCGACGGTGATGGCGACCGCCCAGAGCAGGATGGCGCCGGCGACGCGGTGGTCGGCCCGCATCATCGCTACGCCCGGCCCCAGCTTGTCGCTCGCGCCGGCCACCAGCCCCATGGCGAGGGTGCCAAAGCCGGCCTGGCAAAAGACGAGCATCTCGACGCTCGTGCCGCCCTGCAGCACGCGCTGCTGCATGTTGCCGAGGAGCGCGTCGCACAGCAGCGCCACGACGATGCACGACGCGCCGAGCGACGTCTTGTCGAACTCGTCGGCAGACTCGCCCCGTCCGCGGCGCGGGGCTGGCGGAGGCTGCCCCGCCTAGGTGCACGAGAGCAGGAAAGTCAGGGGCTTCGAATAAGACTGCCATGCACGTGTCGTCTCGAGTGGTTGGAAAACGCAGATCTGACGCCCGCATCTAGGCTGTCCCGCCGCGCCGCCCGCCACCTCGGTCTGACCACGGTTGGCGGTCGTGAAGAGCACGATGCCCGACACCAGCATCGAGGCGGCGAGCCACTCTGCCGGCGTGAAGCGGCGGCGAACAATCACAACCGAGCCGAGCATCACCGGCAGCAGCTTGGCCGACTTGAGCACCGTCTGCGTGGGCACGTCGATGTAGGCGAGCGCCGCCTTGGTGAGCGTTGAAGAGCCCACGTTGACCACTGACACCGCGAGCAGGATGCCGAGCGCGAAGCTCCCCGGCTGCGGCCGGCGGCCGCGAGGGCTGCCCAGCAGAGCCGCCTTTGGCCGACCCACCGAGTACAGCTCGCCAGTGCGATGCACGGCCGGAAAGTAGGTCGCCAGCGTCAGGACGTACATCACCAGCGTGAGGAAGGAGGTGCCGGCGTCGCGGAGAAAACGCTCGTCGGCAAAGAGGAATTCCTCGAGGATGGTGACGAGCGTATGCGAGAGGAGCACGCCGGCGGAGAGCTGCACGAGCCTCACGGTGGACGGCATACCTTTGGTCAAGCCTTTGGTCAAGCCTTTGGTCGAGCCTTTGGTCGAGCCTTTGGTCGAGCCTTTGGTCGAGCCTGCGCCAGCAGAACTTCAGCGAGGGTTCCAACTTTTTGCGGGGTATGGTATGGTAGTCGCGGCCCAAAGGGGTAGGGGGTATGGTCCTGCCCGCCCAAGACTAGCCCTACCATACCCCCAAGCAGGTCTGCCAGCAGGCGGGGGGGTATGGTCTTGAGCTGGCATGCGCGACCCTACCAACCATACCCATACCCCGGAAAAAGTTGGAACCCAGAAGGAGAAGCGGCAACTAAGCCAGGTGTATTCTTTTTTTGCTTGGGGCGGCCAGCATGATGAAATCTGCAAAAACCTGACCGGCCCCTGCGGTGCCCCTACCTACCTACCTACCTACCTACCCTACTTATGGGAAACTAAAAAGAAATCATGGGACGGGTGAAGGTGGGTACTATACCAACTAAGTGATGGCCGGTGGTACTCTCCTGCAACCATAGTCCTTCCTGTGACATGGCAGGCCACTCTCAAGCCCTACAATAGCACCAGATCCACCTCACTTGGGGAGGGTTGACATCGTGATTCGCGGAAAATTTCTGCTGTGAAATTCCGGCGTGAAGAGAGCTGCTCTCGGGTGATCTCACTTTGGTGGCTGAAGGACCCGATGGTCCTGTCACATGCGCGTTCCGATCGTGGGGGTAGAAGAATTCGAGGTAGAATCGAGTCAGCACTTCCTTGTAGTACAGCGGACCGCCAGGCTCGCCGGCAGCATCCACAGGGAGGCAGCATATGAGGCACCAGTCTTCTGGAGAGCTCAACAGCTGCGGCCGCGATGGTAGAGTCGGCCGCGGTTCGAGCGAGCAGCTTTTGGCTGCGGGATCGAATCGCGGAAGGCTCATGCCCTCGCGGAGCGACGCGGGTCGCGCGGCGCGCGCGTGTGCGAAATGCGACGACAGACGACAGACGCCTGAGCGCTGTACGACTGAACGACCGTCGCCGCAATCGCCACCGCCGCCATTTTGACGAGCAGCGCGAGCGCGCTCGTCGGCGGCCAGCCGTCGCGGGCCGGGCCGAGCCCGGCCTCGACCGGCCGCGCCGCCGCAGCAGGCCGGGAGGCCCGAATGGCGGCCGACCAGCTGATAAGGATCTTCTTTCTTGAGCTCCTGTGCCACTAGCCGCCTCGCTTCCGCGACACGGGATGGCAGGCACGACTCGGCAACCGCGAGCCGCTCACTCCCCCAGTCCCATTCCAGCATCTTCCCCGCCTCCTCCACCGGGCGGATCCGCTCCCGCGCCGCCTCCCCCACCACCTCGCGGTCGCGATCGCTCATGCACATTTCGAACCAAGGAGCACCGGAGCCACTCTCGGAGCGCAAAGTCCTCCTGGTCGGCGTCGGGTCCCTCACCACGCGCCGGAAAGTTGGGTCCCGCACCAAACAAGAACACAACGCACTCTCTCACATGACACAAGCGATCCCACGACAGACAGCGATTGTGGGGACTACATGAACATGACCCGTACGTGAGGCGAGGAGGTCCGCACCTCGGTCCGCAGCGGAGGCGGAGGGCCTGAGCCACGTGACGGCGCGTGTGTCAGAGGCGCTTCGCGGCTGGCTGGTGGCGTCGGCGAGGGAGGAGCTCGGGAGGCTGGCGCCGGCGGAAAGGGCGACGTCCGTGCTGATAAACTCGTGTGGTCGGTTGCTGTACGTTCAGGGTGACCTGCCCGGCGCGGAGGCGCTGTATCTCGAGGCGGTGGGGGGGAGGCGAGATCAGCTCGGCGACCGGCACCCGGACACACTCGTCTCGATCCACAACCTCGGCAGGCTGCTGAGGGCCAAGGGCGACCTGAACGGTGCGGAGGCGCTGCTCCGCGAGGCGGTGCTGGCGAGGCGAGACGTGTTTGGCGGCCGGCACCCGGACACGCTCGCCTCGATCGAGTTCCTCGGCACGGTGCTAAAGGCCAAGGGCGACCTGGACGGCGGGGAGGCGCTGCTTTGCGAGGCGGTGGAGGGGCAGCGAGAGGCACTCGGCGACCGGCATCCGAGCACGCTCCACTCGATCAACAGCCTCGGACACCTGCTGTGCGACAAGGGCGACATCGAGGGCGCGGAGCCGCTCTATCGCGAGGTGCTGAAGGGGAACAGAGAGACCCTCGGCGACCGGCATCCAGACACGCTCGCTTCGATCGCCTGCCTCGGCATGCTGCTCGACGACAAGGGCGACCTGGACGGCGCGGAGCCGCTGTATCGCGAGGCGCTAGATGGGACTCGAGAGACACTCGGAGACCGACACATGTACACGCTCGGCTCGATTGGCAACTACGCCGACCTGCTCTGCCGACGCGATCCTGTACATCCCAACCGCGCGCGGACGGCGATGGGTGACGCGCCAGAGGTGGCGCGAGAGGTCTTAGGAGCAGACCACCCAGTGAGTCTGCTGATCGAGGCCCAGGCTGCCCGCATCGGGATCGCACTTGGCGTGGCTGGCCGGACGGTCCTGCGCCAGGTTGTCGCGCGCATGGAGGCGGTGCTCGGTCCGGAGCACCCGCAGACGCGCAAGTACAAGCTAGTGTGCGAGTCCGCTGCGGGTCGGTTTGGTGGTTTGCTCCGAATGTAGCTGTTGCATCCACTTCGTGTGTCCGTGTGCGCGCCAGTTTACGGGGTGTAGGTCAAACCACAAACGCCTAACACGCGGTGCGGCCGCGTCGCGCGCGCACATGGCCGCGCGCCAAGGCCCAAGCCCAAGGGGCAGAGCCAGAGGCTCGAGGGCAGAGAGCGCGCGCGGGGCTTGACGCGGTCAAGAGCCTTTTCGCTTTTGTTTTTTGGGTTCCCTTTTACACTGGGCGCGCCAGTCCCATGGCCCCGGTGTTCCCGGGCGGCAGTCCACGCAGAGTCGACAGCGACACATTCGACAGCGACACCTCACGTACCTAATCAGTGATCAGTGCAACGTGGCCGCCTCCCCTCCGGAGGCCTGCTCGGCCTGCCGGCCACCCTTCTTGCCGCCACGGGAGCAGCACGGGAAGGGCGGGCAGTCGGAGCGGTGTAGCTCGTGCTGGCAGTACTTGTGCGTCGGCGAGCCGTCGAAGCCCGAGTAGAGGAAGAGGGCGACGTGCACGCAGAGGACGTAGTAGCCCTTCGCGAGGTTGACGGAGAGCATGAGGCACGTCTCCTCGCCGAAGCGCTCGGCGAGCGGCACGCAGAGCGCGGGCTGGCTCTTGACTGTGAGCAGGTTCTTGGACACGGGGCCTGCGCGCGCGGGTACGGCGGGTGTCGGGCGAGGGCGCAAGAGCCGGAGCGCAAGAGGCGCAAGAGGCGGAGCGCGTGGGGCGGCGGGGCGCACCAAACGTCATGTTGAGCAACGGCACGGCCACGAGCAGCACCTCGAGCGCGTAAAAGATGGAGGCGTTGCGGGAGAGCTCGTGCAGGGCGCGGAGCCACTTTGTGGGCAGCGGCAGCAGCAGTAGCAGCAGCTGCGTGCTGCAGCGCGTCACCGGCCCGATGACGCAAAAGATGAGGTACGTCGTGTACATCAGGTGCCGGTTCAGCCCGCCGAGCTCGTAGATGATGTCGGCGAGGCTCCAGATCGAGTACTCCTCGTCAAAGTCGAAGCCGTTCTGCTTGAGCAGCGCGGGCACCGAGCCGGTCACCTGCGCGGCGGGAGGCGGAGGCGAGTCCGACATCATCTGCGGGGCGTGTGGGGTAAGGCGGGCACGAGGCGGCTGGTGGCATCTCACCACGCGGTCGAAGCACGACATGAACATGCTGAGGTAGAGCAGGTAGCTCGTCGCAGCGCAGAGCGACACGTGCCACAGCCACTCGCGCGAGAGCAGGAACGGCCTCGCCCCGCCCAGGACGGTCATCTGCCGGCGCAGCTTCCGCTCCCGCTTCGTGCGCACGTCCTTCGCCATCGACGTCTGGAGGCTCCTCACCGACGTGCGGAAGGAGGCCTTGACCGTGCTGATGCCGCGGCTCGCAGACTGGAGCCCGCGCGCGCCGCGCTGCCGGAGGGAGCTCTGCACCTCGGGGAGGCCGGCCGAGCCGGTCGGAGAGTACGGCACGCTGCCGGAGGAGTCCGGGTGCCGGTCGGGGTCCTCGGACCGGTCTGGTTCCTCGGTCCAAGCCTCGCTGTCCGACGGCGGCGAAGCTGACCCGGCGGGCGCGCCATCCACGTCGAGGAGGACAGGGCCCTTCTCGTTGAGAGGCGGCGGGCTGGGCGGCGGGCTGAGCAGCGCGGGCCTGCGTCTCGACCAGGGGAGCTCACGGGGAGTGCGGTGGATTCAGAGCTGGATGCACGGGCTACGAGTACAGCTGACGAGCAAGCCTCGTCTCGAGCGCTAGTTGGAGAAGAGAGAGAGGCGAGTCCCGCATCTAGCAGCGCGGGCCCGGCCTGGTCGCCGTCCGAGTCCTCCTCGCCAGAGTCGTACGACGCCCAGCCGGCCGTCTTGCGGAGCGGCTGTCCGCGCCCCTCGAGCCGCTCGACGACTATCGAGAGGACGAGGGAGAGCATCACCTGCGGAGGAGAGGGGCGGGAGAGGGCCGGTGCCGGTGCGAGGGGTGGAGGTGGCTGGCAGGGGGTGGGCGGACTGGAAAGTGGGCTGGCAGGGGATGGGCTGAAGGGGGCTTGGCGGTGGGCGAGCACCGCGAGGCAAAAGGCGTACATGGCCACCTAAACAAGAAAGGTGGGGAGGTTGATGTGAGAGGGCGAGAGGGGGGAGCTGCAGCAAACGCACGGCCACCATCCCCTCGAGCTGGATGGCCGCCTGCACGTTGCAACAACAATCATTATCATCTTCTTCTTCATCATTGTCATCGCCACATCGTCACAAACGATAACTGGTGAGAATACTCATAACTGGGGCTCGGGTGGCCGCCTGCACGTTGCTCTCAACGTCGTGCTCGGCGGCAGTGAGCGACTGGTTGATCGCCTTGCGCAGACGGCTGCAGCCACTCGAGCAGGCCTGACAGGTGGTATGGACGGTGAGCCACCAACCGTTGTAGGGCGGGGCGCCGCAGCCCCCACGCGAGCTCGCCATCTCGGTCGCGCGGTCCGAAGGGGACTTTTGCAGCTGCGGCGGGAGGGCGGGGGGCGGTCAGGCCGAGAAGGGGGCGAGGGCGGGAGGGGGCGCGGCCGCAAGCAGTCAGAGAGCGGGGCGGTGCGGGCGGGAATGCTGCGCGGCGACGCTGCGCTGCGCTGTTGAGCTCGGCAGGCCGAGGGCGAGGCGCGCCTCCTCGCCGAGCACCTCCAGCGAGTCGCCGAAGCTCTGCCAGGAGTGGTACGCGCCGGGCAGTCGCTGCTCGAAGAAGCCCGACTTGGCGCCCGGGTCAACGCCGGGGCAGCACTGCTCGAAGCAGACGGAGCCGTCCGGCTGCGCGTGGCCGCTGGCACCCGGGGGCGCGCCCGGACACGCATACTCGTCGAGCCAGTCGCAGGAGCACGAGTCGGCGAGCCCGCCTGCTCACAGCCCTGCTGTCTCCAAGGCGCTTCGCCCCCCCCCCCCCCCCCCTGGGCAGCCGGGCGCGGCGGTGCCACCTCCGAACATCCGGTCGACCATGGCGTTCCTCTGCGCGTCGAGCTTTGCCTCCTGGTCCCGGCGCCACTCTCCAAACTGGCCGAGGGGAGGGACGGCAGCTTCGACCTGCACACACACAGAGAGAGAGAGAGAGAGAGAGAGAGAGAGAGAGAGCGGCGTGACCCGAGAGACGCGAGGCGTGTGCCGGCGATGTGCAGGGACGGCTTCACCGCGGAGTCGATCTTGGGGCCCGGGGCGGAGGTTCCGACCCAGTCCTGGAGCACGGAGGAGGGAGGTGAGGCGGGGACGCGGCATCGTGCAGCGGCTCTGGAGCATCGGACACAAAAGGGCTGCAACGCCGAGCGGCTGCGGCTGCACACACCGCCGAGTACAGCCGAGAGTGCTCGGTCGAGTGCAGCGGGCGCTGTGCTCCGCGTCTTGCTCCGCATCTACCTGCCCCGTCCTGGCACGCGGAGACACAGGCCGCGTTGAGGTCGGGCGCCGCCTTTTGCCAGATCTTGTCCGCCTGTGGAGACGCGAGAGGCGTGAGGCACGGGACGGGCGGCCGGGCCGCCTCGCGCGTCTATTCTCGAGCCGTCGAGTCTATGGTGAGCTTGAAGACTCCGACGAGGGTCGCGCAGACGAGCACGTCGGTGAAGGACCACTTGCCAAAGACGGCGAGCCAGTAGTTGCCGTTGCGGCGGCCCTTGCTCGTCATCGGGAGGTAGAAGAAGAGGTGCAGCAGCGCGAGCTTCACGTGCGGCCAGACGAACGAGAAGCCAAAGAGGACCACGGCGCCCGGCTTGCCGTACTCCTTGGTCACGTTGGCCGTCGAGATGGACTCGGCGGGCTCCCCGGGCAGCGGCTCGACGGTCTGCATCTCCCAGAGCTCCCAGATGGAGTACATGTAGGACATCTGCAGCGCCTGCTTGTGCATCTGCCACTTCTGGCACTTGAGGATCACGCACACCTGGCGGCGTTGCGGAGACCGGGTGCAGAGCCTGGGTGTGAGGGAGAGAAGGCTGCAGTTCTAGTCACAGCGATGTGTGCGGTCTGTGACACAACCACAGAGCCGCAGGCGGCGGCGCACCGAGGTATCGCCGTCGACCGCGTCTATGCAGTCGATCTCCGGGTAAAAGGCGCTGTGCTTGCAGAGTTCCTTGTACGCGAAGCTCTGCAGCTCGCGCGCATCGGCGCTCGTGGCGTTGAAGTCCACGTGCGCGTTGAAGACGACCTTGAAGAGACCCGCCTCCTCGTCCCAGTAGCGCGGGTCGGTCGAGGCCTTCTTGCCGCCTTCGATCATGTCGATGCCGGCCAGCTGGGCGTACGCAAAGACGAGGTGGTTTATGATGATGAAGGTGGAGACGAGGATGCAGGTCGTAGCGCTGTAGGTTAGCGCCAGTGAGTGCCGTCGCGCAAAGAAGTGATTGTGCGGTGCGCCGAGCGGCTTCGCCGCAGCGGCGGGCGCTTTGCCGAAGGAGATCGCGGCAGCGAGGGCCTCTGAGCTGGGTGTCTGCATCTCGGGGATGCTGCCGAGAAGGGCGGGGCTGGGGGGCGCGCGGATTGAGGTGCAACTTCACCCGATGCATGTGAGGGTTCCTCGCTCGCTCCCCCCAGGGCCGAGGGCCTCCCGGGCTCGCACCTCAACCTCTCACAGCCATCTAGCTTGAGTTCGCAGTCAGTAGTGTATGTATGTAGAGGACTGCTTTCTCAGTGTACTTCTCTCTCTCTCAGTGTGTGTAGCTCTTACGTACATTCCCGGAGGAGCACTGCTGACGGAGTTTGCGACGAGAAGCGATTTCTTGTCCGGAAATTCCGGCGGCCGAACCTTTTGTCCGGGAGCGACCTCGTCCATCGAGCAGAGGTGTTGCTCGAGCCGTGCTCAGAGTTGCGAGTCAGATTCATTGAGCAACGTGCGTCCCCGACCAGCCTTCGCGTTGCACACGCTTGCGCAAGGCACGGAAGATGCGCGATGGCGCTGCGAGAAGCTTGCCAACCTTGCTCTTGTCGTGTCATTGTTTGTTGTTGCAGACGCGGCAGCGATTACTGCGCCGCAGCAGTCTGATGCCGACAAGGAGCGTGCATCAATGCATGTTCTGGCACTCTGTTGACAAATAAACTTTATGACTGTTATCGGTTTCCTACCTGATCTTACGAAGTATCCACACAGTCACCCCTCTCCTGAGACTCCTCGACTGCAGCACCCTCCCACACCCCTCATGCGGGCAGCCCCATTGGCACAGCACTAACGCTGAGCACCTCCGCGTCTACCACTAAGCCCTGCACGACGCCGCCTTGTACGAGCCCGGCGGCGGTTGCATTCGCAAGCATCGCGGCTCCAGCGCCCGGCGGGGGCCGCGATGGCGCAAGTGGCGGAGGTGGTCTGCGTCGGAGGGCGGCTTGCAGCTCGTCGACGTTGTCGTGCGCGGTGCGGCCCTGCGCCGCCTCGGAGATGATCAAGAAGCCCCACTCCGCGCCAGGATCGCGGTAGAGGGCGCCCATCACGAGGGCGGTGTGCTTGTCGAGGAACCTCGTGTTGCTCAGGCCAAAGGTTGCGAGGTCGCGCATGCTGCGCGGGTCGAAGAGGTGGCACGAGGCGCGGCTCACGTCGTCTAACTCCTCCCCAGAGTACGAGTTGATGACAAAGCCGATGTACGCCACAGCCGGGGCGACGCTGCCGAGGGTGAGGAATACCTTCTCGTCGTCGCCCTTCTCGTCGCCCTCGCGCTCGTCGCCGCCGTGTTGGATGGAGCCGTCCGACGAGCGGAGCTTGCCGAAGAAGACGAGATCGAGCAGCCGCAGCTGGCGGTCGAGCAGGATCGCGCTCGCGTCGAGGTCAACATTGCGGCCTTTGGGGACAGGCCGGAGGGGTGGGTACTTCTCCCTTTTCTGCTTCCCGCGTGCAGAGCTACCACCGTTCGTGACATCCCAAGCAAGTCCGAGCACGAGCGTCTCTGGCGGAACGCCGCCCACGCAGTAGTCGGTCAGGCGGATGTTGCCGCCTACAATGGACGATGGAAGGCGTCAGGCGGGCCCGGGCGTGGACGAGCACGGCGCGGAGCGCAGTCGATGCCGCCCTTACGCATGACCGCGATCCGTTGCTCCGGTGAGGCCGTGATCCCCGGGCACAGGTCGCCCATGTACAGCCGAAACTCGGGCAAGAGCGTCCCCCAGTCGCGGGCTGTGTGGTCGACTTCCCCTATCGCAGAGAGCACCCAGCCGCCTCCGTGCCGCGCCACCCTCGCCATGAGCAGCGCCGTGTGCGCCCCCTTCATCGCGGGGACGAATCGGCACAGCTCTGCGCCAGACTCCCACTGCACCAGCCGCATCCGAGCGCTCTTCACGTCGGCAAACGAGCGCCCCGAAGAAGCGACGGTCGCCACGACAAAGATCGCGTGCACAGCGGCGGGGACTCGCGAGAGGTCGAGCGTGATGACTTCGTCGTCGCCCTCGCCCAGGTCCTCGTCGCCCTCCCTCTCGTCGCCCGAGTGGCGGATGGCGCCGCTAGCAGACGAGAGCTGCGCGTGGTAACAGCACTCCCGCATCACCAGGTCGCCCTGCGCGGAGAGAGCCACGCAGCTGGCGTCCAGATCGATCGCGGAGCCGTCTCCTAGCATGTCCCAACCCAACCCCACGCCGAGCACGCCGTGCGGGAGCCGGACGCTTTGGTGTGAGGAGACGGAGAGCGCCGTGCGCAGCACGGCCGAGATGCGAAGCTGAAGGTCGCCACTTGCCTTTTTGCAGCCAGCGTACGGACGCACAGCGTACCACCTCTCAATCACCTGCCCGCCGAGCAGATCGCCCACCGGCACGACCGCCTCCCCCATCGGGTCATCCGCCGACATGGCGTCTGAGTCCCACACGCGCAGCCGCAAAAGCATGTCGCCCCGAAAGCGGCGCCCGTGGAGGTGGAACTTGAAGGCCTGGTCCCAGCGCGGATTCAGGTTCTTGGCGATGACAGCCGTGCGGCCGAGCTCTTCGCAGTGCCCGCCGCGGCCGCTCCGTGCAGCCGGCAGGACAGCCGCGATCGCGACGTACGGGTCGCTCGTCCGTGCTCCGAAACCAAACCCGCCGTCCTTGGGGATGAGACCCCGCCCGGAGATGACCGTGAGGTCAATCTCGGCTCCGACCACGTCGGAGAGGTCGGCCATAGGAGGTGGTACAACCACAGCCGCCAAGGGAGCGCTCCGGAGGATGGAAGAGCCCGACGGAAGGTGACCTCGCCGGGGTCTCTGGGGTTCCCCGGGGTCTTGGGTCTTAGGCTGGGCGGCGGCGCGCCCCGGCCATGGGGACGTACGAGTCCGTGATTCCTTTTTCGAAAGTGCTGACAATCACTTGGCGCGCGTCCCCTCCGACTTCGCGGTTTACCTTCCGTTTTTTGCTTGGAACACCCCCGCCACCATCACCATGCTACGCTGGCAGCTTGCGAGACGGGCAGTAAGCCTCCACCGCACCTCGTGCGCGGTCACCGCTCCTCCGTCTTTGCCGGGCGCGGCTCTCGTGGTTCCTGGCAACGCAACCTTGGTCGGTGCGCGGGCGACTTACTTTGAGCGTGGCGCGTCGGGCCCTCCGCCAGAGCCCGCCGGTGGCTGGGCGGCGAGCTCCAACTGGTGTGGGATGGACGCGGGTCCGCAGATGCTCTACCCGGCTCAGTGCATTGACGGTGTCGTTGGCCAGCTTGGCGGTCGCGAGCTTCGCGCATCGCTGGAGGGCAGGCAGTGCGAGGTGGGCGCTGCTCTCGCCACGCCTCCGCCGCACGGCTCGCGCCTCGCCGACGCCTTTTCTCTACTTGTGCACACAAACCCGCCACGCTGGCCTCGCGGCGAGCCAGAGGCTGAGTCGGAATGGGAGGCGCTGCTCGCCTCCTGCCACACGAGCGCCTTCCAGGCCGCGCAGGAGGCGGCGCGCGGCGCTGACCAGCAACTTGTGGTTCCGCTCCTCGGGGCAGGCGCGAGGGGAGCGCCGGACGAGCGGGCCGCAGCCGCGGCCGCCAAGGCGGCGTCGAGTTGGCTCCTCGCCACCGGCTCGACCGGGGAGGGCCAGGCCGAAGTCATGTTTTGCGTGGTGAGTGTCGCGGCTCACGCAGCGCTGGAGAGCGCGCTACGCGAAGTGACAAAAGATATTTTGTGATCGTGTATGTCTACTGTGACACCGGAGTACTGTGACAACCGGAGGGCTGGAGCGACTTCATTCATGAACGCGCCCTACCCCCCGAACACACGCTCTCACATACCCTTACCGCACAGCGTCACACGCGCTGGCACTACGTCACACGTTCACTGCACTGCATAGCCAGACTCTACGAGCTGCTGCGAGCCTCCGCACCGACGGCGCCCTCTGAAGACGCGGTGTCGGCCGGTGGAATCGGACCGCCCTCCCTGCCTTGCCTCTCAGTGGCTCGCTCCCGCAGCTGCGCTGGCCTGCTTACGCTGCTGAGCTGTGCCTTTAGCTCGGCGATCGTCCGCTCCTGCTGCTCGAGCCGAGCCGCCATCCGTTCGATCACAAAGGTGTTGCTGCAGTTGCAAGGCAAGCACGCGGCGCGAGGCGGCGGCGGCGGCGGCGGCGGCGGTAGCACTGACGTGTCTAGCAGGGAGAGGGCGTGGCGGTCCTCTGCTGCGGGTCTTCGCGTGGGGCTCCAGGGCCATGGCCAGATGTTGCTGATCCGCTCGACTCCATCCCTCGTGGTGAAACCGATCGTGTCAGACATGGCCGCCGGCGTCCTGCGCAGCGCAGATCGGGAGTGAGGCCGACGGCGCGGAGTATTGGTTCGGACCGTGGGATGGGACGCACGGTGCGAGCGGCCATTTCTTGCCGCGGGAGGAGAGGCCTATGCCGGCCGACGAGATGGCGAGAAGGGAAGCGATGACGACCCAGAGCCAGCAGCGAATAACTACCCACCAGTAGCACCGCTGCAGGGCGCGGGGTCCTCTGAACGCGGCGACCGTCGCGTCCATGATGGCGTGCACGCTCGCGTCTTCAAAGAGCTCAGAGGGCATTGCTCTCTGACGGCAGTGTGTTGGGCTGCGGAGCGCAGCACCCCCGGGCGGCTCGGCTTGCAAGAAATTTTAGCCGCGGTCGGGAAACAGGCGCCCCGCCGCCACCAAAGAGGAGTGTGGTGCTAGCCGTTGCCCACCCTGGTGCGTCTGCCTCCTCCTATCTCTCTTCGGATTTCGGCAGCCAATCTGTCCTTAATGTGCCCAGTGCTGTGCGAGGGAGTTTTGTCATCCAAAACTCGTTTTGCTTTTTCCAAAAGCAAAATCGAGCCTGTTAACAGACCCGCTCTCTGATGTTAGAGTCGCTCTCCACGAGTGCGTCGGCGACGAAACGCGTACTTTTTTAAGGGACCCTCCATCTGAATAATCTCACGAGCGGTCTCGCAGTCTGAGTTCTGCATTGCAAATCCTAAGCCAATAGCTGCGGGAGAGATGCAGAATGGCTGGGACTGCATCCCTTCAGGTTATTGGGGCTTCAATAAATCATCTTCATGGTGTGAGGAGTTGCCCGCTCTCCGGCCGCCGGCACGCGTCGGTATGATGCCAAAAGCGAAAAGGGAGGAAGTCTGGGCGCGCGAGAAGCGCCGATGAGCGCGAGCCGGTCACGGCCGCTGGTTTCATCGCCAAATAGGGCGGTGGCGCCTGCTCGGTGGTTTGCGAACGGCCGAGCAAATAGAAGCAGCCAGCGCGGGGCGGGGAGCGGAGCGGAAGGACGCACGAAACTCGCGAATTACCTACAGTTGCTGTCGTCGGACGTGTGGATGAGGAGAAGCGTGTGCTAGGATGAGATAGAAATTGTTTATATTGTTGGCAGAAGCGACAGGAGAGATAACGATCGCGCGAGGAAGAAGGGTGCGCTGTACTCGCGTGTGACTACACGGCGCCGTGTTTATTTTTATTTTACAACGATTTGTTTCAACTGCGGATCATGCTTGGTGTGTGTTTGCTGTCAAACGTTCGCGAGAGCGGAGCCCTGTGTCTACACGCGGATACCATCCCCTTTTCGCGCGGCGCGCGCGCCTCTAGCCAGCCTCGCCTCGCCGCCGCTTCTTCCTGCTGCCCGCCGCCCCCGTGCAAGACCTCGGTCGCTTGCTCTTGGCTGCCACCTTGCGCCGCTTCGCCGAGCCGCTCTCCTCCTCCTCCTCCTCCTCCGCGCCGTCCTGAAGCGCCTCCTGCCGAGAGCTTGAGAGCTGCGCCCACACGGCTTGCAGCAGTGCCGCCGCAGCCTCCTCCTCTGCCGCCGCCTCGTCGCTCCCGCTCGCCGAGCGCGCCTCGCGCCGCCCTCGCGCGCCACGGGAGATGGCCACCTCGACCGTCACGCCCGCCGCCGCCGCCGACGCCGTCGAGGCGGGCTCCGTCCAGTGCTGCGTGGCGCAGAGCTCGCGGAGCCGCTCGAGCGCGCTACGCCGCGCCGCATCCCCCTCCGGCAGCGCTAGCCGCACGCCCCGCTTGACCCACAGCTCTGCGGGCACGGCGTCTCGCGCAGCGTCGCGAAGCGCCGCCGCCTGGCCGCCGACTCGCCGGTGGGTGGCCGCGTGTCGGGCGAGCAGTGTCTTGCGAACCCCCTTCCAGCCAGCCTCCCCGCCCGCGGCGGACAGCGCCTCCCGCACCTCTGCCGCCCACCCCCTCCAGCCCGCCGCCGCCGCGGAGAGCAGCTCGCAGAGCGGCGCAGCCGTGTCCCTGTGCGCCGCGGCGGCGGCAGCCTCCTTGGCGAGCGACGCGCGCACGTGCGCCCGAAACGCGTTCGGCGTCAGCGGCGCGTACTCGAGCGGCCGGAGCAGCGGCAGCAGCGGCAGCAGCGGCGAAGCGGCGTCGCACGAGGCTGCGGCGCGGCGGAGCGTCGCTAGCCACTCGCGCCGGTCGACGATGACGCGCTCTCGCGCCGCGAAGTCGAGCCAGCGGCGCCAGTACGGGTCGTGCCGAAGCGTCTCCTGGTGGCCCACAACCACCAGCCCTCTTCTCGCCCGCGTGAGGAGCACCTGTTCACGGCTGCAGCTGTGAAGAGACGCCGTCCTGTACCCCCCTCGCCCCTGCGCATAGACACGGCACGTTGAGCCGCCGCCAGTCGGAGAGGAAGCCCACCGCGCCGTGGCTGTTTGCGCGCACCGCCGAGAAGAGGACCACCTCCTTCTCGCGCCCCTGAAAGTTGTCGACCGAGGCGATCTCGAGCCGGCCCGCCTGCAGGAGAGTTCCGAGACGGCTTCACCGAAGGCTCATCGAAGTGTCACGCAAAGGAGGGCCGCGGGCGCGCCTCTGCGGCGGGCACAAGCGGCGCCTTGCGCGCGGCGCCGCCTTGGCGGGGGCGGCCACACCGCTCGCGCCACAGCTGGCGGAGCAGCCGGACCTGCCCCTTGTACGGCGTCACGACGCCGACCTGCGAGCAGTCCACGTCGCCGCCTGCAAGGAGGCCCTCCAGCACGCCCATCAGCCGCGTCGCCTCCGCCCGGTTGAGGCGCGACTCACCCTCGGCATGCTCCGCCGCGCCGCCCTTCGGTCCGCCCGTCTCGAGAAAGGCGAGCGGCGCGGCGCGGCGCGGCCACGCGAAACCGCACACCGCGGGCCGCGCGGCGGCGTCGATGCCTGTTCACGGCTGCAGGTGTGAAGAGACGCCCCGCACTGCGGGCCGCACGGCGGCTGTCGATGCCGGAGCGCAAGCGGCCGCCGTAGATTGCGTCGCACGAGAAGTCCATCAGCTTTGGGTGCGCCCGGAACTGCGTGTCGAGAAAGAGCGGCTCGACGCCTGCGGGAAGGTGCCAGGAAGGGTCATGGAAGGGCTCCATGACCGTGCCGAGGCAGAGCGGCTCGGTGCCCTGCGACACGAGCCGCTCGTAGCCGGAGAGGCCGAGGCCGCGCGCCAGCGCCTCGCGCGATGCGCACGAGGGAGGGAGCTGGAAATGGTCGCCGCAAAGCACGAGCTGCGAGCAGCCCCGCGCAAGCACCGGCACCAGCGTGGCGGGCTCCGTCGCCTGCGCAACCTCGTCCACCAGAATGGCGTGGAAGGGGCCGAGCTTGGAGAGGAGGGGCCCGCCAGCGCTGATCATCTGGCAGCAAATCACCTGAGCTCCCTCGAGCACCTCATGCAGCAGCGCCGGGTCTGCCCTCCCTCCGTTCGATGCGCCGTCCGCCGCCGCCGCCGCCGCCGCCGCCGCCTCCAGCTCGCTCCGCAAGCGCGCCTCCTCGGCGCAGCAGATCAGGTCGAGAAGCCCCTCCCTCGACGCGGTCAGCTCGTCGAAGCCGCACTCGAGCTGCGCCTGTCGGCGGGCTCCGAACAGGCTCAGAGAATGCGCCCAATCAGGCTCGTCAAAGCCGCGCCCGAGAGCCGCGCGCCTCCATGCCGCCCCCCTCGCCGCGCACGCGCCACCCGAGGGAGGGAGGACAGGTCGCCTCCTTCGCCTCCTACGGGGATGGTTCCGACGGCCTTCAGCGAACGCTCCTACACGCGCCTCCCGAGGAAACACAGCTCGGCTCCTGCACGCCCGCCGCCGCTTGCGGGCAGAAAGCGAGCATCCAGGCCGGCAACTGCGCGGGAGGCTTCTTGCCAAGCCCCTGCCTCGTCGAGACCCACCAGCCAGGCTGCCGCCACCCGCCAGCGGGCTGCGCGCTTGGCGCCAGAAAGCAGTACAGCGGCACAAGAGCGTCGGGCGAAGAAGCGACCGTCGGATCGCAAGTCGCCACCACCTCGGCCGGCAGGTCGGCAGCCCGCACCGGCTCGACCCGCTTGAAGGCCAGCCGCGGCTTGCCCTTTGCTGCGGCGGAGAGCGGCACGCGGGCCCATCGCCCGTGCAGCGCGGGGAGCGGCGCACACCCCCGCAAGACCACCTGGCGGCGAGATGACGACGAAATGGCCCGAGACTACTTGGGAGGCCCGAGACCGCACCTCCGAACGACCGCCTGGCCGGCGAAACTGCCCAGCCCGCCCTCGGGGAGAGACTCGGCGCGCTGCAGCAGCGCCGGCAGCTCCTCGCCGGCCAACCCGTGCCGCAAGCTGGCCGCGCCTGCGCGCGCCCGCTCCCCCCGCTCCGCCGCAGCCTCCCCCTCGCGCGACTGCTGCAGCGCCGCGGTCTGCGCGTCGAGCGTCAGCGACGCGAGCCGCTCGTGCACCTAGCATCTCGTGGCATCTCATGGCATCTCGGGGCATCTCGGGGCATCTCGGGGCATCTCCGGGCATCTCCGGGCATCTCGCGCGCCTTTTCTGGCCGACCCACCCGCACCACGCGCACGCCCGCAGCGTCGAGCCCCTCGGCGATGTTGTCGACGGCGACCTACGATCTCGCGGAACCTCGGTAGATCTTGGGTAGGTCTCTAGCCTCTCAGCGGCGTGGTCGACGGCGACGTTGCACTCGGCCGTCGCGAGCAGCGGCCGCAACTCGAGCGCCGCCCACGAGGCCAGGATCTGTGGCTCAATCAACTCATTCTGATGTGTGTGACTGCCTCACAAGCCGAGCGCCGCCCACGCGGCCAGGACCTGCACGGCGGTGGTCGTCTTGCCCGTTCCTGGAGGGCCTACAGGAAGGCTCCGAGACACTCCAGGGAAGGTTCCGAGAAGAGGGGCTTGCCCGACCCGCCGGGGCCTTGGACGATGGTGAGGCGTCGAGAGAGTGCGGCGCAGACCGCCTCCTGCTGCGACTCGCTGAGCGACTCGTTCCGTCGCACCTGCGCCGCGACTCGCTCGCGCGCCTCGCGCCTGAGGGGGGCCGGGGCCGGGGGGGGGGGGGGGGAGGGGGGAAGGGGGGGAATGGAAGAGGGGGGAGTGGAGGAAGGGGGGAGGGGGGCCCCTTAACCCTCCTGGCGCATCGTTCGTCGCCTTGGGCGGCCTCGGGGGGGCTCGTCCACTCTCGTCCACTCTCGTCTAATCTCGTCTAGTCTCGCGCCGCTCGAGCGGCAGCGGGTCCTCCGCCGCCAGCCTGCCGAGGGCCAGCTTGGACGCCTCGGCGTCGGGCGACTGCGGTGGCGCCGCGACACGGAGCGAGACGCAGACCCTGCGGCACGAGGCCCCGGGCGCGAGGCTCAGGCGGAGCAGTACGCGCGGAGTGTCCGCCTCCTCCTCCTACGGATGAGTTCTGTCGGATCGGGTCCTCATCACGTGGACCGCAGGAACAGGCGGCGGGCTCGCCTCCTCCGGCTCGGCCGCCACAGACCCACCCGCCGCCCCGCCGCCCCGAGGGTGGCGTGGCCGTGCGGCTGGCCCGGTCGCAGAGGGGAGGGAGGCTGCCGCGGGCAGCGCGCCAGAGGAGAGGGCGAGGAGGAGCGGGTTGTGCTCTCGCAGCCCGCCCTGCGAGCAGAGCTGGTGCAGCGCCTGCAGCTGCCTGCGGCTGGCGAGCCGGTTCGCGGCAACGTCCACCCGCCACGACCCGCGTGCCAGCTCTGCCTCGGACGGGGGCTCGCCGAGCTGCAGCTGCAGGACCAGCCTCTGCTCGCTCAGCTGCTGCACAGTCCCCTCGCCCACCCAGCGGCACGGGCGGTCGCCCTCCGCATTCGCCTCCGAGAGGACGACGGCGTCGCCCTTGCGGAAGCGCAGCTTGTCGAGGCTCGTGCCGGCGGGCAGCTGCAGCGCGACCTTCGCGCCGCGCCGGCCGCTCCTCGGCGCGAGCAGCGCTGCGCTGCTCGGGAGCAGCGCCCACCCGTGCGACACGAGCTGCTTGACGGGCCGCTGCAGCCGTCGGCGGGCGGCGCAGAGCTCGGCGAGCAGCTCGAGGTGGACGAGCAGGCTGAAGTGGCCGAAGTAGGCGGAGAGCCGCTCGGTGCTGCACTCGACGCGGCCGTGCAGCGACGCGAGCGGCAGCGTGCCGAGCAGCTCCTATCGATCAACACGTCTGCTCATTCCCAGGAGCTGTCATCGAGGAGAAGGCAGCGTCCAGGCGCAGCTCCTCGAGGGGCAATGACTCGGTCGGCGGGGCTAGCTTCGCCTCCGGGTCAGCGACGAGGCCCGCCGCGCCCGCCGCCCGAACCAGCCACCCCGTGGCCGGCGGCCGCAGCGACTCGCCCGGCGCATGCGCGACGACGTCAGCCTTCGAGCCGAAGTGCGGCCCAATCCACCAGCCCGCGCCTATGCGGACATGTCCGGGACTCCTCAGGGACAGGGACATGTTGTCAGGGACGAGTCCGATCCACAGTCCCGCACTCTCGGCGTCGAACCGCCAGAAGAAACAGTACACTGAGCCTGCCGCTCCGCCAGCCGCCTCACCGCCGACCGCCCCACCGCCGCCCGCCGCCCCGCCACCCGCGCCGCCGCCAGCCGCCCCGCCAGCCGCCGTCCCTCCGCCAGCCGCGGGCGGTGCCTCGTACACTGGCCGCACCGGCAGGGAGAGGAACGCGTCGAAGGCGGCGGTGGGGGCGAAGCGTCGGTTGAGGTGTGGCGCGAGAGAGCAGCCGCGCAGCTCGAGCGGCGGCGCGGCGGCCGCCGCCTCGGCCCGCTCCAGCGCCCCCCCCTCGGCTGCCGCCGCCACCTGGACAACCGCCTCCTCCGCCGCCTGCACCTCTGCCACCTCCGCCACCTCCGCCACCTCTGCCGGCGCCTCCTCACCGGTGCTGGTTGCCTCAGGCGGCGCACCCCCGCCCGCTCTCTCCCTCGCCTTTTTCCTCTTGCGCGCCTTGGAGGAGAGCCTCGGAGTCCGACCTTCACGCCCCTTGGCGCACCCCGTCGGAGCACCGCCGTCCAACCCGTCGCCTGACGCCGCCACTGCCGCCGCCGCCGCCACCGCTGCCGTTCCGTCGTTAGGAGCCTCCCTGCTGCTTTCCCAGCTGCTCTCTCCGCTGCCAGCCAGCGCCGTACTCGTCGCGGCTCCGCCTCCTCCCCGCCCGTCGCCCTCCTCTCCGTCCTCGAACGCGTCGCTCTGCGCGTCCGCGTCGTCCGCCGCGACGAGCGGGAGGGGCTCGCTCCCTCGCGGCAAGCCGAGGTTGAGGCAAGCGCGGACGGCGGCGGTGCAGAGGCTCCGCCCCTCGCAGAGCAGCTGGAGCAGCTGCGAGTAGCTGCGCAAGTCGATGCGCCAGCGCCGAGACGCCGCCATCGTGCCGGCCGCCGAAGCCGCCGAGGGTGCCTCGCAGAGCTCGCGCAGCAAAAGAGCCAACTCTCGCACGCCGGCGCCGGCCGCACAGACGAGCAGCGCACCGAGAGCCCCGGGCGGCACGTCAGCGCCTGCGCCACTCGCCGCCCGCCACGCGCCTCGCGCCTCGCCGTACCCGCCTCGGCGCAGCAGCCGCTCGAGCTCGTGGACAAGGCGTGCGTGCTCGCGCCGCTCCGCCTCCGCGCGCGCCTCGCGCGCCGCCGCCTCACGCCGTCCCAACTCGGCGAGCAGCAGCCGCTGCGTGTCGGCTGCGCTGAGCCCGGGAACTTCGCCGGCAGCCGCCGAGGAGAGGAGCGCCTCCTCCTCCGCCCGGCGGGCGGGAGGACCACCGCCCGCAAGACCACCCGCATGGCCACCCGCATGGCCACCCACCAGACCACCGCCCGCCAGGCTGCTGCCCGCCGGGAGCTGGGCGCGCCGCGGCGTCGCGTCGCCCCACCGCGGCGTGGCGCCGTCCCACCTCGCGCCGGCCGGAGGCAGGTGCGGCCTCGGCAGCGGGTGAGCCGGCAGCGGGTGAGCGGGCAGCGGGTGGGGCGGTAGCGGGTGCGGGCGCAGGAAGGCTTGCGGCTGCGGGTAGGCTTGCGGCTGCGGCTGCAGCTGTGGGTAGGCTTGCGGCTGCGGTTGCGGTTGGCGGTGCGGCGGCTGCAGGTGGTGCGGCTGTGACTGCGGGTGGGCTTGCGGCTGTCGGTGGTGTAGCTGGGGCTGCGGTTGAGGCTGCGGGTGGGCTCGCGGCTGTCGGTGGTGTAGCTGGGACTGCAGGTGGTTTGGCTGTCGGTGCGGGTCCGGCGAAAAAACGCTCGGGGCGGCCACGCGAGGGTGCCGCACATGCGCTTGCGGCGGCGGCGGCCAACTGTGCCTGCGATCTCCGCCCGCGCCAGTGTACCGTGGCAGCGGCACCAGCTCGGGTGGACGGGAGTACCGCGGCTGCTGGTGCGTTGCGTGCGGTGGAGGATAGGAGCGGGGAGGCACCAACGAATGCGGATGCGGCGGATGAGGCGGGTGCTGCGTCGGTTGCCACTGCTGGCGCTCGTCGTGAAAGGGCCACTGCTGGCGCTCGTCGTGGACGGGCATGGCGACCGTGCGAGGCTTTCAGCAAGCGAGGCAGGTGCCCTGGATGGAGCCTCCCCGGCGCGTTGCCAGGAAAAAAAAAAAGAAGCGCGACGCGAATAGATCGCAGCGGCGGCGTCGCAGAACGAGGCCGAGGAGAGCGATGAGTCAGAGGATGAAGCAGCAGAAGCAGCAGGAGAGGAACGACGAGAGTGAGAAGACCGCGAGGCGGCATGAAGGTGTGCGAGAATTGGTTTGTTGTAGAATTGAGAGAGAGAATTGGGAGAGAGAGACTGCGAAGAGATTGGAAGAGGCAGACAAACAAGGGTGGGCGACGGCTAGCACCACACTCCTCTCCTTAAAATCCCTTGTAGCCTGGCGTTTGTGCCCCGTTTGTGCCGCGTCCCGTGCCCCCGAGTTCATCTCATAATTTAAATTCCTGTGTGGTGGCGGCGTGCCGTCCTCCCACGGAAGGGCGCGCCGGAATTCTTCTCGAGTGCCCAGCGTCCCCCGGCGTCGGACACCATACATGCTCCTGCTCCTCTCCTTGGCGCTCGCCCGGGATGATCGGCACTGGCCACTTTCCGACGAGGTGATCAGGGCGGTTGGCCATGGCGACGTGGCTGCGGTGCAGGCCTGGCTCGATGCCGGTGGGAGGGCCAGCGCGTTTATTGACAGCCCCACTGCGGCTGATCGCGCGGGAACGACTAAGGGCTCCACATTACTGATGCTGGCCGCAGCCAACAACCACGAGCGGGTGGTTGACTTGCTGCTGGAGCAAGGTGCAGAGATCGATCAGGACAGCAGCGGCGGCTTCACCGCGCTGATGTCGGCCGCGTTCCACAACCACGTGCGCATTGTCGAAAGGCTGCTGCGGCACGGCGCGGAGGTCGACCGAGAGACACGCAACCCGCCTCGCAACACCGCAATGGTACTCGCCGCAAGTATTGGCCACGAATATGTTGTCGAATCACTGCTGCAGCACGGAGCAGAGGTTGACCGGCAGAACGCGGATGGCTACTCCGCGCTAATGTTTGCCGCCTATTTTGGGCATGAGCGAGTGGTCATAGTACTGCTAGCACATGGCGCGGAGATCAACCAAATAGGCCGCCACGGCGGCACCCCCTTGACGCTCGCCGCACAAAACGGCCACTCTTCGGCCTTGACCGCCCTGATGCAATTGGGTGCGGATGTGAGCGTGCGCAATGGCCAGGGATACACTGCATTGCAAGTCGCCAAGGACATGGGCCACACGGCGTGCGTCACGGCCATCGAGATAAATTCATCAAGTCGGGCATTCCTTTACTCGTTGCTCGTTTTACTCGTTACTCGTGACGCTAACGGCACCGTTTTCTTCTTCTTTCTTGTCGGCTGCTTAATGATGTTCCAGTTGGCCAGAATTTGCTATACCAATTCAACGGAACGTAATAAGCCTGCGGACGAAGGGACGAGGCGAAGGCGCGCGGCGAGTCGAAGGCGCGCTGCCGAAACTATTGCAGCGGGAGAGGCAGACAAGACGCACCTCAACAATAGCAGAAAGGTGAGGAACAGAAAAGGGAAGGGGAAAACCCGCTATGACGCGCAGGTGCAGCAGCAGCCGCTGCAGTCGCACATGTCCGAGGTGGAGCAGTCGCCGGCAGTGGCGACGAGAGGCGAGGCGGAGGAGGGCAGGGATTTGACTGCGGGCGTGCCGGCTGAGGACGAGGAGGGCGGTGTTGACAGCGCCAGCCAGCTGCTCGAGAGCGATCTAGGGGGCAGCCTCTCAGACGGGCTGTCAGCAGTCGGCGCAATGGATGCTCCTGGCGGCGCGCACAATCCGGCGGCCGTTTCGCTGGCCGACGCCAGATTCGACACGGGCCGCAGGATGGTTCCCGAGTCCACTATGGGCGGCGAGACTACTTGCATCGTGTGCTTCACCAACCCGAAGACCCATCTCGCTGTTCCATGTAGCCATCAGTGCGCCTGCCGCGCGTGCTCCGCGAGGATGGAGCGGTGCCCCTACTGTCGTGCGCAAGTGGAGCGATGGCTCGAGGTGCGCATGGTGTAACGCACGGCGGCCTTCAATTGGTGAGACGGTGGAAATGTCTTAAAACGTGTACGTATATACGCGCCCTCTCCACACACACCAATGACGAAGCACGAACGGAGATATATATCTTTGCGTGATTGTGTTTTTGAACCGCGGCCCGGAGAGTGTCAGCGAGCGCGGAGCGCGGCGTCGCGCCGCGGCGCTGACTAAGGTTAGCAGCCCGTAGTCTAGCAACCGCAACCGAGCTCCGCACTCGAGGCTCCGCAACCCCCCTCCCCCCCCTGGCTCCCCACCCCCCATCAACCCTCTCCGCACGACCCCACCCGCTCTAGCATGTCCACCCACCGCTCCGCCTCCTCTTCGCTCTCGGCCTCTACTCGCGTCTCGACGGAGCGCGAGACGGCGATCCCAGCCGCGGCGACGTCCATCCTGGAAAGCGCCTCCGCTGGAGTGGTGAGGACGAGGCGCTTGCCGTCGACCCTGAGCGGCAAGGTGAGATGTGAGACAAGGTTAACCTCTCCACGAGCTAGATCTGTAGTAAGCTTGGGGGCAGGGTGGAGAGAGAGAGAGTGTGTGATGTGTTCGTGCGCCTGAGCCAATCGTCGCGAGGGAGCTTGTCAAGCTGAAGTGGCGCGCCGATCGTCCGCGCCTCCGTCTCATCCGCGTAGAATGTGAGCGTGGGTGGCTCGTTCCGCAGCACCGCCCAGACCTCGCCAAAGACGTTCTTCTTGAGACCCTTGCCGGCCTTTAGCAGCCGACCCGAAAAAAGAGAGGTGCCGCGCACAGTCGGCGAGCCGTCCTCCTTCTTGTCTGAGCGACCGTACTTGGGCTTGAAGCCCGTGGCCTGGCTCGTCACGTCGGCCCTCTCGAAAGTCACGTCCCGCGGGGCGGTCTCGCCAGACTCTGCTCGGGTGCGCGTTGCCGTGGGGTTGACGAACGCCGAGGGCACGAACTCACCGGTCCCGGCGAGCTGAAGGGCGGCCAGACGCTCTTTGATCGACATCTCCGGCCCTCTTGCTGCACGCCGCAGCCGCCTCGTCCGCAGCGCTCGTAGAGGACGTGAGCCTTCGGACAGTGTCGGACAGTGACCGTCGTGTTCCTCCGGCCGTGAACGGCGCCTCCATGGGCGCAGATACCGGTGGGGAAACACCTATCGGCAGCGCCACAGCTGGACAACTCCTCGAAAAGACATGTCACTCCATTCAAAAGCGAGCAACGTCGGCTCATACATCGGCCCCCACGTCGGCTCCGGAAGCCACGCCGGCCACCTCGCCGGATACCACATGCCCAACGGCAGAGCCGGCGGCTGCCGGACTGTTGACAAGCGCGTCGGCACGTTTGAGGAGATGAAGTGGCTCACAACGGAGGCGACCTGCGCCTCGTTGTGCACCGCCAGGGAGCAGCTCTGCACGGCCTTTGAGTTCGCCTCTTTGACCGGCTACACGCGCTGTGAGATCCACACAGAGGCCATCTCGTACACCGTACCCGTCAACGGCTACCGCTGCTATGTGAAGACCCAGCCGCCTCCGCCGCCACCACTTCCACCGCCGCTCCCACCGCCACCGTTTCCGGCGGTGCCACCACCGCACGCGCCGCCACGGCCTCCGCGAGTGCCGCCGCCGCCGATCGAGCCGCCGTCGCCTCCACCTCCGCCTCCGCCGCCGCACGCGCCGCCGCCGTCGCCGCCGCCGCCCGCGCCGCCTCCGTGGCAGCCTTGGCCCAAGCCTCCGCCAAGCCCGCCTCCGAATCCGTGCCTCGCGCTGGTGCGTCCGCGGTCCAACTTTGAGCGCTGCCGCTACCTCGCCCACGCCAAGCTCGACCGGTCGCTCCTCATGTTTTCCAACCTGAACGAGGCGCGAGGCGCAAGAGACACACCTCACCACGGAGGCCGGCCCAGAGGCTCCTCTCCGAGGCGTCTGTACTGACTCGGAGCCTTGCTGCAGGTGACGCTGTCGAGCACGAGCCTGGTCGCCGCCAACCTGACCGAGGCGACATTCCAGCAGGCCGTCGCCCACGACGCCGCATTCGACTTTGCGGACTGCGATGACGCAGACTTCTCCGGCGGCCACTCACACACACACACACACACAGAGGGCGGGGCGGGGCGGGGCGAGGTCGCGCGAGATCAGCCGAGGCTGGCCCGAGATTAGGCGCCGACGTGTGCGGCCGCCCCCCCCCCCCCCCCCCACCACCACTCTCTGTATCACCGTGCCGTGACTCTCTGAGCAGGCGCCGACGTGCGCCGCTCCTCCTTCCGCAACGCCACCCTCCGCGAGGCGGCCTTCAACGGCTCCACCGCACTGCACCACCTTCCATGTATACTTCTCGAGTACGGTGATGATCACGTATTGACTCACGAGCAGGCGCCATGCCATCCTCCGCCGCGCCGGACTCCTCTCATCCATTGGTGGAGCTCGAAGGAGGAGCGCATGTCAAGCAACTAATAGGCGCCACCCGCCTGGACCGCACCAAACGTCTCTATGAACTACGCGCGCATGACTGTGTGCGTTAATGATCAACAGGAGCCATCATCCACCGGACCAACTTCTCGCGCGCAGACCTGCGCGGCGCTTCCCTCATCGGCCTCTACCAGGCGCACAGCCGCCATATGTCCTAGCACGGATCGGCTGTGGCCGGGGTGTGAACCCATTCTCAACTATAGTCACTGAGACCGCTCTCCCGCGATCGGCCCTCCACCACAGGCGCAGAGCGTTGTGCTCGACGGCGCCAACCTGCAGGGCACCGCCATCTCCAACTCGTGGCGCGACATAGCCGCGATGCACCCGAGATGCAGCCGACGCGAGATGTAGCCGAGATGTAGCCGAGATGTAGCACCGAGCAACGTTGCTCGACAATCTGCGGGAGGGGGGGGGGGAGGGGGAGGGGGGAGGAGGGTCCCAGACCCGGGGACACGTCCACGACTCGTCCCCGACACTCCCCCGCCCCGCAGGCTGATCCGGGCCTCCCTCGTGGGAACGAACCTACGGGCATCACCAACCAGACGCGCCCAGCCTGCGAGATTGCCCGAGATCACCCGAGATCACCCGAGACTGGCCGAGGCTCTAGGCGGCCGTCGTCGACGACGTCAACTTCCGCGAGAGTCTCTTCCGGGGGGTCGATTTCGCAGGCGGAGAGGGAGCCGAGAGATGTGGCCGAGATGTGGCGCCCAGACGTACGTAGACGTGGCCGGAGGAGTAGCCGAGATGCAGCCAGAGCCGAGACTTCGCGGACTCTGCGCCAGGCGCCACCTTCGTCGACTCTCGCTTCGACTTTGCCGACCTCTCGGGCGAGAAGCTCGACGGAGTCGTCTTCGAGGCCGGCCGCCACGAGGCGGTGGGAGGGCGTCTCGATGAGCTCTTCAGCCTAAGGTGGTTGTGAATATGGACCAGGCCGGCCACCTGGCGTGGACAGACCTCTCCGGTGCCTCGCGCTCCAAGTGGGGAGAAGCTTCCGAGAAGCTCCCATCAGCCTTCTCACACCTCCCGATAGGCGCCTCGCTCCAGATGGCAACCTTCACAGCCTCCGTCGGCCTCTCGCGCAGCATCGACGCGCGCAGCTGCTGTGAAGAGACCCTCCTCACCCCCACCCCTGTGCACAGGCCTCACGCAGATCGACGCACGCGGCGCCGACTTCTTAGCCGCCGTCTCGGAGGCCTCTCTCGGCGAGGTTTCGTCCAGGAAACTTCCGACAGCCTTCCTGTAGGCGCCGATTTCTCGGGCGCCGTCTTTGAGGGCGCCACGCCCTTTCCCTTCTCCCCAGAGGGCCGCTAGCGGAGCCGCCCAGCATCCGCCCTAGCAGCTGTCGGGGAGAGCCCGCCTATAGGCGCCGACCTCTCCGGAGCCAGGCTCGACGGCGCCTCCCTCCGCAACGCCCGCTTCAGCTCGGGGGTGCGCTTCACCGGCGCATCCATCGAAGGGACGGACTTCACCGGCGCCACCGGCATCGAGCCCTCCGCGTTCGCCGGCGCCACCGGCACTGCGATCGGCTTTGCCACGCCCCCCCCGGGCGGCGGGCTGGGCCCGGCGGGCCTGCCCGTGAGGAGGGAGTGAGGCCTTTTGCCACTGAACTTGTAGTGAGCGTTGTCCCCCAGCTAGCTTCAAGCTTCAACAGGCCCCAACCCTCGCGGGACTCGTGTCATGTTAAAGCCGTAGTCATTGCTTCGTCATTGCTACGCGGAGTACACGGAGCTCATGCACATGGTGCATGCTCCTCTTGCGGTCTTGGTTTCAAAAGAAGATTAAGTCAGCAGAGTCCTCCTCCGCCGCGCTCCGGGAATGTACGTAAGACTAAGAGCCACACACGCATTACGGCTTTATCGAAAAGAATCGCGCCGCGCGTGAACTCGGCCGTCCATCTTGTTCTTCCCGCATCATGGTGGACCTCGCAAGGCTGGCTCAGCTGAAGAGGCTGCTCAACGACGGCACGCTGACTCGGGAGGAATTTGAGGCGCTCAAGCAGAAGGAGCTGTAGGCGGACGGCACCGATCGGGGCTCCGTCCGACCGGCGAATTTTAAGCTTTCCTCTGTCCCCGTACACTGTGGAGAATTTGACAACAACTCCCTCGCACAACACTGGGCACGGGACTGGCGCGCACTGGCACTAACATAGGTGCACCACAGGAGAAAGGGGACAGTGTGTTCTCTAGCTAGGCCCCTAACTAAAGGCCCTACTCGAGTACGAAGGTCATACGCGCGTACTCGAGTACACAGACAGAGAGAGAGTTACGACGTACACAGAGAGAGAAAGTACGTACGTACACAGGAGAGAGATACTAAATGTAAATGCACGTACACACATGCACATGCGCCGATGAATGACTTCTACCTACGATGACTGGCGCGGGCGGCGCGAGGCGGAGCGTTCCGAGGCACAGTCTGACCCATTCGCCTCTCTCTGAAAGAAGAATTTAAATAAAACAACTGAGAAGAATTTTCGTGCCGCGTGAGCCCGCAAGGGCGCGCCGCAAGGGGGGTTATATGGGCCGCGAGGAGGCAAAAGCGCAGAGCAAAGAGGCGCAGCAGGCGAAGGAGAAGGCGGCGTTTGAAAAGAAGCAGGCGCAGCGCGACAAGCAGTGGGAGGTTGGCGCTAAGGACACGTCAGGGGATGCGGCGGCAGCGGCCAAGGCAGCCGAGGCGGCGGCGAGGAGAGCGGAGCGGAAGGCGATAGAGGAGGAGGAGGGCGCGATGGGCAAAAGCACAAAGCCGAAGAAGAAGGATGACGTCAAAAAGGGGCCGACCAAGGCGGAGAAGGCGCAGCGCGCGCTGCTCGCTGCGCAGGTCTGCCGACGAGAGACCTGTCGCACGCCTCCGCGCCTCCTAACGCGTAAGATGAGTTTGGACAGGCGCTGGAGAAGGCGGAGAAGGCAGCGAAGAAGACGCCCAAGAAGGATGCGGCGCCGGCAGCAGCGTCCGGTGACGTTGCCTCTGCCTCCGAAGGAGTTGGGGAGCTCACGATCAGTTGAGCTGAGTGTGCTGAGTGTGTGCGTCTCTCATCTAGTACCATTTAAATGAGTAAATAAAACGGACACCTCTACTGGAGATGGGTAAAATTATCTAGTGCACGGCATGTGGTGTAGTGATCGTTCCATTCTCCTCTCTCAGTCTCTAGCCCAGTCGGCAGTCTCTGCGTGTCCGTGTGACGGAAATTTTGGTGAGGCGTCTCTGTCTCACGGGTGTTTCGTCCCTGTCTCACTTGCATGATTCTTTCCGTCTCTCTGCGTCTCTCCAAGCGTCTCTCTGCTGTCACAGTTCTCTCCAAGCGTCTCTCTGCTGTCACAGTGCTGAGTGTCAGTGTCGCACAGGAGACAGGTGCGTCTCGGATGCGTCTCACATTCGTCTCTTTCGGCCGCGTATCACTCAGTCTCAGCCACGACTGTCTCATCAAGGGGCCTGCCCACCGGATCGACGTCAGCTTCACGGCGCGCGGCAACGCTCCGGCCCGCGACAAGCCACATGGCCTCATCGGCCAGTCATTTGCCACGCCCGGGCTGGTGCGTAATGGCAAGCAGGATGTGTATCCCTTCGCGGGAGCCTATACCACCACCGCCCAGGCGGAAGGAGCCATTGAGGGCACGGCCTCCGAGTACGAGATGCAGTTCGCCTTCGCGACCGAGTTCGCTTTCTCGCGCTTCAACGCGGCGAAAGACGACCGCGCCTCGGTTGAGGGCTCAAAGGCCACCGACATCGTCGATGCCTCTTCCATCGAGCGCGTCGCCGATCCCACCACCGAGGAGGAGCGCCGGCGACTCTCCGAGGCCCCTTGCCCACCCCCCTCGCCCCCCGCCGACTCGGACAGCGACGGCATCCCCCGACGCCGAGGAGGGCACAGCCGACTCTGACAGCGACGGCATTCCCGACCGACTCGATCCCGACTCTTGGCCCGTGAAGCGTTGTGGCGAGGGATTCGAGAACGTCGCAGGCTACGTCAACGGTCGAGGCACGCTCAGGACAGTTGCGGTGGGCAAGCCTGGCTTCCAGACACAAACATACCGCACCGCGTACCCTCCCCACTCCCGCCTCTCATTTGTGTCACACCACGCGGAACGCATCTCCATCGCTTCGGTGAAGGGGGTAAACCGTGCCATCCTCGATCGCCGTGCAAAGCTCGCTTCCGAGCTCTCACGCCGCGCGTAGGGCCCTTAGGGGCCTAGAGAACACAACCCCCCTCTCTCTTTTCTCCCACTAAGCTATAAGTACGTACATCAAAAACGGCAGACCATCGTGCAATTCGAATCCGCACGGGAGGGGAAATGAAGGATTGTGGGTCGACCCGGACACTGGAGAGAGATTCGATTCGAGAGATGGGGAAAGCACACCAACGTATGAGGACGATCCGGAACTCGAATTCCATCAGTTGTACTGCAATGAAGGCATCGCGGACGAGTACAAGCCATTCGCTGCCAAGGTACCGCTCGGTGTGCAGCGCGTATACTGCATTGACCCCATTTGCGCAAAACTTTGCACGGATGATCCAGAATGCGGCTCCTACGAAGCCAGGCCACAACATTTTGGGTGCGAGTTGAACAGGCAGTCGGCGGCAAACATCGTTCCCAGTTACGAAACAGCACAAGCTGGGCTAAGCCTAAGGCAATTCCCTCTTACATCAGCTGAGAATTTCCTGCGAAGTAACTTCAGGTCAAGGCAGGCTTTGTTCTCTGCACGGTCCCCGCCCTGGTGATCTGAGATGGCGATCCTCGCGTGGCCCAACACTCGTGGACGGAGGGGTGGTCACCTGGTCACCTGTATGAGAGTCTGATCAAAGTTCCAGGGGTGGTCACCTGGTCACCTGGTCACCTGGCTGGTCACACTTCCACGTGGAGGTCATAGACGCGCACTCACAAGATCGGGTGTGACACGCGGCGTTGCATGAGGTGTTGGCGCAGGTATTCCAACTTCACTGGTGGCGCTGGAGGGCTCAGGAGGGCTCGGGAGGGCTCATGAGGGATGGAGTGCCCGGAGGGCTCGGAGGGGCGAGCCACCGAGCCGGGCTCGGGGGGCTCGGGGGGCTCGGAGGGCTCGGAGGGCTCGGAGGGGTCGGAGGGGTCGGAGGGGTCGGAGGGGTCGGAGGGGTCGGAGGGGTCGGAGGGCTCGGAGGGCTGGGTGGGGGGTTCGGAGCGAGGCTCGGAGGGCTCGGAGGGGTCGGAGGGGTCGGAAGGGTCGGACGGGACAGAAGGATCGGAGGGCTCGGAGGGCTGGGTGGGGGGGCTCGGAGCGGGGCTCGGAGGGCTCGGAGGGCTCGGAGGGGTCGGAGGGGTCGGAGGGGTCGGAGGGCTCGGAGGGCTCGGAGGGCTCGGAGGGGTGTGGAGGGCTCAGAAGGCTCGGTTAAAGATACCCTGCAGGCAAAGCGCGTTTGGCATCGAAATATCTGGGCTTCCGCTAATGCGCTAAAACGGAAGCGACAGCCTCCACAGACACACACTCACATCGGGCCACGGCGGTCCTCCCTCCGCCGCCGGCGGTGAGTTCAACGCGGCCGACGGCTGGCAGCTCTCCGTCGGGTCGAGGGAGGACACGCTTCCTGCAATCAATCTGTACGGCGCGTACGTCACTAGCTTCGCCAGCCTCCGTAGCGATGATGGAGTGAAGGCGCTGCTGTTCGCGCCATCGTACAGCGCGGAGGCGCTCCAGTTTGCCTGCGTCATTGTGGCGGACGCGCTCTCCCCGTACCGCTGCTACCAGGCGGCGCAGCAGGCGCCGGGCATCCCGCTGCTGGTCGCCGTGTGCGGGGAGGGAGACGAGCCTCCCCCAGAGGTGGCCGCGCTCGCCTCCGAGGCGGGGGCCCATCTCGCGGTGCTGCGCTGGTCGGTGGGAGCCTTTGCCCCGACCTGGCCGTCGGTGCTCCTGCAGCAATATTCGTACGACGGCTACGACCCGGACTCGGCCTCGCCCGCAGTGCCGCCGTGCGGCCCCACGCTTTAGGACAACGTCTCGGACAATGTGGAGGCGTGGGCGTACAAGCCGCGCATCGCGTACGCTGCAGACTGGGAAGGCTTACTCGTCGCCGCGAGCGGCTGGCTTGCCGCTCGTGGCTGAGCGCGCGAGTCGTGACCGTGAGCCGTGACGAGCATGCCACTTTTTGGTGCCTCCCCGTCTCCCATGACGAAAAACGAACAACGCACCAGGCGACTGCCTGAGAACGCTGGATCGAATCGAGGAGGCACCTAGAGCAAAATTGAGCCCGCTCAGGTGAGAAAAAAATATAAGGGTCGAGCAGGTTTCGAACTGGCGCCTTCCGCTTGCGGAAAGGGAGCCGGGAAGAGATCGCTTCGAATGAGAGGGAGATCGAACGTTGGCGACCTATAGCATACCGGGCGCACACACCGGCGCCCGAAGTGCCAAGAAGGACGTCGTTAGTACGAAACCTCAGAAGGCCATGGGCGCGCCGAGAGAACATTCCCCGAGAGGACCAAGAAAAAAGAAAAAAGAAAGTCGACGCACCCCCTCCTTGCGCAGTGTCCCTCGCTATGTGTCGCCGCTATCGGGGCACGCTAACCTGTGCAGTCAGGGCAAGCGGGGGCGGGGGGCAGTCCCTTTGACGTATGTATCTCTGGGTTCTGTCTCCAGTCTCGGAGGGGGGCAAGAAGGTAAGAATATCTAATTTTTTTGGTGCCTCCCCGTGTCTGTAGCCTGGCGTGTGCGCGACTCACAAGACACACAGCCAGCGTGGCTGCCACACACCCTGAGTTGGCGTACACATCACTCAGGGCCACGTCCCCCCTGTCGCCCCCCCCAGCACACCACGGTGCCAAGGGCACAAACAAGGGCACAATTCAGTTGCTGAGTGTTTGCGAGCAGAGGCGCGGCTCCCAGTCTAAAAAAAGTAACCTCGGTCGTTTCAACGTAGTTTCCAACCTTGATCCAGGACTTTTACAACAAAAGGCGGTCGCCAAAAGGACTGACCTACAATAAAAGGCGGTCGCCAAAAGGACTGACTCCTCAGAATCCTGCACCCCCATCCATGGACAGCCAGGGACCATGGACGGCCAGGGCGAGTCGTGGTCACTGTTTCGAATGCGCCCGCTTCTGCTCGGCTTGCTTGTCGTGACCGCCCAGGCCGGTCCCACTCCTGTCACGGGCGACGCCTCCGGATCGGACTGGGTGAACGCCTGCATCGACCTCGACTGGCACTCGAAAGAGGTGGCGCTCTCGGAGACGCCCTTGGAGACGGCGGCCGGGGGCACCTCCCAAGCGTGCGGCGCCGGCCGCATTACGCTGGGCGTCCCGACCGACTTCCACCACAACGACCGCGGCTGCCCCGGCGGGCCGCAAAAGACCGGTTTCGCCTTCCGCGGAGGCGACTGTGGTGGCGGCGGCGCGGACAAGATGATGAGCGTCGCGGCCGTCTGCGATCGGCATGTGCCGAACGCTTCCGCGTCCCTCGACGACGACCCGTGCGCGGAGTTCAACAAGGACAAGTGCTTCATGAACGTCTGCACGGTCTGCACGCGCGTGATATGCGACTCTGAGCATGCGCATGCGGCCTGCAGCACCTGCACGGACAACAAGTGGAGCGACTTCTCGCTCGAGGGCGGCTCGGCGCACGCGTGGGACGAGGGCGTCGCCCTCCTCTACCCGCTGGAGGAGACGCTGCGCGCCCCTGGCACCTGCCGCGCCAGCGGCGAGACGCTGGGGGCCACCGGGCACTCAGGCCCGACAACCGAGAGCACGCAGGGCGAGAAGCTGCTGCGGACCGGCGCGCGAGACTTCGTGCGCGCCATCGTCGACAAGATCACCACCTTGATGACGGTGAATCAGCGGGTCCCGCTCCGCTCTGAGCACAAGGGTTGCGCGTTCGGCGCGGATCGGTCGGAGGAGAACACGGCGACCGTGCTGCCCCTCGTCCACAAGTGCAACGTCGCCGCTGCCAAGATGAGCGACGAGATGAAGTTCGGCCTGTACTTCCCAAAGCATTACCCGAGCGATTCTACGCTTGGCGCCGAACTCTTTCCATCGGTGGGATTCCCCTGACTGGCCGCGCCTGTGTTGCGCAACACGCCGTCTCCCCGGCGCCACACGTCTGCCTCACACTGCTCACGCACGACAGCCCGCCTCTCCGCTGCAGGCCGCGCCTCTTCCCGAGGCACGTTCGACGGCTGTGCGCGCGATCATCAAGACCGAGGCGCCCACACCGGCTCCGCCCACCGCCCCACAACTGCCGCCCCGCCCCGCCACCTGCGCCACCACAACCGCCGACGGCGCCACGCGTCTGCCTCACACTGCTCACGCACGACAGCCCGCCTCTCCGCTGCAGGCCGCGCCTCTTCCCGAGGCACGTTCGACGGCTGTGCGCGCGATCATCAAGACCGAGGCGCCCACACCGGCTCCGCCCACCGCCCCACAGCTGCCGACTCGCCGCCCCGCCCCGCCACCTGCGCCACCACAACCGCCGACGGCGCCACACGTCTGCCTCACGCTGCTCACGCACGACAGCCCGCCTCTCCGCTGCAGGCCGCGCCTCTTCCCGACGCACGTTCGACGGCTGTGCGCGCGATCATCAAGACCGAGGCGCCCACACCGGCTCCGCCCACCGCCCCACAGCTGCCGACTCGCCGCCCCGCCCCACCACCTGCGCCACCACAACCGCCGACGGCGCCACACGTCTGCCTCACACTGCTCACGCACGACAGCCCGCCTCTCCGCTGCAGGCCGCGCCTCTTCCCGACGCACGTTCGACGGCTGTGCGCGCGATCATCAAGACCGAGGCGCCCACACCGGCTCCGCCCACCGCCCCACAGCTGCCGACTCGCCGCCCCGCCCCGCCACCTGCGCCACCACAACCGCCGACGGCGCCACACGTCTGCCTCACACTGCTCACGCACGACAGCCCGCCTCTCCGCTGCAGGCCGCGCCTCTTCCCGACGCACGTTCGACGGCTGTGCGCGCAATCATCAAGACCGAGGCGCCCACACCGGCCTTGCCCACCGCCCCACAGCTGCCGACTCGCCGCCCCGCCCCGCCACCTGCGCCACCACAACCGCCGACGGCGCCACACGTCTGCCTCACACTGCTCACGCACGACAGCCCGCCTCTCCGCTGCAGGCCGCGCCTCTTCCCGACGCACGTTCGACGGCTGTACACCGGCTCCGCCCACCGCCCCACAGCTGCCGACTCGCCGCCCCGCCCCACAGCTGCCGACTCGCCGCCCCGCCCCGCCACCTGCGCCACCACAACCGCCGACGGCGCCACACGTCTGCCTCACACTGCTCACGCACGACAGCCCGCCTCTCCGCTGCAGGCCGCGCCTCTTCCCGAGGCACGTTCGACGGCTGTGCGCGCGATCATCAAGACCGAGGCGCCCACACCGGCTCCGCCCACCGCCCCACAGCTGCCGACTCGCCGCCCCGCCCCGCCACCTGCGCCACCACAACCGCCGACGGCGCCACACGTCTGCCTCACACTGCTCACGCACGACAGCCCGCCTCTCCGCTGCAGGCCGCGCCTCTTCCCGAGGCACGTTCGACGGCTGTGCGCGCGATCATCAAGACCGAGGCGCCCACACCGGCTCCGCCCACCGCCCCACAGCTGCCGACTCGCCGCCCCGCCCCACCACCTGCGCCACCACAACCGCCGACGGCGCCACACGTCTGCCTCACACTGCTCACGCACGACAGCCCGCCTCTCCGCTGCAGGCCGCGCCTCTTCCCGACGCACGTTCGACGGCTGTGCGCGCGATCATCAAGACCGAGGCGCCCACACCGGCTCCGCCCACCGCCCCACAGCTGCCGACTCGCCGCCCCGCCACCTGCGCCACCACAACCGCCGACGGCGCCACACGTCTGCCTCACACTGCTCACGCACGACAGCCCGCCTCTCCGCTGCAGGCCGCGCCTCTTCCCGACGCACGTTCGACGGCTGTGCGCGCGATCATCAAGACCGAGGCGCCCACACCGGCTCCGCCCACCGCCCCACAGCTGCCGCCCCGCCCCACCACCTGCGCCACCACAACCGCCGACGGCGCCACACGTCTGCCTCACACTGCTCACGCACGACAGCCCGCCTCTCCGCTGCAGGCCGCGCCTCTTCCCGACGCACGTTCGACGGCTGTGCGCGCGATCATCAAGACCGAGGCGCCCACACCGGCTCCGCCCACCGCCCCACAGCTGCCGACTCGCCGCCCCACCACCTGCGCCACCACAACCGCCGACGGCGCCACACGTCTGCCTCACGCTGCTCACGCACGACAGCCCGCCTCTCCGCTGCAGGCCGCGCCTCTTCCCGACGCACGTTCGACGGCTGTGCGCGCGATCATCAAGACCGAGGCGCCCACACCGGCTCCGCCCACCGCCCCACAGCTGCCGACTCGCCGCCCCGCCCCGCCACCTGCGCCACCACAACCGCCGACGGCGCCACACGTCTGCCTCACACTGCTCACGCACGACAGCCCGCCTCTCCGCTGCAGGCCGCGCCTCTTCCCGAGGCACGTTCGACGGCTGTGCGCGCGATCATCAAGACCGAGGCGCCCACACCGGCTCCGCCCACCGCCCCACAGCTGCCGACTCGCCGCCCCGCCCCGCCACCTGCGCCACCACAACCGCCGACGGCGCCACACGTCTGCCTCACACTGCTCACGCACGACAGCCCGCCTCTCCGCTGCAGGCCGCGCCTCTTCCCGAGGCACGTTCGACGGCTGTGCGCGCGATCATCAAGACCGAGGCGCCCACACCGGCTCCGCCCACCGCCCCACAGCTGCCGACTCGCCGCCCCGCCACCTGCGCCACCACAACCGCCGACGGCGCCACACGTCTGCCTCACACTGCTCACGCACGACAGCCCGCCTCTCCGCTGCAGGCCGCGCCTCTTCCCGACGCACGTTCGACGGCTGTGCGCGCGATCATCAAGACCGAGGCGCCCACACCGGCTCCGCCCACCGCCCCACAGCTGCCGACTCGCCGCCCCACCACCTGCGCCACCACAACCGCCGACGGCGCCACACGTCTGCCTCACACTGCTCACGCACGACAGCCCGCCTCTCCGCTGCAGGCCGCGCCTCTTCCCGACGCACGTTCGACGGCTGTGCGCGCGATCATCAAGACCGAGGCGCCCACACCGGCTCCGCCCACCGCCCCACAGCTGCCGACTCGCCGCCCCGCCCCGCCACCTGCGCCACCACAACCGCCGACGGCGCCACGCGTCTGCCTCACGCTGCTCACGCACGACAGCCCGCCTCTCCGCTGCAGGCCGCGCCTCTTCCCGACGCACGTTCGACGGCTGTGCGCGCGATCATCAAGACCGAGGCGCCCACACCGGCTCCGCCCACCGCCCCACAGCTGCCGACTCGCCGCCCCACCACCTGCGCCACCACAACCGCCGACGGCGCCACACGTCTGCCTCACGCTGCTCACGCACGACAGCCCGCCTCTCCGCTGCAGGCCGCGCCTCTTCCCGAGGCACGTTCGACGGCTGTGCGCGCGATCATCAAGAACGAGGCGCCCACACCGGCTCGGCCCACCGCCCCACAGCTGGCGCCCCGCCCCACCACCTGCGCCACCACAACCGCCGACGGCGCCACACGTCTGCCTCACGCTGCTCACGCACGACAGCCCGCCTCTCCGCTGCAGGCCGCGCCTCTTCCCGACGCACGTTCGACGGCTGTGCGCGCGATCATCAAGACCGAGGCGCCCACACCGGCTCCGCCCACCGCCCCATAGCTGCCGACTCGCGCGCCCGCCCCACCACCTGCGCCACCACAACCGCCGACGGCGCCACACGTCTGCCTCACGCTGCTCACGCACGACAGCCCGCCTCTCCGCTGCAGGCCGCGCCTCTTCCCGACGCACGTTCGACGGCTGTGCGCGCGATCATCAAGACCGAGGCGCCCACACCGGCTCCGCCCACCGCCCCACAGCTGCCGACTCGCCGCCCCGCCACCTGCGCCACCACAACCGCCGGCGGCGCCACACGTCTGCCTCACACTGCTCACGCACGACAGCCCGCCTCTCCGCTGCAGGCCGCGCCTCTTCCCGACGCACGTTCGACGGCTGTGCGCGCGATCATCAAGACCGAGGCGCCCACACCGGCTCCGCCCACCGCCCCACAGCTGCCGCCCCGCCCCACCACCTGCGCCACCACAACCGCCGACGGCGCCACACGTCTGCCTCACACTGCTCACGCACGACAGCCCGCCTCTCCGCTGCAGGCCGCGCCTCTTCCCGACGCACGTTCGACGGCTGTGCGCGCGATCATCAAGACCGAGGCGCCCACACCGGCTCCGCCCACCGCCCCACAGCTGCCGCCCCGCCCCACCACCTGCGCCACCACAACCGCCGACGGCGCCACACGTCTGCCTCACACTGCTCACGCACGACAGCCCGCCTCTCCGCTGCAGGCCGCGCCTCTTCCCGAGGCACGTTCGACGGCTGTGCGCGCGATCATCAAGACCGAGGCGCCCACACCGGCTCCGCCCACCGCCCCACAGCTGCCGACTCGCCGCCCCGCCCCGCCACCTGCGCCACCACAACCCGCCGACGGGGCCACGCGTCTGCCTCACACTGCTCACGCACGACAGCCCGCCTCTCCGCTGCAGGCCGCGCCTCTTCCCGAGGCACGTTCGACGGCTGTGCGCGCGATCATCAAGACCGAGGCGCCCACACCGGCTCCGCCCACCGCCCCACAGCTGCCGACTCGCCGCCCCGCCCCGCCACCTGCGCCACCACAACCGCCGACGGCGCCACACGTCTGCCTCACACTGCTCACGCACGACAGCCCGCCTCTCCGCTGCAGGCCGCGCCTCTTCCCGAGGCACGTTCGACGGCTGTGCGCGCGATCATCAAGACCGAGGCGCCCACACCAGCTCCGCCCACCGCCCCACAGCTGCCGACTCGCCGCCCCGCCACCTGCGCCACCACAACCGCCGACGGCGCCACACGTCTGCCTCACGCTGCTCACGCACGACAGCCCGCCTCTCCGCTGCAGGCCGCGCCTCTTCCCGACGCACGTTCGACGGCTGTGCGCGCGATCATCAAGACCGAGGCGCCCACACCGGCTCCGCCCACCGCCCCACAGCTGCCGACTCGCCGCCCCACCACCTGCGCCACCACAACCGCCGACGGCGCCACACGTCTGCCTCACACTGCTCACGCACGACAGCCCGCCTCTCCGCTGCAGGCCGCGCCTCTTCCCGACGCACGTTCGACGGCTGTGCGCGCGATCATCAAGACCGAGGCGCCCACACCGGCTCCGCCCACCGCCCCACAGCTGCCGACTCGCCGCCCCGCCCCACCACCTGCGCCACCACAACCGCCGACGGCGCCACACGTCTGCCTCACACTGCTCACGCACGACAGCCCGCCTCTCCGCTGCAGGCCGCGCCTCTTCCCGACGCACGTTCGACGGCTGTGCGCGCGATCATCAAGACCGAGGCGCCCACACCGGCTCCGCCCACCGCCCCACAGCTGCCGACTCGCCGCCCCACCACCTGCGCCACCACAACCGCCGACGGCGCCACACGTCTGCCTCACGCTGCTCACGCACGACAGCCCGCCTCTCCGCTGCAGGCCGCGCCTCTTCCCGACGCACGTTCGACGGCTGTGCGCGCGATCATCAAGACCGAGGCGCCCACACCGGCTCCGCCCACCGCCCCACAGCTGCCGACTCGCCGCCCCGCCACCTGCGCCACCACAACCGCCGACGGCGCCACACGTCTGCCTCACACTGCTCACGCACGACAGCCCGCCTCTCCGCTGCAGGCCGCGCCTCTTCCCGACGCACGTTCGACGGCTGTGCGCGCGATCATCAAGACCGAGGCGCCCACACCGGCTCCGCCCACCGCCCCACAGCTGCCGACTCGCCGCCCCGCCCCACCACCTGCGCCACCACAACCGCCGACGGCGCCACACGTCTGCCTCACACTGCTCACGCACAGCTCTGCGTCACAGCGAACCACTACCTCGTCGACGGATACACGTGCAAAGAATGCGCGCCGCGCGCCGCTGCGGCCGGCAGCATCGTCGCCCTCGTCATCTCTGTCTGCATTGCCTGCGGCCTGGCGGCTTGGGCCTACAGCAAGACGGAATGGCGAAAGGAGCGCTACATCGGCCGCCTACTCCGCTTTGCCGATCGTGCCTTCTACATTTACGTTGCGATCGGCCTCACGGCCAAGACCAAGGTGCTCTTTGGTTTCTACCAGATCTGCACCGTGTTGTCCTCCACCTACTCGGCGCGGCTGCCGCCAGAATATACGGGCTGGACCGACAAACTGGCCAATACGGTCTCAATCGACTGGACGGGCTACTTCTTGCCGCAGCAGTGCCTCGGCTACGATTTGCGGCTGCTCGCCATCGCTCTCGCGCCCGTCGCCCTCATTGCACTGCTCATGGCAACGGGAATCGCGCTGCGGCTCCGCCGCTGGCGTGCCGCGCCGCCACCGCGCCCAATGGAAGCATCGATGCCGGGAGCCGACACCGATGCAGCATTCGGCGTCGTGGAAGCACCGATGTCGACGATGTCGGCGATCGCTGACGCGATAAACACAGACGAGGACGCTCCGCGTGCGACGCCGTGGTGTGCGGAGGCGGCCCTCGGCGTCCTCGATCTCACTCCGGCGGGCTTGGTGCTCATCTTCTGCTTCGTGCCCTCCATCAGCGCCTCCATCTTCCGCTCCTGGTCATGCAAGGCCCCCCTAAAATGCTGATTGCTGCTGCATGAACCCGACCCCCCCTTCAGCGCTCGCCGTGTGTCGCTCATAGGCCTACACCGTCTCTCCGCCGAACGAGCGCCTGGAGCAGGTCTCCTACGTGCGGCTGGACGCGAGCATCGAGTGCGGTACCGACGAGCACGGATCAGTCACCGAGCTCGCCTTCGGCCTGATCGCCCTGTGGCCTGCGGGCTCTCTGATCCTCTTCACTTCGCTCCTCGTCGCTTGCTACAAGCCGCTGCGGGCCAAGAGGCCGAATGCTCTGACGCGGGCCACCGCCTTCCTTCACCGGGAGTACAAAAAGACCTGGTACTGGTGGGAGGCGGTCGAGCTGGCACGCAAGCTCGTGCTCACGGGCTTCGTGCTGCTGATCCCGGAGGAGCGAGCTTTTGTTCGCCTCGTGGTGGCGACCCTCATCTGCTCCTTCTACGCCGTCGTGCTCGCCGTCGTGCGGCCCTTCAAGCGGGTCGAGGATAACGTGCTGGCTGTTGCCACTAGCCTGGTGCTCCTCCTCCTCTTCCTCGCCACGAACTGGACGACCACCTTCATCGGCATCGTGGAGCGCACCAGCGTCGACGATGCCGATGCAGTCCTCGGCTTCGATAACCTGTCCGGCATCATCAACTCGATGCTCGTCCTCGTCGGCGCGACGCTGGTCTTCTTCCTCATCGGCGCCGTCTTCTCCGCCCGCCACGCCAAGAAGGCTCCCACGATCCGCCTCGTCTCGACCAACCAGCCGCCCGAGCTGAGCATCGGGATGGGTCTCACGTGGCACCTCTTCAACAGCCACATCTGGAGTACCGGTCAAGACGCCGTCGCGGTCATCAAGGCTGAGCTCCAGCAGCTGCTGCCGGGCATCAAGATCTTCCTCGACGCGCGCGCATCTTGCCCAGTCGCGCTGCACGGCGAGCAAAGCGCCTTTGACCCACCCGTCGTTGCGCACAGGTGGATGATCTAAAAGACATTGGGGCACTCGAGGAGTACATCCAGCGCTCGCAGGTCATCCTCTTCTTCCTCTCGAGGGGCTACTTCAAGTCCAGGGCGCGTGATGCTTCTCTCCTGTCTCTGTCATAGCCCAAGCTCCCTTGCCTCACCCCGTGCCCGCTTGTGCGCCAACAGAACTGCCTTCGAGAGGTTCGCTCGTCGCTCGAAATGCACAAGCCGCTCGTCCTCGTCCAAGAGGCCGACCCGGCCAAGGGCGGCGGGACGCTACCAGCGCTGCGCGCAGAGTGCCCCGAGGAGCTCCAGCCCGACATCTTTGACAATGACTGGAGGCACACCATCTGGTACCGGATCCAGGAGTTTCAGCTCGTCTCGCTCAAGATCACCGCCGAGGCGCTGCTCCTTTGTTCGCCCAACTTTCTGGGAAGCACCTCCCTTCCGCTCACAGTGACGGGCGAGCTGCGGATCAGGGCATTCGGCTTCTCCACGTTCGCAAAGGTCTGGGCCTCTCCGGCCAACGCCGGCGCGAGGGAGCTGGCCGAGGAGCTCGTCGCCGCCTTTCCCGGCCTCACCGTCTCCACCGCCGAGGAGGCCGGCGACGCGACCCACATGCTGCTCTACCTTAACGAGCACAGCTTCAGCGACGAGCGGCTGGCCGAGCAGGTTACGCAGGCGCGCCAGGACAGGCTGCCGATCGTCATGGCGCACGAGAACGACCCGGACCTCGGCGGCTGCGAGTTCTCCAAGTTTTTCGAGACCACGCCGCAGGTGGAGAGCGAATGCTCATAGTGACACCCGTCCTAAGTGCCCCCTCCCCCCACAATCCTCTACTTCCAACGCCGCAGGAGCTCATCGCGGGCGGGCTCTACAAGGACCTCGCGCGCTCGTGCTTCCCCGGGCGCCACCGCGAGGCGCGCGCTCGCCCCCTCGCCGCCTGGTGGGCGCTCACCGGGCGGCGTCGCACGCCGCGCTGCTCAACCCGTCTCCCGCAACCCTCTCCCGTAGGTGTCGCTCGTGCTCCTCGCAAAGGGTCTCGGCGCGACTCCGGTCAAGTCGAGCGCCGACCTCCGATCGAGCATCGTGCGCCGCACGTCAACGGCTTTCCGCAGCTTTGGCGGCTTCCGCGCCGCAGAGCGTTCAACCTCGGGAGAAGCCGAGGCAGTGGCGTCGGCGTCGGCGGCGTCGGCATCGACGTCGGCATCGGCGGAGCACGTGTAGAGCGGCGTTGAGAGCGTGGCATCTGCTACGTCATGGAGCGCCAGTGGGGCTGCGGGAGCCGCGTCTCCCACGAATCGACGGCGCAGCCGCAAACTAGTCGGGAACAGTAATGGACGTTGAGTCGTCACTTGACCGTATCCATGACGTGGACGACACGGTCCTGTGCTCATTACCAGGATGCCAGAGGGGCACGGCCCGGCGAACGCGCTCATTGCGTGAGGGCCTAGTCGGAATGCGAATTTGGGGGGGAGGGCGAGCGACCCGGGGAGTACTGGCACCTCTCACGTCTGTCTGAGTCTGAGAGTCAGGGGGGTTCCTCGCGACTGGTCCAGTCCTAGGTGGCATGGATGACGCTGGTGTGACTGCTGAGTGTTGTTCTTCCGTGTTGTTGCGGAGGGGGGGGGGCGGGGAGGAACAAGAAAGAAAACAGACATCCTGCCGCCGTCCTTTGCCGTCCGTGGTCCGTCCGCCATGGTGCCGTCCGCGCGCGGGCAGGGCGGTTCGGGTTAGTGCCCAGCACTACGCTCTCGCCCTCTGTTCGTCACGGCTACGCCCTCGGCTCGATGAGTACTTTGCACCGACCGCTCTTGAGGTGCGGCGTGTCGGACGATCCCAACATAATCGCGCTCATATCGCGCTCCCTGGCCCAAACGGCGCGTAGCCGGTTGCTCTCGTGGGCAGGGCGGTTCGGGTTAGTGCCCAGCACTACGCTCTCGCCCTCTGTTCGTCGCGGCTACGCCCTCAGCTTGATGGGTACTTAAAGCACGCATCGCGACAGTGCAGTGCGGCAGCCGGCAAGGCCCGAACGGTTTACCGTCGCGTTGGAGTTTTGAGCGCGTGTGCGCGCGTGTATGTGTAGAGTCTTCATTACTACTCGACGTACTGCGCAATACACACTCTGAGACGCCGTCGGGTCATCGCGCTCTCAAACGCAAACGGCGTGTAGCCGGTTGCTCTCGCGGGTAGGGCGGTTCGGGTTAGTGCCCACCACTACGCTCTCGCCCTCTGTTCGTCGCGGCTACGCCCTCGGCTCGATAAGTACTTTATCGTCGAGCCGACCGCTCTGTCCTCTGAGGTGAGACGAGTGAGACGCTCTAAGATGAAATGACGAGACGCATCGTCACACAGTAGAGACGCATCGTCACACAGCAGGGGTGAACTCATTTGAGATTTGTCTCACGGAGGTGTCTCAAACACGTCTCTGAAGGTGGACTGTGCCACCCTTGAGACAAAGTGAGACTGTTGCTGTGACCACAGGCTGAGACAACACAGAGATCGGTGCGAGTTTGTGAGACATTACTGAGACGCATTTGTGACACGGCTGCCCCGGGGGGCGTTGAGACAGGGACGAAACGCCCGTGAGACAGGGACGTCTCACCTGTTCGCCCCTGCGTGACCCCCGCACACACCGGGGCAGCGGCATTTCCAGCAGGTATATACGGGCGGAGAGAATCACGCCGGTCCCACGCCGCACTGCATAGTTCTCGCGCCTCCCCCCCCCACCACGCTGGGCCACTGCCCACACTCGAGCACAAAATGTGATCAACACCGCGCTCATCAGATGCCGACGCGCCATATCTCCGGCGGGCCGGAATCGCGCGGACTCGTGGCTGCGCGCTTGTGCTCGTGCCGGAGGTGTGTCGCCGCGAGCGACAAATCTGCGGACGGGCAGAATGGATGCTGCGCAAAGCCGGCGGAGCGAGGCCGCCCCTCCGCCTCAGCGGGCTGCCTGCGCTGCGCGGGCTGCGCCGACGCCGGCCGCGAGGCCATGCGCTCGCCCACGCTCGCGAGCGCAGTCAGCTTGCGCGCCGCGCGGGCAAACTCGTCGAACCGCACGCTGCCCGAACCGTTTGCGTCCATCTGTCGGAAGATGGCCAGCTCGTCCGCCGCGCTGCCGCGCAGACCTAGTTGTGTATGAACACAGGCTGAGGGAGGGAAACGGCGCAATAACGTTCCCACCATCGCGCGAAGGGCAACAAATACGGTGCATCGGCCGTAGTACAGCTAAACACAGCCGAAACAGCCAAAAGTGCTCTCGCGTGCTAGTTGCAATATGCAGGGATGTAGACTCGCATCTAGCTGCGCAAGCCCACGGCGGAGAGTGCGGCAGAGAGCTCGCGCCTCGAGAGCTTGCCGTCGCCGTCCGCGTCCGCCACACCGAAGGAGCGGCGCAGCCTCTCTTCAAACTCGCCTGATTTGAATATTAAACAGCTTGAGTCGCGAAGTAAACTAATCTGGAGCCGCCTCTGCTCGAGGTCGCCGCGCGCTGCCGAGCCGTTCTCTGCGCGAGGAGTCGCCGGCGGCGACGGCGCCGCGTCTGGCCGCGGAGGCACCGTGCTCGGCTTCGCTGTCGCGGCGACGCCATTTGTGGCTCCGCGCCGCGCGGGTGCTGCCTCGCGCCGCGGCGGCGAATGCGGCGGTAAGCGATCCCACCACCACACGGTGACGAGGAGCACTCCTCGCTCCGCCTTGCCGTCGGCGAGCGGCAGTTGAAGCTCTGCCTGGCCTAGGAGTACAGGAGCCGAAAGTGAGAGCACGGTAGCCTCCATAATCAAGACGGCGAAGACAGCGGATAACGACGAAAACAGCGGGACATTGGAATGTGTACTCCACATCTAGGCCACCGCGCCGCTCGTCCGCAACGCCGCCTCCAGCGCCGCTCGCAGCGATTGCGCCTTCAGCTCGGCGCGGAGCAGCTCGACTGGCGCCTAACCTCGGGTGATCTCGGGTGATCTCGGATGTGCCTCGGGCCAGTCGCCGCGCGGAGAGCTCGAGGTGCCGGATCGAGGACGGAGCGTGCCTTCCGCTCAGGCTGGGCGACGAGCCGGAGGATGAGGCTGCGGTCGAGGGGGATCCGAACCGCCCAATTTACGCCGGTACGCGCCGTGGCGAGGGAGAGGGAGTCGGAGCGGGGCGCATCGCCGCGAGGCTCGCCTACGCGGAGGATCGTCGGTTTTGTCGAGACTCGTCGACATTCTCCGACATTCGCCTCGCCCACGGGCTCGCCAAGCGACAGGAAGGCGGTGGCGTGCGGCAGCGGCGCGGGCAGCTGCAGCTCCCGCACCGTCAGCAACGCGTGAGCGGCGTCCGCCGGCTCGGGTTGCTCCCGGCCTCGCCCCTCAAGGGCAGCGAGGGCCGAAGCGAGGCGCAGGAAGGCCGGCCAGTCCACGCGGCGAGTCGCTTGCAGCGGAGCGCCGAGCAGCTGCTGCAGCGCCTGCGGGGTCGCCTCGAGGCCGGCGGCCGCCAGCGCCCGCGGCAGCGCCGGCTCGGCGATCGCCCCGAAAGCGCTGTCGTCGAACTCCGCAAAGGCACGCGCGAGGCTGGCGCGGATTTCGACGGAGAGCGGGGCGCGGGGCGGTTCATGTGCATGTATGACCCGGTCAGAGGTAGCGGTGGCGCTGGTGGTGGCGCCGGCGGAGTGGCGGGCGCGCATGCGGTGCGCCGCCTCGACCACCTCGCAGAAGCTCATCTCCAGGTGGCCTGTTCACAGCATTTGGTGTGAAGAGACACGGCTCACAGCTTGCGGAAGGCTCATCTCCCGGGTGGCCAAGCTCGTCGCCCGGCGTCGGCAGCGAGCCCGCGCCAGGCACCTGAGCTCGCCGCAGGATGCGCTCGAGGGCGCGCAGCGGGACGACATCGGATCCGGGGCGGCACTCGGCCGCGAAAGCGGTGGCGAGCATCGCCCGCTGCAGTGCGGCGCGGCTCGCCAACGCTGCCGACGCCTCGCCGCCGCGCTGCGCTGCCGGGGCGGTCTCTGTAGCAGGCGTCGGCGGTGGGCTTGGCCGGCTGGCGGCGCGGCCGGCGCGGCCAGCCGGGCGTGCCGCGACGCCCGCCACCTTTGCCCTCGGCGTCGAGGGGCGGCGCGCGGATGCGCCCGCCAGAGCAGAGCCAGCCGGAACGCTCCCGTGGACTCGGCCGCCGCGTGGCCCGGTCGGTGCCCTGTGCTCGCCGGCGGCTCTGCCACGCGATTGCAGCTTGCCTTGGTCAGCGTGTCCGGCGCTGCTGGAGGCGAGGAGAGAAGAGGCGGTCGCGAGGAGGCTGAGGGATTCGGCGCCGCCGTCCGACGCCTCACGGTAGGCGGCTTCGCGCTCGGCGACCGCCGAACGCCACCGCACCTGGGGTGAGGCCGAGGGTGAGGGTGAGGGTGAGGGTGAGGGTGAGGGTGAGGGTGAGGGTGAGGGTGAGGGTGAGGGTGAGGGTGAGGGTGAGGGTGAGGGCGAAAGTGAGAGGGCGAGGGTGCGGAGCCACGCAAAGTAGCCGATGTCCTGTTAGGCCCTAGCTCCACTGCATCGCGGCTAGGTCGCGCCTCCCTCCGTGCAGCCGCACCGCGCGCAGAGCGCTGGATCCGTGTCGCGGCCGCCCCCCTCTGGACGTCACCTAGCCCACCGGGACCCACCACCCTTCCCCGCGCCGCCTCACCCGGCGCCGCCCTGCCTTGCTCCGCCCGGCCTCGCTCCGCCCTAGCTCCCTCCGCCCTACCTGGCGCCACCCTGCCTTGCTCCGCCCTGCTTGACGCCGCCCTGCCTGGCGCCACCCTGCCTTGCTCCGCCCTGCTTGACGCCGGGCCGCCGGCGCCTCTCGCCGCGTCAAAGGCCGGCTCGAGGCGTGTCCGCCGCTCGGGCGTGCGTCGCGCCGCCGACGACGCCGGCGTGGCGCGACGGCGCGGCGCAAAGGCGGAGGGCAAACCAGGCGCGAGCGCCGGCGCGGCTCCGGGGCCAGATACCGGGCGGCGAGGAGGCGAGCGCTGCTCTTCGCAGTGCGTGCGCGCCTCCCGCTTCTGCGCCGCCTCCCTGCGCCCCGTCCGCCCTCGGTAACTCGCCTGGATGGCCGCCGCGGCCGCGTCGCTCTGCCCGCCGGGCCGACGCCTGGCCGGCGCCGGCCTTTGGCGAACGCTGCCGGACGCAGTCCTCGTCGTCCTCGTTTCTGCCGCCGTCGGCTCTGCCGTCCGCGGCTTGAGCGCAGACTCGTCAAAGGCGAAGGCGCTCAGCGGCGCTACAGGCCGCTCCATCGCTTGGCAGATAATCGCCCCAAACGACTCGGCGTTGGCCGACCCGCGCTCGATTGCCTCGGTCCGCTGCTGCGCCTGCAGCCACTCCTTCCTCTCCTCCGGAGCGACGTGCTGCTTGGCTCGGACCTTTGCGAGCACAGACTCGCGCGCGTCCGCTCGCGCGTGGCGCTCGTGCGAGCGCGCCGCTGCCGCGTGGACTGCCGCCGCGCGCAGCTCCGCCGGCGTGGTTGCCGGGCGGGGCGCCGGCCTCACCCATGAGCTCCGCTGCAGCTCGGCCGAGTAGTAGTACGTGGCGCCAGTGTGCGGGTCTACTGCTGTCGCCCAGTCCGCAGGCAGCGGCGGGTCTTCGAGCATTGGCCCCGGAGACGTCAAACGCTCCACCGCCACCGCGCCCGGCCCAACTGCCTGCCCGCCTCGGGCTTGAGCGTCAAAAGAATTACCACCGAGGCTGGCGCGCACTGGCACTTAACACAGGTACACTACGGGCGCCGCCAAGCGGCTCCCGTCAAAAGAATTTCAGGCAGCATGCTCCTACATCCTGCTCGTGCAGGTGGGGACCCTGTGCCCTCGTTTGGTTTGTGTGGTTTCTTCTTTCTTTTCCCCGGCCCTGGGGCGGGGGGGGGGGGGGGGGGGAGACGCGCGCACGCAGAACGCAAACCTCGGGATGTGTTCTTGTGTAAGCCAGGGATGGAAGAAACGACAAACGTCAAATGATTTGCGAATCGAATTCTTGCGGACCCCTGGGAATTCTACTAAAGTGTTGCGGCAAGGGCTCGGCCCTGAGGGCCGGGTAGGAGGGGTCGCCGTGGGGCTGCCACGGGATAACAGGGCGCGCGGGGGGGTATACAGGGGCACGCGTCTGTGTGTGGGACTGGGCGCGCCCGCCGGGTCTCACTCACTGGCAGCTTCTCCCCGGGGCCCTCTCTTGCTGGAGCGCTCGGAGTGCAGCAGTCATTAGCCTCGGACCCAGGGCCGGGGAGCTGAAGCGCACCCAGTCGTCGACGGCTGCGGGGACGCGCTGGGGTGGGCGGGCTGAAGCTAAATCTTGCGCTCGAGTCTCTCGGCGGTCGACGCCCGCCGCTCAGGCCCTCGACCACATCCAAATGTGGCAGTGCCACCGCTGTCAACGCACCAACCCGGAGGGCAACCGTAACTGCCTCGCGTGCTACGCCAGACGCCGCGCAGCCGCGGCACCACCACCTGCGGCAGCGGCGCCCGCGGCGCCCGCAGCAGCCGTCGCAGCGGCGCCTGCAGCAGTGGCACCCACGGCGCCCGCGCCCGCCGCCGCACCGGCGCCTGCGCCTGCGCCCGCCGCGCCACGGCCGATCATTGGCCTCGCGCGAAGCGATCCGTGCATCGCGAGCCTGATGCGTGCTGCGCCGCCGCCACGCACCTCGAACCCACCCTCCGCTGCACCTGCCGCCTGCATTTCCGCCGCCGCCGCCGTCGCCGCCGCCCCGTCGCCAGCCACGCCTGCCGCTGCTGCAGCGTCCGCCGCCGCCGCCGCGTCGCACCAGGCCTGGCCCTCGCCGGGCAGTCTCGTGTCGGGCCCGCTGCTCGGCCGCCCAGCGGGAGCGCGACCTGCCGCCCCGGCTCGGGCGCCCCCCGTGCGCTCCCGCCCCCCGGCGGCGGGAGAGGCGGCGTCCTGCTCGGAGGTGGCGCCCCTGGCCGCGGGGGCGCCACCCGTCGGCGGCGGGGGCGGGGGAGGCGCCACCCGGGCGGCGCAGCCCCGTGCCTGCTCCAGCGAAGGCGGTGGTCATGACGCCTCTCGTCATGACGCCTCTCGGGGCGGCGGCGCTGGCGGAGCGCAGGGCGACGGACGTGCGGGCCCGAGCGCCCCGCGCCCCGCGGCCAGAGGGGCGCCGCAGAGGGGCGGCGGGCCGCCGCGCGCGGGCGAGCTGCCTCCCCCGCCGGCGATTCGACCCGCCCCCTCCGCCCCCGCCCTGCCTGGCTGCTCGGCGAACGAGCAACAGCGCCTCGCTGCGACGCACGACCCGTCCGCCTCGCTCATCATCTTTGCGCCCGCCGGGGCGGGCAAGACGCTCACGCTCGTGCAGCGCGTGCTGCACCTGCTCGTCTCTGGCGTGCCTGCCGACAGCATCCTGTGCCTCACCTTCACGCGCAAGGCAGCGGCACCTCCGAGACACCTCCGAGACACCTCCGAGACACCCATGGACACACACTCGACACACACTCGACACACACTCGACACACACTCGACACACACTCGACACACACTCGACACACACTCGACACACACTCGACCTCCCGGCCTCGTCCGTTGTCTGCTTGCGCAGGCGGCGAGCGAGCTGACGGCAAGGCTCGCCTCGGCGATGAGCGCCAAGGTCGAAGTCCGCACCTTCCACGCCTGGTGCCTCCCCATCGGTCGAAGTCCGCCCCTCCCTTCCGTGCGCCTTCTCGGAGCCTTCTCGGAGCCTTCTCCCGCAGGTGCCTCCGCCTCGTCCGCTCCTTCGACCCGCAGCTCGGCGGCGCCGGCCTCGCCTCGCAGGCCCAGCTGACAGCCTTCATCTCCGAGGCGCTGCACGCCTGGGAGAGTCGCGAGGCCGGCGGCGGGGAGGGCGGCGGCGGCGGCGGCGGCGGCGGCGGCGGCGGAGGAGGAGGAGGCCGCGGAGGAGGCGGCGGCAGCGGCGGAGGAGGCGGCGGAGGAGGCGGCGGAGGAGGCGGCGGCAGCGGCGGAGGAGGCGGCGGAGGAGGCGGCGGAGGCAGGTCCGCTCGCGGCGGCGGCAAGGCGTCCGGCAGCGCCGAGCGGCACGCGATCCTCTGCCGCCGCACGGCCCGCGCCATCGCGGAGGTGCGGCTGCGAGGGACGTCGCCGATGCTACAGGGCGCGGCGGGCACGTTCGTGCTGCAGCACTACACGGCCTCCCTGCGCCGCTCCGGGCTTCTCGACATGGGAGAGCTGCAGCAGCTCGCCGCCACCCTGCTGCGGCAGCCGCACGTGCGCAGCGGTCCTGGCGCCACCCCCTCTCTCTGGACCAGCGCTTCGAGTAAGCATGGACTGGCCCATCAGGTGCGCGCCGCCGTGCAGCGGCGCTACCGCTCGCTTCTCGTCGACGAGTACCAGGACACAAACTCGCAGCAGCTCGCCCTCCTCCGGCTGGTGCAGGAGCAGTCCGCGATCGGAATCACGGTGGTGGGCGACGACGACCAGTCCATCTACTCCTTCCGCGGCGCCGAGCCGGGCATCTTCGCCTCCTTCCGCCGCCACATGCCTCGCTGCCAGACGGTGACTCTCTCGCAAAACTACCGCTGCACCGGCAAGCTCCTCCGTGCGGCGAACGCCGTCATCTCGAGGAACGCGTGCCGCGTGCCGAAGCACGCGTGGACGAGCAACGCCGAGGGAGGCGACGTGGTGCGGTGCGAGTGCTACAACGCGCAGTGCGAGGCGGACTGGCTCGTCGGCAAGCTCGGCGAGCTGCGCGCGCGGCGCGTCCCCTTCAACGACGTCGCCATCCTCTACCGCACCCACGCCATCGGCAAGCAGCTGGCGGCGGCGCTCCGCGAGCGAGGGGCCCCGATCCGGACCGCTGCCTCGGACCTGTTTGCGCGTGCCGACCTCGCGCCCGTGCTCGCGCTGCTGCGGCTGCTCTCCCACCCGGAGGACTCCTCCTCCTTCCGCGCCGTCGCGGCGGCGGCGCAGCCGGCGCTGCCGCCCGCGCTGCTGCAGATGCTCGGCGAGGACGCGGCGCGGCGCGGAGTCTCGCAGCTTGCGTCGGCGCGCGCGCTCCACGCCGCCACGAGCCCGCTGCCGCCCTCCCGCGCGGAGGCCGAGGCGGCTCGCCCACTCGTCGAGGCGACCGCCGCCGCGATGGAGGAGGACGGCGGCCGCGCCGCGCTGCACTCGCTGCTGCGCCGCATCGACGAGCTCCTCCTCGCCGCCCGCTCTGCCCCTCCGAGCCAGCTCCTCGCCGCGCTGCTGCAGTCGGGACTTGCTGGCGGCGTCCGGCCGCAGAGCCACGGCATCCGCATGCTCTCGCAAGAGCTGACCGCGGCCGCCGACGCGTACCAGTCCGACGAGGCGGCCCTCGGCGCGGGCGCGGCCGGACTGAGCGATCGGATGGCGGCGCTGCGAGACTTCACCGAGCACGCCGCCCTTTGCGAGTACGAGGAGGCGCCCGACGACGGCACTGCCGCCGCGCGGTCGGCCGACGCGCTGACCCTCTCGACGCTACACGGCGCAAAGGGGCTCGAGTGGGAGCACGTCTTCATCGTCCGCTGCAACGACGAGACGATTCCGCTCAACGCGTCCTCGGGCGGCGACGAGCTCTCAAACGAGCTGCTGCACGAGGAGCAAAGCCTCTTCCGCGCGGGCTGCAGGGGTCATTTCTCTGAGCCTTCCCTCGCCCTTCCCGTAGGAGCGCCGCCTCTTTTACGTGGGGATGACGCGCGCTCGCACCAGCCTCTACCTCTCGCACCTCATGTCTGGCTCCGACAAGCGGCCTGCCGACCCGTCGCCCTTCCTGCAGGCGCCGCCGCCCCAAAGCTACTTAGACCAACGAGCGGGCGCCTCAGCCTAACCTGCGGGCGCCTCCGGACCGGATCGACAGAGCGCGTGCCCTGACGGCACGCCCCTCTCCGCACCGCTGCAGGACGTGCCCACCGACGTCGTGAGCCTCGAGCAGCACGGCGACATCCAGCACTCCGACCTCGTGCTCAGCGTGCCCAAGCCGCGCTCGTCGCTCGGCGGCGCTCCGCTCAAGCAGCGCGCGGGCGGCGCCGCCGCGGCAGCATTGCCGCAGGGGCTCGCCGAGTCGCTGAGCTACTGGCAGCAGCCGCGCGCGGCGCCCTCGAGCGGCCCGGCGGCACGCAAGGCGGCACGCACGCCCACGTCTCGCTCTCGCCCCGCGCCGCCTCGCTCCGCTCCCCTGGTCGAACGCCGGTCGGGCTCCAACCTGCCAAAGGGCCAGCAGCAAAAGCGGGCCAAGCGCACGCACGGCGACTCTCGAGAGGCGCACGGCGAGGCCGCGGTGCGCAAGCGCCGGGTCATCGTCGTCGACGACGACGACTTTGAGTGATGCGGAGGGACTGGGGTCGGATCGGATGATGTACGTTTTTGCGCAGTACGTATCTCTCGCTAGAGCTTTTAGAGCCGCGGCTGTCGTGTCATATGTCTGTGAGTGTGTACGGTGTATTGCTTCGTTAAAAACAATGTTACGTGTCTCTTCAGAGACACGTAACAAGGGCATGGATAGAGCCACAGCTTCGAGGGTACACACTGTGTTTAACACACACATCAATTTTCTATACACGGCGTCGAGGTGCCAGCGGGCGCACAGCCACGCCCACGGCAGCCACGCCCACGGGCCCCGACGCTGTCTCACGACAACTTCCTCACAGGGAAACGAGCTGCCGTGGCCAGCCCAGCCACAAGGAGCCCCATGCTCACCGTCTGATAGCCCGCCGCGAAACCTAGCTGGCTGCCGACAGCACCACCGACGCCTGCACCTGCCACAAGTCCGATAAACGAGGAGGTGTTCTGGAGCGACATCGCCTGCATGACGAGCGACGGCTTCTCCTTGAGCACCTTCTCCTGGATCTGAGCCGCCAGGGTGGGCGTCAGCACGCCTAGCCCGAGCTGCGCGCTGCAGAGCGCGCCCAGGATGAGGGTGGCGTCGCCGAGAGCGGGCTGGGCAGCCATTCCGACCGCCACCGTCGTTGCGCCAGCACCGATTGCGAGGCGGGGCCCGACACGATGAGCGAGGGCGCCCATCTGGCCTCCGGTGACGGCGCCGACCACAGCGTTGGCGGCCAACATCGAGCCGATCGCGCCCGTGCCGAGCCCAAGCTCGTCGCAGAGCAGCAACGGAAGCAGGGTCATGTTGGTACCCGCGAGCGAGCCATTGGCAACGGCGGACATCACGCACAGCGCTCCGAGGTCCGGGACGGTCGTCAGCACCTCGCGCCAGCTCACAAAGGCGGTGCGAAACAGCTGCAGCGGAGGGTCGATCGGCTTCTGGTCTCCCGGCGCCACATCGCGGTAAATGCGCCCGAACACCAGCGCGGAGCCGGCAAGGCCCAGCCCGACCCCTGCAAATGCCGCTTGCATGCTCACGAGGCTTCCCAGAAGCCCGCCCACCGCGGGCCCAAGGGCCATCCCCGTGTTGCGCGCCTGCATCAGCAGCGCCATGTTCTTTGTGCGGTTGAGCGGGGTCCCAATCTTGACCACGCCGGCCATGTTGGCCGCAACGATGCCCGACAGCGCGACGCCACCGGCCAACCGGCACGCAACGAGCTGCTCCAAGGAGTGCACAAGCGCGACCGCGCCCATGGAGGCGCCCATGAGCACGAGGCTGCCGACGAGGATCTGCTTGCTGCCTCTCCTCGCCACTACCTCGGTCATCGGAATGGTGCAAAGGACATTCGAAAAGAAGAGCGCGCCGTTGGCGGCGCCAAAGCCGGCAGCGGTGATCCCGAGGTGGGCCACGAGCTGCGGCTCAAACGGGACGAGGATGCCGAACGGCAGCGCGGTCAGCGCGATACCGCCGCACAGCTGGTACGCTGCCGGGTGCAGCTCCTTTCCGAGCGCCGTCGCGTGCCTGTTGAATTCGTCTCTCTCTATCGTCTTGGACTTGTCATCGTCCCACAGCTCCATGAATCGCTCCGTCATGGCACCGAGATCCGCGTCGGATAGGCCCTTTCGCGCCGCATACCCCTGAAACGCCGTGCGCACCTCGTCAATCGAGAGGCGATCGTCCATGTTCTTATCCAGCCGGTCGAAGGCGTCATTCATGTCCGCTTCAGAGAAGGAGCCCAGCTTGAGCGAGGCGAGCAGCGAGTGTGCGTTGTAAGGGTCGGTGATGAAGAGGCCGGTGGAGCTCGGCCGAAGGGCCGTGCTCAGGTGCCGGCTACATAGTATTGAGGGTCTCGCTAGTCTGTGCACGGAGGAGCAGATGGCTCTCGCACGCAGCGTTCGGCCGCGAAGACGCATTTGGATCGGACGCACGAATAAAGAACCTAGTTTCGCGAGTCGAGCGGATCCGAAAAACCCTGTCAGCAGAGTCTCCTACGGGAATGTACGTAAGAGCTACATACACTGAAAAAGCGTGCCGGCCGTCTTAGTCGGGTATTATAGTCCCACTTCCTCTACAACCGTGGAGCATGGTGTTAGTGCACCGGGCTCCGGGGCACAACAGTCTGCACACAAACTCACCTATGGAACACACGCCATCACAGATTCTAGTACATTGGGAAGTGTGGAATGCAAATTGCCAAACTCCCGCCCCCCCCACTCTGACGGCGAGGGAAGCAACATCGCAGGACAAATCGACGAGTTGTCGAACAGACAAACATCAGCCAAACTATGAAGGCAAGGCGGTGGCGACGAGACCAACATATTTTTTGTGAGTCGCTGCACCATCGTTTTTAACGCGGCTCGCTGCAAGTGTACACGTTCCAAATTATGCTTGCACAGCTACGCTCCTTATTGTAGTCATCGTGCTGTATCGAGGTCTTTGATATCCAATTATGTTCGATATCCACTCACTCTTCCTGCCAAGCTTGCCTCGGTGACCGCGTGAATATGAGTGCACGTCGTGCTTTATCGCCAGCAGGGGCAGCCAGAACTCCATTGCGATGAGAAAGCCTGCGGCGTAAGTAGCTCCTTCCAGGACGAGTGATTCCCACAGCGTGTATGTTGACGACTCACCATCTCCCTCCGAGCGGTGGAAAGAGCCGAGGACGGCCTTTACTGCGCCAGCGCCAGGGGCGAGAATCAGAATGACGGGGATCAGGGACGACCAGAGAGGAGCATCGGTAGTCAGCTCAAAAAAGCACGCAGCGCTCGACGCCCAGATGGCCACGAGCAGCGTTTGGACATAGCCTGGCAGAGAACACGTGGATGGAGAACACCAGCTTCCGAGCAGGCCTTGAACGGCATATGTGCTCCATCCGACCAGAAACGGGCCTGGCCAATCTCGCAAGCGTATCTGATAAAAGATAAGTGCAAAACACTGGAGCGGAATGGTCATACCAGCCGAGGCGAGCAACCAGTTATCGGTGGCATCAGTGCTCGCACACGTGATGGATGGCGGAAGGGAGGAAATTGGGCCTTCTTTTCCGTACAGGTTGGTGCGCTCGCCTTCGAATGTCGCCTCCGTCTCCCAATTCCTGCCCAGAAATTGCCAGCCAAATGTTAGAAATATTGAGATCAGTATGGCGTTCACCAGCCCCTTCGTCAACCGAGTGGCGCCATTGGTGACGGCACCAAGGCGCAATTCGTGCACTCCATAAATGAGTTGAGCCCCGGGCAGCCAGATGATGAGCGTGCCAAACATAATGTATGATGCTTTGCACTGCTCCATCACGACCCACGAATTAGCGATTCGCCAGAGGAGGGGAGTGAAAACGCCAACCGTAAACGATACAACGGGGACCTCGAGATGCGGCCGGTCGAGCACCCAGATCAGCAAGAGCGCGGCCATCACGAAAAGCGCCAAGACCGCCCCTCCCAGCATGCTCTCGTAGTCGCCACCGTACACACTAAAGGGGGCGACCGTGCAGACCATCTCTAGTGCAAACATCTTCACGAGCCTCCCAAACGGCTCCTTTCGCTCCTCGACCTGATCCAGGACGTACAGACAATTCCGGATCGGCGGCCTCTGGACGGCAATGACCTTTGCCACTGAGCTGATGTCGCCCATTGCACTGAGACTGAAGTCCATACCACAGCCTACGTAGTGGATAGGGCCGCTGGGGTCCAGCTGCGCCGTGACAAATCGGTGCCCGACTTCCACGACTGCACGGTCAAGTGAGAGCGCCTCGAGAACTGCTGCAACGTAGGCCTCAACATCGACCGTACTGTTGCCGTTAGCCGCAAGCAGACACGACAAACGCAGCACCAAAATCGCGGTCTCGGCAAGCGATCCGCTTCCGTCTGGCAAGTTTTCGCCAGGTTGGTAGCATCTCCGGATGCACGCCTCGGTGATGTTTGTGTTTGGCCCGATTATTCGGAGGCCGCCACGCTCGGGAAGCTCTTCCTGCTCGCTAACCGACTTGAACAAGTCTGCTGCGGACATTGGGCGCCCAAGCTCGATCCGAACACCGCGGCGTAAGATCGTCGCTATAGAATCGCGGGGAGCGCACCGCACAGGGAGACGCCAGCAGCCGCGTCTGTGATTGAAGAAGACGGCGACGCCCACGTACAGTACCAGCGGGATGATGAGGATGCAGTTGAGTGACACAATCTGAAACCACGTCCAAGGGTACGCCCACGACATGCTGCCCTCCGCTCGTTCGACGCCCAACTCGTTCGACGCCCACCTGTACCCCGGAGAACAGGAAATTCAAGAAAAATTTGTGGCAGGAAAGTACTTTCCCAGAAGCCGAGTACTCGAAGGCTGCTCCACAGTTTGCCTGCCACCTGGTCTTCCGTGTTGAAGGTGTTCGCATCGGAGTTAGTCGTGGGCATAATATGTGGGAGCCGACTGACCTCTCAGTGTCGAGGATGGGGCCTGTGATGATGAGCTCCCGCACCTGTTTCCCTCTTTTTCAAAAGAATTTTACAACCAAAAGAAATTCCTGACACACAGGCCGACCCACACACTCACTCACGCTCGCCACTCCGAACCGCGTGGCGATGTCGCACGCGTGCGCCGCTCGCCACTCCTGCTCCTCCGTCGTTGCTGTCATTTCGCACCGCGGCCGCGCTGCGTTATTACGCCGCTTCTCGTCGGCCGCCCGCGCGCCACCCGTCATCGACCTCTCGCCTCTGCGCGACGGCGGGCTCTCCTCCTCGTCGCCGCTCGTTCGCGAGGTGGCCGACGCGTGCGAGCAGTGGGGCTTCTTTCAAGTGGTCAACCACGGCGTCGACGAGGACCTGTGCGCGCGGGCGGAGGAGCAGCAGCGCGCCTTCTTTGCGCTGCCGATGGAGGTCAAGGAGTGCATGCGACGCTCGGCCGACAACAGCCGCGGCTGGTACAACGACGAGCTGACAAAGCAAAGGCGCGACTGGAAGGAGGGCCTCGACTTTGGCAGCACGCCTCCGATGGACTGGTCGCTCGCCGACGCTGACGCTCGCAACGGCACCCTCGACAGCAGCAGCTTCCCTGGTCGGAACGCTCCCGCCGACGCTTCTCGGAACCTTCCCGTAGGCACCCTCGACGGGTACAACCGCTTCCCGCCCGCCGACCTGCTGCCGTCCTTTCGACCGACGATGCTCGAGTACTACGACGCCCTCGCCGGCGTCGCGACGGGGCTGGCGCGCCCTCGGGGAGATCTAGGCATATACATCACAGGAAGGCATGCGCCAAAGCGAGAGGCCGTGAATAGGCGCGACTCTTCTCGCTTGGGCTCGGCGTGCCAGCCGAGACGCATCGAGCTGCTCCTCGGACCGTGTCCGAAGCTTCTCGGACCCTTCCCGCAGGCATGCCCGCCGACTTCTTCGAGCCGTACCTGCGCCGCACGCAGCACACCTCGTACTTGCGCCTCAACTACTACGCGCCGTACACGGGCGAGGACCCGACCCAGCTCTGCATCTCGCCGCACAAGGCGGGGTGGATGCCACCACCGACGCTCCTGCGAGTGTGACTCCACTGCTCTGCGTCTCGCGCGCACTGTAGGACGCGGGCTTCTTGACGGTGTTGCGCCAGGACGTCGGCTGCCACTCGCTTCAGGTGAATGCACCACGGGGAGCAGCACTCCTGGGGGGGGAGGTCGAGGACGACAATCACGCCCCCTCCGAGCCGTGCTAGCACGCGCGTCACACCGACTGACCACTCGCTGCAGGTTCGCGACCGGCAGGCGCCCGACGGGTGGGTGACGGCGCCGCGCATCTAGATGCAGACGGCACTGCAGAAGAGGCACTGCCCCGACCCACCCCGGGCCACAGCTTGTATTCACCGGGCCGCCCCTCCTCCCTCCCCGCTTCACCGGGCCGCCCCTCCGCCCTCCCCGCTGCAGGTGCGGCCGGAGCCGGCCCGTTTCGACCTTCGGCGTCGGGCGGCACCAGCCCCCGCCAGCTGTCCCACGTTGAGAGGCCTTCCCCCTAGGCCGCCTTCACCATCAACACGGGCGACATGGCGCAGATCTACAGCAACAACCGCTACCACGCGCCAGAGCACCTCCGAGATGTCTCCCCCCCGCCGAGATCACCCGAGAGTCGCCGAGAGTCGCCGAGAGTAGGCGCCCGAGCACCGCGTGCTCACTTCGCCGAGCACGCCGCGCTACTCGGCCCCCTTCTTCTACAACCCGGCATACACCGCCGCCGTGCAGCCGCTGCCTTCGCTCGGCGCGCCGCACTTCGACCGGTGCGTCTGGGGCTACTTCCGGGCGACGCGCTGCGCGGGCGACTCTGCCCACTCTGGTGAGTTGTCATTTGGGTCGACGATGCTGACTTAGGCGATGCGTTTCGCGGGCGACTTTGCCGACTACGGCGAGGAGATCCAGATCTCCGACTTCGCGAAGGGGAGCGACTCGTGGCACGTGAGCAACCAGTCGCGCTTCATGGCCGAGGTCGACTTCGACGCGTCGTTCGACGTGGAGGCGATGCGGCCGCTGCTGACGAGGAGCAGCGCCTGAGACGCATAGGACTTTCGCGCGCGACCGCCCGGATTGCCGCTATTTACTAGGATCTTGAAGTATTAATTAGACTGTGGGAGTCAAAGAGGAACGCTGTCGAGTACGTGTCGATATATGATCGTTCGTGACATCGCATTGCTGGGCCATTACTTTACATGCGGGAAAAAAAACAAATAACCGGCGTGCGGCGCGAAACACCGACGCCGCCTCTCCACCGTCCACGGCGGGGGGCGCGTTGTGGACAGAACTGCTACGGTGCTAGTGTCCACCGCAGGACGAGCCGGCTCCAAGCTACAGGCCACCAGCCTGGGCGCCATCATGCGAGTCACAGGGGAGCGGCGGACAGCTCGTCGGACTCAGGCGAGGCGGCCCCGGCCGGAGCTGGTGGACTGCTGGCGGAGCTTCGTGCTGCCGAAGGTAGAGTTGGGCGCGCGGGCTGACTGTATGCGAGCCCCAAACTCCCTGGCGCTGTACGTTCGGTAGTCGAACCCTAGGCGTCGAACCATAAACGCAGAGCGGGGCGCAACGGTGGGTGCGAGGAGGCGCTTCTCCGATTCCGTAAGAGGGGGGGAACCTCCGCGCAAGGAGGCGCAGCATGCGGCGGGATGTTGATACTTTAGTACGTTCGAGTGGAAGAGACCGAGATCAGGGAGATCGTGCTCTCTAGAGTATGTGTACGCGTGTCGCACATGCGCGCGTTCGCTCATCGTCACTTGTTCGCCTGCGCCCGGCCCGCGCGCGTTCCAGCGTTCCAGGTTCCACCGCGCCGGCTCTGCCTCTGGAACGAGTTATGGAACGCTTAAGCTAGCGAATCTTAGCGACTAACACTAAAGCGCGACTAACACTAATGTGGTCCCGGAGGAGGACAGGTCCCCTTCCTCCGCCGCGCCAAAGGGGACCTCCTCCGGCCGCAGCACCGCACGCCAGCCGTCGCGCGCGCTGCCTTGCGGTCGCCGGAGAAGCATGCGCCGCCCGGACGAGTTTGACCCGAGGCGGCGGCCCTTGACCCGCGGCGGCCGCCGCGAAAGGCTCGCGGAGAGAGGGGCGGAGGAGGAGGGTCGAACTTCCCATAGTCGATGCGCGCACGTGCAGCGTCGCGCGCCCAGCGGGCAAAGGATGAGGCCGTGCCCCAAGCATGCATGCCCACGTACTTGCGCTTCTCAGCGTCCGCCCACTGGTTGCGAGTTGTCCGACTTGGGCATGATGAAGTAGTCAAACGGCCACGGGTGGCCACCGAGCTTGTCGCTGATGATGTGGTCGACCGCCCACTCCGTCTCCCGCAGCCAGCGCGGGATGAAGTCTGGGTTCTTCTTGAGCCAGTTCTTCACCTGCGTGCTCGACATGCCGCCCGTCGTTCCATGCTTCTCCTTGGCGTACTTGATGAGCTCGTGCATGTCGCCGCAGTACGAAGTTGGCCACTCCTCCTTTTGCGCGTTGGCCAGCCCAGCTCGGGCCGCCACTCCTCCTTTTGCGTTTGGCGCGGCGCAGTGTCGGCCACGTCAGCTGCCGCGGGCTTCTTTGCTGCGGCGGGCTTCTTTGCTGCCGCGGCGGGCTTCTTAGCTGCCGACGGCTTCTTGGCTGCGGTCGGATTCTTGGCTGCCGACGTGTTGGCTGCCGTCGGCATCTTCACTGCCGTTGGCCCGGAGCCGAGGCTGGACGATCGTGGTGGCAATCCCATGCTGCTCATGCTGCCGTCCACGCGTCCGCCCGCGGCCGTGCCAATGCGAGTTGCCTCGGCTATCACCCCGAAGCATCCACACTTCTCTGCGATCCCGCCACTGCCACCGAACAAGCTGCCACTTTCGTAGAACTGCGCAAAGTCGATGAGTGGCTCATTGTTCGCCGGCTGCTTGGGCGGCATTGTGGAGACGGGCACACAGCCCGCAAGTCCCTACGTGGTCTTGCGTGTGGGAGGGGACGGCCGTTGAAGGCAACGAAGAAAATCGCAAATGTGTCACACCTCGACAACAACCTCTCTCACCTCGACAGTGTGGCAAGTGCGTCAGGGCCGGGCAAGAGAGCCCTGAGGACCCCTAGGTAGGGGGGGGTGGGTGCGCGGTCGCAGGGCCATCCATAACACGGGTCTCCGAGGGTTGGTTCCTGGAGGGTTGGACCCGCGTACCGTCGACAGAATCTCACCATTGGGTTTGTACTATTAAGGTTCCCCATGCCAGTTTCGGGGGGCAAACCCCGCCCGCCCCCTAGAGCCCCAGGTAAGGCCCAGGTGTGGCCTAGGGCATCTCAGAAGGGACCAAGAGGAGTCCAGTCTGAGCCATAGAGCCCATGTCTTTGCCCCCGAAGGTCGCGTTCAAATGCCCGGAACGGACGTTACAGTGGTGCCCGCCGGCGCGATCACCGAGCTGTGACGCTCAGGGAAGCCGGTTGAGGTACTGGTTTCTTTGCCCAGGCCTGGCCTTCCCCCCAGGCTGGATCAGCTGAGCAAGGTTTGGGGAGAATCCTATAGAAGGATCTTCAGATATTTTGACGGATGACCGAAAATGGGCAAAAACGGGGGAGCAGATGCGCCGGGACTCCCAGTTTCGGGACTATGTAGGCGATGCAGTTTCCGGTCCAAACGGACTGTGCAAGTGGCATATGTGGGGCTGATCTGAAGCGTGACGTGGGGCGATCCATGTGTCGCGGGTCCGGCGTAGATTTCGCCGAATTTTGGGCGCGTCGAGCCCTCACCACCAGAGCGTGTGGGGGGGGGCGAGAGAGTGTGTGTGTCCCTCGAGACCTTCTAAAGGCATATTACTACTTGCCTGCCACCCCCGGCCCCGTCCCCGCGCCCAGAAGGGCGAGAATCCGGTCCCACTCCACCACCGCGCGAAACGTGTTTCGGTCCGGGGTCCGGTTTCGACCGTCAGGGGCTACTGCGACCCCGAGGTGCCCCCGGGTCGCCCCCAAAGGCCTCCGTTAGTTAAAGAGCACTATTTGGGTGGGTCAGAGACCCTCACTTAGCCACCTCATAGGGTACCCTGAGGCTGTGGCTTCTGCACAAGATTTCGCACCATTTGGTTGCACGGAGGCATTGTGGAGACGGGCACACAGCCCGCAAGTCCTACGTGGTCTTGGGGACGGCCGTTGAAGGCAACGAAGAAAAATCGCAAATGTGTCACACCTCGACAACAACCTCTCTCACCTCGACAGTGTGGCAAGTGCGTCAGGGCAGAGTCAGCACGGCAGAGCAGGGGATATTTTGATAATTCAGGATGAGACAGGATGAGATGAGGAAAATAAAATAATTTGTAAAAGAAACGAAAAGGGCACGGCGATGTCCAAGGAGCCACAAAGGAGTCGACAAAAGGAGCGGCAAAACATGCAGCACTCAGCCTTCCCTCCCCCTCCCGGATGGAAGTACTACCTGAGCTCGACCGTGCTTAACTTCGCTGTTCAGATGGGAAGCGGTGACCCACGGTGATATGGCCGCATGTGACAGGAAACGCGCGCAGGAAGTTTATGAATGCCAAATTTTGAAAGAGAGAGAGAGAGAGAGAAAGAGAGGGAGAGAGAGAGAGAGAGAGAGAGAGAGAGAGAGAGAGAGAGTGAGAGAAAGAGAAAGAGAGAGAGAGAGAGAGAGAGAGAGAGAGAGAGAGAGAGAGAGAGAGAGAGAGAGAGAGAGAGAGAGAGAGGAGAGAAAGAAAAAAAGAGGGAGAGAAAAAGAGGGAATGTGTGGTATTTTTTAGTATGGAGGATGTTGGGGTGCTTGAAATGGTTCGTGGACAAAACTTCAACTTCAAAACTCTCTCTCTCTTTCAAAACTTACATGTAAAAAATTAAATAGAAAATCCAAGATGGGGAGTCTCGTGCTTTCGGTTTCAAAAGAGGCGAATCTTTTACGTTCGTGAAGTCTGCCGCGGTAAAAAGAAAAAGGTGCTTGCTTGCACCCTCCGCGACTCGTTGACGTCGCCGTCCGAGAGATCGTCGCCGCCGCCGCTCTCCCCGCCGCACCCGCCAGTGCATCCGAGACACCGTCGTCCAGAGACATCGTCGTCCAGCGACATCGTCGTCCCAAGGCATCATCGTCGAGACATCATCGTCCCATCGGTCGTTCCGAGCCTCCTCCATGCAGCCTCGCCCCCGGCTGCCGCTCCCCTCCCTTTTCACGCTGCTCGCGCTCGCACTGCCGTCCGCCTCGCCGCTGCACGTCTTCACGTGTCGCCACACGTACGAGAGCACGCTCGCAGAGGAGCTCGCGAACGCTGGCGTTCCTGCGGCCGCCGTGACCACGGTTTGCCCCGCGGTGGTGAGCGTGAGCGGCGAGCTGCCTGCGCTCGACCCCACCTACGCGCTGCAGTGGCTTCCCTGTGCGGCTGAGGTGCAGGGCGCTTCGGTGCGCCTCCTCGCCGACGCTGCGGTGGCCGCCTGCGGCGACGCCCTCCTCGGCGAGGCGCCACGCGGCGCGCTCGCGGTGCACGCGCTTGTGCCCGACCTGCTAAAGGGAGGCCGGACACCTCGACTGCTGCGGCGCTGCGAGGCCATCGCCAACAGGGCGCTGGAGAGGCTGCGCGTGCGCCACCGCAGCGCGCGGCCTCTCGCGGCTGGCGAGGCGCTGCCGGGCGACGCGCCGCGCCTGCTGCTGCAGCTGCTGCTCCTCTCGCCGGAGAGGCTGCTGGTGTCGCTCTCGCCCTGCGAGCAGGGCCGCGGCCTCGGGACGTGGCCAAACTGGCACGCTCCCGCAGGGCTGGCCAGCGTCGACGTGCCAAAGTCGACGCACGCGCGCCCGTAGATGCTGCCTCACTAGATGCTGCCTCACGGGGACCCGTGACCCCTCCAGCTGGCCCTCGCCCCCGAGCTGCAGCTCCACCGCCCTCACACTCCGCCCTTCCCACCCAAGGCACATGCCCTCGTCCGCCTACCGGAAGCTCTCCGAGGCCTTCGACTGTCTCCAGCAGTGGCCGGCGCCGGCAGACCGTGTCGTCGACCTCGGCGCGTGCCCGGCTGGTCGGCGGCCTCAAAGAAGAGCTGTGCGGTCAAGAAGAGGAGTGCTGTGAACAGGCGCCTGCCCGGGCGGCTGGACGGCGACGCTGCGCAGGCGCCTGCTGTGCTCGGCCCGCCGACATTCCCGGAGCCTCCTCTGACCCTCCTCGGACCCTCCTCGGACCCTTCCCACAGGCTCGGCTGCTCGGTGATCGCAGTCGACCGCAGCCCTCTCGACGCGCAGCTCGCGCACGACCCGCGAGTGACGTTCGTCGGCGGCGACGCGTTCGCGTACGAGCCGCCCTGGGCCGGCGAGGAGGGGAGGGGCGTCCGCACGTGGATGGTGAGCGACGTGATCGCGTACCCTTCCCTAGATGCGGAACCGGCACCCGGCGGTCCAGCTTGCACTCGAGAAGACGCGCCGTGTTCCACGGGATTCAGTGCACTCGCAGCCCTTGTATGCCCACCCTAGCGCCCCTGCTGGTGCACTAGGTACCCTGCGCGCGCGGTCGAGCTAGTGCGGCGGTGGGGGAGCCGCAGGTGGGCGAGTCGGATGGTGGTGTGCCAAGCCCCAGCTCGCCCAAACCCGCTCTCGAGCCTGTCGCGGTCACATCGTCTCCCCCATCCACCGCAGGTGACGATGAAGTTCCAAGCGGGGGTGGATTGGGCCGCGCTCGATGAAGCCGGCTCGGTGGCGGAGAGCCTGGGGTACGACTTTCGGAGCAAGCACTTCTTCAACAACAAGAACGAGGTCACGCTCCTGCTGCAGCTACGAGAGTGAATTAAGATGACTCTATGTTGATTGAAAATGTCCCTCCTGTCGCTGCTGGGTGTGGGTGGCAGTGAGGGGAAGGGGCGGGAGAGGGGTCCTCTTGTTGAGTTTGACGTCTTCGCAGGTCTTCGCGTTCGCCGCGGCCCGCGCCTCCTGCCCCCAGCGCGCGCACCCCGCCGCGGCGCGGCCCGCGCAGCACGCCCAACAGCAACACACTTCTCTAGTGTCGTCGCCCAACCGCCAACGCGGACTCTCTTCCCTTCTCTACGAAAAGGGACCCTGCCTTTCACGCCCCTATCGTTTAGCCCCCCGCGCTACCCGGTTGCACTCGTGCGACGTAGCGGGGCGCACTTGTGACTTGTCGTCCTCCCTCCTCGCGCCACATGACGGCCGCCCCCCGACACCAACAGTCGCGCTCCGCACGCCTTCGTATCGAGGTCAGCGGCCGAGCGACGATCGGCTCGTCTCCGATCGCTGGGCGCGGTCACTCTCCGGCCCGTCACCCGCCTGCCGATCACCTGTCCGCCTCGCCGCGCGCGGGCCGCTCGCCTGCTCGCACCGCCGCCGCGCGTCCCGGCGCCGCCACGCTTCCCTGTGCACCGACTAACCGCGCTCGAGCTGCGCAGGCAGACGGCGCGCTCTGGCAGACAGAGCAGCGGCCGCCCACAGGCGGTCGCTGCTCCGCCCCGTCCGAATCCGTCCGCCCGCGCGTGCCGCTGCCGCCGCCGCCGCCGCTCCACCCGGTGCCCGTGTGTCGTGAGAGTTGCTTTGTCTCTCTCTCTCTCTTGTGTATGTGTATGTCGTTTATGTCACACTCGAGCCTCTATCTCGATGAATTAGTAGATCGGTGCTCGGGTTTGGATGGTACCGGAGGCCTAGTTACTGATTCTCTGCTGTCATCCCCCCTAGCCTTATGCCTAGAGCTAGACGGCTAGGTGGAGGTGGAGGCGGAGGAGGAGATAAAAAGAATTCTGCGGTCGAGTTGACTGACGCCCGCTCGTGCGAACTCGTCGCGGGCCACAACGACAGAGCGCCTCGTGTTGATCCCAGCCATCAGCCGGAGGAACACGACTGGCTACAAGAACGTGACCAACCGCAGCAGAAAGCGATTAATTTTGGTTCATTCGCGGTACTTCTCGCCGCCGCGTGACATTGATGCGATTGACCTGTAGAAACGATTGACCCGAACTACGACCCAATGTCAGCCCATCCCCATAGCCGCCTCGCGCTCTGCCCGACGACGCGCTGCGCCTCACCCCTGGCTGCTGCCGCGCGGTAGGCCGACAAAGCTGGCCGACCTCACCGACTTAGACAACCTTCGGGTGCGCCAGTGCACTGATGGAAAGCCCAACGGCGACGAGGTAATATGCGACTTACGTCACGGAGAGGTGCACAATGGCAAGCCGGTCTGGGACTGGGACCTCCACCACTCTTTTTGCTGGGTCCTGGACAGCGGCAACCAGGCAGGTGGCTTTTGGGCCCTGGCCAACCTCCACATGCTGAGCGATCGGGGCGAGGCCACGGGCATCTGCTTCGACATGCCGCAGCACGCCGGTTCAGGTGGGAGCTATCCTCCCCTGGGCGCCTGGGTTCGCGGCCGTCCGTGGGACCGATCCACCACCTACCCACACAACGAGCCGTGCTTCGTGCTCGAGCGCGCGTAGGGTGAGGTCGGTTCCAGCCGCCGCATTGAACCACTCTCACCCCGCGATCTCCGCGTGTGCGCGGTGGAGCCGGGACAACCCCCCCGTCCAGCGCTCCACACAAGTCATAGCCACACAGGCCCTCACTCGCTATGTAAGAAGTTAAGTTGAGGGAAACACAAACAGCAAAACAAACGATCCAACTGAGAAGAAAACTGAGACGCAGAGGGCGCTGCAACCACCCACGTGCCACGTAGCTCGAAAGCAGAGTACAATTACCGAGAGTCGCTATGGTGTTTTTGGTCCCGTGACCACCGCCACCCCAACCCCCCGCTGGAGCATGCGCGAATCCTGCCGGTATACCTCCAAAGCTATACCGAGAGCTCGCGCGCCTCATCGCCCAGCCGGCGCCTCGAGTCGCATCTTGCGTGGGTCAAGCTCGAGCACGGCGTCGGGCTTGGCGCGGCCGCGCGTCGGCAGGAGCACGCCCATGGCCGCCGCCTGCCAGATGCAGCCCTCGCTCCCCTCCCAGATGAGCTCCGGCGCCGCCGCCTTGGTGGCCCACGCCTTTGGCACGCAGCGCATCGCGTCGAGCGGCGGCTGCTGATCGCGTCCTGTGCAAGTCACGATGGAGCCGAGGGGCACAAACTCCTTGGACGGGGGCACGGCTTGCCAGATGGAGAGCGGCTCGGGCCCTGACACGTGCCACACGCACAAGTACCGCTCGGGCGGCGGCAGTACCTGGTCGAGCGCCGCCTGTAGCAAGGTTCCGAGAAGGTTCGTGGAGGGCTCCGGGCAGCGGCGGCACCAGGCCCGAGCGACGCCTGCAGCCGGCCGCTCGCGTCGGCGCGGAAGGTGGACGCGGTGCGCGTGTCTCGCACCTATGGGACGGTTCCGAGAGCGTTCCGCGAGGAGTCCGGCAGGGCGTGTGGCAAGCGGCACCAGAGGTGCGCGCGCCTCGACCACCATGGCGGCGCCCCGCGCGGGGACCGCATCCAGCGCGGTGCTCGCGTGGTGGCCGAGCGTGACGACCGCCTTGCCGGCGGAGAGACCGCCGCGCTCGACCGGCTGCCAGACGGTCAGGCTGCTCGCGCCGGGCTTGTGGAGCCGCGCGACCCGCACGAAGCCCGACGCCGGCCGCAGCGAGAAGGCGAAGCGCGCGAGCTCCTCGCGCGAGAGGAGGCGCGCGGGCGTCTTCGGCGCGGAGCGGTAGAGCTCGGGGATGCGCAGCAGCGGGATCACGAGGTCCTGCACGGGCGACGCCGCGTCGAGGAACGCGCCCGGCGGCGGCGCGCTGCCGCCGTCGGTGCAGGCGGCGACAAAGTCGTCGCACGAGATGAGGCCGTCGTGGTCGGCGTCGAGGCGGCGCATCGACTCGTGGACCTGCGGGACGGTGACCGGCATGTCGAGCCACCGCAGGGCAGAGTAGAGCTCCGACGAGCCGATCAGCCCCGAGCGAGACACGTTGAAGGCGTGGAAGGCCTGCAGCGGAGACAGGCCGCGCGCCTGCATGCGGTGCGACATCGCGGCGAGGAGCGCGCGGTGCTCAAAGAGGGTGAACTCGTCCTTCTCTTGCAGCACGGCCGCGGCGGGCGTCCGCTCCCACGCCGACTGCCGCCGCCGCCGGCAGGAGCGCACCTCGTTGAAGAAGTGTTGCCGCTCCTTCGGGTCGTTGCTCTGCAGGCAGCGCAGCAGCAGGTGCTGCGCGCGCGTGCCAAACTCGGTGTGCGACGAGAGGAAGGAGAAGCACTCGCGCACCACGCCCTGCTCGTACTCGGAGGTCGAGTCGCTCACGTAGTTGACCGCGTCCAGCATCTCCGAGTGCGTGTGCAGCGCGACCAGCGGCGGCGGGTCGGAGCCGGCGTACCCCGCCGCGAGCAGCCCGTCGCCATTCTCCTGCGAGATGTGCAGCGCCCCGCGCAACGACTCCGCCTCGGAGAGCGAGAGGACGATCCAGTGGCGCGAGCCGGGCCCCTCCTGGTGCGAGCGCAGCTGCTCCTCCACCAGCGGCACCACCGGGGACTCGGGCTCGCTGAGCGTGAGCGCGCCCACGCGCCGGCCGCCGTCCTGCAGCGAGTCGGACGCGGCGGACGCGATGGCAGCGACGGTGTGCAGGTCGACGGCGCGGCCGAGGGCGGCGAGCTCCGCGGCGGTGAGCATCCCGTCGGCGGCCGCGTCGAAGAAGCCGAACGAGGCGCGCACGCGCGCCGCCTCGGCCGACGTCAGCGAGGGCGTCACGCCGAGGGCGTCGGTCGACGAGCGGCGCGACGGCGGCTGCCACTCCATGGCGCAGATGACGTTCTTGAGGCGGCGGTGCGCCTTGAGCGTCCAGCCCGGCCAAAAGTGGTTGTTCGACATCCAGAGCCGCGCGGGCCACTTGAGCGGCCGCGCCTTTTGCGCGCCCGACCGGTAGACGCCGAAGCGCGACCACGGGTAGAATGGGCCGCCGGTCCCAAACATGCCGGTCGGCGAGGCGGAGTAGACCTCGTGCAGCAGCTTGAGGTCCCACGGCCGGTCGGAGTCCGCCTCGCGCGAAAAGTTGTGCTTTGTCGGCTCGAACGTGGCCACCGACTCCTCCTCCTGGTTCTTCTCCTGCTCCTGCTCCTGCTCCTGCTCCTGCTCCTGCTCCTGCTCCTGCTCCTGCTCCTGCTCCTGGACCTGCTCCACCTCCATCATCAGCGAGCGCTGGGTCCTCGAGCTCTGGTGCACCACCTCCTGGTACAGTGTCTTCTCCTCGGCGGCCAGCTCGCTGCCCAGGAAGCCGCGGTGCGCATCGGCGAGGGCGAGCGCGCGCTCGCCGCAGCGGACGGGCGCGGGCACGGCGGAGGGAAGGTCGAAGGCGAGCGGCTCGACAAACACCCGCAGCGCGCTCTTCTCGTGCGAGCGCGCCTCGGGCGTGCCGCACCTCGCGTGGTGGGCGAGGAGGTGCTCGAGCGACCGCTGGCGGAAGACGTGCGCCAGCCGCTGCTCGCCGAGCAGGCCGGCCTGCGGCGTCACCCCAAAATGAGCCGAGGTGCGCCGAGGTGCGCCGAGGTGCGCCGAGGTGCGCCGAGGTGCGCCGAGATGAGAGCAGGCCTGCACGTCCTCGGTGCGCATCAGGTTGAGGAGCAGCCACGCGCAGATCGCCTTCAGGGCCTGCTCGGGGGCCGCCTCCGAGAGCGGCTTCTGCTCCGAGAGGGGCTTGCCGCGCATCCGCGCCACGTCCGTCCGCACGAGCTGCGACACCTGCGGCGTCATCTGCAGGCAGATCGTCTGGCCGGCGCCGATGCCGCGCATGCGGAACGCGCCCTGCGCAAAGTCGCGGAAGGTCATGTCCTTGCCGAGCGTCATCGCCGCGCGGGCAGAGAGTGTCTGCTCGACGTCGACGCCCGTCGTGTGCACCTGGTCGAAGAAGGTGAAGCGGCGCGCCGCGGCGACGCCGCAGCCCTTGAGCTCAAGCACCTAATCTCGGCCAATCTCGGGGTACTCTCGGGTGCTCTCGGAAACCCTCTCCGACGCCGCAGCCTCGAGCACCTTGAGCCCGGCGCGCAGCAGGATCATCTGGCGGTCTCGCTCGTCGAGGAATACGACGCCCTCGATGCCGTAGAGCCCTCGCGAGAGGAGGTACCGCGCGACCTGCACGACGATGAACCGGTTAGCGATCAACTGGTCGATCAGATGCCTCACTACTCATCAACTTAAGAGGGACCGCCACGGCCTGTTGTCGGCGGGAGCTAATCAACGAACTAACTTGAATGACGGAGCGGAGGGCCGCGCCACCTGCACGTTGGTCAGCCCGGTGATGAGCGCGCCCGCGTCGATCAGCGTGTGGTACGGCGGGGAGGCGTCGGCGATGTCGTCGAGCAGCTGGTGCACGCTCCAGCTGTCGGGCAGAAAGTCGTACGACACGACCTGCTCCGACGTGAGGCAGCGCAGCATCTGCGCGTCGTCGCCCCGCTCGTACTGGCACCCGTTGAAGTCGCGCGGCAGCAGGTCGGACGGCGTGCCTAAGGGACGCTTCCGAGAGGGCTCCTAGCAGCTTCCTAGAAGTCGCGGCGCAGCGGGTCGGCGTGCCCGAGAAGCCCAGCCGGCAGCCAAAGAGCGCGCTCGAGCCGAGGTCCTGCCCGTTCGCAGAGAGCTTGCGCGACTGGTGCTGCATCGTCAGCGGAAAGACGAGCTGCTCGAGGTAGTGCTGGATCGCGTGCGGCAGCTGGCCGAGCAGGCCAAAGAGCACGCCCATCTGCTCGGCGTCGCCCGGGTTGACGAGCTGCAGGGGCCACAGCCCCTCCTGGTCGTGCGCCTCGGAGTTGCGGGCGGAGAGCTGGTCGGGCTCGGGGGTGAGCAAGTCCACGCCGCCGCCGCGCGGCTGGCCGCCGCTCTGGCCCACATACGAGGCGCCTCGCACGTGGCGGCCGGCAAGCTCGATCCAGTGCGAGTACATCCGGCAGGTGGGTCGGTCGCGGAACGGCCCCCCCTCCTGCCCCATCGTCTCGAGAAGGAGGCAGAAGAGCGCGCGCAGGTCCTGCGGCCGCAGGCCCTCGTGCCGGTACGCGAGGATGGAGAGGCCGATGAGCGCGTCGGGGTGCGAGAACTCTGCCGCCTGCGAGGGCACGTCCTTGCCAACAAACGGCACCGCGAGCAGCTGCCGCGCCTGCGGCGTCGAGCTCGAGGCGGCCTCCTGGAGCAGCGCTGAGTCGGGCAGGAGGCCGTAGTGCACGCGGCCGACCTTGGAGAGCACGTGCGGCAGCACCGAGCGGAGCCACGTGTGCGTCAGGTTGAGCAGCTGCGCGTGCTCCTCCGGCATCGTGCCAACGAGGTCGTCCCACCGCTGCAAGCCGACCGCCTCGGGACCGCCCGGCTTGCTGCCGAGCGAGCCGTCAGCGAGGACCTAATCTCGGGACAATCTCGGCTCATCTCGGCTCATCTCCGGCTTGCCGCCGAGCGAGCCGTCAGCGAGCACCGTCCCGCTGCCGTCTGCGTCTGGGTCGCGCCCGATGTACGCCGCGATCTGCTCGTCCGAGCCGTGCTGCACGCGGTTCCGGCGGAGCCAGAGCAGCGCCCAGTGGGTCAGGAGCGGCCGCAGGCGCGCGTCGTAAAAGGGGCGCTGCAGCAGCACGAAGTGCGGCGCCCGCTGCACCGAGAAGTCGCGCGCACCCTCGTCCACCGCCTCGGTGATCTGTCCGAGCAGCTGCTGCGCCTCGGGGCCCTCGTGCCACGCGGCGGTGCACTTGCGGCTCATCGGGTAGAGGATGCCGTCGAGGAGGTGGAAGGGCAGCTGCCAGCGCAGCGGCGCGAAGTGGATCGGCTTGCGCTCGCCGTGCGGCCAGTTGAGCTCGGAGCGCAGCGGGTGGAGCAGCACGTCCACCTCGTCCAGGAGGCCGACCGACTTGCGGAGAATGGAGAGGACGTCGGCGAGCGTGCGCGTCTCGTGTCGCAGCTCCTCGGCGCGCTTGCGCCTACTCTCGGCCAGCCCGCGGCTCAACTCGGCGCCCTCCCGTGGCGCGGCGCCTCGGCCCGCTTGCGCCCGATCGAGCCGGGCTGCCGCCGCCGCAGCCCGAGCAGCCGCGTGATGCGCTTGAGCAGCTCCTGGTCGTCGGCGTGGGGCTCGGCTGAGACGGCGGGCACCTCGCCTGTTCATAGCTTGGACCGTGAAGAGGCGCCGTCCACGGCTCGGACGAGAGCACGGCGGGCAGCCTCGCCCTGGAGGGAGGCGACGCCCTCGATGAACTTGAGCAGGACCGACTTGAGCGAGGTCGGGTCGAGGAGCAGCACGCCGCGCAGCCGCGTCGCGTGCCGCAGCCGCTCGAGCAGCGAGCCCTCGACAGTGGTGTACCTGCTCGCAGCCAGACGCGTGACGAGGCGCCGGTCACCGCTCGAGCAGCGAGCCCTCAACCGCCGGCACCGGTCGAAGCGCATGCCGTAGACAGGGCGAGCGACGGGCCCGCCGAGTCGCTCTCGCAGGACACCCTGCGCCGAGGGCAGCAAGTGCGGCGGCACGACGGAGACGACGAAGCGCTCGCCGTCCGCGAGCATGATGGCGAGCATCGGCGCGATGACCGTCGTCTTGCCCTGCCCCATGATGAGCTGGTGGCAGAGCGAGCGGCCCGCCGCCTGCGCGTCGAGGAACTTGCGCAGCAGCGAGACCTGCGCCTCGCGGAGGAGCATGCCGTGCGTGAACTCGTAGATGAGGAAGTGGGGCTCGTACACGAGCGAGGAGCCCGTCGAGGAGGGCCCAAAGTAGTGGCGGCGCGAGACGAGCGCCGACGCGAGCAGGTTCGCCTTTGAGCTCACCTCGCGCTGCAGCTCGCGCTTGAGAGCGGTCGCCTCTGAGGAGAGCGTCTTGGCCGAGCGGCGCCTGTAGGGAGGTTCGACAAGGTTCCGAGAGGGATCTGGGAAGGCTCCGGGGAGAGCGTCTTGGCCGAGCGGCGCCCCGAGGCAGAGGCGCGGGTCGAGACGTTCTTTGGCCGCGGCGGCGCCTGCAGCTGCAGCAGCAGCACCTGCAGCCCGCGCGCCTCGTCGAGGCAGCGGAGGGACTGGGCGATGCGGTTGGCGGTGAGCAGTGCGAGCGCGGTCTCGTCCGACACGCGCGCCGCTTGCTCGCGGGAGAGGTACGGGTTGAGCAGCAGCAGCTCCGACTCGCCGCGAGAGCAGGCGAGCAGCCGCACCAGGTGGTGGAAGCCGAGCTCCGCCTCGTTGCCGCCGGCGCGGCCGAGGGCAAAGCCGGCCAGCTGCTCCGCCGCCGCCTCCTCCGTCGCGCCGCCGACGGCGATGAGGTTACCAGCCACCGCCGCCGGCTCGCCCGCCTGGTTGGCGAGGCGCGTCGCGCCCTCCACGAGGGCGAGCATCCGGTCGTTGTCGCGCTGGAGCAGCGCCTGCAGCCGCTCGACGAGCGAGGCCGCGGCGTCCTGCAGCGCGCGGCAGCCGCTCGGTGTGGTCGCCTGCGCCCGCAGCTCGGCGTCGGTGAAACCCACCAGCTCGGGCAGCGCGAGCTCGTTCTGGTGGTGCGTGTGGAAGAGGAAGTCCTCCTCGAGCCTCCGGATCATCGCGGCGGCGAGGTCCGACTGCGCCGCCGGGTGGCTCGACAGCGCGAAGGGCAGCCTCGCCTCGAGCGGAGGGAGGCCGCGCTGCGAGCGCGTCCGCTCCACGACGAGGCGCGACAGGTCGATCGGGCGGAGCGGCGTGCCAGCCAGCGCGTCCGCCTCGCCCTCCGCGCAAGAGGCGAGGCGGAGACGCCGCGGCGCGCTCGGCGCGCCGTCCGACAGCCACAGCCAGCGGCGGTACGGGAGCGGCAGCGGCGTGGCGCTGTCGGCGCCGTGGACGCGGGCGAGGAGCGGGGCGGGCAGGCGCACGAGCGGCTGCAGCTTCAGCGCGGGGAAGGAGTGGAGTGGCCACTGGATGTGTCCGTCCGCCTCGAGGCCCTTGAGCACCAGCGTGAGCTTCTCGAAGAGCTTGGCGAGGACGTCCTGCCCGCGAAACATCACGGAGACCTTGACGTTGCGGTCGTCCTCGAACTTGGGCAGGTGTCGGGCGAGCTGCGGGTTGTGCGCCATCACCCGCAGCGTCGACATGAGCACCCCCTTGGAGCTCCACTCGGAGGCGGGCAGCAGCCGCAGCAAGAAGCAGCCGAGGGTGTGGCCAGAGTCGTTGGAGAGCAGCTTGAAGAAGACATCGCCGCGCATTAGCTCGTACAGGAACAGGAACCCCTTCTGGTCGCGCCCGCCGCGCAGCTCGAGCCCGTTCCGCAGCCAGCGGTCGAGCGCCGACGCCGCCTCTCGCCCGACCGGGTTCTCCGGCCGCGAGTACGAGAGCGCCTCGAACTTGCCGAAGAGCGCGCCGAGCCCCTCGCCAGAGATGGAGGTGCGGTCCTGCACGGCGTCGAAGTGCGGCCCGCCGCCAAAGGCGGGGCAGGGCAGCTCGACGTCGATCGAGTCGGCGTCGGGGCGGGCGGTGCTCGCCGCGGTGAGGAGCGTCAGCCGCGACTGGAGCACGTTCGGCAGCGCGCGCGCGTCGCGCGGCGTCGGCAGGCCGGCGGCGACGGCGGCCTCGGCGACGGGGTCCGGCTTGGGCATCTTGACCATCACGGAGCCAACCATGAGCGGCACCGTGTCGCGCGTCTGCACTGCCTGCGGCTTGAGGCCCACCTCCTGCCGGTTGAGTGTGACGGAGAGGTGCGTGAGCAGCACGAGCTCGTCGTAGACCGACAGGCGGAGCAGGAGCGAGACGTGGCCGAGCTTGCGCGTGTAGGCGATCAGCTCCTCGGCGAGGTCCCAAGGCAGCTCCGGGTAGAGCGGCGTGTGGAGAGCGTGCAGCGAGATGCGCAGCCGGCAGGCGTGCGCGTCCGGGTGCTGGTCGCCGCGCGTCTCGTTGAAGAGAGCGACGATCTGGGCCTCCTCGCGCGAGAGGGGCCTGTCGCAGACGCACTGCGGCGCCATCTCGCTCGCCGTCTCGTACCTCCGCGCGAGCAGCTTGAGCAGCAGCATGTACAGGGCGGCGGCGAGGGAGGGGAAGAAGAGGAAGGACTGGGAGAGGTGGACCGGGTACAGGTACGCCTTGGTCGGCCCCAGGCTCGCCACCCAGTGCTCGTCGTTGTTGTCCAGCTCCACCTCGCACGGGAAGAGCCGCGAGAGCGCCTGCGCGGCGGCAGACTGGCCGGCGGCGAGCACGGCGCGGCGCGGGCGCGCACAGGCCGAGACGAGGAGCGAGAGGCTGCCGCCGTCCTTCTCGAGCAGCAGAGAGTGCGGCACGCCGCGCAGCAGCTCGGAGATGCCGGGCGAGGAGCGGTGCGACAGGTAGAAGCCCTCGTGCTGCGCGCAGTACAGCCGCAAGCCGCGGCCGCCGGCTCCCTCCTCGGCAGCACCGCGCGCGCCGCGTGCGTGGAACGTGAGGCCGAGGCGAGGGAGCTCGATCAGGCTCGCCTCGAGGCTGGCCTCGCCCGCCGCCCCAGCCCCGGCGGCGGCGGCGGCCAGGCCGTCCTCCTCAGACCAGGCGAGCACGTGCGACAGGTCCTCGAGTCGGCCGAAGCGGAGGGCGAGGCTTCGGAGCGGCGAGCCCGGTGCGGCGAGCAGCAGGTTGAGCAGCGTGTGCGCCGGCTTGGCGGTGTCCACCTCGGCGGTCGCCGCCGCGCTCGAGGCTGCGAAGGTGGACGAGGCGCCCTGCGCCGCCGCCACGCGAGGCACAATCGAGGCGGCGTTCGGCCCGCCCACCTCCGGCGTCGGCTCGTCGACCAGGCACAGCCGCCGCACCGCGCCGCTGACGGTGCCGCCCACCTCGGAAAGAGAGACGGCGAGCCGCGTGCGCAGCGCATCGCCGATCGGGTGGCCTGGCTTGACGTCTCCGATGAGCGAGCCGTCCTCGTTCTGCCACAGGTCGTAGGCGGAGAGCAGCGCCGTCGGGATCAGGCCGTAGAGCAGCCGCGGAGGCACGAAGACCTGCTTGCCGAGCGCAGCCGTCAGCCGGCGCGAGATGACGACCGACGGCGCGGGCGGGACGGAGCGCTGCAGGCTGCCCATCACGGTGTGGACGCGGCTGCCTCGCGCCTCGACGGTGCGCGGCGAGAGGTTGTGCAGAGAGACGGCGGCGTCCGACGACCAGGCGAGCGAGCGCCACCAGCGGCGGCCGTGCTCGAGCAGGTCGTACACGTGCACCACCAGCCCCTCACGCAGCACGACGATCTCCTTGAACTGGCGCGCCGCCGGCTGGCCGGCGCCGGCGCCGGCGCTCGGCGGCGCGGTGGCGCCCGAGAGGAGGGCGAAGTGCGAGGTGGAGTAGTCTGGCAGGACGAGGGCGAGCTCGAGGCCGGCCATCCGGTCGGGGATCAGCGCCCGCTGAATCGCCTCCTGGACCCACCGCTCGCTCGCGCGGAGCTCGCGCGGGTAGGCGCGGCAGCCGGCGAGCGGGGGCGAGCGCGTGTCGGCTGTCCAGATGTGCACGTCGGCGCGGTTGCCGACGAGGTGGTACCAGTCTCGCTGCGCGGTCGACGAGACGCGCACGGCCTGCATCGGCTCGGCCGTGGGGCCCGAGGCGTCCTCGCCGAACACCATCGCGAAGTCGGGCGACTCGCGCACGTGCGGCGGCAGCGGGCCGAGCGTCTGCTTGCGCAGCGAGAACTCGCCGAACTGGACGTTGACCTCCGCGTTCGCGCCGTTCGTCGTCGTCATCTGCCGCAGCCACTCCTCGAGCGCGTCGCCGCGCCTCCGACGGCCGCCGTTCGGCGCGCCGGCAGCCGCCGCGTCGGCGGGCGGGGCGCCCCCCTCGAAGTGGGCGTCGTCGGCGAGCGGCGTGAGCGCCTCGGAGGTGGCGGCCTCGAGCGCGGTGGTGTCGGGCAGGTAGCGGCCGAGGCCGCGGAAGCCCGCGTGCTGCTGCCACGAGCGCGGCTCCAGCTCGTTCGCCGCTCGTGAGGAGGAGAGCACGCGCGGTCCGGTGCAGGTCACCTGCGGGAGGGCGGCTCCGAGAAGGTTCAGGGAAGGTTCAGGGACACGTCCCGCAGAGCACGCGCGGGGCGTGTGCGCGTCACCGTCCGCACGACCGCCTCCATCGCCTCGTTGCGCTGCTTCGGGTTCGCCTCGAGGGCGCGCAGCAGCTTGCAGCGGTGGCGAGCAAAGATCTCGAAGAGCTCGGTCTGCGGCATGCCGAGCGCGGCGTCGGAGACCGCCTCCTCCTTGAACGAGCGCTTCGTGCCCTTCGACGCCAGGTCGGGCTCCGCGTCGAAGGTGTGGTTGTTGCCCAGGAAGACCTGCGCGCAGAGCAGCGTGGAGAGGGCCTGGTAGTCGATCTCGTCCTCCTCGATGTGCTTGTACACGAAGGCGAGGTGCGCGAAGAGCGTGCACGCCGCGCTCATCTCCCGCTCGCGCAGCGCCACGTTGTTCCACTGCTCGAGCAGCGCGTGCAGCTCGCGGCGCAGCATCCGCCGCAGCGCGACCGAGCAGCGGCGCAGCTTCCCCAGCGCGGCCAGGTCGAGCTGCAGTCCGCGCGCCGGCTCGACGGTCGGCGGCGCCCCGTCGGGCGGGTTGGCGGCGAGCACGGAGCGGATGAAGCCCTCGACGCGGACGGCCATGCGCAGCACGTACAGGATGGCGGAGCAGTTGGTCGACTCGGTGGAGTAGCGGCCCGAGTCGAGCTCGATGGCGAGCTCGACCATGCGCAGCACCGACTCGGTGACCGCGGCGGGCGACTTGGTCAGCTCGTTGAAGAGGATGCCCGCAGGCGTGGCGAGGTGCGCACGCGACGGCGCCGGCACGCACTTGGGAAGCTCCTTGCTTCGCTCGAGCTGCCACTGGCCCGGCTCGAAGAGCGTGGCGTCGAGCGCGGCCTGCAGCTTGGCCGAGCCGAGCGCGTGCACGTGCGACGGCTGCGAGAAGAAGCGGAGCAGCAGCGGCACGCGCAGGTACGGCACCGTCAGGTACTGCAGCAGTAGCTCCGCCTCGGGCGGGCGGAGCGCGCCGTCGAAGGAGGGCAGCTGCTTCAGGTGGAGCACGTCCTCCTCGCGCTCGATCCGGACCTCCACGCCGAGCTCGCTCTTGACCAGCTGCTGCGGGTCCGCCGATGACGGCGGCGCGCGCGGCTTGGTGACGCCGAACACCTTGCGCAGCTTGCGCTCGAGCCAGGACGAGTTCTCCGCCTGCTCCGCCTGCTTGGTGATCGCGGCGGCGTTGAGCGTGCGGCCGAAGGCGGAGACGACGAACGCGCCCGACGAGGCGTCGTGTCGCCACGAGAGGAGCGCGTCGAGCGGCATCCACGGGCAGATCTCGGGCAGCGCCTCCGAGGTGGGGACCATGAGCATCTTGAAGAGGAAGACCATGTCGCGGAAGAAGCCGAGCTCGGGGAAGTTCTCGAGCAGCAGCCGCGACTCGCCCGAGAGGTACGCGGGCAGCAGCGAGGAGCCGCCGGCGTGGGTCTGGCCGTGCGTTGCGGTGGGGAAGGCCATGTGCAGGCAGAGCTGGCGCAGCAGCGCCTCCTCGGCCACGCCAAACTCCATCGAGCGCTCGAACCCGAAGAGGACGCGGCTCGGCCGGTGGTGCGGCCGCTGCGCCGCAAAGTAGTCGAGGACGCGCGTGCGCGCGCAGTGCAGCTCTGGCGAGGCGAGCTGCAGGTCCTCCGACTCGACGGCGAAGGAGCCGAGCTCGAAGTGGAAAGCGTCGCCCGGCCCCTCCGCCTCGCCGGAGTAGTTGAGGCAGAGCAGCGACGGCACGTCGGCGCATCGGATCCGCATCACCGCGTCCGCGAGGGTCGCGATGGTTGCGACGACCACGAGCCGCACCGCGTCGAAGGATCGTGTCACGCGGATCGAGAAGCAGCAGGCGGCGAAGTGGCGGCACGCGAGGTTGAGCAAGCGCAGCAGGTCCGCCTGCGTCTCGTACCGCATCGGCGATGCGGCCCAGAAGCAGCGCGACGCGCGCTGCGGGTGCGAGCATGGCAGCGGCAGAGGGATGACGGCGGTGAGCAAGTGCTGCAGCAGCGAGACGCGCAAGCAGTACGTGTTTGGGATGTAGCCCTGCTGGTTGGCGAGCAGCTCGCACAAGTGGACCGCGTGGCGCAGCGCGTTGCAGACGTCCTCGTACGAGCTCACGCAGTCTGGGACGAGCGAGAGCTCGACCGGCAGCACCACCGGAGGGAGCGCGGACTCGCCTGCTCGCAGCCTCACGCGTGAGGAAGCGCTGCCCACACACGCAGACCCACGAGGGCGGACTCGCCCGCGAGGTGGTCGACCGAACGGCCCCGCAGCGCGCGGCCAAAGAGGTCGAACCTGCACTCATCAACTACGAATTAAACTACTAATTAACTACTGATTAACCACAAAGAGGTCGAACCTGCACATCCCGCGCACTGCGGCGCCCTTTCCCTCGCCGAGCAGCTCGAGCGCCGCCTCCTTTGGCGGCGCAGTGACCGCACCGACCGCCGCGCAAGTCGCCTCGAGGGCAGCCGCGTGCGCCGCGGAGAAGGCGAGCTCCGAGTGCCTCAGGCTCGAGGCGCAACCGCACAGCTTCCGCGCTCCGAAGCGCAGCAGCTCGCATTCGGAGCTCGACAGGCGCGCGCGCGGCTCGAGCGGGTCATACCCGGCGGACTCCGCCTGCGCGAGGGCGAGCTGCAGCGCGGTCCAGCGCCACAGCACGTCGGCGTACGCCGCCTGCTCACGGGTGCCGGGTGTGACCAGGCGCTGCTCGCAGCACCCGCCAGTGGCCAGCGCAAAGCCGCCTCCGCACTGGTCAGCCCGCTCGCGCGAAGCGCCGCGCCGAGCGCGACAAGAGCGCACTCGCCGCGCGCGTGGTCGCCTAGAAAGACGGCTCCGAGAAGCCTCAGAGGGGAAGGGCTCTGGTCCTTGCGGCCACCGCCGCACGCACGATCGCCCGAGAGGGGCTGCGCGCCCCACCACAGCCCTCCCGCCTCGGCGGCCGAGGCGGAGAGCGGCGTGTCGGACAGCGCGGGGAGGAGGACCTCGTACAGCAGCGTCCCGTCCGCGTGCCCGGCCGGAGGCGGCGAGCCGTACGGCTGCCGAAGGAGGAGGAACCAAAAGGCAGAGTCGGCGAGCCGGTCGCGAGGCACGCCCCGCACGACCAGCGAAGTGGCGTACTCGAGCTGGCCGCTCGCGCTGTTGCGACGCGCCGGGTGGCGGCGGAGAGGCGCACCCCCACTCGCCGCCACAGAGACCGAAAAGGTGGAGTCGTCGTCGCGGCGCAGCACGAGCAGAAAGGACGAGTCGCCGCTAGGCGCGTGCGCGGCGGGCACGACGAGCACGCCGCCGGGCGGCACCTACTCTCGGGTCCATCTCGTCTCTCGGGTGTGCCTCGGGTATGTGGCCGACGAGGTCCACCGGGCAGGCGCACCGCTGCGACCATCGGCACCAGCTGCTCGAGCAAGTCGAAGAGGGATCCCTTCTCCGCCTGTGGAGGGCGGAGGAGGCGGGGGGGGAGGCGTGGGGAGAGGGAGAGAGAGAGGGAGAGGGAGAGGGAGAGGGAGAGGGAGAGGGAGAGGGAGGGGGAGAGGGAGAGGGAGAGGGAGAGGGAGAGAGGGAGAGGGAGAGGGAGAGGGAGAGGGAGAGGGAGAGGGAGAGGGAGAGGGAGAGGGAGAGGGAGAGGGAGAGGGAGAGGGAGAGGGAGAGGGAGGGAGAGGTGTGCAGCCAGGCGGAGAGCGAGGGCGTGTGGAGAGAGAGAGGTGTGTAGCAGGTGTGTAGCAGGTGTCTAGTGCCTTGAGCAGCTTGAGAAGCTCGAGCCCGAGGCGGAAGCCCTCCTCCGCGCGGTGCAGCGCCGAGAGGAGAGGCGACGAGCCCTCGCGCGCGCCTGTGCATGCACACGACGCCGAATCAGTCGGCGCGTGTCGGAGAGGAGCGCACCGCGAGCCCCCGCGCGTGCCTGGCCGACCCGTGGTGCCGTCCGCCCGCCCGTCCGCCTCGCCCTCCCGATTGAGCGTCTCGAGCACACGCAGCACGAGGCGCATCGCGCCGTCCAGCGGCGCCATCCCCCGCGCGGGCGCCGCGGTCTGGCCCGCGCCGTCAGAGGTGCCAGCCGCCGCCGCCGCCGCCGACGCCAACCGCGCACCTCCGGCGGCGTCGGCGAAGACGTCTGCGAACGCGGCGATCTCCCACAGCTTGTCGACGGTCTGCTTGTGCTCCACCCCCGCGGCCTTATGCGCGAGCGACGAGGGGAGCGCGGCGCGCTTCGGGAAGCTCCGCAGCTCCGCCGCGAGCGCCTGGTCCGAGCGCGAAGGGTGCACAGCGGCGATGCGCGCCGGCGACGGGGCCTGCACCGGCGAGACGGGCGAGACGACCGCCGTAGCGCCGCCGGTTATGAGCTCGGCCAGCGGCGCCGCCAAGCGGGCTGGCTCGCGTGCGGGCGACGGCACGAACTCGTCCGAGCCGCCGGTCCGAGGGCTGTGCTTCTGCGTCGGCGGCGAGGCGGCGCTCGCAAACGCGCCAAACTCGCTCGGATCGGCCGGCTGGCGGCCGGCTGCGGCGTGCGCGGAGGCCGCCGAAGCCGTTAGCGACGCCTGGATCGACGCTGCCGCCGCCGCCGCCGGGCTGCCACTGGCCTGCTCTGGCGATGGTGCAGCCGGCGCCGCCGCCGGCTCGAGGTCCAAGAGCAGTGTCGGCTCCGGATCATCGGAGACGATGGTGCAGAAGGAGGAGGGGAACCAGCCGAGCTTGCCCTTCAGCCGGCCGGCCCACCAGCCGCCCGACTCCCGCTCCTCCACAACCTCTATTCGGTCGCCTGACGCAAAGGAGAGGTACTTGCTGTTGTCGCCACCGCCGGTCGGGGCCCAGGCGTGCTGTGCGATCGCGAAGCGCCGCTTGTCGGGCATCGCGGCCGCTGAAGGTCAGCGATCGAGCCGAGGCTGTCCAGAACGGCGTCCAGCCTACGGAGCGTGCGGCGCTCCGTCGCCGCGCCGATAATAGATGGCGTAAAAAGCGCGAAAAAAGAAAAACTGTCTGCCGCCGCAAATCGGGCTTCATGGAGCGCTCTTGCCTCCGCTCGTGCGGTCTGTGCGGTGGCGGGTCCGCCGTCGGCGGAAATGCAACGGTGAACTCACGGTGAAACTCAAGAGTGTGCTCAAGTGCTCAGCGTTCGACCTCCGCACACCAGGAAGGACACCACACACTCAATTGAGAGGCCGGCAGTCGCGATACGCCCCCCGCTCGCTCCCGTTCCCCTGCACCCCAGATCATCGTCTTAAGATCCTGCTCGTGCAGGCCCTGCCTGTCTGTCCTTTACCCTCGTTTGGCGCGCAGACCGTTTACTTTCATTCATCTGGAAGCATGGAAGACGCACGACGCTCCTCCCGCGGGAGTTCTTTTCTGGAACTGTTTGTCCCAGCGTGCGTTACACAATCGTTCCGTCGGGAAAGCGCTTGCCGCAATAACTGATCCAAGCGGCTGGATGGATCGGCGAGCGCCGAGGTTGGCGGGGCCGCCAGGACGCGCGGGGCCGCCAGGACGCCGCCGAGGCAATGCGGCTAGGAATTGCCGCGCTGCTCGCCGCTCTCCATGCAAGCCCTTCTCTTGCGCAAGATTTGCGAGAGGGCCAGATCATCGGCCCCACTGGCGGCAAATGCTCCACCCTGGCTATGACGGGCACAGGATCGCGACGCGACTTCCTCTACACCATGCCGTGCGCGACCGCTGCAGAGGGCGGAAGCCACTCTTGCTGCTCCCGCCGCGGCAACGGCTGCTCATCGTGCTGCAACGGAGGCTACATGAACGCGGACTGCTGCCCCTGCAGCAAGTTCACTGACACGGACGGCGACGGCGTCATGGACCTCACCGACCCCGACTCGGACGCCGACGGCAGCCCGGATGCCGAGGAGGGCACGGGCGACTCTGACAGCGACGGCGTCCCCGACGTTCTCCAAGAGGACAAGGGAGCCTGCTGTTCCTGTAAGCCCAAGCTCGGCGGCGACTCCCTGGATCTCGGCCGGCTGCGGCGTGCGCGACGCCTCGCGCCTCCGCCGGACGGGACGTGCACAGACTGCCGCGATGGCCAGATCATCGGCCCCACTGGCGGCAAATGCTCCACCCTGGCTATGACGGGCACAGGATCGCGACGCGACTTCCTCTACACCATGCCGTGCGCGACCGCTGCAGAGGGCGGAAGCCACTCTTGCTGCTCCCGCCGCGGCAACGGCTGCTCCTCGTGCTGCAACGGAGGCTACATGAACGCGGACTGCTGCCCCTGCAGCAAGTTCACTGACACGGACGGCGACGGCGTCATGGACCTCACCGACCCCGACTCGGACGCCGACGGCAGCCCGGATGCCGAGGAGGGCACGGGCGACTCTGACAGCGACGGCGTCCCAGACGCCCTCGACGGCCCCGCTGACTTGAATAGCGACGGTGTGCCCGACGCAGAGGAGGGAACGGGCGACTCGGACAGCGACGGGGTGCCAGACGCAGAGGACGAGAACGACTGCTGCCCTTGCGACTCGGACAGCGATGGCATGCCGGATGCCGAGGAAGGCACGGGCGACTCGGACAGCGACGGCATTCCTGACGCCCTCGACACGGATGGCGATGGCGACGGCGTGCCCGATGCCGACGAGGGCGCGGACGACCCCGACAGCGATGGTATCCCCAACTACCTCGATCCTGACGCAGATGGCGACGGCATCGACGATGCCGAGGAGGGCACGGGCGACTCTGACAGCGACGGCATACCAGACAGCCTCGACATTGATGCGCCTCCTGTAGAGAGCGACAGCGACAGTGATGGTAAACCTGATACCGACGAGAGGGAGGGCAGGGGTGACATGGACAGCGATGGGGTGCCCAACATGGAGGACGCCAAGGACGACCGGGAGTGGGTCATGAAACCGCAGCCGCTGTGCAACCTCTTCACAAAAACCGTGTTTGTCGGCACAACAGCCGTCAAGCAGTGCGCCGCGGTTGTCCTCGCCCCCGGCGAGAAGTGCAGGCACTTTGCAATGAGCTCAAAGCAATGCAGAGGAAACGGGTGACTGCCCACCCCCAAACCATCGAACTCTTCCCGAAAGAACGGGCGCGCATGACGCTGCGAGCGGGCTGTATGTAGGTTCATCCAGTGCTCCGCTGCCTCGCGAGGACTCAGATCGGATTGCATGGCCAAGGGGTGCGCTGCGCCCATCCCCCGGCACAGGAATTTGATCCTCGCACGAGCCTTGCCCTTGAGAGGGAGCCGGCCCCGGTAGGTTTGGCCCTGGGAATGACATATCCAAGAACTGTGAGAGCCCGTGCATCGAGCCCGACCGGGATAGCGACGGCGTTCTCGACATGTACGAAGGCACCAGCGATACTGACAGCGACGGCATCCCCGAGATTGATGACCCAGACTCGGACGATGATGGAATCCCCGACGGAGCCGAGAGGGGGAACGACGGCTCCACACGGGCCGCCGATACCGACCGCGACAGGGTTCCCGACTTCCTCGATCCGGACTCTGATGGCGATGGGATTGACGACGTTGACGAGGGTACGGGCGACTCGGACAGCGACGGCATTCCTGACGCCCTCGACCCGGATGGCGATGGCGACGGCGTGCCCGATGCCGACGAGGGCGCGGACGACCCCGACAGCGATGGTATCCCCAACTACCTCGATCCTGACGCAGACGGCGACGGCATCGACGACGCCGAGGAGGGCACGGGCGACTCTGACAGCGACGGCATACCAGACAGCCTCGAGAGCGATACGGCTGACTCCGACAGCGACGGTATCCCCGACGCTGCCGATCCCAAGGAGCTGGGCGCATCATACTGCACAAATTCACCGAACTATGACTGCTACAAGGGCGGCTGGCCGTCGTGCTGCCGCCGCCCTGGTAGCTGCCCAGAGTCCAAGCCCGAGTGCGAGGAAGTGTCGAACCTCAAGCCGACGCAGCCAGGCTGCGCGCTCTTTGCAAGCGGCGAGTTTGCCGAGAAGGTTGCGGTGCGGCAGTGCAGCAAGGTTGAGCTTGGCCCCGGAGACAAGTGCGGAGACTTTGCCATGCGATCGAAGCAATGCTCGGACAACGGGTGGCCTCCTCCCACCCACCCCCACTATGCAGCGAGCCCTTTACCCGCGAGCGACTGCCGACCGTGGCCAACAGGTACGTATCGTGCGTGAAGATGCGGGGCAAGGCGAAGGTGGACTGCATGGCCAAAGGGTGCGCTCTGGTTTGAGCGATCCCTTGGGCCCTAGCTTGAGGCGGAGCTTGCTCCTCCGTAGGTATGTCGGCAACGTCGCGAACAACTGCAAGCCATGCCCAGAGCCCGACCGCGACAGCGATGGCGTCGCCGATGTTTACGAGGGCACAGGCGACACCGACGGCGACGGCACTCCCGACATTGATGATCCAGACTCCGACGACGACGGCATTCCAGATGGCCTCGAGGGAACGGGCGACAAGGACGGCGACGGCCTGCCAGACATGCTGGACCCCGATTCCGACGGCGACGGGATTGACGACGCGGATGATGACATTCCTTGCAAGCAGGCACCGCCCGGCGGCTGCAAGCGTGGCCCAATGAAGCTCGCAAGGGACGCATTCAAGGGTGATACGGTCATCTACCTCAATTTTATTCATTGCGACCTAAAGGCTGGCATGCGTCTCAGGCTTGCCTCCGAGGTGATCACCATCGGCAGCCTGTGCAAGGATGGGAAGTACGAGCTGGGGCGCCGTGCACTGTTGGATTCGACTCGGGTCCTCTCGGAGGATCTGTCGGGGATCGGTGCCGACGCCGGTGGTGGTGGCATCGGTGCTATCGGTGATGGCGACGCGTCGCTCACTCTGGCCGAGCCACTGCAAAACGACTTGTTCGCCGACACGCCGATCGGAGTCGTCGACGCTGGCACACCGCCACCAGCGGCGGCTCCGCCACCGGCCGACTTTCCGACTGGGGCTCCCCCCCCGATGCTTGTTGGCGCTTCGTACTGCACGTTTTCGCCCGACTATGGCTGCTACGGGGGCGGCTGGCCGTTGTGCTGCAGCGACGCTACCATCAGCTGCCCAGAATCCAAGCCCGAGTGCGACCCGGTCGACCCCCGGCCCGGAGCGGGCGATGCGCTCGTTGCAAAAGATCCGCATCTGCACTTTGCGCACGGCGGCGAGGCCGATTTCCGCGGACGCAACGACACGTGCTACGCCTTCTTCTCGGCGCCAGGGCTCGCCGTCAATGTCAAGGTGGAGGAGAGCACTTTCACCATCCGCAACGGCCAGTTGACTGTGAACGGGACGTTCCTCACCGAGGTGCACGTGGTGGCGCGCGTGGACAAGGCGCGGCGACCCGCGAATGCCTCCTTCTTCGCCTCGCAGCTCGACGAGCACAACATGGGGTGGAAAGTGGTGCAGGGCAACTGCGCAGGGCGACCCTTCCAATTCGGCAAGCACGGTGGCAAGGCGTGCTTCGACCTCGTGATAAAGATGGCGCACTCGTCCGCCACCTTCACCCTGGGCAACTGGACGGTGCTCGTCCACGGCAACCACGTGTATGACTGGGTCTCTGGTCCGAAGCATCGGCTGGACGTCAGCTTCAGCGCCAGAGGCGCGGCTGCCGCGCGGTCGAAGCCGCACGGGATCATCGGCCAGTCGTTTTCGTCGACGGCGCCGCGCTGGGGCAAGAAGGACCGCTACCCCTTGCAAGGCGCCTTCAAGACCTCGGCTCAAGCGGAAGGTTCGATCGAGGGCAGCGCAGCCGACTACGAGTTGGCCGGACCCTACTCGACGGCCTTTGCGTTCTCGCGCTTCAATGGCAAGGAGTCGGAGACGTTGCTGCCGGAGCTGGCGGCGCCCGTTGTCGACGCGGCGTCAAATGATAACTAGCCAGAGTACGTGGGTGGCTTGCTTGACTCCGTTCTCTTCCTCGTCCCGAGCGGTCTCAACTCGCGCGCGCCAGCGCATTCTAGTCTACGCGCATGCTAGGACAGTGCTCGAGGGAGCCACAGAAGTTCACACACAGTAGAACTCGGAGTCAGCTGACTCCGGACCATGTGTCACTTTGACGGTGCGGGCGGACTCTTCCCCCTGGGTATTTGTCGGGATTGCGGCGCGAGGGAAGCTCCCGGCTCCTTTTATTTTTCAGGTGGAGCGTTTTTGATTTTGGCTTATGGCTACCCCCACACATCCACTTCTCTCTAGGCGCGCCGCGCCCGCCGTAGCCCGTACGCGGCCCCCCCGCGCCTCTCGGGCGCCGGCGCTCGTCTCGGCGCTCTCCGGCGGCAGGCAGAGGCACGCGAGAGACGCGCCGGACGCGGGGGCGCACCGTGGCAAGAAGCAGCGCTCATAGATGTATTTGCGAGGCGTCTACACTTTCCTCCTCCCGTTGGCAGATTGCAGTACGGTGTACACAGAGGTGCGGACGTGCGGTCAACAGGAATCATCCAACGATCCCGGTCTCAAGTACTCAAGACTCAACTATGATCTCCACGCCTGCACGAAATCAACAGTCTCCTCAGTCATCGCTCGCCGGCTGGCCTTTAGCTCAGCAGCGATTTCAGAGGGCGTCAAGGGCGGCCCGAGACTCTTTGGCAGGCCGCTCGTTGCAGCGGCCGTCGCTTGCAAGCGGCCCTCGCGCTCCTGCGCCCGCCGGCGTGCGTCCGCCCGAGACCTTGCCTCCGCTTCGGCCTGGAGCTCCAGCGAGGGCTTGGCGGGTGCTGCGCTCGGTGCCGCGCTCGGCGCCGCGCCATCCACGCGCGAGTTGTGGCCAGAGCTCGTATTGCTGGCCGCAGGCACAGCAGCTCGCTGCCGCCGCTGGTACTCCTCAAACCCGTCATCGGCGTCGACGTCACACGAGCCTAGGAACAGCTCTCTCTCGGCGCGAAGCCCGTGAAGGTTCATGTGAGCTCGACAAGAGGTTCGACTTAACGGACAGGCTCGACACAGGCTCGACACAGGCACGACTGATCCTGGGTGACACTTCGCATAAAAATTCGCGCGAATTGTCACCTAGGTACCGGCAGTATAAGGATGGCGACATCCCTCCCTTGAGTCGGCGCCGGCGCGCTGCACCATCTCGAGCTCGGCCGCGACCTCGCCCAAGCACGTGGCACCGTCGACGTCGGCCTTCTTGAAGATCGTGCCCCGCCGGTGGTTGGTGTACTTGGTGTAGTTGCCCTCCGTGTTCTTGACGAGGCCCACGTCGACGAAGCACTTGCGCATCGACTCCTGAGCACATGCTGGTGAGAGCGCGCAAGGGCGGGGCGCGGGAGATGCTACGGCTCGCCTTGAACTTGACGGACTTGAACGTCGTGTCGCAAACCGTGCGCAACGTGCGAAGACCGTCGGCCACCTTTGGCTTCGGGGGCTTGAAGGGCGGCAGTGGCTTCTTGTTCACCTACCGTCACGGGAGGGAGTGAGCACCCAGGCTCCCCGAGACATGTCACAAGGGATGCGTGCACGCCTGAGCCTGAAGCCGCTCCACCTTCCACTGCTGAAAGAAGTCGAAGAGCTTATCGCAGCGCTCCCGGCGGATGCCGGTCTTGAGAGGGCCATTGGCAATCAGATCCATCACCTGAGGATGGGGTCTCAAGCGTCGGGTCGGGTGGTGAGGAGAGGGGTGCGGCACTGTGCTGGTGGTGCCTGGAGGATGTCCGTCATCTTGGGCGGAAGCTCCACCTGCTTGTGCCCGCGGGCCCGCATGAAAGCGGCCTTGACGGCCTCGGTCTTGTGTGGGCCACAGTTGTCCCAAACTACGAGCACGCGACCCGTGCGGCGCGCCGCCCACGGGATCACCTGCACCTCGTGCCACATGCAGATGCCGGGCGTATCCATCCACGCCTTCACCTGGCAGGTGATAATCTCCAGCGACTCCTCGTGGATGAGGTAGGGGCGGCGGTGTGTCTTGGTCTCGAGGGTACCCTTCTTTGCGCCCTTCTTTTGCAGCGACAGTTCCCGCTCCCAAACCTTGAGATACCACCCCTCCTCGGCGGTGAAGCCCGACTCCTTGTGCAGCGAGCTGAGCACCTTTGCCGACGTGAGGTCGACGCCCGTGACGGAGCACTTGATAATACCATAAGGTGGGCCCATCTCGCCGTCGCCGGCGCCGAAGAGCATCTCAGTGAAGCGCGCCTATCATGAGATATCACTGGTTATCAGTCTCCATGGCTCGGCTGCCCGTGCCCCGGGCTCTCGGCACGCCTTCTCGTCCGCCTCGGGCGCCGTCGCGCGCGCGGCGTCCGAGGGCACGCGACTTGGTACTTTGGCGCGGCGCCATAAAACACGCCCGTCTCGTCGGCGCTGATGATCTCGGCCGGAGTGTAGTTGTCGGCCTCGATGGTCTGCTGGATCTGGCTCATCTGAGCCTGCACCGCCGACGGGTCGGGCAGCACCTTCTCGCTCGCGGTGATGCGCCGGCGGCGAAGGGCGTTGCGCCGGAGGAAGCCGAGGACCCACTTGGTCGAGAACTTCAGAGCGCACACCTTGGGGTCATCTTTGAAGGTGGCGTACCCCCGGACCTTCTCGGCGGCACGCACAATCATCATATTCGAGTACGCGACGTTGGCCTGCACCACTGCCGTCTCCTTGTCCTGGACTGTCTCGAGGCTCGTGTAGATCAGCTCGTCCAGCACCGCGGTCTCGAAGGCGGCGTTCACCTTGCGCCCGCCGCCGCGTTTCGCTCGCTTGCCCGACCGCTCCTCCTGAGCCGCCGCCTCGCGCCAGCGCTTGATCTGTTGCGCCTTGACCTTCTCAAAGCCATTGATGAGGCGCACCTTCTTCGCCGCGTCGGCATCGGTCATCCCGGCGGTCTGGTCCAGGATGGCGCGCTTCTGCTTCTGCGTGTACACGTTGCGGTTGGCAGGCATCTCCACCTTGGCCTGGCGCACATCGAGGGTGAGGTGGACCCACCCCCACTCGCGATGCTCGGCGTTGGGGCCGACCTTCAACTTGGCCATCACCGGCCGCTTCTGGTCGACGACGATCTTTGTCACGCCTGATGACCCCGCCGCCGCCGCCGGAGGCGCGACGACCGCCTGGGTCTGGCCAGCAGCGTTGGAGGGTGGCCGTGCGAGCGCGGACTGAAGGGCGGACGTCGGTGGCGGCGCCGAGGAGAGCTGCAGAGTCGGCGCACCAAACGCGAGGGTCAGCTGCGTCTTGGGCATTGGCTTGGGGTAGACTAGGCTCGTCCCCGCTAGGGTGAGCAGCAGCAGCATGCACACCAGCGGATAGGCGGCGGGGACACGTCAGCGCGTGAGCCCGTTCGGACCAAAAAAGAAATCAATGGCGCCATGCTGCTACCCCGTGCCTAACTGCTGCTACCCCGTGCCTAACTCAGTGCAAAGCACCTAACCTAACTCAAGCTACCTTACCTTAAGTTCGGCACTTCGCGGTAGAGAGGCCGCGGGTGCGGGCACGACTCGTCGACCAGGGAGAGCGGACCCGACCTCCCGGGGATGGAAGTGGGTGGGACCCAATGCCACCGTCCTTGCCCGGGGTGACCCCGGCCGGGCCGTCGACGCTCTCGGAGGCGGCAGTACCAGTCGGAGGAGAAGCGGAGGCGAGACCTCGGCCAAAGAAGAGACATCAGAAACGGCTACAGCGACCGTCAGGCGACGCTCGGCTGGCGAATAAAAGAGCGAATCAGGGGGGACCGGAACCCCGGGAAGACGGGCGGTGGAACCCTGGGACGGGATGCTGAGTGAGGACCTGTGTACGTACGTGGTGTACAGTGTCGTGTCTTCTAGCTCCGAGTAGAGGGGGCGTTCTGAAGTTAAGGGGAAACCCGGTACACGGAACGAACCCTCGGAGACCCGTGTTTACTTTACGGCCCTTTCCCTGCGAACGCGCACCCCCCCTAGTTAGGGGTCAGGGCTCTCTAGCCCGTAGCCCGATACCGATCATCCGGCCCGCTGGATGCGCTTCTCAGCTCCCCGGCCCTGGATGTGAGGTTACTGACTGCACTCCAAGTGCTCCAAGAGGCCGCTCGCCTCGCCTCGCGCACACATAGTCGCCCCGTTACAGTGGAAGTATTGTTGCTCGCGCGGGTCGCTTCCCCGTCTCTTTGCCGTATTCCTTAAGCCCGCTCAACATTGCCATGGCGCTGCCCATCCCTGTGGCCGAAAATCTTTTTGTGTGCGCACTACTAGACCCACTACCAGATCACAGTCATAGCGGCCCAAAAAGCGAACTTTCTCCTGCTCGCATGTTTTCTTTCAGCTTTCTGTTACTCGTTTACGTTTCTCTTTCCCCAACTTGACCCCCCCCTCTTGCCCCCCCCCCCCCTCTCCTCCTCTCTTGCCCCCTTGTCTTCTTTCTTTTCATCCCCCACGATCCCCGATCCCCTCCCCTGCTGACGTTTCAGATTTCGTTATAACCTACCGCTAACCCCCCCCATCGGCATCGCCTCCTTGTCCGCGTCGGTGATGGCTTTTTTCTTTTGCTTAATTCCTTTCATCTCTCGCGTTTTTTTGCGAGCAGAGGCTCGGAGCGACCTGGTTATTTATTTTGAAACACATTGATTGCGGCGCTTTGAGCTTGTTGCAATCGAGCAGTTGATACTTGAGATCTTGAGAGCCATGAATGGCGTACATGTAGTTGTTTTGGAGGGGAGGGTCGGCACTGCATGTGTGTTGTGTGTGTAAGGGCACACGACGACGCTCAATTCGGAGAGAGAGATTTAGCAATTTGTTGTTGCTCATTCGGTCGTATGCCGTATGCGGAAAATTAAGGGTGACATGATGGACTCGTGCCTTGAAAGTACATGACACAACCGGGGACGCACACGGTGTGGAGAGGCTCGACGATGGCGAGCCGGGGTGTGAACGATGACGATGTGAACGATGTAAGGCTTCAACGACGCACGGAGGCGGAGCCGTTCCAGCGCGAGGCTCTACATTCTCCCACGCACCCGCCGGCCCGCAAAACGCCCTCGACGAGAGCCACAAGAAGGCGTCCGCACGCGCACAGCGCAAGCCGCTCGTCGGACAGGCGTGCTCGCTCGATGTCGGCGAGCGCAGTGGCGCACGCTTTGGACGGTGGCGAAGCCAAAAACACCGATGGTGACCGTCCGCGTCTTCTTGCAGCACCAGGGCCTCTGTCCACAAAGTCTTAAGAAAGAATTCTAAGGTCCTCCCGGCCCAGTGGGGATTTTGGCCTACTCAGTGACCGTCTAAGGGGCCGAAATGGCCTGCAATGCCAGATCTTTTGTGCCTAACTTGTGGAGCACCTTAAAAAACTAGTATGTCTTGGCTCTTGCAGTGAAAAGTCGCAAACCCTGTCAGCAGTTCACCTACGGGTATGTTCGTAAGAGCCACATACACTGAAAAGTTTCTTCGATGAGGTGGGCTCCGTGGTGAGCAGATTCCCAGATTCTCCAGATTCCCCCTCGAAAACCGCCCCTTTTTAATTCATTGCGGCCGCGGGTTAAGAGAGAGAGCGGGTTTGCTCGGATTACTTTTCCCTCGCGAAGACATACAAGAGAAGAAGACGCTGGCCTCTCTGCAGGCCCCCCCGACCGCGCCGAACTCATCGGCGCGGGCTCTCTCGGCTACGGGATCGGCCCCAGCTTCGGCTGAGGGCTGACAAGCTGTCGAGGCCAAATCACCGTGAGAGTCGTGATTTGTTGTTGGTCTTGCCCAAATCCTTCTTCGAAGCTCTCTCTCTCAAATGGGGCGGTCACTGTCCTAAGAAAAACACTTGTCGGCGCCTGAGACACAGGTCACGGGTCTCTCAACACGCCGTCCTCATCCTCCCATGCTGTCTCCTCTGTCGGAGAGATTAGGCACGGCCCCCGGATTGGCGCTGTCGGGCGGACGCGCTCCACTCCACCCGCCACCGCACTTGCCGGCGACGGCGCCGCTGCCGCTGCCACTGCCACCATTGCCTCCGACAACGCCACAGAGCTACTTCTCCCCGACACAGCCTCCACCACGCTTGCCACCGCAGCCGCAGCAACCAGGCAGTGCGCCGCCGCTGCTGCCACCGCCGGTGGCGCCGCCGCTGCCGTCGGTGGCGCCGCCGCTGCCGACAATGCCTCCGACTCCGCACGCGCCACCGCCGCCGCCGACCCCGCCGCCGCTGCCGACAATGCCTCCGACTCCGCACGCGCCGCCGCCGCCGCCGACCCCGCCGCCTTTGCTGCCTTTGGGCTCGTCCCAAGGCCACTGGTGCCTCCCGGGCGGCATCTCCGAGTGCGGCCTGTGCCTGGTCCTCATCGACCCGTCAGAGTGCCCGAGCGACCCGGACAACCTCGCAGCATGCCAGACCCAGAACCTGGCACGCTGCGCCGCCGCCCCCCCGGCTCACACCTTCCTTCCCCCACACACCCTCCTCCCTCCTCGCACCTGCTCCCTCCCACCACCCCGCGCCACCCTCGGCTACTCTGAGCGTGTGCCTCTTCACGGCCCTCCGCCCACCCGCAGGCGCCCCTCTCCCCGGGCCAGCTCTGCGAGGGCTCCGGCGCCTGCGGCACCGACCGCCTCGCCGACCAGTGCAACCCGGGCGGCTTCGACGTCTACCGCGTCGAGTTCGTGGTCTCTCCGCCCTCGCCGCCGCCGCCGTCAGCACCCTCGCCGTCGCCGCCGCCGCCGCCGCCACCTCGGTTTGCGCTGGAGCTGTCGGCTCTCTCCTGACCGTCCTTCGTCCTTTTCGGTTCCGCTTTGCGTTGTCCCTTCCGTTTTCCTTGTGGGATGCCCCCTAGAGTGCTCTCTTTATCCCCTTCTCTCTCGTGTGTGCGCTCTGTCTTTATGGGTCGTTTCTC